TGACATGATACATGATGGCCACGAGAACATCAGGAAGTTTAATATAACGCTGTAGCACAACACCTGTTGTAACAATTCTACTGTCCACTCACTGCACATTATCATTTACCTGCTGCGTTACACGCATACGCGTATGTTTACTTTCGATATGAACAAGCATTAATTATGAGTGTATCTTCCGTACCTTGCAATGGTTTGCTGTTCGATGCTTGACTGATATCGCGGAGAGAGAAAGCAGCGTATCATGATCCTCGTCGGCGGGGTTTGTTACGCAAATAGCTACACTTTATTGGTGAAAACAATAATTCCGAATCCAGCTTAAATATTGGATGGATTTGATGGGTATGTTACCACATATTGGTACTGTTTGAGTGCGGGATTGTTATTAAACTTTGTCTAGACAATGCATGTTTCGGCCCAGCATTTGCCATGAGTTTAATGCTGCAGTGAATATAGTAATTTATTTTTACTTCTATTATTCTTGATGGAAGCATTACCAACAGCCCCGACAGCTCTAGTTATACATTATATATACAAAAAATATCCGGACGCTTCTCTATGGATTGAATCCATTCTCTATGGATCCATTAATCACTTGGTAGTAGGTATAGAACTGAGCATCATGGTAAAGTTATAGGCGGTTGTGTCCATGGCCAATTGCAAAGAATAGTTAAAACACCTTTAATTTTTATCTGTAACAAAGGAAAACACAAGACGACAGTCAAGTAATAACAAAAGAAAATAGGCGACAGCCCAGTAATACTAGTAACACATGACCTCAAATGCTACTATCACAATTCACCCTACAACCATTATCATCACCCCTGGCATAAACCTTCCCAAAATACTCTGTTACAAGCCAGAAAAATAACTGCCATAAACTCTCAAACTCATAATCATGACTTTATACCTCCTTTAGAGAAGAAAATAGATGCGTATCATATCAACCTCCCCAATTTCTCCTAGCGTGCAAATTGTTCTCAATCAAAAGTGTCTGTTGCAAGGTATAGGATGAAGTGCTAATAATGGCGGAGGGAAAGTACTGCATGTTGGTATCGCTATATTTATGCGTACTGATATCGCAAGGTTTGTCTGATTGGATGAGGCGAGCGGATGGTTCGACTTGTCTATTATTGAGGAAATGGTCCTAAGATGCTATCGGTGGTAACAAAGGCATCCCGCACAAAGTGCTCCATAGGCATAGGAATCAAGTCTTCCCGCAATGTTCGACGGCTTCGGGGAGTGCCACGGGGGCATTCTTGTCTTGGTGCGTTTGGTGGCTTTGCGTGCCAGCGTGACGGCCAGAGCGGGCTTTCCGTTTACCGCACTCGATGCAAGCAAGGTGAAGATCAGGGTTGTGTGGGCCGAAACCACAAGTTCCACAGTACCAATTGGGCATGATGGTGATAGTCTAAAGGTTGTAAAAGTGTAGAAAAATAGACTGTTGCGGACGAAGATTAGAGAAATCGATATAAAACTCCGTAGAAGCTTAGGGTTGTGATGTGGGAAGAGTCGGCATAAGAACTTGATCTCGAGAGACTGCTTTCTATAAGCAATTGAATGAAGACACTGAGATATTGTGCTGGATGAGGAGTGATCGAAACCGGGAGGAGATGCCTCTATATATATAAAAAAATCACATATGGTGTGATTAAGGTATGGCTAGGGACTTGGTTTCTCTAAAGCAAGTCTATACACTGCCCAGTATGTTACGATACCAAATATCATGCTCCAAACACCCTTTCTAGCCTATCATTCATTCATCAAATCTCCGACCCGGCTCTTACGAGTATGGTTCGTAGGGCAAATCTTGAGTGATCGCTAGGCAGCGAACATGGCCCCTTGAAGTTTTGCAGGAGAATGACTGACAGACCCATGGAGGCACTGCAAAAGAAAAAAACCACGATAAGTGAGCAAACTTTTTTTCCCGTCATTGCCGAGAATGGTTTCTAAAAACATGTGTGCTTGTAGTTCGCAAATTTTAGCTAGTAACCACTAAAAGGCACTGCAGCGTTAGGAATCACACAAAGGTTTGTTGCAGGCCTAGTGTTAACAGCCCTATCTTTGTGCGAAGTGATATATTGATCGCTATGATGTACATGCACAGCATAGGGTGGTTAATGCTGCTAGCGGATGGCTGTGGATGCAGTATGATATTGTAGTTTGGTTTAAGCAAATGTCAGTTTCCATGTAGTTAGATATGAGCCAGGGATCTTCTTTTTTTTTGTTTCGCGGACTCATGTCTCTGTTCGATAGGACCTACAAACCTGGTTAGGTAGTGCTTTGCCTCGCGTGAAAGCGTGTAGGTAGAAATCCTAAGAATATGGTCCACCGTGCGAATTCGCGATCAGTCAGTGCATGTAGTTAGGCCTGCAGGCACAGTTTCAGAAGAAGGAGCTGTCCAAGTTACAGCGAGATGTAACGCAGTTATCCCACCAGCCTCTTCACTTCTAGGTACTATACCAGTGTCAGTTTAATTGCAACAAGCAGATAGCCAATCCTCAAGAGAAGAAGAAGAAGCGGGTCCAGGACTCTAGGTAGCCAAGGGGGGTGAGATTTCAGCCGCATGTAACGGGGGGGGTGAGTATGTACATACCTATCTACCTAGAGTCTTGTCCAGATACAAAGTGAGATCCAAGGACAGGAGCGAAACTTGGCTGTGGGGGAGCGCACTCGCCTAGTGAAGGAAGAACGTAGATTAACCGAATAACTAGCAGTGGCTGAGCTGTGGAGTCAATAACTGAACTATTACTATTTCCCAGCGAATTTCTGACCAGCCTCGAGACTTGGAGCCTCAGACCGGTGAGTGACCCTGTAGCCTGTAGGTAGCTGGGGTTTTCGGAGGTAGCCCCATAACCGATATCATAGCCGACATATGATGGTGACCTGAGTGAAGGTCTATCATGGCTAGGAGTCGTTCTAGTAAAATTGTCCAAGGCACTTCGTCGCTGATTTTCCACAAGGAATGTTTGTGGTTGCACGGGATGTCCCGGAGGGTTGTTGAGCCTCAGTCGCTAAGCGCAACCGACCCAAACACTCTACAGTTATAGCTCCAGTGTGGAAACAACTGAGGATGCACTATTATATACATACGAAAGGGGAGAAGAGCTCGAGGTCTGTAAATGTCATTTGCCACTATCTGTTTATCTAGTGACCTGAGCAGCCCGTGTTTGTTTTAGCTGGTATTTGCGCAATTGATGTTTACTTTGCCGCCAAATGTCACCCGGCCTGCGCCTAAGCTTCCACACTCCTTTGGATCCTAGTTTCTCTAAATATTGCATTAGAAGCATTTTGTTGGATTCGTGGCGTTTATGATAGCCGTTCGCGATCCAATGGTAAGTCAAACAACTGCAGTAGAATTAGTTGGTAAAAAAATATCCCTATCGTCTAATTATAAGCCAGGTCTTAATTTTATGTGCCTATCTGTATGTGTACTCTCGTATTATTTCGCTTTCAGTGGAACGTCATGAAATCTCACTCGAGGAGATCCATGCTAGAAAAGGGTTGTCTACCAACTACATGTATGTAGCTAGGCGCGATTAACATTTAGCCCGGGCGTTTATATCCGCCTAGCAATGAACAACAACCACCTGGAAGCGATAACGCGGATATTGGTAGATCACGAATTGATTAGCCTTCGGTGCATGTACACCTCTAGCTCTATGAACTTTTAGCCACTTCTGAAGACATATATATTATATCGCGATCGGCGTATACAGCTAGAGAGCAAAGGGCTGAGCTAGGTCTAGAGTATCGGTTTATGAATCGGTTGCTACATGTGATGGAATATAGTTGTAATCGGACTGACTTTGTTTGCTGGGTCCGGAGAAATTCAAGTCAGATATTGATATCGCCAATTGCTAGGCCATGAGAACTAGGGGAATGTAGTAATGTATATGGTGCTTTGGGTTGTTTACCATGGTCAGCCACCACTGTATCCCGAACTTGATAATTTTTCACTAACATACATGTATCAATACCTAAATAATCTTAACTATTCGGTCGTGAAGATCCGATACTGGAATTTTATAAAAACACTTATTGGTCATTTCTAAACTTGGCGGTATTCTGGGGTTACACCTCTTCCATGAGGCAATTCTCTACTCTATACCAAGAGTATATGTAGTTTTATGTAATTGAACTGAATCCCATCACCTCACTACATCTCTTGGAGTAATGGAAGAAACACCCAAGCGTACTATTCAATCGAGTCGCAATCCCTAAGTTATAACTCCTCCTTCGACTGGATATCGATACTGGTGCGGTGTGTGACCTTTGACCTCATTAACTGGACAACGGTTAATTTGACAGATCCAGAACTCGCACGCGGCTAGAAACAACTGTTCTATGTACAGCACTGTAGGTACATGCAGCACTAGATTTTTTAAGACATAATTTGGTTAGTATCGATTAGGTATTAGAAAACACTACTGTGCAATTCAAATCCGCATAAACATATGTATTCATGAGAGATTGACTCATTGATCAGAGATCTAGAAAGGACCCTGCAAATATTGCAGGGTCAACACCAGGTAGCCTAGGTTTAACCCACAATGCAGCATAAGAAATAACCCCGCCGTGGAATCTTATCAGTGGTAAAGCGTGGGCCCATATTACATGTATCTAGATTGTCACACCTGGTAAGTGTGTAGGTACTGAAGTTACAGGGGGGATTCACAGCGTCATACATGTATTGTTGAGTGTCACACCTGCGCCATCTTAATTATGCATAAGCATGTTTCTTCGGCATAGATACATAAAACGAATGAATCACAACTTGTGTTTATGATCAGCAGAGAAATCCTCAAAAAAATCTCAAGGCGTAACTACATGTATGTATTATGACTCGCAGAAAACGTCGAGTGATTTCTCGTGAGCGATGCAACGGTTGCGGCTCAGCATTCATCGTCGGCGCGCATCCGAGCCTAATTTCACACCTTGAAGGAAAACGCCGCACCACCGTTAGAGCAACCCTCGACAGGAGACCCCCCACCTCCACGATGTCCATGCCCGAATTCCCCGAAATTGCTACCCCAGGGCAACCGCTAGCACCGGTAGCATCCTACACCCTAGGCACCGGCGTCCACATATTCAATGACCGGATTTGCGCGTCAGTTGTTGGACAACCTTCGCTCTCTGCTCCCACAACAAAGAGTGAGTCAAAGCAGATACTTTCGGTCCTACGGCCGAGCCAGTCTGGGAGTAGCGGGAAGCAAGGGGATGTAGCTTTGACGAACCTGCTGCCACAGGTGGGGAATAATGTACTAGCAAGAGTTACCAGAATCAATCCAAGACAGGCGACAGTGGGTATCTTCGTGGTGGGAGATACGGTTTGCAACGATGAGTTCCAGGGAATCATCAGGTCTAGAAACTCTAGAATAAGAAGAGGTTAGGTCCGTAGCTAATCGCTTTTGGGGTGGGCAGACAGCAAGATGTTAGGGCGACGGAGAAGGACAAGGTCAAGATATTTTCAAGCTTTAGGCCCGGAGATATCGTGAGGGCTCAAGTTGTACGTATTCCCTAACAAAATTTCTCAAAAACATACACTGATTGTATCTCTTAGATATCTCTCGGTGACCAGTCAAACTACTACCTCTCGACAGCCAGCAACAGTCTAGGGGTCGTAGTCGCTCACTCTGGTCGAGTCCCTCTACATCTGGATGTCTTAGCAACTTTTTGTTGTTTACTAACTGCGTTATAGACTCTGGCGACCCATTACATCCTCTAAATTGGCGTCAGATGGCGTCATCACGGACAGGTGCGGTGGAAGAGAGAAAAGTGGCCAAGCCAATATAAGGAAAAGAAGAAGAAAAAAGTATTGAATATTTGGACTTTTGGGCTGTAAGATATTTTTATGTTGTAGGAAACGAACAAAACTGGATCCACGGAAAGACATCCGGTTAGTGGCATGATAATAGTCTCCATAGCTAGGAGAATCGGAATATCTCCCGCCATGGGTGTGACCAATGCTAAGGGCTTTGATTGAAGCGAAAAATGAATAACATCACAACCAATCCTTTTTTCTTTTTTTTTCTTTTTTTTTTTTTTGGGGGGGGGGATGCCGCTCGATATCGTAAGATATAATAACCACATTATAGTGGAGGAATTCAATAGCCCCCAAGAATATGGATAAAGGCTACATGTAATTACGTGGCCCCGGGCCCAAATCTCACTTCCAAACCCAAAATATCGGAGGTTGTAAGTTCGGAGAACAATCCAACACCTAAGGGCAAGCCACGGAGAAAACTATCTAACAGTGGGAGAGGGCCAGTAAGGACTAATCTCCAGCAGTCCCCATGCACCGCCGTAGTTCGCAATAACTACATGTACTCATAGATTTCCGAGAATCTTCTACTTTCTAAACCGAAGGCCTCGCGATCAAGTTATATGCCGATATCAACCGCTCAATAGGTATTGAAATGATCTGCTCGAACACCACGCATGATATGAAAATCGGACTACCTCTTTGGTAAACTGGAATTGGTTCACCACTTATCACTCTGTCATCATGAATAAGCTGGTTTTATACTATTACTAGTGAGGAGCGGCCGGAGGCCGCATATGAAATTAACCATCAGTTCGAGGAACTGCTGATAACTAAAGGAATGTGTATGAATAAAGATCCGGCCCTGTTCAATGGCTCGGATATGCGTGGGGTTCGGTGTAATGGTGGAAATAAACATCAATATGTAATTCACGCACGCATTCGGTGCCACCTGCCGCTGCGCAGCAGGCTGGGCCGGTCCTTGCTCGCGTTCAACCCCCCTCCGGACGTAGAAAAGACGTAGGAACCGAGGCCTAGGCAGTGTTGTGAACTTTTTGTTTGTTTTGTAAATTATTGATGTCGAGCGGGGTTTTTTTATTTTTATTATAATATTCGAGGTATGACCGGCCGCGGGTATTTCAAAATAGGACCGGAACCACCCCCCATATAATGTAGTAATTTTGCAGCTAGCACTACATCTTCCAGAAGTGCCTTTGTTCACAATTGTCGGCCATAGTCACAAACCCATACGAACAATCCAGTATGTTCTCACCAAGCCCAATTAACTATTGTTCCTACTCAGCATTGTTCCTACCCAGCTAGCCAAACCAATCAGCAACCCGCATTTGCGAAATTTTACTCGTCCTAACATTTTATATTATAGGAGATGATGGTAGTGCTAGGGTTTGCCATTTAAAGAAGAGTTGAAAACATGCATGTCGTCTCCCTTAAAGCACCCCATTCTTTGTCTATTGACAGCTGTAACCCGCCAGACCACAGAAACCGGAGGCATCTAACCATCCAATTAAAACCTTTCGTGATGACAGAGATACCTGACTATTCTATTTATATTTACTCGGTAATGTAGTCAACACGCCTCTCACCATAAGGGTATTTTGCGGCGATTAAGAATTAACTATATATAGTTACATATATTGATAGCTGTTCGAATCTACTAAATTAATTATTGGTATTTCAATCTTCTGGCACATGAGTCCTTGCTTGGTGGAGGACAGGAAAGTGTATTGTATTCAGACAAGCGGTCGATCCACAATGTTCCGGAGCTATCTACAAGTAACCGTGGAGTAGTATTTATCATGTCGGCGCAATCCTAAAACGCACCCAAGTTTATTGTCCACACATATTACAGATTAAGCACTATATGTAGTACTAGTATGTCCAAAAATGAAAATAAATTTGATACCTTACCTTCTAAACGTGCTTAAGAGGATAGGAAACATGTAAAATTGTAGCCCATTGAATGAATACCTTGTATATGTATATGTGAATGCCCTCCCAAATAGAAACAGAAACAGAGAAAGAAGAGATAAAAACAAGCCAATAAAAAACATTCCTAGTACAATAAAGCTGAAAAGACTTTAGAGCCCCCCAAAAGTGAAAGAAAAAAAGAAGAAAAAAACATACCGCCATATTTGTCGCCACGAAAATAAGAGAGCGGGCAAGTGCTAAGAATTTATATAAAAAAAAAGAAGGAAAAAAGAAAGACAACCTAGGCATAACAAAAACCCATCTTTTGTTCGTAAGTCCCGTTTTTTTTTTTTTTTTTTTTTTTTTTTTTTCATGAACACATGCCAAAATCCTTTGTGCAAGACCCACCTCTACACCACCGCCATATACAATAAGCCGAAAATAAGAAGCAAACACTGAACTATGCCTTCCTCTTCCCCGAATCAATCGGGTTCTGTCTCACTGACCACTCTAGAACTGTCTCGTAACAGAGTACAAACTGCCTCAAACTTTGTACCATCGACAATCTTTGATCCCTAAAATCCGCAACAGCCTTAGAGATCAGGTCCTCGTCGTCCTTCAATAACCAATCTCCATTTTTCTCCTCAGAATCGCTGAGACCCAATCTTCCCATCCTTCCGTGACCTTCCCCATCAGAACACGAATCCCCCCCATCACGTAATAGTCGCTTTTGTTTTAGGCGTTGGCTCTGTAACATACTTATAACCGAATCTATTGTGCAGAAGGCACCTGTCCGCCCACAACCGGCACTACAATGTACAAGGACAGGTCTCCGTGACGGTGAAGAAGATGAATCGGTGGTTCCGCTGGATCTGACTACGGCATCGGTATGTTCAATTAGCCCTAGAATGTGAGCCGGGTGTGCTGGGGCTCCGAAATCCGGCCAAGAAGAATACTGGAGTTGAGTTATCTCACGCATCGGCGAGAATGGATGTGACATGTGCTCGAGCGTGAACTTTCTTACGATGACGAAAGGAATATTCGAATCAAGAGGCGGAGGTCCGTTTGCGTGGCTCTCAGTTGAGCGTCTTTTCGGACTAGCCTTCAAATATGAAGGGTCAAGCGAAACACGGACTTCCGATAACGATGCCAGTTTCAAAGGCCCATATTTTTTGGATTCCCAATATTTATGGCTCTTAACTTGTCCCCCTTCCTCCTCGGCAGTCAACATGACAATAACTCGAACATCCTGCTCCCAGACCATGCTCCAGAAGTCCTATATCCTATTAGAATGGCACAAAAAGTAAATTAATTAGAGTCTTTGAACGTACCCTGAAAGTAGTAGGTAAGGGAGCTTGAGATGCAATATAACGCTTCGAGCTGTTTTTTGCTGAAACATGGCTAGCGTTCACATAATCACATTCCTGATCGGGGTAATCCTGCAACTTTACTCGGGCATGATCGTACGGCCAGATGTTGTTATACCGATTCTTGTTTCCCTTCTCCACACCAGCAAGAACATGTGGCTTTACAGTCGTTGATAGGGGGGAATCATATACTACTGAAACGTTGAGGGCATCCTGCATTCGTCGTTGCTCTGCTTTTTCCAAGCTCAAAAATTTATCCGCTATGATCTTTGAAGCATTTTTATCCAAGGCAATATTCCTCAACCACGATGGCAGGGCGTTGGTTGTATCTTTCCCCATATTCTGCGGCAGTGTTATTGGGATTTCGCCAACACCGCCAATCAGGTCCATATTTTGCCGGATGTTTGAGAAAAACGGGTTCGCGACAGTTTTTTGAGATGTCGGCATAGGACAATATAATGGTCCAACACCCTTCTGGGCGCCAGGAAACTTGCCGGTCAACGATAGACTCTTTGGTGAAGTTGCGCCTACAAGTTGTGATTTGTCGATTTTTTCGGGGTGCTTCATAGAGAATTCGTTGAATCCACCTAGAGAAGTTAGATGTTTATACTTCCTGTTTCGACCGTCCACAAACCTTTCAGAATATAAGCTTGGCCCTTCCAACCCTCCCTTACAAATTTACTTAGCGTATGTAAAGGTGCAGATGCAGCAGCATCCTTATCATTCTGGGATTCACTGTCGTATACAACAATGTATTTCATATCCTTCCATCTAGCAAATCTTTCTTTATCCTCTTCTTTTGCAAAGGTCTCTGATAACTTAGTGACGTTGAAAGATGGTCGTTTCAACAATGTCGTAGGAATGCAGAGATTCACAGCCTTTGTGATTCGTGATTGCGCAAAAACCTTATATGTTCGAACGTCCAGCAATAACAAGCTCGAAGTTTTCCCCTCTAGTAAATCTGAAAGTGTTGAGGCTGACACAAATACAGGCTGTCCCTCTTTGGAAGGGTTTGGTAATGTTGCTGACCGTCCGTGACTCTTCTTCCGCTGCAAGGCAATGTTGGGGAGTGTCAATGTTAGGTTGGGGGGTTGGGGGCTTGAAGGCGCCGATAAACGGGAAAGATTACTATCATTTGGCCGTGTAAAGGCACTCAAACCTCTCTCAAATGAAACTGGAGATGCCACATAGGTTCCATTAAAGATGCTTGGTCTTGTTGATGAGTTGGCATTATGACCCATTGCGCCTAAAGAACTTAATGGGTCGTTGTTGACACTGTTAACATCGGGAGTAGGGGGGACATTAAGAGGGTTGACATAAGACCCAGGTGCTAGAGGTGAAAAACTACTCCTATCGTCGAAATGTTCACTAGAGGCATAGTCGGCATCGTTGACATGTGGCATACTGTTTGTCCGATTGAGTTGGAGGCTCATAGCTATCGCCTCTGACTGCTTTTGGAATAACGTGGAGACATTGTCAAGATGGACTGGACGAGGTGATCGCGCTGCTGTCGACCTAACTGATGAGCCAGAGGAAGACCAATTATTCTTTGCATTGGGTTGGTTGTCGGCGGAGTCTATCACCAGTCCGAAATATCCACCACCTCCACCTGAACTTGGAGAGTTGTGGTTCTGTACCTTGGTAAGTTTTTGTCCGGTACCTGAAGGGGGTGCGGGGAGGTGTACTGATGCTGGAACTGGTACTGTCGCGGGATGCGATGTTGGTTGTACAGGAGCAGGCACAGGGTGCTGTGGACGAATGTGGGATTGGGCGCTATTGGTATTATTGATGGAAAACTCGAGTGACGAACGTGGTGACGGCCGAGAGGTGGTGACAGACATTTGCGGAATGTTTGGTTGCCCAATATCCGTTTCAATCTTTTTGTGATCCAGTTGGACGAATTTACTTTTAAATTATGGGAAGGATTGAATGTAATTGCAGAGAGATACTTGCAAAAGATATTTGCAAGAGAGAGGAGGGGGGGGGGGGGGGGGAGTTGCCTTCCTTTTAGGGAGGATGCCGGGGGAGAGGGAGATATGACGACAGATGGCGGCGAAGGCGGGCAGGGCAGGGCAGGATGACGGCGGAAGGCAGGACGTGCGTTAGGTAGTGTCAGAGAACCCTTAAGTTGTGCCTAATGCTCATGATCACGGGATATCACAGGGAATTTGGAATGAGAAGGGGAAGGGGAAAAAAAACTCCTTCGAGGCTGGGAAGATCGCGGGAAAGTGGCGTTTGGGATCCGGTTTTTCTGACCGGCTACCAGAAAATTGATTATGCGGCGCAAAAATCTCAGGAACAATTGTTTCCCTTACTTTCAAATTTCCTTTTCCCGATCTCGTTCGTATGATACCCCTTCGAGCTTCCTCTTCCTTTCACGTCGATGGATTGCCAGATAATCGTGATATTGATGGATTTGGTTTGCCTTAATAATCCCCCGAAACGTCACCAATACACTATTTTTTACCAACTATCCCTATGGAAAGAATCAATTGCGTGACGTCGTCGTCGCCCAATTCCTTCCCGTCCTCCTTATTGTTATTTCCTTCTCTTTATTCTTTCTCGGCAGAAGGTATGCACCGGTTGGATTGTGAATGACAGCAGAGGAACAATGGCGATGGCGGGAAGTCAAGGATAGGTAAACGGAGGCTTTCTTATAAGATACCTAGATCTAGGTACAGGCGACGGATAAGGCCCACGTAGTGTATATGAGGGGTGAATAAGGAGGGGGAGGGGAAGGGAGGGGTGAAGTGAGGCGGCCGAGAAAAGGGTCCTATTTCAACTATTTCAACAACAGGCGGGCAGAAAGGGGATTTTGTCTAAGCTAGGTTGATCAACCACCACTGGCACCCTCAGTGAAGAGGGGATCAAGTATAAGGCAAGTCAAGCAGGGCCTAGATCGTTTCCCTTTTGTTCCTTTATCCCTGGCCCTGTCCTGTACGAGTATCTTGGTGGAGTTTTTTTTTTTTTTTTTTACCATTATTTATTCTTGTGGTGGTGTGGAGCGGGGGATTACCGCCGTGGAGGAGGCGGAGGAGAAGTGGATGGATGCAGGGAGCCAAGCTAGCCAAGCTGCTTCTCAACCACCACTCTCCCAGTAAATTGCCACTTCCTTAAACTGGGTAGGAGGAATAGGTACCCGCGTACAGCATAAAGAACCAGAAAATGCAAGTAACGGAAACAGGGATTATTTGTATGGAGTGGCGTCGTTCTCTCATACAAATAATCCCTGTTTCCGTTACTTGCATTTTCTGGTTCTTTTGAGGGTAAGCTGTACAAAGTATTCACACTTGCATGTCGAGACATTGCACATCTGTACTTTTCCCGTCCTCTGTCCGTTGATATCCCCCCCCCCTTCCTATTCCTCCTTGCAAACATGTACTCGCGACCAGCAACAAGAACCCGAATATGCAGCTGCAAGTCTTTGGTGTATTTTTGACTTCTACTCCAATGGAAATTGCAGATAAGGACGTGCATTTTCAGGTTCTTGTTGCTGGTCGCGAGTATGTAAAAAGCTAGAGCATAAGCAGGTAGAGTAGAGTAGAGAGCAGACATTGCCTTACTCCAGGAACGTGCATACTCGTACTATTTAGGAGGTGACGCCTGTGCTCAAGTTGCAATTGCTTATATGCTGTATATGTTGCACATATCTGCCAAGAGCAGTACTCGAGAAGATCCAGATATTTCTAGTCTCCAAAGCAACAGCCCTTAGATCTCGACCCTACTTGCCGTTCTTCCTGTTCCGTTTCCACCCCTTCTCTACAAATCCCACTGCTTCAGAGCGCTCTAGAGTAAGTACTCACTTTACAGTCTACCTCGAGCTCTCTTATAGCCCTATATCTGATCCTACCTATGATATCTCTAGAGTACTTACATACATCCGTCCAACCATACGGCTCTCCTGTCGTTCTTGGCAAACGCGCCGCAAGCCATGCCTGAAAAAAATGTCCGCTGTGCCCATGTCGCGTGGCTGTTGCTGGTCGGTGAGAGCTAAAACAGTCCACCGATGACGCTATTCGGGTCTCAGTCGCTCAGTCGGATCAAAGTTATCGTAAAAGTAAGACCTGTGAACCCCCTGAACCCCAGGTTCATCGTCATCGTGTTACAAGTCAATCTTAAACGCAAATAGGTACAATGCCTGGAACCAGGAAACGGCCAGAACACCTGCCTAGGTGTGGTCTGTCGATACCCTATTCTTGGGAAGAAAGCAGCCTGCACAATATTTCATTAACTCCCCCTTTTGGTATCGAGATAGAAACATGACTCCCCGGCAGACGTGTCTCGAAATAAGGCGACCAAGAAGAGAGAACAAGTCTTTCCCCTTTTTAGGCCTGGGCCATTTCTTGCAAGGTTTCCTAGAAACCCTCCCAAAGTCCAGGCCAACGGGGTCGTCACCGCGACCACGCATTTACGGCAAAAAGAAAAAAGCTCTGCTTGGCTTGGCCTAACCGAAGATCCAAGCCAGCAAGCAGAAAGGGTTCCAAAAAACCCAATGGTTGAACATCCGCCAAGACACATGCCATGCCAGTTCAACAACTACCAGACATAGGTAGCGATCATAATTTTGTTGATCTCCCAGACTAAGCAATGGGCATCATGGCATTGTCAGATTCTCGACGAAAAGCATAGTGCAAAACCAGCGCTGCGTCGATAGATAGGCACGTTCCTTATGATCATCGTTTCTGGAAACCTTGCATGCTGACATATCATTCAAGGGATTAAAAAAAAGCAAACAAGTTTCTTAATTCTGCTATCGTCATTCACCAGAACAGCACCATGCCAAATACAGTTGCATAGTAAGCCAAAGCACCTTGATCCTGATATTGGTAGATACAAAATTCTGATGGTTCGTAATTACAAAAACTGCTTTACAGGAAGCGAGATATAAGGAGCAAAAAAAAATCTTAGCCTACTACTAGCGATAATATAAAGTCTGTCCGCTTTGGTACATGTGTGGACAAGAAAGTTTGGTGTCCTACCTACGTACCAAAGGGACAGACTTTATATTCCCGGTAGTATATACCAGAATATCTACTACGTACCGGAATATGTAGAGTCCTGTAACTCGAGTACAATAAACATACATATATTGCCAGGCGAATACCAACACCATATACAACTGCAATTATGGAATCTGAAACTGTCTGCCGCGACGCCAAACAATCATGATTGGACCCTAGCTCCACAGATCTCCCCGCCTTGCCCGCACCTGGCTTCCGGTTGCCAGGGTCAAGTCACGAATGCGGCTCTCAACGGCGAAAATTCCGCATTCAATTAGTTTTCCACCAGGCAATCAAGGCCTTGAAAGCTAGCAAAAGAGCGAGATACCCCGCTACGTTTGTATACTACACACCCCCCCCCCCCACTTCATATAAGTCATGGAAAGCAAAAAAAAAATACTACTTTAAACCAAGAAACGGGGGTTTTGTCAATGATAAATAAGACACATAAAAATCAAATATCAATTTGGACTGCGATCTATAGATGGCTTTAGCTGAATAGGGAATCGGAGTACTTGTTTGGATAGAAAGTCCCTGCATCAATGACCTAAAAACAAAATCTCAAAAGCGAAAGAAAAAAAAGTGAATACAGTAGCATGTTTAACTCCCGACCAACACTTATAATTACCTATCATAACCTCTCCTCTCTACTACGGCTTTGATAGGTAATTTAAAGTCTGCCAGTGGGTACTTCCGTGGGAATGGTACTACCGTAGCTATATACACTGAATCTCGGCCAATTAAAAGTATACACGGAATCATGAAATCATGAATTGTCACTCGGCATAGCTGAGATGAAGAAAAATTATTTGGTACAGTCTGCATAAATCAAATGATGTCGAAAGATCTTTTAGAATTAAATATTTGAACACCAAAGGTTTCCGGTATCACATGCACCTTGAAACTGGAGACCATGAAAGCTCTAGGATTCTACTCTTCGTTTTGCGGCGTTATCACTAGCGGATACCCCGCTCGCTATTTCAACGTGCAGCGCATGATAATGGGGGTTATTTTCAGTATTTCCACTGGTTCAGTCCTCCTCCCGCGCACTAAATATAAGCAGAGGAAAGCTTGTTCTTTCTATAAAAAGAATATGTCCGACCATTAGCACCCAGAGTAGAATTGTGCTCACTTACGAATACCCGCCAATATAACATAGTTTGGTTTGCATATCACCAAAATCAGTTCTCATGCAAGATTTGGCCTGTATGCGGACCCAGCTGTGTTCGGGAACGTTATGAGTAATGAGTATATGCTTCCTGCAGCTCTAGGCGATACAGAGCATCAAGGGCATCATCATTTATCCAGGCATCAAAAGTCTGGCAGTCATAAGAGACGTGCAACCCTCCTTCGCAATGGCTAGAGCGTTCTGCAAACACATGGACTTGAAAATGTGGAATTTCCTCACAAACAACCTACAAGGCTAATGATTTTGTAACAGAGACCATCGCAAGATTATTTGAGGCCGCGTTCAGAGGATACGTATTCAGAGGACCACATTCTAGCTACATATGGCGCGAGAAGGCCTAGAGGGCGGGTGTGTCAACTTCGTTTGTATGGGAATCTGAGAAAATGCCAAGGTTAGCCTAGGCGCTAGTACCATTATGGCCAATTTCTATAAGTTTGATTGGCCGATTCTTTAAAAAAAACGCCGAAGTTTACACACCTACCCCCCATAGCTTCTCGAGCCATATGTCTTTGGTACAAATATATGCAGGCACCGAGATATTGTATATTACAGGGCATGTCCATGATAAAATGGAGGGGAAGGTATCCTGGTATTGAGCACAAAAGTCTTGCGCGTGACAATTCGAAGATCAGGGTCTGAACAGGCTCGCTAGCCAGGTGAAATGCGGCACGGGGGTTCTAATACATATGCGGGGAAGTGAAGCTTGGGTGAAGGGAAGGAAGGGGCTTGCAAAGGAAGGGAAGGGCTTGGGAAGGGGGAAGGAAGGGGAGGGAAGGAGGGCTGAACATACCAAGTGTCGACCGCGACTCCCGCGCGGTGACGCGATATGAAACTACTCGAGTCCATGTAGAGTACCCTAGCTGACTGCGGTGTGGGAAGAAAAGAAAAAGAAGTTTTTTATCTTTTTTTTTTTTTTGTTTCTAGGGCAGCAGCTAGCGGGCCCAAATGATATTTATCTGCAAGCCCGTCGGAATATTCATCCGGAGGGGATTTTATTTCGATTTTCTGCATGATGGTGTTATTTTTTTCCTGGCCGTTCAAATCGGCTGTTAGGTACTGCTTAGTTACGGGTTTCTTTCGTTCCCGCCCCGCCTTTCTCTCGCTCTCTCCTCTGCGGACCGTGCCGGATAGAAGTGGATAGCTGTGTCCCGCGTGCGGGGGTTACGGGTACCAACCGGTGTCTGATATTGGTGGTCTGGACAACTGGCATTACATGACGACAGCAACTAATAATAATACAGCGACGCAAAAGAAATTAAAGAACCGCCCTCCCCTACCTAGGCCTCCGCTCAATCAATGCTTTATCATGCCGAAAACCAGCTTCTCTCTCCGCCTATCGTTTTTTTGATTTACATTGCGATTATTAAAAGCTGGAAACACCCCCTCCGACAATATTTGATCATAGTCATGGCGAAAACCAGTGCAGTGCGCGCCCCACCGCCCATGTTTGATGAAATTGCAATTATCAAAGGGCCAAAAACAACGAGAAAAGGCAATATGTGAATGCGCACATACAATTCAATATGTCTACTACATATTAAGGGCAAATAAGGGCAGCCAGATAAGTAAGTACGTACATGTAGGTGTATAGTTTGCATCGAGGCTACGCTACCCAAGGACCACTATATACACGTGGAGATTGTTTGCATAGCTACAGCAACTACAGCTAGAGACAGACGTATAGATTGTCCTACCAGCCTACCATGGTAACAGCCATGAGCCAGTCGACAGCGCCTGTCGTTGCACTGCCTAAGAAACAAAAAACAAAAAGCCCCAAACGAAACGTGTATCCAGAGAATTAAACGGCCACCGTTCTTTTTCAAACAACAGCGAACGACAACGGCAAAAGATTTGCGAACAGCACTTCACTCAGTTCCGATCTTTCTTATCGGCATCGGCGCGTCCTCTGTACAGCAGAAGGACGCCTTGATGCGCACCTGAGATGCAATAACTGGCAGCTCTAATCAGTGTTGGCATACTATAAAACTAAGAGTAGAATAAAATAGGAGGAATCCCTTTGTTGATTCTAAAGCCATTCATTACTAGCTGTGGAGTTGGGGTCAAAGACAAAGAAAGAACGCTTCATATAAAAACGCCCCTCAAATATATTTTCTAAAACCCACAGAACAAAATATGTCTTCCTCTGCCTCCTCCGCATCCCTCCAGCTGATGCTTCTGAACATCCTCGTCCTCTCCTACATTTCTACCTACTGTGCCGACTCGATACTGGCCAGGATAGTCAATGGGTGGATCCTCCTCTCTAGCATTTTGGCCTTCCTGGTGTCGTATCCGTCGTATTTTTCCCCAAGCACTTGCTTTAGGGGTCTTACTACTGGATTATGAAGAGTGTTAGTAGGTGTGTAGGGATATATTTGATATGATATAGACGCTGTGGCTAATAAGGGGAGAAGACAGCACCCTGGATTGTAAATATGGTAAAGACGACACATTTATAAATGAGGAACACCACCTTTTCGGTTGGAGCTTCTCAGATAGCGCCCAAGATGAGACTCTTGATGATACAAAACGGGTTTGGTTTTGCTCAGAGCCGAGTCTAAAATCCGAGTGACTGCCCGTGAGTCTGGCTGGCTGGCTGGCTAGAATCCTGGATTGCCGGTTTGGGGTTATAATTGTAGATAGATAGATAGATAAGAGTGTTATGGGTATTCTTTTTTTTATCTTTTTTGGCGGAATCCCGCATGCTGTACAATACGATGTAATAATATCACGAGCGTGCTATTATGCTATCTTCGATGTGATCGTAAGAAAATAGTAGAATAATATTGTTCGGGTCATATCTAGTCATGTGCCATCTTCTCAGATCTTGTCTCCAATTGGCGGGTAAGGTAATCTATCAAGACTTTGGTTGGTAGAACCGGCTAATTGTATGTACGTGTACTTACATACATGTAGATATATATCGATGTATTTATTGATAAATGCAGCAGATAAGAGCGTTATGTTTCCCCTCTTTCTCTTAGTAGAATTCTTTATGCTATACATATCCTAAGGTCTGATAATCATACCTAGTAGGGCGAGATATATTTCGTTATCTTGGCTGTAGAGAAATGGCACAGTAATCAAAATATGGACATCCAGAATATGGCATATGTAAATACCATGCCATAGCCAGATCGCGTAGGGGTACTGCACTCCGCCATATGCTGCACCGCGGCGCAGATCTTTGACCGTTTGGCTGTGAGTGGCAAATATAAAGGTAGGAAATCGATCAAGAAGCAAGTGCTTGTAGCTGGCTGGGTAATTGAACCCGCCGGTTCGGAATTGTAGATATCATGAAGATTTCTCTTGATTTCCTTGGTCCGCTTGCTTCCCTGCAAGCTGCTCGCCGCGCGAATCCTACTCGCGCTGTACATGTAGATACCCTGATCGCGGAGAAGTAAATAGTATGTGGAAAGTAGGTATCAGGATTATGTGCGTACGTTGGCTGGTAGCATCTCGATGAATGGTGGGTGAACCTGCAACACGCTCGATACTCGGGTCAACGCCCATGGGGGGATTGATCGGACTTAAGGGAACGCACGCAGGCTAGGGTCGATTAAATCGAGGATCTACACGGCGGCATATGCACGTAAATAGCTGGTAGTTGTTGTTTAAGGAATACGGGAACGTACCTCAATTTCAGTATGATTGAGCACAAGAACAATAGTAATAGTAATCAATGGCTTGGATAGAGGTGATTGATAAATATTTATTTCTGAAGAAAGCGTAATAACCACGTAAGGAGGCGCGGGGCGTCGAAAGCGTTGGCTGATAAGGCGGTCAAAAACCACAGGTTAGCATCAAATATTTTTGGTCAGGGATCTTACAATCTATGTTACACCCCCCTCTATAGAGTACCAGGAATCAGGAGAGAAGTCTAGAAGTTAACTAGAAGGATCGGTGATCGGAGTTTTATATAATTTTTATTTATTATACGGATTCCATCTGGCTAAGCCTACAGGTATCATCCCATCTTGACCCGTAGTTATATTAAAAGAATTTTCGGGAGTGGCCTTTCCTCCGGCCTGTCCGAGTGATAGGTCATCTGGCTGCAATCACAATCAATCATACTCGGTTTAAGTCTCAGCCCAGAGGAGAGTGGAGTACGAGAACCAGCGGGAGAATCATTTATTCGGTTAAATTTCCCCAAACTAAACCCTGAGCCTAGAGTGCATATGTGCCTTTGGTTAAATTCGACCCAGCGGTCTGGAATCACTAGGATGGGTGGGTACTGGACGGGTTTCGGTAGATCTGACATAGCAGAGATTTCGAGGTCCCGGGCTCGGCATTTGAAGATGTATATGCATCATGCTTACTCTGAGTGCTTTTCAACGATTAGGAGGTTGATATGTAGCTGGTCCGTATGTCAACTACACAGTTTGTGTCGACGCAAACACATGAATAAAACCGTTTAGTAGGGTGGTAACGCCGTTGTCGAAAAGAGGCGGCGAAAACGATGGTTACATGTAACTGCATGTACGTAGTTGGGGGGAAATAGAGTTTGAAGAGCGGCTTTGGATTGGGGATCATTGCTGTCGACTCCCATCATCAACGTCTAGCTTGAATTCCGACCCACCCCCTCTGGTTCCCCAAAGCTGTTCTCTCTGCATGGTTAAGCTCTTCTTCGTCGGTGCGCTCCCAACCCCAATTAGTGAGGGGGGCCTTTGCAAATATGCTGCTAGTAATAGAAACACTCAATCTCAGTCACCAAGTCGGTCCGTGGCCTTTGGATTCACGAAATGGTTTCAAGGTTAGCAAAATCGAGACGTGCCCAATGGGACCGGATGTTTATTCCAGTGATATTCTGAGGATTAGAACTCTAGGCCCTTGCAAAAAGGTAAAACATCAATGCCACCTCATATTACATCGCCAGTGACGTCGATGCAGGGCCGGCAGAAGAAAATTAGGACCCTTAACTAGATGTAATCCTTATTTCAGAAAGAACCCTGCTGGGGAAAGAAAAAGGGTGAGTTTGAGAATGGTTAGCTCCCCCTATTTCCAGTTGGATAAAACGATCTCCGCTATAATTACGAGGGATATATCATAGGGGCTAATGCAGTGGTAGCCGTGTATCCCTGCCGGGGACGTCGTGTCCAGGTTGAAGGCGAAAACCGACCAAGTCTCATATGGCGAATTTTCTTCTCTTGTACTGCTGCATCTCTCTCAATTACGAACAAGCTGGGGAATCCTTGTTACGCGGATGAAACGTTTAAGGCGAGATAAAAGAAGGAAAGAAGGAAGAATTAACTGGAATGTGTTGAGCTAACCATGGTAGGAGTTGGTATCGGATAAAACATCGATTTGTTTGGCCAATTGGTCGGGTCGAGTGACATTTTATGAAAGAAAAAACGGTTACCGACCACGCGAAATTGACGGCGGGAGGAGAAGTGTGATCGTTTATATGCAAGCAGCCGGCTCATCGGATGAACGCAAGGCAACCAACAAGATGGAGCATCTACATGTAGTAAACCCGGGATAGGGATAAGTAGCGGTACCTATACGTGGTGGACCCTTACGTCTATCTTGGGGTACTCTACATATGCAGTATCAAGGTTAAGATTGCATCCAGAGATGCTAGTGTGATTAGTAGCACGTACCATATATTGGTCAAGATGAGAAATATTGGTCGGTCAGGTTGGTGGCCAGTAGTTCATGATCATTGTACCTCTTGGGAATTGTTGGATGTACATGACGAGAATATAGAATAAAACAGATTCTTGACGTTAGGATGTCATAACGGCAGTGTACTGAGCGATCCGGCATATTGAATTCGCATATAGGTGTGTGTTATATCACAACAACGATACATATATTATCACACTCTACAATCATCAACCACCTACAGCACTGATGCTGCCACACTTGCGAAGCAGCCAAACGATGAATGGCTAGATTCAGGGCCGGCGGATCGGCGAATATTCCGCGAGCGTGGAAAACGTGGTTTGAGCCGCATTTTTCTTTTTTGGGAGAGGCTGCTAGTATTTCTTCTACCTAGGAAGCTAGTGCGAGCGGTGGGAGATGTAGGGCATCAGACCACCTTCCTCCTCTGCGTGCAACAACAGAGTATCCATCCCTCACTCAAAAGCCCCTGGGGCTTGCATGTTTGGGCGCTCCGAGGACATTGCCACTGCTTCCCGGGTTGGGGGACTCGGAGTAACACATGTGTGTGTGTGTATGGGAAAGAGAAGAGGGCGGGAGTACATACAGTACCTACATGATGCCATACGGGGGGTGTCTGGGAGGCAATAAGCGGTGGGAGTGAATTTTCACCCTCTTTTCTAGAGTGCTCAAAGAATTAGGCGATGTCATGTTCGGGAACCCTAGCTCTGACCACTTTGTTTGTGCTTTCGCTCTCCCCCACAGGTTGAGTGTGGCTGCCCTTCAATTGAATGTGGTAACAGCTGCCGTTACTCTGCTAAGGTTTTCGGAATTGCTTCCAGTTTGAGTCCGCGGGGATTATATCCGTTCTGCTGTGTTTCTGGACAAGTGCCTGGGCTCTCAGGAAAGAAAAAAAAAAAGACGAACACCCCTGGTTGCTACCGATTGGCCAATCTCCCCTATGGGCATGGCTTCTTCATCTTGAGCATATATCGCACCGGCTTTCTGGACCTGCCATGATCCGTACCCGGGTTGGGAAATTTTTTTTTGTGCTTTTATATATATAGGACCATATGGCACCACTTTTTTCTTCCTGGCTTATCCGTCTGTGATTGTTGCTGCTGCCTTTTCGTTTCGTTCCAGCTTGATCCTTTGTTTGATCTTGGATCTGCGCCGCTTTCGTCCCCCCCGCCTAAAGCTGGCCTGCAAGAGCTACGGCCATCTAATTGATATTATTCGATACCCCACGCACGTTACTTACCGTAATCATAATATCAGCTGCGATGTCTGCTACGTCTGTTGATGTTGTAATTGTAGGGGCCGGTGTGTGATATTTTTTCTCTTTTACTGTTCTTTCTGATATTTATCTTACACTTTCCCCTTGGCCTCGGCCTCATATTCATTTTGCAACTTGCCCTCCTATAATCCGGGGTAAGGAGGAAAATGGAAATATTATTCTCTCCTTTATTTCTCCATTGCACATGCAAGAAAGAACCGTGCTGAACAAAGATGCGGGCTCCCGTGGCCCAACCCCGGGCATAAAACAGGTCCCTTTGGAATCATTGCTGCAAAAACATATCTCGAACTCAACCCCACGGCTCTACTAACGATTCTCGAAACCGACACCTCTTTGGGAGGAGCATGGAGCAAGACCCGAATCTATTCAGGGATGTACTCACAGTCTCCCCTGGGGATGATTGAGTTCAGTGATGCGCCCATGAAACCAACGAAGGACCAGTTTCATGGATATGTCCCAGCACAACATGTCTGTGAGTACCTGGAAGAGTACACAAAAACGCACGTCTACAGCGGCCGTGACATCGAGAGCCGAATACGCTTCGACAGCCGTGTCACCAGCATCAGGAAGGTACGGAATACAAACTCCGTGAGGAACTCTTGGGTTGTGTGTACCGACAAAGGCGATGTCATCACAAGCGACAAGCTTATGCTCGCAACCGGTATCACCTCAAAACCAAACATACCAGTATTTGAAAATGAGGGATTCACACCGCCCATGCTGCATACCAAAGATTTGGCACGTCTAGCACCTTCGTTCGTGGAGTCGGAGGGCATTCGGAATGTGGTAGTGCTAGGAGGATCAAAGTCTGCATTCGATGCGGTTCACATGTTTCTGTCAGCGGGGAAGAACTTGCAGTGGATCATCAGAGATAAGGGTTCTGGGCCAGCGGGGATGAGTGCGCCTGATAGTGCGCCGGTGTATTATGATAATGCGCATCAGATATTGGCAACTAGGTTGATGTCGAAACTGAGTCCATGTATTTTTGAGCCGAGGGACTCATGGATGAAGTTCTTTCATCAGACGAAAGTGGGAAGATGGATTACAGACAGGGTGTGGAGTAGCATGCAGTCGAGGTGGATAAGAGCGGCCAAGTATGAGCGAAGTGATAACATGAATAGACTGAGACCCCAGCTTCCGTAGGTTTCCCTTTTTATCTGGGAGTGAGATATGTTTGGATGCACCGATTTCTCCCCAAGTATAGTGCCACGAAGGTCATACTAAATAATTAATATCATAGGATATTTTGGAGTTCCGACAATGTCGGCGTCTCTAATACGCCCGGTTTCTGGGACACAATTTCATGCGCCAAAGTACACCGAACGTCAATATCAAAGCTAGTCGATTCATCTATCCTCCTCCAAAATGGTGGATCTCTCCCTTGTGACCTCCTTGTAATGTCTACAGGATGGGACATAACCTTCCCCTTCTTCACCCCTGAGGATTCCGCCGCCCTGGGTCTTCCAGTGCCGATATCCTTCCAGTCCATGGTCGATGCCAAGAAATGGGAGCATCTTGAAGCTGCTGCCGACGAGAAGATCATCTCGATGTTCCCGCGCCTGCGATCGCCACCAGATTACTACCGGCAACCGCCAAGCACGACACAATTCTATTTATACCGCGGGATGGTATCACCGCACGAGGTGGCATCGGGCGACAACTCTATCGTCTTCCTGGGGCAGGTGGGCGCAGCGCAGTCGTTCCAGATTGCGGAGACGCAGAGTATCTGGGCTGCTGCGTATCTGATGGGGGATCTGCAGCTGCCTGATGTGCGTGAGATTGAGAATGATATCGCACTGACGAATGTGTGGAGGCGGAGGAGATATCTCTCGGTCGGTGAGAGGAAACCGACTTTTATGCATGATGAACTTGCGGTTTGGATCTCCATTCGGAAAAATTGACTGCGAGTGATATCTAATGATTCGATTTTTTTTTTTAGTATGTAAGCATGCTGCTCCGAGACCTCGGCGTAAACCACCTGAGGAAAGGTGGGTGGAGGGAGATGGTACAGCCGTACTGCAACAAGGACTACCAGGGGATGCTTGACGAGTATATGAGGATTCGGGCAAAACAGGAGGACTATAATAGTAATATCAAGCTGAATATGGGAGTGTAAGTTTTGAGAGAGACGGGGATATAATAACCTTTATGATATCATGCCTAGCCTAAAAATGGCACGCAAAAAACAAAACAAATTATCTTTACCCTCTCATTTACTATCTTTTGTTCACCTGTGCGCGTTATGGTTGTGTTTCTGGGGTTCTTAAATTCTCTTGAACTCAAGACTGGAGCGGCAAAGCTTCACAGCTGGTTAGGCGCCAGTACAGTGTTTACTCTCCCAAAACAACATTCATGCGCTGGCCCCCATAATATAGAATGAGACTTTCTTCCAAAACTATTTCGACGTCTCAACTCACATAGCTACCACTCGGCCAGCCAGCAAGGAAGGTCCAAACTAGCGCGGGAGTTGACTCGTTGTTTGGGTTGAGGCACCGCCCCTCAAACCACTCTCCCCCGGGCTCAGGCAAAAAAGAGATATCAATACTGTACGAACCCGAAATTCGAAAAGCTGTATGACAGCTACATTTTGCAAATTAAGGGCCACCCCCCAAAACAATATCTAGGATTCAACAATCACAGTTGACCCCGCATTCACACGAAACTCGAAACGCTGTTACCATGCACGACAGGATGTGCCATGGGCGTGTGGATCATATTATATCAAGCAGCACAGCGTCGATCACACTGCATTTATTGGTTACATGCTGTGCTATCATACCTGTATAGGGGCAGCGAGTGGGAATACATACATGTAGTGTAGTGCGGTACCAATTTATACGTATGCCTAGGTTTCTATAGCCCCTCCACCATGTTTGGCTGAAAGATGGAGGCGGGCTAGTGCAGTGTAGTATTGATCAGGCTAGAGTAGGTGCTGGTTTAAGGTTTTCGTGCTTAATGTCTTGCTTGTTTTATGTCATGTACATAAGTATTTGAACCGTGGCTGCGGTGCAGGTCCCCGGATCGACTTATCACGACATCGATATCGACTGGATGGGTCGAGGCATTCTCCGCAAACCTACATGTACATATGTATGCACATGTACTCTAGGCCGGCTGATGAACGCATATATGAAACCACCACCTCTATGATCAGCGAGTCCTTGAGGGTATCTGTCTGCGTATGTGTAGCACTACACTCACTGTGTCATTCTGCCGGGCGGTCAGCTAGCCCGGGGCTCGCCAACTGGGGATGCTTCGAAGGCTGGTGGTCTATTAGATGTTGGTACTACCGGTATTCTCTGACGAACATACAGTGCATATGCTTGTCATCATGGGACTATGGAGTTATGGAGATGCCGTGGCCCGTGACGTTCTTTAGATTCATCCCTAGCCACGCCACATCTCCATCTCTTAACTATATACAACGGTGGCCTTCGACTATGTTAATAACTCGCCCCTGATGGGTTGATTTTGTTGTTAATCTCCATGGCCGATGTCCCCCTGATATATGTGATCAAGCTATGACATTAACCTAGGAAGAAGCCGCTTCTACACTAAACGGCCTTCACCAAGTACTAGAGACTTACATGCAGAATATCGCTTTTGATGGCTGGTCGAGTGTGTTTGGCTCTGCGGGATGGTGGTTTGTGGTGTAGCCTACATGTGGTACTGGTGGACTGGGGTCCAGTAAAGTCTACGGGGAGCGCGAGGTCTATATATGCCAAAGTCGGACCGATGAACCTATAGGTCTAGGGAGTAGACGGCTGGATGTCTTGTCTCGGTGCTGAGTGATAACCAGAGCGGAACATTTGCAATGACATCCGGGCGGGCGGGTGGTCACTGGTACGTTAGCCTGGGTGTAGGCTCTGGCTGGTTTAGTGGTCTATCTCAAAAAAGAGATTTTTTTTTTTTGGGAGGGGGCAATGGCCCATTCAGATTGTTTTGTTGGGAGGTTTGATTTCTCAGAGGATATACATGTAGTTGCCGTTCTGTTCCCGAAGGTGTTGGTCTCGAAGGTGCTGGTCTACAGCTGTCGACTCTGCGAAGCTGTTTGTATAATGAAATATAACCCGCCTAGCTTAGCACTAGAAACGTTGCTTAAATATTCTATTGTAACAGTTAAGGTTAGCCCTGTACTCAGTCACAACTACATGTACATGTATAATATCAATATACGATGCATGTACGTACTAAATACATGTAGAGAATCCGCGCAATGTGTTTTTACCAACTATATGTATTCTCTTCACGCAAGCTAGCTGGACCAGTCACTCCCGTAGTGAATAAGAAATCTTAACCCGACAAAGTGGTATCGGATATCTAGTTAACTGTTTTGTTAGTTGTTTTGTGAGTCGTATAATATATGTCAATCCATCGGGATACATGTACATGCACTATCGCATGCTTACAGATGCATGCCTTCTAAAAATACCCCTTAATTGTGACAAGCACAGTTCATCTGGGAAGGAAGTAGTGTAAGTAGAATCTACCTGTCTCTAGTGTATGTATGGCTACATGTAGTTCGAGCCGTCTTTTTCATTCACTAGGCCCACCTGCATGGTATTTTCCGAGAAGTATTGTTTACTCGCGGCAAGTTATTGCGATTTTGTTGCCAACGTTTCGTTTGGTAGTTTGGGCGTGGCCTGTACTTTTATCTTTAGAAGAACAGGCTGTTCTTTGGTTTTAACTACAAGAGGAACCTTCTGCTCAAATACCACTTCAAATAAAAGATATACCATCGACGCCAGGGAAACAGCTATACATACATGTATTTAACGGACGCCCCAGCACAGGATGTATCAGCTACCGAGGCTACTATAGAGTCGTAGGATGGCACATAGGCCCCATCTCAGTTTCTATTATGATACTGGCACTTGTCTAGATTCGAATCTTTGAATCCACCCTAAATACGAATGTTCGGTCTCAAATGAACACTCATACTCACCTCAAACATATATAAACCCTGCGCTTGAGTACCGGCTACACCTTTTCAGGCCTATCCTACCCCGCTCTGAAACAAAGCATACGAACCCGAAACCAACAAATAACTCTAAACGGCACTCTCGAGTGCTTTTGCAGATTGACAAGCGCGCTGGGTAAAATGCTTTACTCCTAGAAGACCAACCTGCCAGTACATACAGTCGGTCAATCGTGTGTACCTGGGGCCCTTCTCAAGGTTTCATCCCGGATTTGATCTTTCCTGGACTCACCCGCTCACTCATAATAACTCCATCCGGACTACAAAGAACCGAAAAGAAAAAGAAAAGAAAAGAAAAAACGCACCCAAAAAACCCTTCCCACCCAAAGGGGGATTTCAGGCATGTGATCGACCAAGCGAGTGATAGTCTGTGATTCTGGTTTCAGCACAAAGGCCCCGAGCTACACAAAAGTGCTTATTTCCCATTTCTACGAGGTACTATCTATCTGTACTTACGAGTCAGATTTGAGAGCGATACACGGTTTTGAGGAAAGGTTCGAGCCCGGTGGCGAGAGTAACATAGCTACTAGCCCTAACCCTTGGCTGTGATTAGCGATGTTTCTGGTCCTTCCTTTTTTGGAGGCTTGAAGTTTACTAGAAGGTATGGTGGAGAAGGTGCATTAAGTGCGAAGGATCGAACGGTTGGACGGGGTTGTGATGAATTTTGAGCCATGAGGCACTTTGGGGATCGAATCTGGGTAAGTAGGGATCATACTTGTGCCCCCCCCCCCCCTCCCTATGTGCATATAGAAACTATAAGATGTGAAGATGTGGCATCAAGCGACTCTCTGGCTATGTGCGGTTGAGGCTGACTCCCATCTCTATTACAGCGAGAAAGTCATTGGAGTTGAGTTGAGGAAGTAGTTGTGAAAAGAAAAAAAACCGCTGGTTCCCACGGCGGAGGATCCTCAAATAATTGTCGCTTGTTGTTCAACTACATAGAATCCCAGCCTGCGCTGCACATGGCCAGCCAGCCAGCAACATCACAATATGATTGGTGCGGAAAGATCAGGAGACTTTGTATGATCTGTATTGGAAAGCCCTCTTTTCTTTTCACCTCACACACACGTGATAGAGAAGTGATGGTGACGGTGAAGCGTTGAGGTGAAGATGTGAGGTGAAGATGTGAGGGTCAAGTCAGCACGTACAGTATCAACCACGAATGGAGAGCGAATTCAAACCTGTAAGCAAAGACGGCTCGGATCGGCCGCTCCGGAAAAAATGGCAGCAGATAAGAAATTACATTAGTCGCAGTTGTTATAAAGGCTGCCCACCTCCCCCTCCCCCTCCCCCTCCCCCTCCAATCTTTTGTTTTAAAATCTCCATCTTCTTTAGGGGAAAAAAGTCAGAGTTTTAAAAAATACACCCATCTAAACTGCAGCTGGTTGTGGGAAAAAAAAAACTTGCCATCTTTTTGAGGCTTCTTCACCAGCAATCAACCGGCCGCACACCTGCTCCGAGTCATCGGTAATCACTCGATTACGTGTACACAGCACAACGCAACGCAACGAACAACAATAACCCGATCATCTCTCCAGATCTCTCCAAGATTCTTTTTTCTTGGTAGCTAGTGCGGTGACTTTGGTCTTGCACCAGTGGGTGGTGGGCTGTGGGCAGCTTAAAGAGAGAGGAAAAAGCGGCAAACCCCGCCAGTCACTCTTTGGGCCTCCCTCCCCAGTTGTTTTAAAAGGGAGAAAGAGCGCAAATAATAATAAAAAAAAACGTTCGACTAGCCGGTTGTTTCAGTGAATCGTTTCTTGAAAAACTTTCAACCCTCAACCAACCAACTCAACCAAGCCACAGGCAGGCAGGCAGGCAGGCAGGCAGGCAGGCAGGCAGGGCAAGGCAGCTGGGGTTGGCTACTATTACTACTATTACTACCACTGCTGCTGCTAACTTTTTTGTTTGTTGCACCCGTTAATTTTTGTTCCAACACAGGGGGGGGGTCCTAGTTCCGTGCATCACGGACCTTCTTCTTCTTCCTCTTCATCTTCCTCTTCTACTTCTTGTTCTTTTAGTACATACATAGCTCTCTTTCTTGGTTTCGACTCTTGAATCCTCTTTTACTTCGCCTCAAGCTTAAATCGAGCCTGAACCTGAACCTGAACCTGAGCCTGCGTTTATTAACTACATAACCTAGTTACTTTCCTATCTACCCCTTCCCTCCCCTCCCCTCCCCTTCCTCCCTCTTCAATCCACAATCCCACTCGCGAGGCAAACAACAATCATAGATTCTCCCCCTTGGTATGTTCCAACCCCCCCCTCCCCCTCCCCCCCTCGCCCTCCCTCGCCCTCCCCTCCTCTCTCTTCTCCCCCCACACACACACCACCGTCGCTTATTCATTAAGCAGGTCAATCATCACACTCGTAACACCCAAAGGCTAAACCCCATCCACAACCAACAATTTCCTTTTCCTATTCCACCTCACAACCACAACCACAACCACCAAAAATTAAAATAAAAAAGTTATGACAAAACCCACAACCACAACCACCACCCCAACAACGAACGGAGCAACCAACCCCCAACAACCTCATAAACGTCGCCGCCGCCGCCGCTCCACCACAAAACCCGCCAAACCCCCCACTCCGCCCGCCTCAACCGACATCGACCACTGGTTCCAAAGCGGGCCCTTCTCAGCGCTCCCACAAGGCGCCTCTCCCGCCGAGGTCGAGGCAGACCTTAAGCGCATACGCGCCGCTGTAGCCCGCCTTGCGAACATACTCCTCGGCGCCGCCGTTGGCATCGGCGGCATCTCGCCCGTGTGCGAAGCGCAGCAAGAGCAGGAGGAGGCGCTGTTTGTGCGCGGTGTGTCATTATCGCCGAGGAAAGAGGGTGGGAGAGGGCGGTCTCCAGGGACGGCTGCTGAGCCGCTTACACCAGAATCATTTTATGGCGAGGATACCGTGGGGGAGAGGGAGAAGGAAAGGAAAAGGAAGGCAAGGAGAGAGGCGGAGGCTGCTCCTCGGGTCCGTTCGCCCACGGGCGTGAGGAGAGAGAGGCACAAGGGGTCGGGCGGAGTCCCGGCGAGAAAGCACCGGGCGAGGTTCAGTCCTTACACGACGACGACATAAGAGCGCGACTACATCGGCAGCAATTTAGAGAGCTGTATCTCTAATCAGTCACAGAGGTTTTTTTTTTTATTTTTTTATTTAACGTTTTTTCTTTCTTTCTTTCTTTTCTTTTTTATTTGTGAAAAGAGCTTTATAATTGTGCAGCAAGAGGAATGACTGCGCTTGTTTTCTCGTCGCGATGGAGAGGAGAAGACTTGTCCATATTCTGTAATAATTTTTTTTTTCACATCCATTCCTAACGTCTAAATATTAGCAGGAGGCCAGGGGAAATGATTTTTATTCTTTTTTCTTGCGGTAGACGGGAAAGTGAGGTTTTAGGAGCCCGAGACTACTTGCGAATCTCTTATCTTTTTTAACGTCGTTTTCGTTTTCTTTTACGGAGTTTTATTTAGGGATTTGAAGATATTTCTTTTATGGGATTTATGGTTGTTATACCTAGCACTGAGCTACATCTACATAGCATTTTACAAAAAAAAAAAACCTACAGCAGCAAGTGTGCGCACCCCGACTTCTCAAAGAGTGTGACGCGAACTCCTCATCCTCCTCTAACCGCCATCCGCTCACAAGTACCGCAAGAGCGGCAATGATACCATCAACCACAAACCATCCGCCGCCAGAAACCGGCGCTAGCTTCACACCACATCACTCACCCCCTCTATTCTCCGCGGCCACTCGAGGGCCGTGTAAACTATGCATAGACCTTGAGATCCGGTCTTTACCGCCTACGCGAGCACCCTGGAGTGTTGTAGCTGTAGTCCCCATCGCCATGGAGAGAAAAAACAGAACATGTCATGTTTGGCCCACGTGGTCGTGGGTTAGGGTTATAATTTGGAAGGAGGGAGCCGATCTGGCTGTGGATGTGGGGGCCTGTCGGGGTTGTGTGGGCTGGTGTGAACCGGAATACGGGAGGGATCCGGAGAGGACTGATCAAATAGTGTGGGAGCTGATTAGTTGGCTTGCTGTGTATAGCCAGCGCATGGGGCCGAGGGATCTCGACAGCTGAATACCTCTCTAGCGTCGTTCGTGGTTTATCCGCAGATCTGACGACTAACAAGGTATGTGTACGCCCTGTGAATTGCATGTGCGGGGGTATCAGACTGTAACTCTCTGTGAATCAGGGCTTATGGGCGAAAAAATCATGGAAACGGTAATCGAGTGATTTTCAGTGATTCTGTGACGGTAGACGGGGCCTAGCGCGAATATGGTGGTTAGAAGTTTATTTGGGTATTTACTTTTCTCTTTGATATTGGAATAGATACTGGTTATAAGTTTCCGTCCTGGGAGATGGGCAGGTTATCGTTTTCCATCGCTCCTTGGGTAGGCGGGTGGACATGTTGACTTGTTGGAGCGGAGAAGAAGGAGAGAAGGAGCAGGCTCCTCTTGTAGGCCAACGAAAGAACAGGTGTTCGGATAAACAAAATACAACATGTATAGACTGTTTGGGGCCACGTCCAAATTATAATTACATGGCGACTAACAACAATGCAATCATATCCTAACCATGTCCCAATGACTGACACGGATAGCGCCACACAACATGTCAACTAGATCCGATATCATATATCCCGCCCGGCCTCAAGCTTCTGGTTTGCATTGTGCTATATACAGAGCTCCTCATAGAGGATGGGCACGAGACTATATGTCAACATACTATCCCGCGGCACCAGACACAACCAATCGATAGTCCCGGGCCAACCGTCAAGAGCCGCAGTTTGGGCCTCCGGTAAGATAGGAACATCTTATTTTGGTAAAGGATAGTTATAATATGTACTGATAAAAATCCCACCAAATTTATCTAGCGGAGTTTGGAAAGGTGCTCCTCGATGCCGTCCAGAAAGGTCTGTGTGTTTGAGAAGAATCGGCCCAAGAACCACCCACATTGACATTGATAGCGGGATATCGGTCACTATCCATGGATTGCTCTATGCGTTGCACGTACTTATTTTAGTAAAGGCCGCGAAGAAAGTCCTAAGATGATACATGAGAGACAAATGAAACTTGGATGGTAGATATTGTACCGTATATCAATGAGGGAGTTTCTAGGGGGAATTTAAGCTTAACTTGGGTACAAGGTAAGCTAAGAGATGAGGCCTGTCTTATCAGATACCAATATGAAACTAACCCCAAGCATTAGGACCCAGTCAAGCTTATAAATTATAGATCAGCTGACTTCTCCTAGAAGCTATGATTACAAGTCGGGGGACTTTTCGTCTCGTGCCCATGACCAAGCTATCTATCAGGCTGGTGACAGATAGGGTTGATATATATTATGCAAAACTGATTCCATAGGTCCCAATGGACATGAATTTCTTTGCTTCTTTCTGCATCCAGAATCTAGCGGGATGGAAGCATCGATTCAACTACCCGAGTCTACAAAAAGGGCCAGAATTTCGCGCAAGACAACGTTGAACAATGCTCCCACTTTTCAAAACTACCTCCCGTTTGTCTTCCTCATGAACTAGTTAATGGATAGTCGACCGATCAAATTGCATACCATAGTCTGCGGCATCACGAACTCTTCTTACCACTTCGCGCTCTACCCTGGCGACGAGCACCTCTCATGGTCAGTGGAGTGCCTGGGGGTGCGCAAGCATTATGTGGGCGTATCCAATGCCAATAGAGCAGTACATCATCGCGGCCATATTACAATGATGCTTCCTCTTGTATTTGTCGTTCCCCAGGCTACATGTAGTTGGTAGATCGCTAGGTTTGGTTTTGACAGCCTATGGTCAGCTTATCGACAGACTATAAGCTATTTGTGGGCAGCTTTTCGACAATCGGTAGACGTAAGCCGTTCGCAAAATAGTTCATCCTAGGCATGGCCTAGTTCGTCGACCTTTTCATGGGCTAGAGGTGAATGTTTCGGTGATGAGGAAGTGCACCATTCAGGAACGTTTACGACTGGTGGGAGGAGCGGCAGAGCATGGCGGCTTACAACCGTCAATTCCGACCAACTAGCCCCGAGCCCAATCCCGGCCCCGACTCTTCAGCATCGCACAGAATACGTACAGTAAGCTCGCTTCCATTCCCCGCTCCCAGATCAAGAGCTACACCATACAGAAAAACCAAACATAAAGCCCCCAAAGGAGATCCACTAACTGCCGCGTTGACATTAAAATGCCTATCTCCGAAACACCATAATAAGGCACATCTTGTACCCCACACATCTTCACACACCTTCACACACCTAAGGATCCCACTTCCGGGTGCTATTCTCGCATCTTGCCGGCCGTGTGTATATACACGTTGTCGATATAGTATTTGTACAGCATGCAAAGCGCCCCCCCAGTAATCTTAGCCCTACTCTGGAGCCGGACCGCGCGGATCTAGTCCCCCCGTTAGCCTATTCGAAACGAGCCCGAAGCAGGGACTCGACTCGGCTTGTACCGTCTCGTCTCGTCTCATATGAGGTCTGAGCTCGTTTCACAATCTCATTTTACGAGTCTAAGCTCGAGCTTTTCAAATATTCTATCAATTGAGACTGCCGAGTGTGGCAAACCTGTGATCTCAGGTGACCTCCAAAGAAGCGGTTCTTTGGAAACCTTTTGCTTATAACACCATTGTTACGATATTTCAGTTTGCTAGAGCTCGAGCCTTATTGAAATTCGAGGCAACCCTAGAAAGAGGGATCTTGAACGATTTGACCTTGGCCTCTAACTACATACCCGTAGTATGTAAAGCACTTCGTACTGCTGGTATTATTGATTCTTAGTAGGCTCGAGCCTGATAAAAACTAAGACTGAGTAGGCTTAACTCATGCTAAGTTCAGTCTCATGTGTTCGAGCCTTATCTTAAGACGGGACTGTGAGCCGGCTCGTCTTATAGGTTGTATATACGATGGGGATCGACCAGCCGCCGCGCCATCTGGCCAGCCTCTAGCTCCATTTATCAGACTAGGATTTCGGTAACAAGCTTGTAACCAAGGAGACTTACAAGCTTTGCTGGAAACAAAGCTTCTGCAATGGATCATTGGTCCCGGGGACCCTAAATCGGGCCAAGTATTGTGGGCAAATATGAGCGAGTGATAGTTGATGATCCAATATTCAACGGGACATGTTAATTTTCCTACTTTCAGACAGCTGTTATTTCTGGCTGTACTGTTAAAGGGGTACTCATAACAGTGAAGATAAGAGTGAATCAATTTGTTAGGCCTCGAATATACTCGTGAGAACATCGTGGAATATGACTCAATTTTAGTCATAGCTAATTAAGGCGGTCAATGATCATGGCTCCCACGACTATATTGAGTAATAGGCATAACTTTTTAGTCCGCAATTATCTCTATCCCTGAATTCTAGATATATCACCACAAAACACACAACCTAGAACCATGGCCAATTCATGCTTAATGATATCTATTACTAGCATTACTATCCGTTTCTAGCTCACAGCCACACAAACCCATAAACACAGAACCACCTACACCCCATCTACTCCGCGCCACCACCACTAGTCATAATAAGCAGTGTCGCTCCCAGCAACACCCACCAGTACCTACACATCACAAGCACACATTAGCACACACACCCACACAACTACATCCACAAAATACAGCAAGAGAAAACTCACTTCTGCAAGAACGTCTTCTCCACCTCCGGCACCGGAATCTTGCCATCAGGCGTCAAAACAATCGGTTTATTCAGCGCAGGCTGCGGGCCCGGCGCCTGCGTCAAGATGCGCACAGTGGGCGAGGAAGACTATACAATCAATGCCCAATTAGCCAACAAACCCATAGAGCCCAGCACCAGCAGAACACAATGGCCAACATACAGCTTCATCGCCGGCCTTATACTGCACATGCCACGCCTTCCCCATATCATCAACCCTAACCGTAATCTCCGCATTCTCCGGATGCTTCAACGTTTTCTACAGTAGCCAGCCACCCACCCAGCACATTAGCATCCACAACCACAACCACAACCACAACCCCCCGAAACACCCACAAGGGAATACTCACACCAACAACCACACACCCAAACGCCCACGTCTCCCCATCCCACACGCCCACCCGGACCTCCTCCTCCTCCCCACTCTCCGCCCACGCACCCCTGTGCTCCGCAACGTCGAACCCGCCCTCGCCCGTCGCCGGGTTATACGAGACCTTGCCCAGGACCGTCGGGTTGGGCGCGCCGAGCGGCCATTGGTGCAGCGCTAGGCTGTGCGTGTGCGTGGTTATCGCGTTTGCGGTCGCCGAGAGGAGGGACAGCACTGGTAGCAGGAGCGAGAATGCGCGCATTTTTTCGTTTTTTGTAGGGGATGGGATTTTGGGGGATCGTGATATTGAGAGAGGTGATATGATGCGGCTCGGTTGGGATTGTATGTGGTGAGGGTCTTGGGTAGCTAGTGAGAGGCGCTTATCGCGGCTGTGGGGGAAGATACGTGGCTGTTTGAGACCTTTTTTTCTTCTCGAAAAGATTCGAGCTGCAGTATTAAAAGGGCCAGTATCTGCTGGAAAAGGCTCTGCTAAAAAGCTCAAGTAGTATAAAACACTTCCATAGCATTATTCCGCATTGTAAAGTTCTAGAGCTTCAAACCCCGGATCTCGTAGTTGGGCAAAACTGGCAAAACAGAGGGCCAAAATATGAGCTCTCACAAGGCTGCCAAAAGTCACAGAAAACCTCACAAATTCACAACAAACAACGACTCCAAATAATTCCCTTCTATAATGGCAGCACGTATGCTGCCATGTGCTATTTCATTCTGTTCTGTTTCGTCTCTATAAAAGGTATCTCAGTCTCTCTTCTCAGTCTCCCTCCCTCCCGCTCATGCACCTCCTGAAAGAAGCAGGCTTGTGTAACATGACTGCTTCTTCTCCACCGCACCGCCCGCGCACAAATCCAATCCAGTGCCAAAACTAAAAGTAGTAGAGTAACAAGTCCCGCAAAAAAAGACACCTGCCATCATCATGCAAAGAAACGCAACAAACACCGTCCCTGGCTCGCCCGCCATGCCAAACCGAAAGAAACCATCGAGAAAAAGGTGTAAAATACTCAGATCCTTTGCACTAAGCAGTATATCCCCGATACCCCGCCAAAAGCGAAAAGGAAAGGGAAAAAAAAACGAGGGAAAAAAAAAAAAACACAACAAAAACTCCACTTGCAGATCGACCGATATAAGTACTAATGACACAAACATAACAAAAACTAATTAAACAGCCCAACCGCAAAAGAATAATCATCTCAAGCGAAAAGAAGGGGATAAAAAAACATCGCTGGCGGAAACTCGGCAGGGCGTTCGACATGCTATTAAGCCGAACACAACCCCCGCACGAACAAAACTACGTCACTAGATAATACGCAGCTGCTCCAAGCTATACCAACGAGTTTGAGCTTTAAACCAGCTCAAACTCCTCGTCAGAGTCCTCATAATCAACAACTTCATACTCGTTCTTGATCAGAGTTGTCAACTCCTTGTGCTCAAACTTCTTAACAGCCTCTGTTACGGCATAACTAAGGGTGTCGGTTCCGGCACGTGGTCCGGACTGGTCATAGGAGTACGCGATACCGGCAATAGAGTCGTTATCCGACGATGAATCCTCCCAACGGTCTTCCAACGCCGCCGAAGGGCTCAGAGGGTTGGTTCGGGCGGTGCAAATCTCATCATCAAAGTACAACTTGCGAGCAGCCCTCTTTTTGGCAAGCTCCTTGGTGTTCCAGCCTCGGCACTGGCAGCAGTGGCAGACTTTCACGAGACTAGGGTCACGGGTCATCTTGAACCTACGGCAAAATGAGTCAGAATTTCAACTCCAAAGCACAACAAAGAACGGATACCGTTTCGGAGGGGGGGGGGGGGGGGGGATGGGTTGTAACGGGTTGTTACGGGTGAAATAAACAAAGCCATGAATTACTTACTTGTTCTTATCATTCCAACAGGGAGCACCTAATTTCTTGTTTGTGAATGGGTTCTGCGGCTGACCGAGGAGGGCTACATTGACGTTCCGGTACTTGACACGACGCTGGAGAAGGAGGATGTTTATCAGCATGATGGGCTCACTTGACTGGGGGGGGGGGGGGGGGAGTGGAATGACTTGTATGACTCACCTCTTTGCTGCGGCGCTGTTCAACGGCTGCGCTTCTAAGATCGCCGGTGGACTGAACGATGGAGTTGGTGAGAGCCATGGTGTTTGATTTAGAGAATGGGACTGGAATTGAGGGAGAGGGTATTGCGGCTGATTTGGTGATGAACGGGCTTGGTTGGTGAAGGACTGGCGACAACAAAGACGACAACGAACGAATGAATTAGGTTGTGGGGGAGGAGAGGAAGCTTGGTGGTGATAGCGGATGTGTAGGAGGAGGAGTTACAGTTACAAGTATAAGCAGTGAGAGCAGCTGTAGACAGCAGACAGTAGGCGAGGGAAGAGGGAGAAGAAAGAAGATGAGTTTCGGGAAGGGCCAGATATATAGGGAGTAGGTGCGGAAAGGGTGGTACCTAACACGATAGCTCTTTATAGCTCAGGCAGATAGAGGTAAGTTTAGGTGGAGCAGCTGGCAGCTACTTGACTTGGACTCCAGCTAGCGTTTCCGGAGAGCGCGAGCGGCGAGCGAGAGTCAGTCAGGAGCAGCAGGCGCTGGGCAGGCCTTACTTGAAATGTTATCACCAAGCTGTATCATACATTCATGCTTACATACATCATCATCATCATCATTCATCCACCCATCCATCCATACTACAAACAAATACTTTCTCATACTTTCCCTATGTAATCGCATTCGAACATCCCCCACGTTCTCTCTCTCTCTCTCTCCACAGCCACCTTTTGTGACCATGACTCTACATTCTATTGCTATTGTTGTAATGTAATTCGGGGGGGCACGGGGATGGGAGGCCTAGGGTTGTGTTTCCCCAGCTTCATTATTATTGCTACATCCTATTATTCTGTTGGGGGTTCTATGTAATGTAGCTTTTTTGTTGCTGCTGCTCCCTTGCGCGCTCCCTTGTCTCGTTTGTCTCTCGTTGCAGCACACATCCCATCCGGTCCAGCCTCAGCAAACCAGCAAATGACGCCTACAGACAGACAGGCCCCAGCCAAAGAGAGAGAGCACCTGGCTGGCCAGCGCTGAATACCGTGGCTACCCAGACTTTGCCTGCCTGCCAGACAGCCAGTAACATAACCAAGTGTTAGCTAACATCACATCACTAATTCCCCAGTATCCCCACCATACAAGACGCCTTCTGGAGTAGAGCTCTCATGCACCTACACTACATACATGTAAGGTTGTAGAGTAGCTAAGTGTAGAAGAGCGGTAGTCAATAGTACCATCTTACCTACCGGTAGGGCCCCCCCTCCCCCATCTCTAAACCGAGGAGGAGCCGAGCTATCGAAGCTATCTAGGGAGAACGAATGTGAATGAATGAACGAAACCCCAAACCCATTCCAATCTCCCTCACTCCTCACCCCCCCCCCCCCCCCAGCCACTACACTATTACCAACAAACAGCGGGAAAAATAGGTTTAGTTTAGGGGTCGGGGGGGGGGGGGGGGAGGGTGGTCGGTGGGAATCGAGAAACCGTGGTTATCAATTTTTTTTCTCCCTCATTCTCCAGCTATCCATCCGTGAATTCCCCTATCCCTGGGGGGGGGGGGGGGGTTTCGTTATCACCAGTGCAGTGTTACCTCTCTCCATCTAGCTGCGAGCCTTATCCCGTCGCGGTATCGCCCGTGCCTCAGTGAGTGAGTGAGTGAATGAGGAATGGAGGGATGGAGGGAGGGCTGAGAGAGATAAACACCCGTCCGGGCTGGCGGGCTGGCTGGCAGGCTGGCAGAGTCGCTGAGTGGAATAGATAGATAGTCCAAATCCAGATGTGATTGTTCTATATGGGGGGGGCACATAACGGGGGGGGGGGGGGGGGCGCGTAGATAACTCATATCAACTCTACACTACAATACAGATTTGGTAGTTGGAGTAGTAGATAGTAGATACTAGATAGTAGGCTAGATACGAGGAGCTACAAAACTTGGAATTCTCCCTTTCATATCTATTCTGATTCCGTTTCTAAAACAAAAAAACCTGGAAATTTGCTTTTCCGTGAATCGGGGGGTCGTGAAACGTTTTTCAACCCTCGATACCACTCTCTCGCGATAAGCAGCTAGCTACATGTATGTAATGGGGGGATAGACGGATAGATAGACACAGATAGACAGAGCAGATGGAGGGTACGAGCAGATAGAAACAAAACCAAAAATCCGTGCCTACATATTCTTGCCTACATACATGTATGTATGTACCCCTAATCTACATCCACCTTCTGGCCTGCTACATACATACTTCCAGCTTTGGTACTGCGCAGGTGACGTAGAACAAAAGGGAAACGAAATTAACCGAGCCTCACTGTGGCTCATTAGCAATAGCAGCTGCCGGGTACACGCGCATCCATCCATCCATCCATCCATCCATCCATCTGAGAGTCTCAGTCATACTGAGGTGAGGTGAGGCCTTGTTTACAAATTACCCCATTGAATTCAACTCACTGACTCCCCCCGTAGAGTAGAGTACCCTACCCTACCCTAGTAACTACCCCGTACATAGAGTATCAATCACCAAGTATATATCTCCAATATCCAATGTAAAAACCATGACTCTCTCTGTTTCAGTCATCGCCGTCACCATACACTGAGCCCTCACCCTCAGAGGGCAGGCTGCCAGGGAACCATCCAAAGCCATCCAGGTCCACGTGAAGCGCTCCCCCTGCCCGTGTCGTCACAGTTACTCCCTCGCTGCGCAGTGCCTGTGCATGACGTGCTGCGGCGGTAGGGTCATCCCTTTTCCGTTTCATCATTTAGTTTCGGTCAATCACTCACTCACTCACTCAGAATTGTATGTATATAATAACTTTGGATCTGGCTGGCTCAAACAAAGAAACAGAAACAGAAACAGGGCAAGCAATGAAAGCAATCCAATGCAAGCAATGCAAGATGCAAATTGCAAATAACGGATAAAATCTAAAAACAACGGGAAAGGCCGGAAAAACTACAACTTTTTGTTGTTGCTGTTGTAAAAAGTGCAAGTATGTATATGTAGAGCAAATGAGGCTGTTTTGCAAGAAAAACCAAAGAAACGTCGAGATCGAGAGAGGGAGCAAGAGAAGCAGAGATAGAAAGAGAAAAAAAGGCTTAATTTACCTGACCGGAATTATCCCATTTGACGATATGACCCTCTGCCACGGAACATTACCGTTGTGGAAGACGACGGTATTACCCTGAGCGTCGTTGTTGCTGTTGCTTGGGAGGTGCTTGAGGGCTTGACCGACCTGCCTGTGACCGGTTAGAGCAGAGGTACATAGAGCCAGGGACCACCAATACCCGGTGGGTGGGTGGAAGAAAGGAAGGATCGGGGAGGGTTGAAATGGAAGCTTTCGAGGTCCTTCCTTTGAGAGCTCTAGCTCTTCTTCCTTCTTTCCGGGGTTTCCAGAGATCCTTCCTTCGAGAGCTCTAGCTAGCTCTTCCTTCTTCCCGGGTTTTCCAGAATGAGGGTGTTGTTTACCTTGGGCATTGGGCTGGTGTGGGGAGCTACAATCAGCTACACTGAACTGCACTCTTCTCTCTTTAATTTACCTCTACGCATGAAACCCGAGTGAGGCCCTCCTCTTGCTCTTGTATGTATCGAAACAACGATACATGTAGATGATACCTGTAACCATTCCCCCGTACTCTCTCTCTCCATACGTACGAGGAAACAAACCCAAAAAACCAAAACACAAAACACAGAAAGGGCTGTCTTACGCTTCCCTATCAAGTACGCAATGTGACTATACGAAGTGACTTTACCGTGAGGGATTTCCTATTCGGCTCACCGCATCATCTCAGCTCAGCTGGTTGGGAGGTATTTTTCACAGAGTTTGAGCTATTCTGATTTCTGAATTGGGGGGGGGGGGGGGTGGGATTCCATATTCTATCACCTACTCTAGGTAGGTACGAGGTAGGTACAGACAGGTACATACATACCTGGACAGCCATATAAACGCCCACAACGAAGGCCTCTGCCTCGTCTGTCCGTGCCATTCTGAGCTACTCTGCTGTATGTGGGTGTGGGTGTGTGGATGTGGATGTGGAGGTGGAGGTGGAGGTGGAGGTGGAGGTGTGGATGTGATGTGTGTGGGCAGATCTGGGAGCATCTACTTCTACTTGGAGACGAGCGAGCGAGCGAGGGAGGTGAGTGGAGTTGTTTCCGAGCTCTCACAGCTGTGTCTGTGTCTGTGTCTGTCTGTCTGTCTGAGTGTCTACACACCTCCAGCTCTCTCTGTCTGCCTGAGTGTCTACACACCTCTAACTCTCTCTGAGTGTCTCTCTACACACCTCTAACTCTCTCTGTAGACTCTCTTCTTAGTAAGGCGGCGGGAGGTCTGGTTACTCTGGTAGCACAAGGGCCTTGGCACCAGCCAATCAGCGCAGTCACGTGGCAGCACTCGTATGCACCAGTCTGTCTGTCTGGCTGTCTGTCCCTTTCCTCTGCTCGATTCGGTATCATCGTGAGGTGAGAGGAACGGCCTCTTCTGCTTCTTCACTAAACACAACCTCTCTCACACCCAATAGGAAATGTCCCTCTCCTCATACCTCGCCCAGAAATACCTCACAAAAGACGAGCCAGACAGGAAAAAGGCAAAGAAGCGGAAAAGAAAGGCCCAGCAGGAGGGCGGCGTGATAATCGCCGACGACGATGCCCTGGGCTGGGACCAAGCCAAAGACGACGACGATGACGACGGCCCTGTGACCAGTACGCCCCCCCGCCACAAACCACTCCAAACCCCCAAAATGAACCCTCCCCCAGAAAACCTGAATGGCAAAGAATTGAAGTAATACTGACCTCACGATTCACACACACAGTCGGCGAAACGACCAGAGCCTTCCGCCGCACCACAAAGTCCAACTGGACCACCGTCGATGCCGACGCCGCCGCAGCTGCCGACGCCATCATCGCGCAAGCCCCGCCGCAAGCCGACGACCCCGACGACCAGCCCGCCATCGTCGGCGCCGACGACAAGTCCATGCAAAAGATGTCCAGCGGCGCGCACGCAGGCCTCCAGACGGCCGCACAGGTGACGGCGCAGCTCGAGCGGCAGCGGAAAGCCGAGCTCGCGCGCTTCAACGCGCAGGACCCGCGCGAGACGGGTAAAGGGCAGGAGACAATCTACCGTGATGCGTCGGGGCGCATCATCAACATTGCCATGGCGCGGCAGGAGGCGCGCAAGAAGCTCGAGGAGGAGGAGGCCAAGCAGCGGCAGGTTGTGGAGCAGAACAAGGGGGAGCTGCAGGCGGTGCAGCGTGAGGAGCGCAAGAAGGAGCTTGAGGAGGCAAAGTATATGACGCTGGCGCGCTATGCGGATGATAAGGAGCTCAACGAGGAGATGAGGGAGAAGGAGCTGTGGAATGATCCGGCGGCTGCGTTCTTGACGAATAAGAAGAAGGGGCTGAGTAAGACGGGGCGGCTGCTGTATAAGGGTGCCGCGCCGCCGAATAGATATCAGATCCTGCCGGGGCATCGGTGGGATGGGGTCGATAGAGGGAATGGCTTTGAGAAGAAGTGGTTCCAGGCGCAGAACGCGAGGAAGAATAGGGCGCAATTGGAGCATGACTGGCAGACGGATATGTAGAATCTGTTATGCCTCTTATCTTAATAATGTAAATAGCTGTAAACGTTTCAATGATCAAAAGTTCCTTTTTTTTGTTTTTATTAGAACAGCCATTGCCTTATTAATCGCCAATATAATCAACAATCACTTCCAGAAATGCACATCTCGAGAGTCGGAGTGACCCACTGACCGCAATCCTCATAACGATAATATCGCCATGTTAATAATATTAGAGCCGACTAACTATAATAATTACTTTTTTACGCCGAGAGCGCCCGTTACTAAGCCGGGCTACTACTAACTAGTACTCGCCCCCCTGCACAACACTCAAACACTCGAGAGATCGAGAGAGTCTCTCACCCACTATCTGATCCTCCACTAACAACCAATTGCCCGCACGCACCACGCACCACGCCCCGCCCCGCCAGGCCCGGCCGTCCAGAGAGCCCCCCCATTCTCTACGGCCAACCTCCCAAACCCCGGCCAATTGGGCCAAAAAAAGCCTCTCCCCGACTTTTTATAAGCCCTAAGATATCAGATATCAGTACTCTATCAGTGCTCTATCGATAGATAAAAAAATGGCACTACCCTACCCCCAACCACTGACGCCCATTGAGCGGGTGCTCGCCCCCAGCGCGGACCCGGCCCACACGCCGCCAAGGAAGATCGACCCGCGGCCGTATGTCTATCTGAAGCTTGTGCGGCTGCGGCCGATTGTGGGTGTGGGCGTGAATTTCAGGATGAGGCTTTCGGATGGGGTGGGGTTTGTGCATGGTTAGTACTTTTTTTTTTTTTGGTGGTTTTTAGTACTTTCTGGAGGAATGTTTTTTGCGGCTGGAGGGCTGGGGTGGTGGGTTCTTGGGGGTGGGGGGGGGGGGGGGGGGGGGGGGGGGGGGGGGGGGGGGGGGGAGGTATAGATATGTCTGAATGCAATTGTCACAAAAGAAGAAGAAGAAGGAAGTTTTGTTTTCCCAATTGGCAATGAAGATAAAGCCCAACTGCCCTCGATCACTATCAAAATCACCTCCAGCTAGCCAGAGAAGATACTAACAAGCCCATGTGCGGACAGCCTATTTCGTCAGCGCCCAATTCGACAAGTTCGTGCACAACAGGACCATCAAGGTTGGGCAAATCATTGAAGTGCGGCGGTACGTGTTGGGGGTGCATCCGAGTGGCGGTACGAGGTATGTATGCCATAGTAGTTGCAACTGTGTAAGTGTTTTTATATTGATAAAGGTGATGACGGTGCGTAGCTTTGTGGGGCTGGTGTGGATATACCCAATCCCGTGTGCGGTTGCTAGTCCCCGGTCAATTGTCTTTAATGGCCCGAGTACTGCTGCCAATGGTTCGAGAGTTGTGAGTGGAGCGACTATTGGCAATGGCTTGAATGGTGTCAATGGCTCAAACATTGCTGTCAATGGGCCAAATCCTGCCGTCAGTGGCCCAAGAGCTGCCATTAACGGTGGCCCAGCTGTTATCAATGGCCCAACTGTTATCAATGGCCCAACGACTGTCAAGGACCCAAGTACTATCGTCAATGGCTCCAGTACAGTAACCAACGACCCAGCCGAAAGTATTGCCGTTAAAAACTCAAGCACTGCCACCGATGGCCATGGCCATAATCCAGGTGCTGTTATCAGCATCGCCGTCCCAGCCCTCCAATGGCCCCCGGCCCCCGTACCAAATATCTGGCTCATATCCAGCGCCAAACTAACAGACGACATGATCAACATGAAAAGAACCATGCTAAACAACCTGGCGAACAAAAACATGCGGAATGCAAGTAAGTCGCCTTTGCTCACACAGCGTCGAAAGTTTGATATAAGTGTACTCACTCGCAACGCCATCCAGATTTCCTCGTTGTCGTACTAGAAAGCCGGAAACGCCCCGACAGTAAATCAATCGTACCCACCCCCTCCCCCTCCCAAATCCTCTCCACCCCAGTACCCTATTCTAACCAACCCCAAACAGCCCAAGCAAGACTGGTACCTCTGGGACCAGTCCTCCAACGACCGCAAGACCATCATCAGCGTCTGGGGCGAGCTCTGCGCCGAGTTCCAGCCCGCCCCCGGCACAATCGTCGCCCTCTGGGATGTCCAGATCAACACCCGGTACGAGGACAACCCCAACTCCGCAAGGCTGACGCGCCTGGCAAAGGGCGGGTTGGGCCACTTGAACGCCTACAAGAACAAGCGCCCAAAGGCCCTGATGGATCCCGAGGATGTGATGGGGTACCACGAGTTGAAGGAGGCGTGGCAGGCATTGCAGCGCGGGAGGATCACTTGGGAGGGTTAATTATTTGGCTGGGCCATGGCGGGAGTTGGAGATGAAGTATCTATGGTTTTTTTCTTCTTTCTTTTTTAGCTAGCTAGCAGATTGCGGGTATCCGAGATAGGACGCCTACTACGGATATGTTGACTTGTTACTTGGTTTGTTTTCAATTGATAAATATAGGTATGTTGTAAATAGTGAGGGTTTACCTCATAGACCTTACACTTTAGAGCGAGGCCCCGAGCTTTAATATCTCACTATGTTGCACTGGTAACTATATGTAGTTGTATGGTACGAGTGATTTCCGGTGACACGATTGGAGGAGGAAAATGTCGGTTTTGGTTGTCTACGATACACATAAATCTATGTGCCTATATGCATGCGAATCAAATTTTAATATTAAATCTGATGATCTGCAGGGATTGACGGGGTTGATGAGGAATTTGGTCAAGCTAGCCAGAATGTTCGAGTGATAGTTCATGACGCGAATCACTAGTAAGAGAAATTACCATTTATGCTTTTATGGTTCACAACATGTACTGAGAAGAAATCCATCTTTCAAAGTCACATCTCGAGCAATATCAAAAAACCAGGGTAACATTAATTCCCTAGGTGTACAGTTGGAAAAATGGTAAGTAAACCTTAGTAACTCCTGCTTTTCCATTTCTAACTAAAAATACAAAAACATACTTCAAATCTCCAACTCAGGATTCTTCAGACAAAAATATCAGGTCCAGATATGTTATATTTTCTCGAACCCATAATTTGACCCCTCGTGTAATTGCAGAAAAACCAAGCCTAACTTCCAAGCCTGTGTCCCTGTCCACGATGTGTCCACTGACTATTGGCCGGTGCAAAGATCCCCCTACCTGAGGTAGCTGTCCCCGGTGCAGTTGGCACCGGCCTGATAGAGGGGCCTGTTGGGGCCCTCGGCCTTGGTCCTGAAGTATTATCGCCCGGAGTATCAAAAAGCGCATGTATCCAGTTTGGAGTGACGATGAAGTTTCGCCCACCACCGAGTCTGGGGTAAATGTCCGTAAGGAAGAGGTAAAGATGTGCCGCCACAAGACCAGTTGCTTCAACAAGTGCTGCACCAGTGCCGGCCTGAACGAAAGTCATGGCGAGCATGACAAGGGGTAGGAACTTGACAGGGAATGTGGCGATGAAGAAGCTGACTTTTTTGCTACTGTCCTCGAGAGCGGTCCAGTAGTATGCGAGGGCTAGGATGAGGGCTTGACAGAATACCATACCGCCAATGAAGGCGGAGTTGAGAGCCTTTTTCTCACATCTCAGATATTAGGAATCAAGACTCCCCTAGAAAACATTGGTACAGTGTAGGTGTCTACTTACCACTATCACCGACCCGCAAAATATCAGAAACACTAGAAAGTCGCCTGGTCGTGTAAATTTGGTTCTTTCACAGCTGTAGAAACCTTCAGTATATAATCTCGAAGAATAATTCAGCAGGATTACTCACTCGCTAGCATATCTATAAACTGTAAACCCCACAAATTCTCAAAGTCAGATTACGAAGCTCTCAAATTCTCTGAACTTTCGTATTCAAACTTGATAGTATCTACTCACGAAAAAATGTATCCATAATTATTCCCTAAAGCTTGAGTCAGCGCATGTCCGTGGCTAAACTCTTGAATGTAGGACCTACATACCAGTTGGGGGCTCGTCAGGAAGAACGAAGTCAACGGCCGCCATAGCTCAGGCCTTGATAGTTTCCACACCAACGGCGCATGATACACAAGAAATCTGGGGTGTATCAGACCCAGTGCCTGAGAGGCAAACGAGAGGATGAAAGCTGCCCCGGCGAGGGTTCTAGGATCACAACGTGAGCTTTGATCACTTGCATCGACGCGACGCAGGGAAAATGACAAGATTGCAAACTTACCTGCTGACCGGTGGAGCTTGTTGAATAAAGGCTGATATGTTATCCGACATGATCTCTCTCTTTCTAAGTTTCTTCTTCTGGGAATTGATGGTAGAGGTAGTTCACATAGCCTTCATGATCTTGAAGTTCAAGGTGTCATTAAGGGTGGTCAGATGCGTGTGGATTACTCAGCTGCCGCGGTTCCCTGTCACGTGATAGCGAGTATACAAGGCTTGCGCCAAGTCCTGTACTTGAACCCTTTTCCAGGAGCATCTTGCGGGGCATACGGGAGGGCCGTTAATTAATTTGGGGGCGAAACCAACACCGTACAACCCAGGACAATTAATTATAAGAATCAGCCTATTCCCGTAACTAATGGAAATATATTACATGAACTCCCTGGGACATGAAGAATTATCTCAAGTATAGAGCTAGAGTGCCTACCTCATTTGCCTAGGGCCTAGAAGCTCAAGATCTTAAGGTCGAAGGGAGCTACTCTAGACGGAGCTAGAAGAAAGGAGGGGAGAATGAAGAATGTCATTCCTAGCTAGACAACTACATACAAATGATAACCGCGACATTAAACGGCATGGTCACAGTTCAAAATAGCCAACAACCGATCATTGATACAGATACGCAGAGCTGGATTCTAGCTTCTAGAAAGCGATACCCCTAATTACTATAGATTACATATAGTTCTTCTTGTCCCTACTCAAGAAAACACCGAAGCTTGGCCGTAAATGCTATGGCAACTTCTATTTCTTGCTCTACGGGGATCAGAGGTGCATATCGAATTTCACGGATAACAACTCCGCCTTTTATAATTAATGTTGACATCGACTTGAGGACGGGTTTTCTAGCTACATGTATGTGATCCCCTGTTCTTCGCCTGGACTCCAACGGTCTTGCCCGTCAGCTAAACGCTCGCCTAGGTACTCTATCATGGTCTAGGAAAGGCGTTGGAAAACTCTGTTCCCCCCCCCCCCCCCCCCCCCCCCGAAATAATTTCCTTCCATTGGTAGAACAATTTATCGCAAATTCAATATCTCAAATATCGATTAGGCATCGTAGGCTACATGGATATATCGATTGGTAGAGTGTGTGCATGCAATCAGATCTCCTATACCGTTAGAAATAAGTCGAGGCATAGAAGATTCGAGGGTTTTTCGAGAACTATCAGGCAGATGTTTCTCAACTTTACTAATAGTTGACCCTGATAGGGCAATTACGCCAAGAACTTCAGAGGCTGAAAATCCCACGAATATTCCTGTGCAGCGAGTGCACAGTGCACAGTGCGTGACAAGCTCTCAACGGCACGCGCCCTGGCGAGGTCTTACTTGAAGAGTTGAGGCAAGAAAAGGAAAGAAAGAAGTGAAATTAGAAGTAAAACATTCGATTAGGATAATAACAGAGCAAAACATCATGTAGGCAGCCATGCTACGTCTGATATGAGAGACAGAGTATCAAAGAATGAGTACTAACGAGTGTCAACCGCGCGGTTGCTTTGATATCTGGTTCGCGAATTCGGCTGTGGGCGATTCCGCATAGGAAAATTTCCGTTGTTTGCCCTTTGTGAACCCTTGGATACCTAGACTGTTTACATATCTTTGACCTCAGTCAATCGGATGTCGACTCGGACACGGGCACGGGCACGGGCACATTCCCCGCTTGCGACATCTTTGGTCCGGTAATTACTCTAAATTATCTGTGGCAGCGAGGCGAATGTTGCCGATCTGATCGAGGCCACATATTCGGTCAATTGGTTTCTAGACGAACACATGTAAGTAGGGACTTGATTCAGCGCCTGATTGATCGATAGGGGTGAGGTCTGGCACGTTGAGATTCGAGAAATCCATACCTACCATATATTCCGTACATACCGACAGTTTGAGTACCATGGACTGGCCATGGGTGACAAGACCCTTTCACACACCCACCTAACGTTTTTTTCCTTCCTTTCGAGAATGTGCGACATATTTTTGGGTTCCACAGGAATGGAAGCATTGGAGAAGGGAGATTTTTTTTTTGACATGCATCTCAGTTTCCTTTGCTTTTCCTTTCCACAGAGGGAACCTAGCAAGCAATGCCATGGCTTGCTGATATTTTTTCATTTTTTTTTCCTTTCATTTCTTTTTTTTACTGTTCCCCTGCCTGCCGTGGAGGAGCAAGAGAGGTTCCGCACGGACACCTCTGCCAGTGCCTGCAAGATGAGTTTTTTTTTGATACACATTTGCTGAACATCGGACTTTGGCTTTTTAAACCTCGCTCTTGAACACGACTACAGGAAAGTACCTACCATCTTGAGCTGCATACATGGCACTTGGGACCGGGACTGGATCAGACAGTAGAAGGCGATCGTAAGCTTGGTGCCCTCAGGCGGTAGGCAGGCGATATGGCTTCTGAGTCTCGTCGTAAAATACCGGGTGATTAGGGATTCATGTGGTAGGAACGGCGGAACGAACAAGGATTGAAAAGAAAGCAGGAAGCTGCATGGGCTCGCTATTAGAGTGTGTAGAAAATCTTCTCCATCGAGTGGAGAGGAGGGAACGAAATAGAAGTCCACTAGATCTGCGTCAAGAGCTCCCATTTGTAGGCAGCTTAACTGTAAAGAAGCCAGCCCAACCCAACCACTTTTTTAGCCCCATCAACATCCCTCCCTCCATCCATCCATCCATCCATCATCGATCAATCCATCCCATACCTACTACTTGTACCGTATGTACTTACATGTACTATACTATTCTCAATTGCCCCCATCCCATCATGATCATCCCAACCGTTCATCCAGCACCGCCGTTTGATCCGTTATTTTGTAGGTTAGTATCTAGTAAATAAGACTCCATATGGCGCCAGCTACACGCCTTCATTACCCATTACCCTATTGCTCAAATTTTGCGCCTTAGCATGCTTTGGGCAATAGAAAATAATAATGACAATCCAAATGATAGTGAGATACCATATGAGGCCAGAAGAATTTACCTATCTATGTTCTCATCCACGTTATTAAATATGAATCCTTCCTTCTCCCTTTCCTGATAGTGTGTGCTCCTCCTACTCCTCCTTTTTTCTTTCTCTTCTTCTTCTCTCCTCTTCTCGCCGCCATCTCTCTCACTTTCTCTTTAAATTTCACTGCCTCACGCTCTCGTCATCTGTATTCTGTAGAAGCCGTCAGCAACTGCAGAAGAGGAAACAGAAGACGGGGAAGAACAACAAGAAGAGGAAGAAGCAGAAGTATAAGAAGCAGCGTCGGCCTGCCTTTAAAGATTTCTTAAAAGAGAAGGGCGAGGTTCATGCTGTCTGGTGCATTATCTTCATAATTATTATTCCTTGTGGCACGGGCATTGAATCCTTCGTCCCACCTCTTCTATAATCCCTGGAGTCCTTTTTCGCTTTCTTCCTTTGGATTCCCTTTAGGAAGATATTTTATCCTTCCGTAGGCTGTCCCCCCCGCATACGTACTCTAAATACTGACGGCGCGGAAGTACATTGCATTTTCTAGCTCAGTTCTCCACCACTGGCGCGCCTCAAACACTTGTGTCGAACGCCCCCCCCCCCTACCTTGCCAACCCTTACCACCCCCCCCCCCCCAAACTTTCATCTCCCCGAGGAATATCACGGCCATCTTGCCATCAACCTGTCTGGTAATCCGTGTCCAGCATACAATCCGGACGTCTTTTCACCGCCGCTGCTGGCTACTGCTCGTCTCGTCCTTTATATATTTTCTTTTGTCTATCGGTCTCCTCCGGATCCGCTTTTCAATTGTTCTGCCCCGGCTGACGACGACACTCTCTCATAACTTCTGCCCTGCTGCGGCTACATAGCTACTAGTGCTTGCTGTCATTGATTTTCGTACCCGAGTAGCTCGCCCATATTTTGTATCTCAGATCCCGTCATTATTTTTAGTGCCCCTGCATACATATACCCAAGGCTTTCTTCCTTGAACGACAAGAACGACGACAACGACAGAAGAAGGAAAAAAAAAAATCTCCAACTGTTGTTTTCGAGAAGCTCTTCTGTTCCCTCCCATCCAAGATCGCTCCATCCGCCCGTCGAACAACACCAGCTTCCAAGGATCAGAACAAGACAAAGAACACCTGCTGGATTTAGTTCTTTTCTCTTAAAAGAATTACCAAGAAAGAAAAAGAAAAGAGGGGAGGAGAAAAAAAAATCACTTCAGTGAAAGAAGAAGGAAAGCAGGAAAGGAAATAAAAATAAAAAAAATAAGTGGGTTTGTAACAGGAACGAAAGGCTTTCTTTACTGTCGTTTACGGATCTACGCACGTCGCCGCCCCCCTCCTCCTTCGCTTCTCTCCCTTTGATCCATCTGTCGTTACCCGCGCAGACAACGGGATACCGAAGAATCGCTTGTGGAGCCTCGGCCGTACCCGCGAGAGGGCTTTGGAATTGCAATTGGTCTATCTAGGCCATTCCCGTCATCCTGTCGACCGCAACAGCGCTGTCTAGGCCCTCCATAACAAGGTCCGGCCTATCCACAATAGCGCGCCCTGGGTTACAGACCGTGCTTGAGATTCGATCACCAAGTAGCACCCAGAGGCCTGGGTCTAGCTTCTCAGACTCGGATCTGATGGAGCAACAGCTCCCGAGTGAGCCGAACCCGAGAACTCCCTTCTCCGGCGAGGCAGGACAACAGATCCCACTATTGAATACCGCCGATTCAAAGAACGAAAACACAAGTAGTCCAGAGATGGACGGTATGACGCTTTCGGGCCCAATGGACACTCCGATGGGAAATACTCCTAATTCAGGACCAGGAATGGCGCTCGGGGGTGCTGCAGGGATACAACAGCCAAAGGTCCAGACGGCGTTCATCCACAAACTTTACAAGTACTGGATTTCCAACACCCCGGTATTCATTGGAATTAGGCAAAGCATTGTAGGCTGACATCTGGGAAAAATACATGTAGTATGCTCGAGGACGCCAATATTCAGCACTTGATCTCCTGGTCGCCTTCGAATGATAGTTTTGTAGTACAGCCTACAGGAGAGTTTTCGAAAGTTTTAAGGTGCGAGTTAAAATAACAATAACTTGGCATATAAAGCTAACTATAAAACCCTATAGCCAATATTTTAAGCATACCAACATATCATCATTTGTCCGCCAACTCAACATGTATGGTTTTCACAAAGGTAACTCCTACATGCGCTACTGGCAGAAGGCCATTACTGATCTTTTCTGAAGTCAACGACGTGTTCCATACTGGTTCTCCGGATTCAACATTATGGGAATTCAAACATGGCAACGGAAGTTTTAAACGTGGGGATCTAGTTGGCCTGAGAGACATAAAGCGACGGGCTTCGAGGCACGCTCTAATACACCGGGATTCGTTCCCTGGATCAAAAAGCGCTGGCCCATCAGTGCCTGGAACCCCTAATGAACAAATGGGAGATTCTATAGAAAACCGAATGTCGGTGTTTGAGCACACGATAAATGATATCGCATTCAGGCTTAGCCGGACAGAAGAAGCCAATGCCATGCTTTCCAATCGCTGCCAAACTGCGATCGAGGGGCTTACGAGATGTCATCAGGTGAGCCCCGGGTCTAAAGCTTTCTCTATCTTGAGCTTTTTTATGCCTTTTCTTTCCTCTTTACCCTATGTTACTTGCCTTGCTTTTTTTTGCCGTTTATTACATCCTTTCCTCATCCCTTCTAGCCTATTCAGATGCGCGGCTCGCTCATACGTATATAGTGGACAATTGACCTATCGCAATTCATGACGAATTTGTTTCCTTCTGATGCGCCAATTTTACGTGAAAGTAAGAATCGGACTAAGCCGTTCCCCTTCAGCAGGCTATTGAACTAACATAATGTCAAGTTAACTCCATGCAAAAGGAGATTGAACGCCATACTCAGCTCTTGGAGGAACCGCAAGATCTGATGCTTCGTGACCGGCAGCCTATGTTCGCATCATCATTAGGTATGGATAATTCCGCGCCTCTGTCGCCGAGGCAAAGACCCCTAGACGACGAGTCCCGAAGGTCTTCTATAACCGGCCCACTACGACCGGGCGGCTACTTCCGGACCCCGGCACCACCACACATACCGAACCCGCCCAGACGGTTTGCTTCCGGGGCCCTGGCAGGGTCGTCCTCTCCGAACTCACTTCGACCTCAACAGCCCCCTCAGCCCCCGCAGCAGCACCCACTCGCCAATTTTCAATCACCGCCCAGTCATTTGTCACGGCGCCACACTTCGGCGGATATCCGACTCCAGGGCTGGCAGGCAAATTCGCCTTTCAGCGGTCTTCCTCAGAGCGGTGGTCCAGGTCATCAATGGCCACCCTCACCAAATAGGCACCCTCACCCCCAGCATGACAACACAAGAGAAATACTGGCAAACTATGAAATCCAACAGCATAGGCCACCTATCTTCTCTTCACAAACCACGCCGCCACTCAGCGAGACCACATCCACTAACGGCGTCCAAGACAGTGGATGGAACTTCAGTGGTCCGCCAAAGTTTAACCCACGAGAAGCAGCCCACACGGCACCTCCAACTAGGCGCTCAAGCCTTGCATCCAGCAGTGTACATGCTTTGCTGAACCCCACAGACAACTCCTCCGGTGATAACGATAGAGATCGGAGGGAGGGAATGTCCGACGGTGAACCAGAAGATAGGAACAAGCGGAAAAGAATCCAATAAGTATGAATGAACGGGAAGGGGGTGGATAAATAGGGGTCAAGGTTGATATTGGCGGAGAAATTTTTTCGGAAACATATGTTTATGGCGTTTTAAGAGCTTCATTTCTTGTATTATTTGGTTGTTTATTATCCTAATGTCCGAGACGCCTGTTGCTGGGTGAGAGGCACGGGAAAGGAGATGTAAGTTTAACGGAAGGAAATTTGGTACTCGTAACTAAACGTATATCCATGAGATGGGGGCAGAAATTGTTCACCTTCTTCTCTTCGGCTGGAAGATACTTGATACTTGTTGATTGATTATTTTCATTTCTTTTTTCTACTTTCTTTCTTTATTTGGCGTTTGGGGAAGAACAAGTTTACGATGTTCATAACCTATGTACGTTAATACCATCGAAAGGAACGATGATCGTGAGATACCCTACAAGTAGCTAGCGCAACATCTTGATGCTTTTGGGGAACAAAATTTTATTATTTACTATAGTACAATTGAAATGAATTTAAAGATATCTAGTCCCAAATTTACTTTATCCTTTCTTAGTTGGCAAGCTGCTTCTTTTTCTTCTTTTTCTTCTTTGCCTTTTCAACTTTATGCACATCAAGATATGTTCCAAATCGCATAGGACCTTTGGGGGAAGATTCTGTGCTCTCTTCTTTGTCGGCAGAGATGTGAGGTTTGGAGTCCTTTTCGCCATCTTCCTTAATCTCCCCGGTCTTTCCTTCTTTGGTAACTACCTTAGATTCATCTTTTCTCTTTACCTTCTTTTTCCCGATCTTTTGACGCTTTGGTTTTCCCAATGACGACCGCCCCTCCTCTTCATCGTCGTCGTCGTCGTTTTTGGTGCTCGATTGATCATTACCGCTTCGTGGCCGAGGTTTAGAAGCTTCCTGGAAACCGGAAGATGGCTTTGTTTTCCCCATAATTTTCCTTTTGAGGTGCTCATTGGCTGATATTGCTTGTCGCCGGGCCTTGGGGTCCGCGCTATCGAGGAAGTCTTTAGGAATTGGTGCACCAAGGCCTAGTCTGTGTGGAATTAACTATGAGATTAGTTAAGATATTCCTGGAGACCATATTTGAGACATTGAAATTAAAGTGTTTTAAGGTGTTGGAATGTGGGTAACAGCTGGAATCTACCTAGGAGGCATGGGCTTAAATAATTCTGCATCTTCCTTGGCTAGCTGCTCGTCGGTCTTCTGCGATGCAATTTCTTGTGGTGTTGGGGGAGGAAGCCATGACGAGATCAAACGGCGAGATTTGGCTACTGAAACATTTATTGTAGCTTGGATCGCATCCACAGAAGGAGCTGTAGATGCCGACATCGGTGAATTATCTGACTTCTAGAGATGTTCTATGTCCAAGAATAGAACCAAATCAACAAAAGCTTGGGTGGCCGGGTAACGAGGCAGCGTGACCGACCCCCTCCAACGTTACTCCCTGACTCTCCCGACTCCCGAGGCGCTGGAGATAGATAAAAACCCATCTTCACATCAGACCACAACTGCAGCTTGTAGTAATCACCTACATTATATTTATCCCAATCTCCGCTCCTCTCCATCATGTTCAGGCTTGCCAGAAGTAGGCCCGTTTTGGCAGCTTTCAATGCTATCAAGGTATGTTTCATGTTTTATGTTTCGTTTGTTTCTATTATAACCGGATATTTTCGATTTTTTTTGTTTGATACTGGGGTTTATCGTGCTGATTTTGAGTAGGACTCCTCAATTAAAAGCAATGTTTTGCAGTCCCAGAAGCGAAATTTGTCGATTCATGAATATCTCTCGGCCAATCTTCTGAAATCCGTGAGTGGGCTCCACAAATGGCTGTATATATATTATTATATATTATTATATAATATAACACATATATATATTTGGCTACCATCGTGCTGATGGGCAGTGTTTAATTTTGTTTTTCGTTTTTTTGCGAGAAATAGTATGGTATTGGAGTGCCTAAGGGTGCATATGCGAAAACTGCTGAAGAAGCAGAGGCGGTTGCAGAGGAGATCGGTTCGTGAGCATCTTATTCAGGTGCGAAAACAGACTTGGGATTACTGATGTTAAAATACAGGAGGCGATGATATGGTCATCAAAGCACAGGTGCTCGCTGGTGGGCGTGGAAAGGGAACTTTCAGTAACGGACTCAAGGGTGGTGTGCGTGTGATATATTCGTATGTCACCCAACACGCTTTTACCCTCTAGCTTTAAGGGCATGTATTGATTATTTCTAGACCAACAGAGGCCAAGATGTTCGCTGGGCAGATGATCGGCCAGAACCTCATCACCAAGCAAACTGGCGCAGCTGGAAAGCTCTGTACAGGTGTCTACATCTGTGAGCGTAAATTCGCTCGTCGCGAGTTCTACCTTGCCATTTTGATGGACCGTGCTACTCAAGGACCAATCATTGTCTCTTCCTCCCAGGGAGGTATGGATATTGAGGGTGTTGCTAAGGAGAACCCCGAGGCTATCATTACCACCCCTGTTGACATCCACACTGGTGTCACTGATGCCATGGCTACTAAAATTGCTACTGATCTTGGATTCTCTGAGCAATGCATTGAGGAGGCAGCCGATACTATCAAGAAACTTTACAAGGTTTTCGTTGAAAAGGATGCTACCCAGATTGAGATCAACCCCCTGAGCGAGACCAATGATCACAGGGTCATGGCCATGGACGCCAAATTGGGCTTTGATGACAACGCAGAGTTCAGACAACAGGAGATCTTCTCGTGGAGGGACAAGTCCCAGGAGGACCCTGATGAAGTTAAGGCTGCTGAGTATGTAGCTCCCTTAAGCATAAATTCCGTTGTTTTGCGTTACTGATTTTTGTAACAGTCACGGCTTGAACTTCATCAAGCTTGATGGTGACATTGGATGCTTGGTCAATGGTGCCGGTCTTGCTATGGCCACCATGGATATCATCAAGTTGAACGGTGGCCAGCCCGCCAACTTCTTGGACTGTGGTGGTGGAGCTACTGCCCAGGCTATTGAACAGGCCTTCAAGCTCATCACTAGCGACCCTAAAGTCACTGCTATCTTTGTCAACATCTTCGGCGGTATCGTAAGATGTGACGCTATTGCTCAGGGTTTGATCGCCACTGTGTCAAACATGAACCTTAGAATTCCAATTGTTGCTCGTCTCCAGGGCACTAACATGCAGGAGGCTCAGAGATTGGTAATATTGATCATTTCCGAAAACTTCACTGGACCTTGTGACTGACCTGGAGGGTTCTAGATCAATGACTCTGGATTGAAGATTTTCTCATTTGAGGACCTGCAGGATGCTGCTGAGAAAGCAGTGCAGTTCTCGAAAGTCGTTAAGATGGGTAAGCTTTTATGTTCCATACCGGGATCTACTATATGATATGCTAACCAAATCTAGCGCGTGATATCGATGTTGGCGTTGAGTTCACTCTAGGAATCTAGATGGTATATGTAGTTAGTGCTATATACTTGATGCTGTGGTTAGAGAAGCTTTGATTGTTATTGATTCTGGTTGTTGGCATTCTTTGTACAGCTTACTGGGTTTTTTCTTTCTCTCTATATATGCCTGTCTTTAGTACTTTTATTCCCAATTTTCCTTTTTAGCAAATGATGCGCGCTAGTAACGAACCTCACTTTATCAGCCCGCCCAAATGCCCTGAAGCTTGCTTCATGGTTAAGCGGGCATGCGACCAAGTCTATAGTAAGAGACAGGTTTAGTTATTTATACCAAACGAAAATAGATTAGGGAATCATAGGGAAATGTATATTACAATATGTAAGTACCTAAGTACCAGAAACCAACTCTAATTGGGCTAGTCTGTTATTACAAATCCACTAAGATGGACCCTTGCCAAGTTTTAAGCCTCTAAATATTTTCGTTTTGGCCCCTCCAACGGTCTCAACCGTGGGATCCATAGAAAGTTTTTGCCAAACAACTTTCGCAGAAAGTCTTGGCACAGCAACCACAAAATACATGTACTCTAGGTACTAGACTGGGTACAAGGTCAGGATCCATACCATCTTAGGAAAAGTTTCACTGCACCTCACCCCACCAAGAGCCTCACGCTGTCATGTATACTACCTATGCACCCACAAAACCAGATGAGGGGAAACCGCCTGCACCTGAAGAGGATATCTTACTTGAACAGACAAGAAGTACATTCAAAATGCCAACAGAACTTGTGAGATTATCTCCGCCATTTTTTTGACTCAAAATGATTGCTAATCGAATGTACGGAATTTAGGAAGAGCTTGTAGGGTTTTTGGGATCTCCGCGACCGGAAATCAGACAAATAGGTATCAATTTAGTTTGGGCGGAATGCTGTTTCACCCTCGAAGGCTATTTTCAAAACAGAGACTGACTAGATTGCTCTTTTGAAGCGCTTGAGAACTTAGTCGGATACAGCAAAGGCCCTCAGTCTGCAATTTTTAAACCAGAGGGTCTCGCGCCAATCAAAAACCTTAAACTTCTTGTCGGCGATGTCTCAGTAAGAACTCTACGAGAAACTTACAGCAATAGTGAACTTACTAATAAAAATCGTCCATTAGGCACGAGCAGTCCATGCCTTAAAGATATTAATAAATATCTCCGATGACGCAGCTGTGCTCAAGGACATCGCAAACGATGATCTCTTCCTTGAACTGTTGCTCTCAAAGATCACAGACTCGGAAAACGCACATGCAGACCTAATCGCGATGCTCCTAGCAAATATGGCGAAGAGCGACTCAATTCAACGAATTTTGGACCTAAAGCGCGCTGTCCCGGGGAAGGGAGTTAGCGACAGCCCTAATACCCTCGATCAACTTATGGACTGCTTCGTAAAGGGCGCAGAGAAGAAGCTTAACAAGAATGCCGACTTCGACTATCTAGCTTACTTCTTTGCGGACTTGAGTAGACTGCCACAGGGTAGAAAATACTTTATCGCGAGACAGGCATATGATGGTGTCATTCCAATCTCAAAATTGGTTGTGTTCACGGAACACCATAGTACCATTAGGAGGAAGGGTGTTGCATCTACTATCAAGTAAATATTTACCCCCTGGTTTTTTTTAAAATATGATATAAATGCTAACATGATGTGTTAAGGAACTCGTGCTTCGATATACCTTCACACACTGCTTTCTTGAGTGAGGATGAGGTGAACCTTTTGCCGTATATCTTACTACCACTATGTGGACCCGAAGAGTTCCCTGAAAAAGTAAGTTATCTCTTTAATAATGCTAATTATCAGGAAAGAAATGCTGATCAGAGCTTTTAATGATAGGAAATGCTGGAAATGCCGGCTGATCTTCAGATGCTTCCTCCAGACAAGAAGCGTGACACTGACATGTCAATTCTTGTTACACACATTGAAACACTTTTGATTCTCACCACCACAAGACCAGCACGAGAATACATAAGAAAGGTCAACGTCTATACAGTAATCAAGGAGTGCCATATGGCGGTTGACGACGATGATGTTCAGGATGCATGTGACAGACTTGTCCAAGTCCTGATGAGAGATGAGGCCGATGGTGATGAGGGTGGGTTCGTGCAGACGGCGGAAGGTGACGAGGAAGATGAAGACGATGATAAAATAGTTGAGATATTGTGAGGGGACCTTTTCCTGCTTTTCCTTTTTTTTTCTTTCTGTATAAATGGTATAATTTAGAGTAAATCTCGAGGGTTAGTTATTTCATAGCTAGAGGTTTCCGGTTACACCCAGTTCTGAATACAAAAAATTCGATATCAGGCAGGCCCCTTTGTCTAAGGGACTTTCCGTTCACCTTTGGCAATTCACCTCCAAATTTGGCTATAAAATAGGCATTAAAAAAAGCTTCAACAGCTGCATGCACTAAACAACCAAACAGGCAACTCAATATTTCTGAATAAACATTCTCAGTTACCCGGCTGTTTCACCTGTTCCTGCATGTGGCATCATCCAGGCCGGATTAACCCCAGTCCAAAAGCCGGTTCAGCGCCCCGTTCAACCTGCTCCCACGATAAAGTAGATCTGTCATCATCAATATCCGCACCCCAGCGTCCATAAAACTTTGCAATGCAGCGCTCCGGTTATCTTCCAGCATCCGGCGCATCACCTCCTCTTCACCATCCCGTTCCCCAGCACCATGTACCTATTCCAGTGATGCACTCTCCACCACCTCCACATACCGCTACGGCGTACAGCTCGCCGTACGCCCAACAACCAATGCAGAACACAATGGGAAATCAACAGCCGATCCAGGGCATGCATCCTGCGTATGGCGATTTCTTTAGTGATCCCAGGGCCGCGATGGCTTTTCAGGTCGGAGGAAGAGCTACTGAAGCTGCTGGTGCTTATGTGGAGCAAAACGTAGGTTCCCCCGCCTCAGGTTCTAGCCAATGGGAAGACACCTGCAGATTTCTAAGTGAATTGTCCTCTAGTTTGGGAAATATTTGCAAGTAGGCGCATTAAAACATTATTTCAACGTCTCCAACAGTTACGTGCTCCGGAAACTATACCTTGTACTTTTCCCATGGCGACATAAGCCATGGTCTCGCAGTGGGTCTCAAAGAGCTGGGGCAAATGGCCAGGTTGATACTTATTTCCTTCCACCGAGAGATGATATCAATTCGCCCGATATGTATATTCCAGGTACATCGCGTTTACCCATGTGGCGTTGTTCATAGCTTACCCAGCTTGATGGCTTGCAGTTATGGCGTTTGTCACTTACATCCTTCTATCGACTCTCCTTTACGGTCTTGCCGGACATTTTAACCCCGAACAGCTCGGTTACACTGCATCCTTTGCATTTACTATTGTGATCCTTGAGATCGGTATTATTAAGATCGGATGTTATCTTTTAAGCATCAATAATGACAGTCAATTGATGGATCTCGTGGCGTATTCTGGATATAAGTTCGTGGGGATTATCGTCACGCTGGCTATGACAACTCTCGGGTCCCGATGGTTAGAATATTTGGTATTTGCCTATACTTTCAACGCGAATGCGTTCTTCTTAGTACGTGCTAGTTTTCTTTTATTGGTTCATCCAGCGGTATAATTTCTAACTTGAAATAGTTACGGAGCTTGAAATATGTTCTACTCCCGGATAACACAGCGGACAATCCACGAGGCACTATGTATGCTGTCAATCGAACCCAGAAGAACCGTCGCACCCAATTCTTGTTCTTGTACAGCTATATTGTCCAAGTTATTTTTATGTGGGCACTTTCATCAGGATTCAATAGCGCAACCTCTGGGAAGAAGTAAGCACTTAGCTTACTGGCGGAAAATGTTTGGAAAATATCGGTGTGGTTGGGGGTGCAAGGGAGTTTCTTTTGTTTAATTTGCATTGCTCCTTGGGAATAACATTTACATATACCGGCGCGTAGCATTTGTTGGCTGTAAATACACACATCAAAGTTTAGTTTGTTTACGAAGATACATACTGATGCAGCAACATATCATCCGTCTTAAAGCTATAACAAGGAACAAGGGACTACATACATAGTATTAGCTTCCTACGATCAAACTTGGTCGCACATGTTGACGGTTTGCTGCATAGCTTATCACTCGCGTGCTGTGCCACATCACCTGAAATAGAATGTGCATCTTGAAAATGTACATTTTAGAGCTTTCAGAAGGAGTTTTATAAAGACAGCTATTTAACTATCCTATATACTTTAGTAAATATCCCACCTCTTACTTTGTCCCAAAATAAACACACGAATGCCATCCCTCAACATGTTCCCTGTCAAGAAAAACCCCGAGCGTAACCAAAATCCCAGATCCGACTTCTACTCAATTCCCGAGACCTTTACAAACGCGCCGCCGAACGACGATACGAGGGCGGCAACGTTCCCCAAAGCCTTACCATATGTTCTATAAGACCCCATTGCGCACCAATCAGATACATAACCCACGCCCCGCCCAGCCCTGGCAGAGTAATAGGCTACGAGTCTGCTGGTTGTAGTGATCCAATGAATGTCTATGGATGTGGTGGAGGGCGTATGGGTTATCGAATCTTAGAGTTTGGGCCCCGGAGGACAGGGAGGCCGGGCGTTAGTAGTGTGGATGCTGCTCTGGTGTCTTAGGAGCGGGAGACTTGTTTGATTAATACGTCTGTTTGTGCGCGGCGGGGTTGACGTAGAGAGTTGTAGAAGGTGGATTAATATGTAAAGGTACCACGCATATAGATGGGGTCTTTTGGGAACGGTGCTCGTACTTGTGCGTGCGGGGAATGGCATAGTGGCTTGATATTAGGCGGGGTACAAGCCTGCATCCACATATTACTGTTATCCTCTTCCCTACTTTATCCTGTCCATTTTCTTTTGAAGTGGCACCGGCCTGAGTTAACTGCCAGAGTAGAAATCCAGCAGCTTATCGGTCCAGTTCCATGCCCATGGATCCAGGGGTCCAGAGCTATAGCTAACTAGCCATCGTGACATAACTATGATCTTCCGAAGCAGTCGGAAATACAGAGTCCTGAAGGTAGTCGAATCTGCGACGGGATACCCCACGCCCTTGGCGAATGTAGGGTTGTTTAAAGTTTAATTACGATCGTGTTTACCGGCATCTGATCCGATGACGGGTAGGTCTAGATGAAACGAGATGAAACTTGGACAGAACCCGTCTTGTTTTAGGCTCAAAGATGTCAGCGGCGCCGCCCTCAAGATTTCGGGACTTTGGACGTGTATCATCATGCAAGCACTTCAGTTACGATTCATGTACCTGGGTCGGGGTACATTGCAATTGAGCCAGTCCCCCAGCCCATTCATTACCCGGCCACATGTGCGAAGACCGAAGCCTTCACGGATTTTACATCTTAGCGGGAACAACCGGATTTCAACCCCCTTCCAGGAGCGAGGAGTGCTCCAGATCACCAGACCCCTGGTAGGGCGTACTATAGCTATATCTTCGCGAATAGAGTAGATCATATCTCCAGGTATAGTGGCCCTGCATATGTGGCATGTGAGACTGCATATATCCACTAATAGCCATGGATATGACGTCCGTAGAGACACCTGAAGTTTATTCGACTTTTGCTACTGCTAGATAATCTCCGTTTATCTTTGGGCAAAAGAAAGGGCTCTAAAAGCTTCCGTTCTCAGATATTTCCACCAGATACGTCACCCCCGAGCCGGGGCATCTTGAGATCGTCCAGGCCTTGTCGGTCATTATACCAAGCTTTTTTATCTAGCAGGCTGTTCGAACAATCTTCATCTCGTATTCAGCACTCTACTGTAGTTTACACAAAGCCGTCGGTGTTACGTGCCATGGATGGCAAGCTCGGTGACTGGTTTCCTGAAGATAAAATAGCTCAAAAAGGCTATTCATCGTTATTCGATGAAAAAAACCCTATCAAAGCCAATATGTAACTTCTATTTTACTTTATCATGGTACGGCTGTAGAGTTGTCCCCCAGGATACGTGTCAATGATCGACATTACCGGTTTTTTCTCATTTTGGGTTTATACCGTTTAAAGATCCCTCTAAAGGGATGAATCCACGTGCATCTATATCAGCTACTGATCTAGCATCGAATCAAATATACTCAGATAGCCAAGTAGATGCTTCCGGGAGCACTCACTACTCAAATGGTATTTACAAATTGCAGCTAACCTGGGCGCTTTAATCCTGGTTACCCGGAACACCCCAAACTATCAAATCTTTAATCATTTACCCCACCAACCCCCACCATTAACCCCACCACCACCACAACAACCACTCCCGCAACCACGCCCTCCCACAGCCCAAAATGACTACGCCTACAAAATCCCTAGAAGCATCCACGCTCTCCCTCCTAGCACTAATATCACACAGCCGCAACCTCCTCTCCAGCGGCAGCATAGCCCCAGCCCCCAAGCCCTCCACCGACAACCCACTCGACATCCTCCACGACATCGGCGCCCTCACACGCGCCCACACCACCAAGCTCTCCATCGCGATCCGGCCACCCAACATCATCTACGATGCCGCCGCGCGCTGCGTCCAGGACATCACACAGTTCGTTGTGCCCCCGCTACTGGCCACAGTGGAGCTCATGTCGCCCAAGCAGCACGGAAGCACCCTGTATACTGCTGTGCTCAGGGCCGCCGACAACACCCTGGCGGCGCTGGAGGAGTTTGCGAAGGAGATCCCCGAGATCTGCCGAGCGGGAAGAGCGCGGGGGCGAGAGATCGGCTGGCGAGCACGGGTGTGGTGTGGCAGGCTGGTGATGGGCTGGTCGCGCTGAGGGCGAAGGGTCTTGCCGGGTGGTCCAGGATGTGGTGGAGTCGCATATGGCGATGCTGAAAGATGCTATGGCGGAACTCAAGGAGTGGCTTGAGAGTAACGACGACGACGACGAAGATGATGAGGCGGATGGTGAAGCCAAGGACGAGGATGCGTTCTGGGATGCGCCAAAGAAGGCCCTCGCAAAGGACGACACTGAGGCTAGGGAGAAAGTGGACGCATCGTTAAAGAAGATGAAATTGGTCACTATTCTCCTCAACGCGGTGGTAAAGCGAAGACTGGCAGGTGAGGGAAAGTTACAGGATACCCAGCGATTGGATACGATCGCAGAATTGGCAAAGAGTGTGGCAAACTCGGGAGACGATATCGGCATGGGATACTATGAGGACAATACAGACGAGGCTGTGCGGACTCCTCTTTCTTCTCCACTATGGAAGTTACTGATTGGGGTTATTGACAGGCTGAGGCGCAAAAAGAGTTCGAGAAGAAAGCCATTGAGTTGGCAGAGCTGGCAACCCTTGCGAACGATGGTAATGATGATTCGTTCAGCAAGTGGTTCCGGAATTGCAGAGACGCAATTTCAAAGAATGGCTGATCAGAAAGCGATGAATAAAACAAAACAAAAAAATATAGACAAATACCCCCCAATTATCAACGAGCAAATACTTAGGTTGTAGGATCATAGGAAATCACTCGGCTCCAATCGGAGACATTGCGGGTAATATGCCTCACCACCACCACGGATACACTTTTCGCCGAAGATCCGATGCTGCGTCGCGGGATGGGCACAAGTGTAGATATCCCGAACCAAAGCTCAAATACAAGCTGCATACATGAGCCTCCCAATTTGATTCTATGCATTTCCGCTATTCCACGTCCTCATCTATACAACTAAACCCAACCCAATAAAACCACATGCTAAGTATGCTCATATGCAAATATGCAATCCGCCAGCCAGCCAGACCAGACACCTCCAACAGCAATAACAAAAAAGACGAAAAAAGAAATCCACACGCCAAAGGAATGACAAAAACCCCAGAGCCCAAGCCATCAAGCCATCAAACCATCCCATCCGTCCTTTTCACTTCCAAAAATAAATAAGTGTAGCCAATGCAATGAAAGAATGAGAAAAAATGCCAAAGGAACAAAAAAGCTATATATACATTTCCCAAGCTAAAAGAAGTCCAAACCCGCTGCTTACGTGAGAATAAGATAGGAATAAAATAGTAATACTGAAACCCGAGCTTTTTTTTTAACGCTGACTGTTGTCGCTAAGGACTGCAGGAGCAGGTCTCTCCACAACATCAACACTACTAATCGTCGTCAACCCCGCACCCCCTGTGCCGTCTCCGCACCCGCCGCCCCAGCCGCCGGAGGCGCAGGCTCATTAACCGTAACCGACGAGCCCGCTCTACTCCCGCTCATGCGCCGGTTAAAGACCCTTCTCAGCCTACTGATCCCCAACTCTGGCGCGCGGCTCCTTGGTGGTCTGGTGCCATTCTCTTCTCGCAGCTGCCTCAAGGCGGCCATGCGTTCGTCACTTGAAGAGCTGCCGCGTGCGATATCGAGATAGCGCATTATGCGGCTGCCACTCTGAATTGGTTCTGGGGCTGGTGGAGGGTTACTTCGATGGATTGACGCTGGTCTTCAGGCGGAGGTCGATACGGCTGTTCCGAGATGTTAGTTACAGAGCTTTTAGAGAGGCATGAGTGATGCTTAGACATACCATAATGGACAAGAACCAGCAACATTAAGTAGCCATGGGTCTATACAATCAGGGTGAAAACTGTGGTGGCACGGCAGGACACGCAGATCCACTCCCGACTCAAAATCTTCCATACAAACCGGGCACCTCAACTGGGACGGATCCATCTCTGACGTTGACATCACCGCCGGCTCGGCGCCCTCCCTCGCAACGGCATCCTCACCAGAAACCTGTGCAATCCCACTCACATTGGGCGTAGACTGCGATGCCACCGAAGGCACGACAGACCTTCTACGATCCTCCTCAGACGTCCTGGATGTGATTGAGTCAGGTGCCATCTCCAGGTCGGTTGGTTTGACAATCCCATCATTGGCACCTCCCGGAGCTGGCGGATCTCCGAAACGGACGATCGGCAGAGTGTCCAAAACTGCTCTTGCGAGGCCTTTGGCTCTTGACTGGCGGGGCGGCCAAACCGGGGTGCTCGCGGGCCGTAACGTTCCGGATGCCTGTGGGCCCGGATTGCACCGATCAGGATGATAAGCAGGAACAACGCAGTAATAACTCCGGTGATGCTGTAGAGGATTATCAGCGCTACGCTGGTAGACGGCGAGGGCCCCAGAACGCTGTTGTTCTGGTTGGAAGACAGGCTGTTTCGGTCCTGTTGGGTTGGCTGATCTTCGACGCTACTGTCATAATTTATCGAGACATCGAGCTTATCGCCGGTGGTATTCATGAGGAGTTGGAAGTCGTTTGCAGATTCTCTGTCGAGGGTTGTAAATACGAGGTCGTAATTGTAGTCTTGCTGTGGATTGTAGTCGCAATAGTCGTGCTCGACGGTGTAGAATATCACGCAATATGGTTGGGGTTTCTGAGAGATTGCTTTGAGGAAGGTAGCGGAGGCATTATTTCCGTTGGAGGAGTCGCAGGATATGAATGCCAAGTTGCCAGTGGAGAATTCCCGGTCCGTATCGGAAGTGTACAGGACTAGGTTGTTGACAAAGTTCTTCACTTTCTGGGATTGGACAAATTAGTAACATGTTCATATCTCCATATTCATGTTTTCATAACCAGCATCCCCCACCCAGACGAAACAAATAACCAGATAGCATATACAGATAAAATGCATCCACAGTTTAACTCTCTCCCTCACTCTCCTCTCCCATGCAGAACGAATAATGCTTGCAACGTACCCTTGTATTAGCTTGATCGTGATTGGCATCTAGTGGCAGTTGGTTTATTGGGACTGAGTATGTCCGTGTTCCGTCCGTGGTGGACATGACAAGCCCACCGCGGTTTATCAAGTCCCCATTGTCCCCCGTTTCAATCAACTCTCCCACAGCCCTCCCACACAACATCGTGACCACGACGAGAACAATAGCGACTGCAGATAACGACCATGACTGAAAATATGGCGGACCCCGGTTGAGACGATGCGCGCGGCTAGATCTCGCAGGAGTCTCCATCTCGCGGCAGCAGCAGCAGCAGAATGAGGATGAACGCAGCGAATAATGCGGGGGCCCCGAGCAGCGGAAAAAAGTTAAAAGGAATCAGTAGAGGGGAGAGGGGGGCTACAGTATTTTGTACTTTTTTTTGAGGGGGCAGCTGAGGCTCGACCGCAGACTGCGGATAGGCTGACAGGGGGAGGGGGGGCAAATTGTGGAGGTGGACGATGATTTATCATTCAAGGCTACTTACTTACAGGCTCCGTGTACTTACTGACTCTCACTGCCGCAGTTTCTCTTGGCTGTGTTGTTTTGTTTGGATATCAGGCAAATAACGCTTTGTTTGGCTGGTTTAGTGTGGAGAGTGGGAGGAGTGTGGAATGGAAACAACTCTGGCTGGTGGTACGTATCTCTCGCCCTGTGTGTGTATGTTTTGAACAATCGCTTCTACTCTTGATCGCCAAATACGAACATTATGATGCCATAGATTAATATCCTGTATGTCTGTGGAGCAGCAGAGTACGTACTCTCTACTCTATCCCCCGTTGTTCAATCAAATTCAACCTTGATTGCTAGGTACAAATCCTTCCGCTACTCTACATAACGGGAAAGCTTTCCTACCAACACCACCACAACCACTATGTACTACCACCACAATCATCTACGCCTCAAGAATTCCCCCCCCCCCCCCCCCGAGCCTGGGATCTTAAAAACTCGATGTGGGGGTACGTCTCATAACCTCGGGGGAATGCGATACGGTACGAGCTTCACAACGCGATCGCCCAGGCATATCGATTGGAGGTTTTAAGGCCGTCAGGGGTCATGATACTGGGTTGTTGTCTGTTCTAGGATCCCATTGTGCCCATAATCATAATTGAGACAAATAGCCTGTCACCTCCACAATTGGAACTTGTCCAACGCTTGGTCAATGTAGAGAGAGGGGTATTCAATATTCTTGGAAGTAAAGCTTCTCTGGTAGCCGGGATTGCCGAGGATATGCCCAGAGATCGGAATAATAGTTGGTTATTTTTTTCTGATCACCAATGTGCGGTGAGTATAAATATGTCTCTAGCTTCCAACTTTTTGTCGGAAAATCCACAAGCAATCGGCTGCTAGGCATACATCCGAATAGTAGTTCCGCACTTGCATGTACAGATGCACTTACTCCAGAGATATTTCTCGTCGTCCCTTGCGTTGCCAAGGTCGACTAACAAATAAAGATAAAGTGCTGTTCTGATCAAACAATTGTCCTAGACATTGTCCTCGGATTTATCGTCTAAGTTTATGTGTATGTATGTACACACCCGACTTGTATAACCAACATTCGGTGAACTTTGTTTCCGCTCCGATGGTAATTGTGATCTTTCTCAGACCAGTAATTTTCGGCATGTCGCTAGGATATTTTTTTGTGCGGGGTGGTGTGGGTGTGGGGCATAGCGTTGATGAGATTTGTGGGGAGGAAAGGCGCAACGCATGTGGGGTCCTTCGGAATCGGGTCCAGAGATGCACCCGGGAAGGTACCTCCACAGCCGGACTCCAGGAAGAAACCTGGGAAGAAGGATCGATGAAGGATGTCTCGGTGGTAAGAATCAATTTGCCACTCGCTCTGATCGGAATCGGAGCCAAATGAAATGCTACTCGAAAATCGGGAATTAACAGCAACCTTTCAGAGACAACATATCGGAGGTTTCGTTCATTGAGGTGAGGTAACATGCACGTGGCATATAGAGTTGTGAAATGTGTTTCAAAAAACAATCTTTCGGATTAACCGGGGATCTTGCCCGGGCACCGGCCCTAGCGTCCTCTCCGGAAAAATGGAAAAAATTGAAGACCCGGCCGTGCCTGGTCATCCCCCAGTTTTTTGACTTTATGCCCCGGTGTTTGTTCTCCACAGTAACATGAGGAAAAAGGGTTCAAAAGGGTAATCTAAATTCTTGCAGGTACCTTGGGGTCATCGGTTGCGCACGTACGGGGAACAGTGAAACCCCAGAAAATTAATCTATCAGAGATCCCTCCTCGACTGTGCTGGCCTCTTATTGGTACTCCATAATGACCGTTGCTGGCCGGCTGTTGTGTACTTTCTCCTCTTCGTTAAACGATACGAATACGAGAGAGTCAACTTCGACTAGCAAACAGGAGCATGTATTTATGATGGTGTATACTAGATGAGACAAGAGCTATCTAGACCGTGGCGATGGTTTCTGAGGATATTAGTAAATACTTGCTCTTTGGCTCAGCCCCGAAGTCATTCCGTTGCTTAGAATTGAGATCTCTGAGTGATATATCGTGATCCAAAAACATTGATACATCCTCATCCACAGTGCCCCCAACGTACTAGCAGGACCAGACCATGAAACCTGGGCCAGAAGAGGAACCTGCATACATCTCATGTTTGTCGCTGTGACACGTGTGACAGGAGGATGCTCTGGAATTCCGGATAAAATACAATAAATCCGGTGGAATTCCGGATCATTGCCGAAAAACGTTCCCCACAAAGCGTAGGGGCTAGGCCAATACAATATAATACTTGCAGGTAGGTCAATAAATTTGGTTCCAGCTAATCTTGTTTGTAATGTCTGGTTAATATCGAGATTTTTGTAGCTGGGGTGGAAAGCCCCTAGATGAATGAGGGATGCAATTGAGAGCATGTTAGCTAGATGACATTTGAGGACGAGGAACACATCTTATCAGCTGTACGACAGAGAGGCCTAGATGCTAACTACATATGTAGTAAATGAGAAAATTCTAAATAGGCTCATGCCAGAAGCGGTTGAAATTTGGAAAAAACCAAGGTTACAGTTTGATGATTTTGTCATATGGAGACATCCGAATTATCAGCAATGACATGCTCAGAAAGACTGAAAGAGAAGGTCAGGTATTGAAGGCGAGAAATCAAGCAGCAGTGATTATATTTCAACTGAAAGACTGGCCTCAAAAACTTTATCTTTGAGCGAAGCTCCAACCTAGCCCTTTTTCTGGGCAGTCTAATGCACATGACCCATAGCCCTATTTCGAAACCTAACTCACCAAGTCAAATATATTGTAAACCGCTTGGCCCTACCACCCCATGATCATCTATTTCGCTTATTCGTGTAAGCACTATCGGATTTAGAGGGTTTGGATAGGTGGGAGATATAGTTCTGACAAGCCTCCCTACACTGAGTGTGGGTATTCCTGCGCACCAGCAATACACATATCTTTCCCTTTTGCTCCCCAACGATAGGAGGGCGGTCATCTTTGCACGAGGTGAGAGGGATGATGATGATGATGAATGATGCAGGTTGATTAAAGTTAGACCTTAAGCTTTCCAGGGGTTATTTAAGGCATATCCCATAGGTTATATTAAACCAGTAGGTTTTAAATAAAAGTTAGATTGCATCTTTACTTTACATTTTTCGTTGTCTACGTCAATATCTTCCTGGTGAGTTATGTGGTTGGGGGATGCTGGCTGGATAAAGTTATGTATCGTTTTAGCTGGCTATGGGTTTCAGGCGAAGTTGAGTAAGAGTCGAGTGATAATACGTGAACGAAATTTGCGTGCCATACATGTAACATTCCTAGAGTCATAGATATAAAACACCAAAATAAGTGCGTAAATTTATACGAGATTTAAGCACATAGGTCCTTAGCGTAAAAATCTAGCAGAGCTTTCATAGGATTAATGATATCGCCCTAATGGCGTTTGTAGTTATATACATACATGTATAGATACCGACATAATATGGATTTGGGAATAAGCCTAGGCGCTAACGCTTAACCTCCATTGAGTAAATAAGACCAAGCGAACATTTGCCGATCGACCGCTTACGCCCTGGAAAAGACTTGCGCCATATCTAAGCTCAACTAATTGTAGCGAGGATTCTCCATCTTCGCTGGTGCTGATCCCCCACTTCAATCTCCTTTGGCTTCCACCTTCCTTACGGATACCCCGCCATGCGTTCTGTTACCACAACCCCACCCTTATCACTATCACACTGATAATCCAATCGGTACCTCGCCCTGTCGGATAGCCCTGTAGAGTACTCCTATGATCCATCTCGCGTTGGTTGACCTTTCCAGAATAGGCGTGGGTGTATTCCGTAATTTGAGACACGGCCCTATGCAGATGTAATTGACCGTGAACAGTAAGTTGTGCATATGCACTCCATGATCTTCCGAGCCCTTCAAATAGCGTTCTAGAGCTCTTCGATTTAGTACCTAACCCAGTCTCTAGAGCTGCAGAGAATCTCCTTTAATTCGTCGATTTTAACAGGCTCATGAATATGCTCCAGTTACCCCTGATGGTTTGGGGTTCTAGAAAGAAAGAAAAAACTTTGATCTTGGTATGTGACTCCATAGGGTAATATTTTTCTGCTGTGGGCCATCTCATAATTATAGGCGGCCCCGATCGTTACTCGCATATTCGACCAACTGTATGTGCGGGATAACAAGCAAACAGCCGCGGGTTTAATCTTTCTGCTAGACATAACTGCAGCTTCTTTTGAAGTTAAAGGTATGGGGGATTACTTTAGCTGAGCGAGCTGGGCAGAGTAGAAAGGCTGAAAGCCTATGTAGAGTAGGTGCTCTAGCTCCCATGCAACCTGCAAGTACGTACTCTACTCTAGAGTAGACTCGTAGCGTAGGTAAAGACACTCCGCTAGTAAGTCTGCTAAGACCTTCGTACAGCTTTCAAAGCACCCCAAAATCGAACGCTGAGTTACGTTTCTTCGATAATAGGTCCTCTTCTGAGGACATCTAGAGTTGTATCTGTCGAAAGCTGAGTGACATCACGAAAATTATTGTTCGCACAGAATTTTCTTGTCGATGCAGCATAGTAAAGAATTTTCAAAACGCTGGCGTTGCTGTCAATGTAAAGGCTGATGCAGGGGGTACATCCTCACATTCGCATATTGCAGACGACATACTTTAAATCCCCCAGAGTATGTAGAGTGTTGACGTCGATTGTTTCAGTGCGCACCGGGGCTGCATTGATTAACCGCTACCACTGCATCTATGGTATCATTGTGTAGAGTACCGAGATTTCCGTTTCCGTTGCCACTGATCTGCCCCGCACATTGATTGTTTTGAAGAAAACGATTATTGATGGTTGTTGTTGTAGTCGGGTATGGGTGCTTTGTGGACCAGACAGGCCCGAAGAAAATTCCTATTTTCTAGCGGTTATGTTGGCCACCATCACTCCCGATTGGTGACACGTACATGCGGTAACTAAGCACCTTCTCTGGAAGCTCTTCCATCAAAATTTTCGTCATTTCTAACGATGGGGCCGGTTGAAACCATGACAGCTGTTACCCCAGAATTCTGAAACTTGCGCCAAAAAAACTCACGTAGTCCCGAAATCACGCTGCCGGCTGCTAAAACCGATTCTGAGAAATCGGGTAGAGCTTCTCACCAATTTCACGAACACAATCCACATGTGATTGTAACTGGAGCTGGAAAGCTGAGAATTCTATTGCAGCTCCCGGAATACCGACCGATGGAGCACTGCGGTAACTGAACCTGGCGCCGAATCGGAACAGATGGAAGAGAGCAATATGGATATGCAAATACTCCAAGGAAGCCGATGTAATCAGATAACTGATATGAATGCCCGATAGCCAGTGGATGTTGAACCCCTCATGGAAACTAGTTCCGATGCGAGGGGTTCGGGTTCGGGTCTGTTACTGCCCTTATTGGCGGTCCTTGTCTCCTCATTGGTGATCTTGGTTTCTTGTGAGAAACTCGAGTGATGTTGGGTGATAGTGGCTGGCCAGGATAGCAAGAGATTCGAGATTCTAAATATTGTCGTTGTTATTGTTGCCTTTTCAGGAACGAGATAATGTACCATGCACACCCAGCTCAGAGGTGCAGAACTAGTGTCTTGAAGGGAGCATTGGTATCATTGTGGATTGTGGGGCATTTCTGCGGTGAGGTTATGTAGAACAGACATTAGCTTGTGTTAGAAACCTCGAGAATGTGCTCTAGTGTCTTTGATTGTGGGAAAATGTGTGTGCACGAAGCCCGTGGGGTTTTTGCGGGGGAGAGAAGCTCGGGTGGTGGTGGTCGTCTAAATAAACATCGACAAGTCAATGATGGAGAATGTATCTTTTGGTAAACGTAACACCCCATGACGGTTGCATGATTACAGCTGCCGAGGAGAATTCTAGAAGCAAGCAAATAAGCATACTAAAGGGCTTAGAGGATGGCAGTGAAACAAAAAGGAAAACTGGAAGCGAATCGAAACATTATTGCAATCTAAATATATTCGGGGGTAGAACGCATTAGGCTGAAGGCGAATAGAATGTTTGAACTTGCGTAAGAAATCCCAGCTAGACAGCGCGAACGGACTGATTCAGGGGAGTGCTTACGAACATCCAGTAACAGTGCGTTATGCGTGCCATGCGTGCCACATCAGAGAAGGTTCACTGTGTGCACTGTGCAGCGAAAATTTGGGAAAAAGATTTCTCATATGCACATATCTGCACACTTTCTAGGTACATGTAGGCACTCTGGGTAGAGGAGGTACTTCTACTTTACATTCTCTCAGACTCGCAGAGATCAGGGAGCAACATAATGCTTGTTAGAGTGCAGTCCACTGTAGCTAGAGCGATGAAGGTGGTAGAGAATTCCATTGTCGTCCAGCGGCATGACGGGAAAGAAGGTGTGTAGAATAAAGTGATTTCCTAGGCATGTCGGCCCTGGCTCGCTGTGAAGAAAACCCGGGAGTTGGATAAGCCTGTCGTGTTGCGAACACTTTATTTAGTCGGAGAGTCCAGCCGGCGAACGGCGTGGGACTTGTGCCGCGCCGAAACCAGCATGCACAGGGTTGTAATCCCTCCAGTCCAGTTTCGAACGGGGCTGGGGAACTTCCCATGTGGGAAGGGGAACTGCCCAAAGAGCAGGATCCCTTTGTATGGCGACGATCCTATCCTGTTGTGTCAAAGTGTGGTCCTGTGTGGATGAGGAAGGGAGGTCAGCTCAAGACTTCACACATAAAGAGACCACGCTGTCCTCAGTGTCCCTGGTTTCCTTTCTCTCCCCAACACACCAGTCTCTGCGCTCCAGCTGAGTTCTCGATGAAGTGGCCTATTCAAGGTGACGCTGTTCGTTAGCCAGCGGTCTTCATTAGGGAATTGTTTCTGTGACTCTTCTCTGACTCTTCCTATTCTGACTCCTCGAGTCACGTTTTACACTCACTATTTCGTTTGTGTTTATCTGTCCTCAACGTTGTTTACACGCTTCATCTTCCCGTCCTGCACCAGTCTGCAGTGGGAGAGAAGGAGCTATCCACTACCACTACTTCCACACATTACACTTACACTTATTACCAACAAATTCCATCACAAACGCGTCTAGATTGATCCTGCATACACACTGCATCTCATCATTCTCTCATCACCATCCCCATCATCATCAGCTTCGTTGTCTGTTGAATACCCCCCCCCCCTTTCTTCATTACGTCATGCCTTCACAATTCATCGATTCTTTCTCTCCAATGGAGGCTTCCATCGATTCTCCCACCGTTACAAAGGACGAACCTCTCGACTTTGATGACTTCGGTAGTCTCGGTATGTTGATGACCGGTCCAATCACTCCAGCCTCGACAGCTCCGAGTGATCTCTACATCGGAACCCCTTGTGGGGATTCTCCTACTCCCAGCTATTCGGAAAGCCCTGGAAACAGTCTCTCTCCAACTCCTGGCCCAGGTGAAGCCCCGAAAGATGGTGAAAAGAAGCCAGTCAAGAAACGAAAGTCATGGGGCCAAGTTCTTCCTACTCCAACCACCAACCTTCCTCCTCGGTATGTGTAATCCCTTTTTAGATATTATTAAAAAAAATCATATAGCTAACCTCATATAGCAAACGTGCCAAGACTGAACCTGAAAAGGAACAGCGTAGGATTGAGCGTGTTATTAGAAACCGCCAAGCAGCACAAACCTCTCGGGAACGAAAACGGTTAGAGTACGAGGCACTCGAAAAGGCCAAAGCTGCTCTTGAAGTTGACAACAACGAGCTCAAGAGCAAGTTGTCTCTCACTGAAAGGGAGAACATCGAGCTTGCCCAACGTCTTTCCAACCTTGAGCAACAAGTCAAGATGTTCCAAGACACCATGAACGTTGCCAGACAGATCGCCGACAAAGTCAATTTCTCACAGTCTGGTGTTCCGGTCCGAACTGACATCCCATCACCTGTCGGCTCTGATGACGTTCCCTCCAGAATGTCCTTTGTCGACAACACTCTTGATCCAAATACCCTTTTCTCTAATGAAGCAAGTAATGCATCATCCCCGGCGTTGGATATCAACGTTGAAGCTCTCTACGAGACACAACAAACTGCTGTTTTGTTGTGTGACCTGCCGTGTCTGCAGAGAGCTTCGCGTCCTTCCCCGGAACTTTTGACTATTTGGATGATGCAGTACCTACTGTTGGCAACAATGACATCGACGATCTATTCGATTCAGATGCCTTTTCTACAACTTTTCTTGAGTCTCAAACGGGGGACCAAGATTCCGGATACTCAACTAGCACGCTTTTCTCCCTTGATTCACTGGTTGATTACGACCAAACCGACCAAGCAGCTTTGGCAACGACTTCTGACCTGCAACCCGGCCTGCGCGCTCCTATTGGTAGCGACGGACGAGCGACTGCAATCGGAGTCGAGTAAGCTGTTTGGTAAGTTTGGTTCGTTGTCAGGCGGAGATGATGGGGGGTCTGGTTTGTTGGGCGGGAATCCGGCCAGTGAACTTCGGAGACTAGTGGAAAGTTTGGATTTGGATAGGCAATGTGATGAGATTGATTACGGACCCGTGAAACGGTCTGCAACATGGAACATCTCAAGGCGTCCTGGAAGTCCAGGTTGTGGGGGGTTTGTTTGATTCTGTTGGCGAATATTTGGGTCATAGGGTTTAGTTTAATCTTTTCCTTTGTTCCTTTCCTTTTTTAACGCATCTCGTGCCTCTAATGCCTTTTCTTTGTTTGGGAGTGGGTGGATGTGGGTTCATCCAAAAAAAAAAAATTATGCGAGGAAATGGAAGGAGGGGGGAACTCAGGGAGTCTCCGCCTATTCTTATTTTCTTATGAGGGTTTTTCTTTACGGTGTTAGAAGGGGCTTGCTCAGATTTTTACTTTCGCTTTGTGTTCTGGGGTGTGATTTTCTTCGATTGTTCTTTCTTTTTTATATTCTAGCGTTTATATCGCGTGAATAATCTGGTACACAAGACTGTTCGTATTGTGGTTTATATTAGCTAGTGAGTGGGTTAGAAAACAGGCCCGCCTACAAATACCAGACAAAGCCTCAGGCTTAAAATAAATATTTACACTTTGTACATCAGATGTGACCTGAACGATGTTCTGCTCCTTTCTGATTTTGAAATCGACTGGATCAGATGAGATGAGATGAGAAGTTCTGATTTCCTTCCACATACACCGTACGTAGTGTGTTGGCCGTTTCAAAATTTATGATATCACATTAAGTCGCCCCAGCCCTATCAAATACACCCCCTTTTGCAGAATTTTCAGAAGATAATTCACGCCGTGATATTTCTTCTTTCAACATTTCTTTCACGTCGGTGTGTTGGCTGGCGTCTGTAGGCATAAATGTTTCTGCAGGGGAAAGGGATGGACTGGCTTAAGGCTTTCCCACATGTAGAAGGAAAAGGAATCGAGTGATAGATGAGTGGGCGCGGGCTTACTTGATATTGATCCCTGCAACGTTGGTGGGGTTGATGGGAGGTTCTTTGCATACTGCCGGCCGTGCCTTTCACCGGGATCGCATTAATGTCCCCCACACGGGCCACACTTGTTCTTCTAGGTATTCCTCCACTACCATCATGATGGTAATCAATTGCTTGTACAGTCGTACCTTGCTATAATTATATATTCGATCACCAGAACTAGTTGAGAAAACAAGGCGGTACCATGTACCAGTGAAAAAGCCAAGACTCAGGCAACGAATATGGTTTTGTGATCCAAAAGACATTCTTGAACTGGCAACCCGTACAATACAGCAAAGATCTATGCGACACATATGAAAATCGCAGATTCCCCGCAGTTATTTTTTCCTCATCTGAAGGCATCTCTGTTACTCCCGGATCGGTTGTATTTCTGATACTTAGAGCAGAAAGGTACCTTCAGATTAGTACACATGCGAAATAAACTCCGTGTGGTCGGGATGACGGATGATCCTCTGAATTTATCCATTAGAGGTGCAGCGCACTTTCACCCCGCTCTAGCCAGCCCAGTTCATGAGCTCCGTGTACATGTTTTATGCTCAGCATGTTTACCAGGCTACTCGGGAAGGCCCTCGTGATATACTATGTATCCGCCATCAATTCCTTATTTTTTTTTTATCAAACCCCTCATCTCCACTTCTCGACGCATCTGTAGGAATATATAAACGTTACTAGCCAAGCTCTATAAAAAAACATCACCTATCTTATATAACTATCAACAATGGCTTCAGAAAGCTACTTCCTCGGTGTCGACGTCGGAACCGGCAGTGCTCGGGTTTGTATTATTGATAGTACTGGTGAAATCAAGGGCGTTGAGTCGAAAGAGATTCAGACATGGAACCCCAGAGCAAATTACTATGTGAGTATACCAGCTACACCAAGAATCTCTAAAGCTAAAGAGTTCACAGGAACAATCGACAGCAGATATCTGGTTCGCAATCTGCTACTGTAGTCGTCTTGTCCTCCAGAAATCAGGCGTAGACCCGGAATTGGTGAAGGGAATTGGATTCGATGCCACCTGCTCGTTGGCTGTCATGTCTGAGGACACGAACGAGCCAATTTCTGTGGCTGGCCCGGATTTCACAGAGACGGCGAGGAATGTTATTTGTATGTTGCAATATTCCTTTTATAGACCGGACCCTGACTAACGAATGCTGTTGTCTAGTATGGATGGACCATGTAAGAAGAGCAATGACCTCATCGATCGTTATCGTAGACCACATCTAATATTCGAGAAATCTATTATAGCGTCCCGTCAAAGAAACCGCAAAAATCAATGCCACAAAACACAATCTCCTCCAATATGTTGGAGGCTCAATGTCAATTGAGATGGAAATCCCGAAGGTTCTCTGGCTGAAAAATAATATGCCTAAGGAGCTCTTTGAGAGGTGCAAGTTCTACGATCTGGCAGATGTTCTGACACATCTTGCAACTGGGAAGGAGACCAGATCTTTTTGCAGTGCCGTGTGTAAGCAAGGCTTTGTCCCTGTTGGCATTGACGGAAGTGTCAAGGGTTGGCAAGACGACTTTTTGAACGCCATCGGGTTGCCAGAGCTTTGCGAAGATAACTTTAGAAGGATGGGTGGTGTCCATGGCCAGGTACAGAGCGCATCGGACCCTTAAGCTTACAATTTCTAATGTGATCTATTTTACAGAATGGCACAATGCTATCCGCCGGAGAGCTAGTGGGAGAATTGAGCGAGAGCGCTGCAAAAGAACTTGGCCTCAAAGCTGGAACTAAGATTGGTAGCGGTGTCATCGATGCCTACGCAGGATGGATCGGAACTGTTGGAGCAAAGGTTAAAATGAGCGAGGACTTGCTGGACCAAGACCACGCAAAGAGTGATATCGAGCAATGTTTCAAGCGTCTAGCAGCGGTAGCCGGTACAAGCACATGTCATTTGGTTATGTCCAGAGATCCGGTATTTGTACCTGGAGTATGGTAAGCCATAAACCTAAAGCCACATCGATCAAGACCCGGTAATTAACCAAAAGAAAAACCATCCAGGGGGCCATACCGCGACGTTCTTCTCCCTGGTTTTTGGATGGCTGAAGGCGGCCAGTCTTCCACCGGCAGTCTTCTCCACAACGTCCTCACCACTCACGCCTCCCATGCCAAAGCCCTCGAAGAGGCTAAAATTGCTGGCACAAACATTTTCGACTACCTCAACTCCCACCTCGAGGACATGCGCAAAGCCCAAAATGCGCCCACAATTGCCTATGTTGCCCGTCATCTCTTCTTTTACGGTGATAAGCACGGTAACCGTTCGCCAATTGCTGATCCTGAGATGCGTGGTTCCATTGTTGGGTTGAGTATGGATTCCAGCGTCGATGATTTGGCGCTACAGTATTTCGCTGCTATGGAGTTTATTGCACAGCAGACTAGGCATATCATTGAAGCACTGAACAACAGTGGACATTCTATTACGAGTATCTTCATGAGTGGTGGACAATGCAAGAACAAGCTCCTGATGCACCTTATTGCTGATTCAACTGGTTACCCTGTATCTATCCCAAGATACATTGATGCGGCAGTTGTTCTCGGTGCTGCTATGCTCGGTGCTAAGGCTGCCAGCGTGGACGCTCAAGGAAACACTGCGAACCTGTGGACGATCATGGATAAGATGAGCAAGCCGGGAACCATCATTGAGCCGACCACAAACGAGAAGGAAAAGAAGCTTTTGGATGCTAAATATAAGGTGAGTAATTGCGCTATCTATGCATCCCTGTAGATCGGTCTCCTCTAATCATTTCCGCAGGTCTTCCTCGAGATGGCAAAAGCGCAGCAGGCGTACCGGAAGAGTATCGACGAGGCTGTTGGCGATTGGTCTGCCTAAGCCAGTACTAGCAGATCTAACCAAGGCTTTATGTTGGGATTTCTTTTAAGTTTCGTGATATAGGGAAATTTTTTATTATCCCACTCAAGGGAAACTAGATTATGATCATAAATATTATATGAATGTATCTGTGTAAGCATCAAAAAGAAAAGGAACCCAAACCCGATAGGTTTTAGCACAGAAAACTCATAAAACCCAACATGTGTGTAGAGAAATGATTGGCCATAAGAAAAGTACCCTTTGATGCATGAATAATCGTCACATTATAGCATAAGCGCATAACTGCCCTCAAATACGAGCACGAAAAAGTGTAGATTTTGTTTCAAATAACCCTTGCACCTTAAACAAACAATGCCGCTTATCAAGCACCAGAAATAATCCAAAGGAAAAATAAAGAAGAAAAAACAAATACGAATCTAGGGCTCTAACACTGGTATCAACCTATCCTCGCCACTAAGTCCTATCGTTGCATCATCGTTTATCACTCGCCATAGATTCTTACAACTTTGCCTTCTCCTTGAACGACGGCGCACACAGAACATCATATGCTGAGCTTGATAATGTATCTGAGGCAGTTGAGACGGTGTGCGTAAATAGTCCTCTCGTGTCAACCATAGATGGGTTCAAGTCCTCGACCTTGTTAGCGCCGATCAAACGCATGTTCATCACAAATTCATCCTATTCAATGTTAGCTTCTACATAAACACAGACAGATACACAGAAGGGGGGAATTACCTTCAACAACTGCATGGCCCTGTTGACACCAGCCTCACCGTACGCACTCATCGCATACAAAAACGGCCTTCCAATACCCACACCCTTGGCACCTAAGCAAAGCGCCTTGATGATATCAGTCGCACGCCTGATACCACCGTCGATGTAAATCTCAATCTTATTCTCCATGCCCCTCTTCCGGAGCTCGGGCATGACCTCTGCAAGGACCTCAATTCCCGATGGTGCAGTGTCGAGCTGTCTTCCACCATGGTTGGAGAGGACTACACCAGCACAGCCATGCTCGACAGCTAAGATGACATCTTCGACGCGCTGCACACCCTTGAGGACAATTGGCATCTTGGTGATGGATTGAAAGTAGGCGATGTCTTTCCATGAGAGGGAGGGATCAATGAAGGAGGAAATCGCACGTGCAGCGCCCTGAGAGCGGTCGACGTTATCGTTTTCAACCTTTTGTACGCTGGTGCCAACATCTTCGAACTTAGAGCGCATATCCTTCTCACGTCGTCCAAGTTGCGGTGCGTCAACGGTTATGAAAAGCCCTTTACACCCGCGCTTTTCGGCATGTTCTACTATGCGGCGAGTGACGTCGCGGTTCTTGTTGACGTAGAGCTGGAGCCATTGGATCTGATCTCCCTTCTTTGCGTCCACAATCTCATCGAAAGAGCAGGACGCAAGTGTAGGGATCATTTGAATGACATCATGCTTATGCGCTGCCCTGGTTAATACCACCTCGCCCTCAGGGTTTCCAAGCTTTCCTAATGCCGTTGCAGTAACATAGAACGGAATTGAACACTTATCGCCCAACATTGTTGTGCTAGTATCCACATGTTCCACATCAATCAGGATTCTCGGGCGGAACCATATCTTGTGGAACGCTGAGTGGTTTTCCCGCATTGTAATTTCGTCGTCAGCTCCGGAAGAGTAGTAAGCCCACGCTGTGCGCTTCATGACATGTTTTGCGACAGCTTCAAAGTCGAGGAGGTTGTAGCATTGCTCAAGGATGGGCATGTTCGCGATGCGTTCCTGGCGGGCGGCTTCTTCTGGGTCTTCGGCTTTTACTTCAGCTTCGACGGTGGACATGTCGACTGGTCCTAGGTGCTTGGATTTGTCGAGGTACTGGACCTGGTGTTAGTTTACCCATTTTATGAGGGCCCTGGGGGCTGTGAAGAGCTCACCTTGTCAAGTGTGTCTGGGGGGTGGATAGGGTCAAATTCTTCTGTCGCATCCTTTCCGGCATACTTCAGAATGATCTTTGAGCCACCGGGGTGCTCTGGTAGGAATTCTGTGACATCGTAGGCTTTCCCGTGTACGATAACCCAACAAGAGTCCTTATTGTTGTGCTTTGCCACGTCCTGGCCGGTCAATTTAGCGTGCATTTTTGCAATTGAGAAGCTGGAGGTCAGAGAGAGGAAAGTCCGTGTAAAGAAAGAAATTCTGGGGAAAATCTGGGGAAACGAGAGTAAGTTAAGTGGATTTCAAAAACAAAAGAAGTTGCTCGGGTTTAAGACGGAAAAGAACAGGTCGCGGGACGCTAACAAGCATTTGTCGGCATTGCTCGGGCTCGGCTGAATGGTTTGCGAAATGTGGGGTGCCAAGAAAGCCTATTTACCCAAGCCCCACGCAGAAAGCCACCGCCGGGAACTCCGTTGATATAAATCCACTGATGCAGTCGCAGACTTTCTTCACCGATACCGATACTGATACCGACCAACTTATTAGATCCTGAAGGTAAATTTCCTTACATCTTTAATTTTCACAGAAAGAATCTGAAAAACACTGATAAAATGCTACTACATGCAGATACACTGTTTATGGCTAGTCCAAATTCTTGATTGTTAAAGCTTTAATAATCGACTTATCATAGGTCCAAGGAGCTCACGGGGGAGCAGTCGGTACGGCCACTTTTCGTGAACAATCACAGCTCAAAGGGGTAGGTACATAATAGCAGTACCAAAGAATGAAATGTGATTCCTACAAAACATTCCTGCGACGCAGATTTTGGCGCAGCTGGCCGTCGTTGATTCTGTGGAGCCGAATGCGTAAAATCTTGGCAAATCGTTGCCAAGCATGTCATAAAAAGCTTTTTATTGACTGGGTTTGACAGAGACCCCCCCAGAGTTTCCGAGAAAGATGCCGATTGGGGAATGGGACCCTGATAGTTTCTGGTGATTGCCATCCCACTTCTGGTATTATAATGACAGCCCTCACGAATAAGGAAAGAGATTATTCGGAGTCTGGGAAAAAATGATGCAGTCATTTGAAAGCCTGAAATCCCTCGTGGGCCCAGGGGATCGATTAGTAGGCTTCTTAATCGAATTCTTGCTGACGTCCAGTAGTCAGCTGCGGTTGTAACGCGTAAACAGTGGTAGAAATACCTACAATTACTATAACGTGAGGCGTATTGGTGTTCTCGTGATATACAATACAATTGTATGCTTATCTGACTCGACCCCAAGACGAATATAGGTATATGAGGCAGGAAAGGAGCTAATCCACGCTTTCTATTCCTGTGACCCAGACTGGCCACCGGTTGTGACACGCGCCTAACCTCTGGTTATACTGCTAGCGCCATTACGATAGGGCTACATAATAATTATCCGTTATGGAAAAACAATACGTAGTGGCGGCGGCGGCTGTTTCAAGTGTTGTTTCAGGTTGTTGGGAAAAACTCTGCAACTGGTGCTCATCTTAAAGAGTTGGATAAGAAACCACCGCAATAATGTGCCAGAGTAGGTAAGTATTCGAGAAATGAAGTGGGCGAAGATCCAGAGATTTAATTTGAACTGTGGCTGTGATTGTGATATCTAGATAGCATTCAGCTGCAGATGACTGGTGACTGGTCGTTGGGATCGTCCCTATGATGATGCTGAGCGGCGCAGGATGTCGCACAAAACGAAACAACCGTGCACCCAACCAATCACGGGTGTAAACATGAGACACCTTGTTGACTGGGGCTCCTTCCTGGGTTTGTATTCTTCCCTTTCACCCAGGGACGGCCTATCGAGGTTTCTGGTGCTGGGTGTATTGGCATATCCTCAATAGTACCTATAGTAGGTAAGGTATTGCTGTTTTGCCTGCGGAGGAGGTATGTATGCTCTGATATATGTAGCCCCTAGGTAAGGTACTTTGCGTATTGGTTTTGTGTATTGTCCCCTGGGTCCTGGTCCACATATCTTTACACAGTATCGTAGGTTCTCACTTCAGCAAACCACCGCCGCCGGCCCACCGCGTGGCCCGTTCCGTTCCAGCTTCTGCTCCACATAACTCTCGACTCTCTTGCCTACATACTCATAGTTACCCTGCACCGTATTGTAGACGAGGCTTAGCTAGGCGTCCCCCCCCCCCCCCCCCACCACCGCGACGCCGGGAATCCGTTTATCATCTCACCTCTACTACAGAGGCCCCCCCCTACCTGATACCTCATACCTTCCCCCCTCCTTCTCCCAATACATTCGTGTCCCTACATTATCTGCACTTTACCATTCCAGGCCAGTCCAGTCCAGAGCAGTCGTTCGATATAACCACTCCACTATTCTTTTCGCAAAACCTACCTTCGTATGAACGATCGCCAGGATATGAGTGAGAGTCTCGAGGCAAAGCTGGTAGTGCTAGGCACTCAAGGTTGGTTTTAAGTTTTTCTTGTTGCTCGTTGCGTTCGGATGCCCGCGGACTAGTCCGAGCGCTTGTAAGAGGAGGAGGGGTATCTAGCTAGAGTGTGTGAAAGAGGAGAAGAGAGAGCTGTGGAATTTAACGGTGATGGTGGAAGAGGAGGGAAAGCTATTCAAAAGGGATATGATAGCTAACAGTCCATCTTGATTGGGATAAATAGGCGTGGGCAAGACTTCGCTCGTCGTCAGGTATAACATACGCCACCCCTAGCTAGATAATCATGAGAAATCTATATCTGCGCATTCAACGGATCATTATTAGTAACAGATAGCTTGTGAGGGAATTAATTAGATATGTCAAAAACACCTTTGATCCCGCGTCGGCGTCAACGATAGGCGCTTCATTTCTTGCCAAGAAGGTTGTGGTCGATGATTGCCTTGTGCGGCTACAAGTAAGCTCTTTCCTTCCCCGGCGGGATCGATAATAGTTCTAATGAGCTAATTAATTACAAATAATAGATATGGGTAAATAAGCGTTACCACTTACCTTGGTAACAGGACTCGCGGGGCTTATATTTCAAAATTTTAGGACACCGCCGGTCAAGAGCGCTACCGCTCTATATCGAAACTCTACTACCGCTCCGCCAACTGTGGGATTCTCTGTTATGACATAACTTCTGAAGCGTCATTTCTTGCAATGCATTCATGGTATGTTCCTCTCTATAATATCCCCCTCCCATCTATTTTATTACATTTCATTGTCTCTTTTTTTTCTTCCGCCAACCTAAATAAACCACTCCTTCGATGCTACTTCTAAAGGCTTCTCGAACTCAAGAAGAACGTAAACAACGAAAACATCATCATCCATATCGTAGGGACCAAGGCCGACTTAGTGAACGCCGATCCGTCGAAACGGGAGGTACCGTTTGAGCGCTGTGTTGCATATGCGGCAGAGCATCTGGGCGATGATGAGGCTGCATCATGGATGGGCATGGATACATGTCATGAGATATCGGCGCGAGATGACCAAGGTTAGTAACATGACTCCTCATAGTGGAATTGTGCGCGTGCTAAAGAAATACATAGGCGTCGATGAAGTATTCCAAGTAATTGCACGAAAGCTGGTTGAGCGGCGTGCCGAAATTGAGCGAGTGCGGGGATACGCTGGCGGAGGTGGGGAATATGGGGATAGCGGGGGCACTAGAGACGGCATGAGAATTGATGCTTCGTTAGACTCGAACGAGAAGAAGGGGGGTGGAAGGTGCTGTTAGATATTTTGTTAGTATTGGGTGGAAAAGGCCCCATGCACGACATACACGACCATAACGACCATTCCCCTTCTCTCTTGGGTAACCTATTGATGTATTGTTTTTATGCGTTTTGTCATGTTTTTGTGCGGTGTTTTATGGTTTTCTTTTCTTTTTCAACCCTTTCTTTTTTCTATATCAGTGTAATTGGTTCTATTCTTTTACAGCGGGTTCTTCATATTTTTAAACTATTCGGCAAATGCTATTATACTACGATAGCCAGTCAAATTCATTTCACATCTAGACCCTGCACATGAAGAGACCGCTGATTTGGTCATAAATAACGCCACTACAAGGGTACGCAAATCGACTGGACGAGGTGCTACGTTTATGCAGGTACCCATTACCTAAAAAACTCGATTATTGCAAGGGCATGGATTTCAGTTACACAGTTGTCCCAATCGAGTGACAACTTGTGACTAAGACTACGATCTGTAATCAACACCATTTTTAAGTGAGAATTAAGATCCCAATCATAAAAGGTTAGTCATATATAAGCTCTTAGAAAACAAGAGAGTTTAAAAACTACAACCAATGCTAGTATGTTCAACTGAATAGCTGCTCAGTTTGGAGATAGGAACCGAGTGAGAATTTGTGTTCTGGGTTGGATGACTTTGCGAGGTTGGATTCTTTCTGTATCGTATAGTTTTTCTTCTTTTGAGCCATACTGCATTATTCAGCGGAGGTCTCCATCTCAACTATTACAAGACCATCACTGAAGGAGATGATCTGAAGATGCTGTTGATGGAATTGTATGCTGGTTGATGGATTTAGGGATAATTCGGTGGGTAGGAGAAACTTCTTGTGTTTTGAAGTTGGAGCAACCCAAATCTCTGTCGGTTTGAAATACAAGGCTTGCCGAATTACAGAGTAATATCTACTGGGTTCTGGTATCAGAGACGACGAATTTCCTATGAACGGTGAAGGACAGTATAGTTGCGGGTGAAGTGGAATTACTTGTCCATGCAGTCCATGCATTCTATCTCCACCTTTCCCTCTCCTCCGGCTCCCTCCTCCCTCTCTATGTTCTTTATGGCGAGAATTTACCACTGACACATTGCTGTCCCTGATTAACTAGTACCATTATCAGCAGTTGCATAATACATTTATGGATCTAGATACGTCTTGGCGGCTTGTTCTCGGACTCAATTGACTCTATATTTAGGAGCCCTTGCGATAAAGATAGAAAAGTGTCCTCCCGGTTAAAACGACCACCCCCGCCGATACAATGCTACTCACTGAATCACAACCAAAGGCCTTACGTATAAACTCATAAGCGCCCATCACAAAAACATACATGTTCAAGTGCCCCAAAGAAAACCACCGATTTTATGATACCTTTTGATACATTGATCAAGGACCAGACATCGACAGGAATAAAAGGCTCTCCAGAAAGTGTGAGGCGGGAAGACCTTAAACACCAACAGGGACACCAACGGAACAAAAGAAGTTGCTGTAGGACCGCTCCTAGTGGTAGCGATCTATGAGCGGTTTCATAGAGCCTTAAGCTTTGTTGTTTGCGAAAAGCTATCCTCCTTCATCTAGGAGTAAGGGTTTTTACTAATAGTAAGTAAAAAAAAAAAAATACCAAAATACCACTAATGCCTTTTTTTCCCACAATCAAGAGTGAGTCAAGGCAGTAACTTTTTGTTGATGGCGGTTAACATCTTGCTAATACTATCATTACCATTGATTACTAATCATGGTGAGGATTGTCTTTGTAGTGTTAGGCCCACCATACCATTTCACTATAAAAATCACTTGCGGTCCTGCAAGAGCTGTTTGTTCAACCGAGCCACAAGGACACTGAACCTGCGTCCGAAAAATCAAAAGTCGATGGCCTGTACTTCGCGCACCGGGGGTGTAGACCAGTTACTTATGGTCATCTGTGAGACTGTGACCCATATATATGCTATCATGGCTATTGGCCGGCCGATGGCTGTTGTGCGCAGAGGGTTTCGCCGTTGTCATATGCGGGTGATTGAAGGTTAACCCAACTCCCTTCGTGCTACACATGAAGCAGGTCCCCGATTGTTTCGTTCAACAATGTGGTGAATACCCGTCTCAACGCCAGAGCAAACGGAAGGCACAGTTATATAGTCTTTAGTAATAATAATGGTAATAGTCTCAAGGGTTCACATCGATGCAAGATACTACGAGATAAAGTCTGGCCTGGTCATATTTAATTGGGAAGCTTATTTCTTCGTTTTCCGAATCTGTCAGCAGCCGGCGATCGAGATGTCTGAAAATTCTGCGGGCTGTTGCTGACCCAGGGACTAATTCTACTGAGCTAACTGTCCTGCATTAGACTTTCCGACAAAGCCTGGCTTGTCGTCATGTTGCAGGAAATCTCTTTTCTACTAATGCAGGAACCACGTGGAAGCTCATTCCAGATTCACTCTAGTAGTGAAGTGCAAATGGAAGGTGAGGAGCAAATTTTAATCACAGCGGCTTCTTCCGCGCCGGTTGGTCGTTATCGCGAGCCCACGTGGAGAACCATGCTATTGCTCTTTCAGGCCATCTAATCGTCACGAAGGAATGAGGAAAAAAAAATCGATTTTACATGACAATTTAGAGTAAATAGCTGGAAAAACAAAACCTAAACCCCGCACAAAAAAAGACTACTAGGTTACACCAACACTAACACAAGCTGGGAAGTTGGGGTAGCAAGTTCTTAGAGATCTTCCTATTTAAAATACACGCCTTCCAAACTCTAGTGCCCGTTTGGCTTTGTGGAAGCTCCTGCGGCCAATTTGTCATGGGCGTCAATGTCACTGTTAGATGTTAGTCTGCATACGAATCAAAACAGAAAACGAGTAATGGAAACGTACGTAGCCTCCCACGGGTAGCAACACCAAACATTCCCGACTGTCTCAGCAGCAAGGTAGCGGCCCTCATCCATCATGTCTTTGGGAAGAGCTCCTCTCTTGGGCTTATCCTTGTTCTATGTAGTTCCTCATATTAGCCAAATATCACCCTCGTTTGGTTTTTTCTCTTAGAAACGCACATGAAGGACAAAGATGTAGAAGTTTGTCTTTTCGGTGGAGCCCAGTTTCTTGGCCTGAGCCTCAACATCCTTGCTCAGCTCTTGGACGGCGTATTGCAATGTAGTCCTGGTATCGTCGACCTCATCTACAATGAGAATATTCTTTCCGATCAAGTCCGTGTTCTTCAGCGAAGAGAAGTCGAGCCACTGAGTCCTGGTGACCTTGGTGCCGGGCTCCTCCTCGGGACCATCCTCTGAAACGAGCTTCTCATACAACGAAAGCCCGATAGCTTGAATCGGGATGTTGGGAGATCCAGGGGTCTTCAAAAATGATCTTAATGAGTGAGTCAGTATAAATAGTATGTAGCAACTTGGTAGGTATTTGAAGAAACTAACCGAAGAATTCGGGCAGGTACATATCCTCCGCCGCCAATACTGGGGAGAGTCAGCAAATAAACGACCTTGACATCCAGTCTTGAAAGGAGAAGCATACGCAATCATGAGATTTGGCTTGAACTCCTCGAGTATCCTTACAGCAGAAGCCTGGCAGAGCTTGTGGACCTGGTTATAGGTGATGTACTTCCTTTCAACGGCCATTTTTGATGTTTGTGGAGATGAGGAGTGATGAGAAATTAGCTGTAGATGAAAGGGTAAGAAGAAATGTTGGTTTGAATGCAAGACAAGGCGAGAGATGTGGGGATGTAGAGATCTATTATCAGAAGGCTGCAGGAGTACCTGGTTTTACACAGAGCCATCTCCTGCACTCTTCAAAGGGGGAAAGAAGAAAAAAAAATGACAGACACGAAAAATTGCCCCGCGATCATGATTCCAAACTAAGCCAGATTAGCTCATCAGCTTGGCTCTTAACCCCGCCAGGGCAAGGGTACATGGTGAACGGCAGGAAGATGAGAGGCTGTCGGCGAGATCCGCCCGCTGGGCTCCCCCGTGTCCGAATCCTTGGGTAGAGTTTCGGAGTTCTCCTCATCTGCACTACCGCCAGCCTCGGTTGCCGATTGTGGGGCTGGGCTAGGGCTTCTGTTGAAGACGGCGATGAGTCATGTGACGTTATGATCATAGCCCGTCACTCGTTGGTTCAATGACATGAACTTTGTCTTCGATATTATTGACCGTATACACCAGTTTGATGCGGCGTTTTGGAATCTATTTGAGTTTGGGTTTTACTGCAGAGTTATGCCCAGTCGTGCAGATCTGTATGCTGATTTACGATGACCAATACCAATACCAATGCTTGCAAGCCTCTTACGTATACGATTTCGATCTCATCGGAGAAAGAATACCTTGAGACAGGATATGATAGCACTTACAATTATAACTATGCTCTGCGCCTGTCCATATATACTGCGCACGTGTAGCCATACCAAAGCCTTGATCCGAGCACCCCGCGCGGGAAGTGATACATTATCACCGTCACCGCTGCCGCCATAGTGACGGTCTAACGTGTCCTACAAGTTGAGGATGGAATATGCCGACCGCTCTGTCTCTGCCCCGTCAAGAAATACAAGATAGGGGTAACCTTTACTCCTATTGATACATACTAAACACATTTCAAGGCCTTGAGGCGCCGGGGCTGTTAAGTACCTCAAAGATAATTTACCACCTATCCTACTGGCACAACCCACACCACCTTACTCCCGCTCTTCAAAATACCAGGCCCAAAGTGCAATACAGACCGAAGGAGGAAATGATAGTCTATGGAAATACATTCAATCCAGTGCGCTTTCGTTGATTGATAAATTACTCACGGTGCTCTTTGTAGGGACGGATGGTATTGGCGATGTCATCTAGGTATGTTATTGGGGGTGGTTCTATACCCCAAGAGCGCAGAGACAAATGAGGTGGCTTAGCCTAGTGATAAATCTTAGTTAGTGAGCTTCCGGCTCTTCCTTCTATTTACTTTCGCTAGCACGGGAAAAAAACTGGGGGGGGGGGGGGCTGTAGGTGAATATGAATTGAGAGGTAGAGATGGATGGAGCATTTTTACAATCATACAATATCACTCGCGCCAAGAAACACATATCTCGCTCTGCATTCGTTTTTTTTTTGTTTAATTCATTAATTGCTCGCTCTGCATTCCTTGGCTAGTAGCCCATGACCAATATCACTAACATGGACCATGGTCTTCAAGTGGAAGGTCAGCTGTGAGTCATGATGTACGTCGTGGTAGATTCATGTCATTACTGGGTTAGGTTTCCTAGCTCCCTTACCATCATACCCTTAAGTACTACTTCCAGGCCACTGACAACTGTGTGGGCGAGCGTGGTCTAGCGGTAGACACCTCTATTATATGTAACTGTTCCCCCCCCTCTTTCCGTATAATGTGGCTCGTCGTTAGACTCCATTCAATTAATGGACAGGGCCGGATGTAGGGGTTAGGTTAGCGAAACCTTTCCGATCTATATTATTTTATAGAATAACAGATAGATACTCGCCCAAATATCTGCATTTTGGGGTTGGTCTTACCGAATAAACACTTAGAACACGAGGATCTTTAACTGGATCGAGTTTTCGGGATTAGGTGCAAGACGTAGGGTCAATAACAATCAACTCCTAGTACTAGGGTCCTTCTGGTAACAAAACTACATATGAAGTATATATGCGCCTCTGTAATATCTCCTTAGGGTGTAGTAGACTCCTAGCTAAGGAAGAATTATAGTTATGACCGGTCAGTACGGCTGATACAACTCTAGTGGTATAGTTGGCTAGGACTCACGGGGAGGTCGTTTTTCGTTTTCGTTTTTGCTAACTATTATTATGACTGGCGTAAGGTTATCTGGCTTGCAGCACCTATGCCAAGTTCTGATCAATCCCATCCACCCGTATACCCATGAAGACATTGTTCATTAAACATGATATCTAGTGGGACTGGCACTTTTTTAAGAATATTGTCTAGCTGGTAGTTTATTTCATGATATGAGATGGTATCCCTTTCTTATCCTCCGTCAATATTAAGATTCCACCCATAAATCCGCATGATATAATCGCAGAATCTAGCACAAGCTTTGTGGCAGTTATAAAAGTACATATTATCCACTCTTTAACCATAGAAATATGTGGACAGGGCCGCACATGGCTGAATAAAGGACGCCAGCGCCTTCAGGCAAGCCCAGGCACTCATTTTCAACCACACGCGTTCTATGAGTCATCCACCCTTCTCTTCTTGTGACTCCTACCTTCCTTCGTTTCCGTTGTTTTGGTCTCGCTGCCGCTTACAGCCTCCCCTGCCATTTTCTTGGCGCACCACGCAGTCCCATACTCCAAGTATTCCGCCCTTGTGACCTGTCTCCTCTTCATCTCTGCCTTATCCAGTGCCAGTGCTACACCACCTTGCCAGGTGTATGTGATTGGATCCTCTGGCTTCGCAATCCTTACAATCGCATCGGAGGGTGCAAGAGGCTGTAGCTCGCTCTGCAGCCGGTCCAAAAAGCCGGGGATATTGGCATTGCCACCTACAACCACCACATTTGCCAGCAATAGGTTCCGGTAACGTTCCGGCACACTTTCGAGCGACTGAATGACAGTTTCTGGGATGCCGGATTGTTTGAGTCCTACATCAGTCGGTGAGAAGAGTAATTCTGGCACAGTAAATCGTTCGTTCCCCAATACCATAACCTGCTCGTCATCCCTGGCAGACCCAAGCTTCTTTGGAATATGGGCCCGCTGATGGCCGAGTTTGCCAGAGTTGTAGTCAGGAAGAACATAATCCACTACAATGGGATTGGCTGAGTTTTTAAGTGCCTTGCATTTCTCAAGATCGCCCGAGAAGTCTGTGGATATATAACAGACGGACTCCTTGACCTGATTTACCAAATAGGGCTCTTCCATCATGTTATAAGTCCGCAAGGAGACCATTTCTTTAAGGTAGTTGGTTAGGAACTTCCCGCCGACGTCAATACGGCGTACACCCGAGTTCCAGAGCTGGCCGTTGATTATCGGGGTTATGTGGGTGTGGGAGAAACCGGAGTCGATGACGAGGCATGCTTCGGCGGGGGGGTTAGTGGAGGGGTTATAGTCAGGTGTATACAGAGCACCGATGTTGTTCCAGGGTATCAAGGTTGGACCTGGATGGGGGAGGGTTAGCGGGTCAAAGTGGCGAGGGAATGGCTGGCGGGAGATAGACCTACGCAACGATAGTAGGCGCTGAACTCGTATTCTTCAAAGACCATCTGGTCGCAATTTGATTGTAGAGCTGACGGTGCATTGGGGGCCTCAGTGAGTAGGAGAACTGTTTGCCTGGGATCGCACTGTTTGGAAGTTAGATTTAGATGGTTTAGACGAAAGTCTTGGGGACTTCCATACTTGTAACTTTGAATCTGAATCTAGAAAGGTCCTGTCCCATATTTCCTTCTCTGCCTCCCAGTTGACCAGATAGCCCTTTGGTAAAGATAGTTAGCTGGAAACGAACCATGGATCATCGCAGAGGGTAAACATACCTTCTCGACAGGTCTTCGGAATGACATAGATCCAAAGTCTCGACAACTATCCAGCTGCTGACCAACCAGCACGCGTTTGTCTCTTGCGCGGGCAAGACAGTTTGGGACCTGTAAGCAATCCTCTGGAACGGCATTTTCAGCGGCGAATCCAGCTTTGATTGTGTATGAACCGTTGTCCACTACAAGCGTTCTTGTGGGCTTTGGAGGCATATTGTATTGCTTGCTATGCTGTGCTGCGCCGTTGTGGGCCTCGTCGTCGTTCAATGTCGATGTTTTCACTTGCTTACCTCGCTGCTTGGATAACAGGCCCTGACACCGCAGCAGAGGCTCAAGTGCGCAACCCCGACGGCACCCGCCAAACCCCTTCCGTCACCCCTACATAGAAATTGGCTAGGATCTTTTTCTTTGCTGATTCAAGAATGACCAGAGAAGTTTAAAAAGACCGCGAACGTCCCTTTTTTATAAAAATACCACCCCGCGTCTTCCCCCCCTCTCCACACACTCCAATATAAAAAGTCTACATAAAACAGTTCTCGAGGATACCTTAAAACACCAACGCGTTCTCTCCTACCGCTGCTTCACTAGGTTTTAATACTACTTCAAATATGTCAGATCGTGAATTCGGAGGAGGTATATTACTGCATCCCATCCCCATCTATCTCTTTGCTTTTGTTTGACCTGCCGCTTTTCTTATCCCCCTTCCTATTTTCCCCCACAGCTACATAGCTACCTCCCCCCCCCCCCCCATAGCTTCAGTACTATGAACTAATAGCTACCTCTCTCACACCTATTAGCAGATGACCTATCCCTCCCTAAAGCCACTGTCCAGAAAATCATTTCCGAGATCCTCCCTTACGACCTCGCCTTCGCCAAGGATGCGCGCGACCTCCTAATCGACTGCTGCGTCGAATTCATCACTCTTATTTCCTCGGAGGCCAACGAGATTGCCGAGCGCGAAGCGAAAAAGACCATCGCGGCTGAACATGTCATCCGAGCCCTTAGGGACCTCGGCTTCGAGGAGTACATCGACCAGATCCAGAATGTGGCGCAGGAGCATAAGGAACATCAGAAAGTATTACCCCGGCGGCTGGCGTGCATATGGATGATATAAGATCGCACTCAGATGATGCTGACAGTTACGAGCAACAGTCCCGCGAAAAGAAACAAACGAAGCTCGAGCAGTCCGGGCTGTCGCAGGAGGAGCTCCTGAGGCAACAAGAGGAGCTGTTCGGGTCGGCTAGGGCCAAATTCAACCAGCAAGGCCCTGGCCAGGAGTAGACGCCAACACCCACCCGACATTGATATGAACGTAATAACGGGTGTATTGAAGGATTGATAGACTAGGATGGGTAGTATGGTGCGGAAGGAATCTTTTCATAGAGATCTACCGGTGGATCGATCTTACCGCTCTCTTTACTCTCCCTTCTATTGCTTACCAAGGAAGCAGGAAGGCTGATATCCATGTTAATAACGGGGGTTTTTGTTTTTTGTTGTGCGTTTTATTTTCGGAATTAATGGCGCAGTAGTGTTATGCAGTCTTTGTTGACTTGGTTCTTTCTGGGTTGCCGGTTACTCTTTTTATTATTACTATTATTTCTTTTAAACCGGGGAGATGGACGGAGTATAGGGTACTAGGATGTTTCTTATACTTTCTTCTGGGGAAGGGCCTTGGTGTCCCTAATTCCTTGTACAAAGAACGATGGAGGTTCATCATAATATCACTCTCTGGTAGGGAAAGAATATAATTTCTCAATTTATTTGTGTTAAACAGCAATCGGATGTCTCGGTTTTTCTGATTAGTCTACAATAGATTTTAGATGTGCGCGAGTGATATACTATGATGAACTGTGTCTCACATCACATGGATTAATTGCCACCAAACTGCAAGAGTATCTTCATCAATATCGAGCAAAATATACACTCCTTGGCTAGCCCCTTAGACGAAACTACCTAATCTACGCGCCAGCGCCGGATAAATTATGCCTAACTTCATCGAAACCCATTCGCTGCCAAACACCACCGATCATCTCAAGAAGCCTCAAAAACTCGTCATCGTGGATGGCGTTTATGATGAAATCTTCAACTTGCCTGAACTCTTCTTCTTCTTGTGTACGGAGATGATCGCCCCTTTGTTTTTTCTGTTCTTGCTCGTCTTTATCGTCGTCATCGTCTTGTTTCCGCTTCCCTCCTCCCCCTCCCCCTCCCCCTCCTCCTGTATTGGGATTTCGAGTACCTGCAGTAGGGGTAACTGCAATATCACCGGCAGCTTTCTGCCTTTCCTGTGGAACGGCCGGCAAAAATGTTTCGGACCTAAGTTCCGGTTTTTTATAGCCACGTGGAAACACTGGAAATCCTCCGCGATCCTTTGTGTCGTTCGACCTAGCACGTTCTTCAACAATCTCGGGCAACCCGGACCTATAACCTCCCACTCTAGTCTTTGTGGATAAGCCTTGATTGTCACTCTGCTGTTGGAAGGCGCTAACCCCAGACTTTGGTCTAGAAGAATGTTTGAAGTCAGATCCATATGCAGGTGTATTATCACTAGTAAAGACTAATGAGGGCGCTTTTTTCACTGGCGTTGGTTTTGGGAGTGGCGGGAGACTGCCAATCGAATCCATCGGAGCTCTATTGTTTATGGAATTTGTCGGATTCTGCACGATGGGTTTTCTGGATAGAAAGCTGGATGGTGGGCGTGGTGGTGGAATATCATCTTCCAGAAACATATCAGAAGGTTTTACTGTGCTAGGAGGCAGATTCTGGGGAGCAAGATATGAAGGTGCTGAGTGAAGATCGGTTGTTTGTTGAAAGTTACTGTGTGTACTGTTAGTTGTAATTACACCAGCTTATAATCAACACAGATCGATGGGAAAACATCTTTCTAGGCGAATCGATCCCTCAAGCAATATAACTCTTGGGCTTTTAGAGAGAAAACAAACCTCGGTGTGTAGCCCGAAGAAGATCTAGGTGGAGTACGTAGCACTTGGATAGTATTATTACGGAGAGGGACTGGTGGGCCTGCCTGTGCAAACTGAAACTGAGAAGATGGCTCGTGTTTATCTGCTGGAGGTTTGCCAATTGGGCAGTTTTCTTGCTCGAGAAGTGCTGTGGCCGATTGGTAGGCGGTATCCGACTGAAATTTGATTTGAAATCGGCGAATCTAAAGTTCGACATAAACTCGGTATATTAGTAGAACCTTCTAGAAATTAATTTTTTTTTTTGCTAAATTATATATTACTAACGGTTTGGTCTTCTGCTTTATAATATTTGATGGCTAGAGATGGCGAGCGCCCAAGTGCTATGAAAACTGGTTTATGGAATTGTGATGAATCATGAGACGGGATAGTCTGTTTAACTAGGCTTGTCAAGTCTAAACTCTCCTATTTTAAAGTATCAGAGCCCATTTTCTCTAGCTATGCCCCAAACTTCGACTAAAGATGAATCTCACCATTGTCTCAAGACACCATACGACTTTCAGCCTTGTATGCTTATCAACAAACTTTCCATCGTTCTGAATGTATCCGGGGACACGATGAGTATCGATCACCAGAAATACATTGTCCCTGTGTGGGAAATGTGACCATGGAGGGTGGGCCGAGTCTGATACTGAGGAAACAGAAGAGGAATACTTTAAGAGCGGCCAACTAGACAATGAAAGAGGGGAGTTGACTGTCGACAGAGGGAGCTTCCGAGAATCCATGTTAACATGTATATATGGCTATGGGAAGAGAGTAATAAAAATTTGCTTGTCCTGGCCTTAGTAATGAAGTTGAGTTGCAAAATATATATTTAAGGTTTTCCTATCTCTACGTGCAGAATAAGGTTTGTAAGTACGATAAATGGCGTGAATGCAATTCGGACGTAGAACATATTTTACTTTGCAGGTAGGTACATGTGTAACTTGGACCTCGAGAATCATAATAGATCACTCGGCACAAGAATGAGAGAATGCAGATTTCTTGACAAGAGCATTTAGGGCAAAACGCATTTGTATCGGTAAGGGTGAGCTCTAGAATTTGATCACTCTTGAATCGTGTGGATGAGTACATGCCCATGTATTAACACCCCCTTCAACTCCTGCGTATATCACGTGGTGTGAACGCCCACAGAACGACCTCCTCTTTAGACTCTGAATGTGTGTAAGGCACGCAGCTCTTTTCTTAGAAAGTTGCAACCCCCCAGTTTCTTGGCAAAATCCCCGGACCTGATAAGGCTGGATGCATGTATTTACTTGTTCATGTCTATTTTGTGGTATGCAGCTGGCATGCAATGTGAAAGGGCTCGGCGTTAAAGCAACCTCAATTCAACTCAACTCGGAAAAGGAGCCTCAATCAGGACGCGTTTTCTCGTCGCTTTCAGAGTCGTCGCGGTCCTGCTCGTGTTTTCCTTGTCCAGTGAACTCTTTAAAACCCACTGCTGTTCCATAGGGTCGCGTTTCCCCTGCCATTCTTACCCAGCCTAAGCGTGTCGATCGATATAAAGCGCAAGTTCGGAAAAGCGAAGAAAGGGAAAAAGAAAAGAAAAAGGGAAAAAAAGAAAGAAAGAAAACATTAAGTAGAAGAAAGAAAGAGAAGGAGAGAGAGAAGGAGAGGAAAGGGGATAATCTAAATGTCAGAAAGCTCAATGGCAGCGCCAACACCCGAGCGCGAGCGCAAAGGGCCATGGGCAAACAGAGTTCTCAGTACCGACATCGAAAAGACACCTGAATACGACGAGTTCATCAAAAAGCTATCAGAATACCACGAGAAGCGAGGGTTGGTTGCTCCCTAGGGTCTACTTTGGCGTAGAAAACGTTTTGGTTTGGTTTGGTGCTCTTACTAACTCTTTCGCGACTGAACCTCCTAGGACCACACTCACCATCGAGCCTGAACTCGGACGGAAGCTCCTTGACTTGCGAAAACTTTATGAGAAGGTGACCGCTCTAGGAGGTTACGACAAAGTAACGGAAGAGAAGGGTAAGATATTGGATGTTAAATACCCTAGGGCGATGGAAACAGAGGAGCGGGGAGCGGACAATTGAGGTTGACATTTTTTTCGCGAAATCACAGGTGCCTGGAGAGATCTTGCGCTACAGTACAAGCTTGCTGCGAACAACACCAACGCAGGTTACCTTTTAAAGACGATCTACTACAAGAATCTCGCGTGCGTTCCCCCCCATCTAATCCCTTTGTTGCCCCAACTCTGTGATAGCTAAAATACAGAGCCCCCACAGCGCCTACGAAATTTCAAATTTCTTCGGGAAAGAGCCCCCCCCAAAAGAGTGGCTAGAGGAGCGATCCGCTGCCGGAGGGTCAATCATGACGAGAACCGCAGAAGATTTTCAGGCGCCTTCGCCAAAGTCCGAATCAAAAGTAGAGAGGTCTCCAACCCCACCACCCACGGAGAAGCGAAGTATGTTATTGTGGTTATTGCCCTATTTCCTGTCATCTGTACTAATCTTTAATGTCGGGATTATCCCACAGGTCTACGTCAAGCACCGACACCAAGAACTTTCTATAATCCGGATACGACTTCTCAGCGCCATAACCCACCCAGAGCCACAAGCTTACAGCACCAACAGCAGAACTCCCAGCAGTCGCAGCAGCAACAGCAAAACCATCAAGTGTCACCTGGTAACCAGTGGAACGGAAGTGCTATGAATTTCCCCAATTTTTCATCGAACACGGTCAATGCGCCCATTGGAATGCCTGTACCAACACCCAGAAATGCTCCACATGAGTTTATCACCCAGAAAAGGAAGGCCGAGCAGTATGCCGCAACAACAAATATGGCTAGGTTTGGAGGTAACTATCCCTTTCTCTTCTTCTTCCTGGTGATGATAACGGCGCATATACTGATGGATAGAACATTTAGTCGGTCACACAGGTCCTAGCAACATGACACGCATTGCAATGGGATTGAAATCCGGCTTGCCAGAAGAGGTCGACTTTGCTTTGAGCCAGCTGGTTAAAACATCATACGAAGCCGGCGATGACCTCCGCGCTGAACAATTCCCTGGTTTAGCTGAGGCGCTGTATGATAAACTACAGTCAGTTACTCGTCTGATGAAACTACACTCTCTCAACGGTAGCGAGGAAGTCCTGGAGGATCCTGCATTCACAAAGCAGCTCGAGAAGGTCAATGAAGCGGCTTTGATATTACGCAACATGTCCTTCCAGGTAGACAACGCTAGATACTTTTCGCGCCTCAAGAATGCTAGGTCTATCATAGTTGCGGGCCTGAACCTCCCCAACCAAACCTGTTTCATGGAGTTAAAGCATTATATTCTCGATATGGTCGAGTCAATGGCTACCCACCTCGTGCTTTCAACGCATGATAACATGTTTGAGGCGCTGCATGTCAATTTATTATCAGATGACCGTGGTCTACTTTTGGGGTCACTCAAGTCAATCTGTAGATTCGTCATGGGACGTGACGAAAGTAACCGCTTGGGAGAAATTGGCATGGATGCCATCAACCGAATACGCAATCTTCTGATGCTTGAAGATGAAGACTTGGTTTCTGCTTGTTTGGACTTTTTGTACCAATACACTACTAACGAGGAAAACGTCGAGAAGCTTATGCAACCTCCTGATGGTATTGAATTGATAAAGCAGTTGATGAGATTGTTACTCTACCAAGCCATTCCCGGGGAACAGACTGTGTGGTTGAAGACTAGAATACCTCGTCCAAGTCCGCCGAGAGAGATCCCGAATCTTCCACAGGAAATCGTCAATGACCTCCTGACTTATATGGAGCCAGAAAGAGCAACTAAGTGGTGAGTTACATTATTATTTAACCCAAACCAGGCATTTCTAATCCCCATACCAGGATGAGATGCTGTTTTGAAGAAGACCCAAACTCGGATATCACCCAAATCGCGCTTTGGCAGGCCTACCAAGCCCGCTTCAACGATTACGTCCCGGCTGGCCGCAACCTTCTCCCCGCCGCTGAGTTTATTAAGAATGTCAGCATCGCGTTCTCTGTTGCTTCCGCAATGGTCTTGACTCTCCCCACAGGCGGTCAGAAGTTTATCATCAAAGGTATCAGGGCTAGAGAGACTCCAATGTCACTCAAAGGCCAGATTTACGTTGCTTGCAAATGGATCGACACCACAGGCAACGGCGCTAGATGCCATGCACAGCTTCCGACGCCTCAGGACCTATGGGTTCATGTACTGAACGATCATATCGGGGCTCCAACGGATCCTGGGAGAAAACTGCACTGCAACTGGGGCGGATGCGGAAAGTATAATCATCAAGCTGGAGAAGAGGACCGCAGGAAAGTTATTGGACATGTCCGGACTCATATTCCTGACTTGAACGATCTCCGCGCTGCCCGGATCGCTGGAATGGAGGATGTTGACGGCGGCATCGGGGGTGATGAAGAGCCGAATTCGAAGGTCATCATCAGGAGAAACCAAACTGGCATTGATGACCGCGGGGAGGCGGCAGGAATCCCATTAACTGCCGCCTTAGTATTAAGGAACATGGCCAGGAGGGGTATGAACGATGTTAGGGAGATTTTGGGGGCGGAGAGGGGAGCGTTATTTGAAGTTATGGCAGTTAACAAGCCCCTTGCGGCTTATGTTGCCGATCTATTAGTAGAGGATGGTATGGTTATTGATGATTAGGTTACACACTGTAGAAAAGTATTTATGCGGAATAAGGGCCACGGTTTAGAATGGATTGGTTTTGAAATGTTGGCCGTGAAGGTATCTATCACTGTCTACTATACCATCAATCGACTGTGTATAATGCATTTTTCTTCCTTTAATTTTTTTATTTCTTTTTTATTTCTATTCAAAAAGTAACAGTTTGTTTCGACATTGGTTTACCATGTTTGTTTCGTTTCAAATACGGCTTCCAAGCCGAGGATCAAACATGTGATTGTCACTATTCAGAATCACTATACATTACGTATAGCCAGTATAGTGTCAATGGTAGACGGTGGAAGCAACTGGGTAGTCTGGTCTATCATGAGCTATTGGGTATATAATGACACATCTGTACTGTAGTCAAGTATACCAGCATTCTATGTCTATCTATATCTCTGAAGTCAAGAAAGCAGCCCATATTTCCAGCATTCAATGATAACAATTTGTCGAGTGATAATCCATGATGATAACCACAGGCTTGGAACTGCTACCTGTGTGTGTGTGTACTCGAATATTATTTCAATACCCTGTCTCGGGATTCGGGAGGGATGGCTGAAAGCAGAAGCTTAAACAGTCTCGACAACGTTTACCCGGATACAAGTAAGCCTGGGGGAATTGTGGGGTACAACGACAGTTCCCTGGGAATCACATGCACAATGATTATGGGGTAAAGCGATGCTGGATCGCGAGTCAACTGGACGACGACCTCTGTAAGATGTACTCCAAGCTACATATATGTATGTACCTACCTGGTACATACATGGGAAAGCTTTGTTTGCGGATACTCATGCAGCCCTCACTCGTAATCATTCCCACTGGGTAAATGGTCTGGTTATTATTAGTGAGAGGTAAAGGTAAACTGAAAGTGTATTCTAAATCAAACGTTGGGGTGGCCTTGTATTCACTGGTTAATCTTTGTTGTTGCAAACGTACCTGGGTTAGGTTGCCATGTGCGGTGTGGGTGAGCTAGAAGCACGAGGGCTTGTGTGGCACAGTCACTTTGCCACGGTCTTTTCGGTGTTGCAGGGGGTGTTTGTTTTTTCCGTTGCAAGACGGAAGATATGTTGCACTGTTGCACATGGTTTTCTAGAAAGTCCGAGTGCCAGATCATCACCAACAAGGCAAGCAAGTGGTGTTGAATTCCGCAGGAGTAACTAAGGCAAGTATGGTTTTTTCTTTTCTTTTTCCTTGTGCGTAGTTAATTGAGCAATATTAATGGCAATTGTTTCACCGCCTGTAGTTTTTTTAATAACGGGTAAATAAAGGTTGTGTTTGGCCATGGGCATCGAGAAAAGCTCGATGGCCAGCGCAACATCAGGCAAGCAGGCCCTTTGGATCCTTAAATACCAAACCCAAGGCGGGAGAGGTGGGGATTTTATGTACTCCAGGGCGCCGTGCAGCTTTGGTCCTTTGCTGGTCTAAGCTTAGTGTAAAGGGGAGACGTTTTGTTTTGGTTAGCCTTAATCCACGGGTAACTGTTTTTTTTCTTCTTCTCTTGTGTGTCTTTCTCTTGCAAACGTGAGGGAGAACGAAGAAGATCGATGTGCAGCGTGCAGAGTGTATAAACACTGCCTAAGTGAGCGTGCATCGACAAGTCTAACGAACGAACGAGGAAACGAATCTTATTTCTCTGACATTCTCTACTGTACTGTCATCTAAGGACGCCGAGTCCCGTTCGTTCACTCCCATTCTTACCTCCATCCAATCCCATTCTTGTTCAACCTCTTCCTCCTACGAAGTCCATCTTTCGTGTCTATCTCATCATCATCAACGTCCCTCCCCACTACTCCCACCATTATTCTCCCCCCTCTCCCCAATCTAGGATAGAGACTTTGCTGCTGCTGCTGTCTATCGGTCATCTAGTCATTTGCCATCTCCTACTCGTCAGTCTCTACTACCCTCACCCACCTTTCCCCCCCACAATACTTATCCCGCTGTTGCATCTGCTGCTGCTGCCGCCGCCAGATACTACTTCAGACTAGGCCGGTGTAGTTACTTTATACTTACAGCCTGTCTCATCACCAGCTCACATTTACCTACCAAACTTGCCCATCCCCCACCACCCCCGGTCCCCCCCCCTAGTCCGCTATTAAACAACAAATACACATCACATATCTCTCCCCACTAAAAGGGGAACAATGACGGAGCAACAGCGGCCGCTATTCGACAAGAGGAACTCTTCGACCTCGTCCGTTCTCAGCGGGGGTAATGGAAATGACAATTCCAATACCACCACCGACCGAGACACGTCCTCAAACGACGAACAGGCCCAGGCCACCCACCAGCCCTCTCGGCAGCATCACCCCAAGAAGCACCAATTCGTCGTCGGCGGCGCGCACTCTCGCCATCACACCCGCGTCCCATCCTACGGGCGCAATTTAAACAAGCTGGGGAAATTGGCCCCGATTGCGACATCTCCGGGCAGCGGTAAGGCACGTGGGGAGGAGAAGGGCAGGTCCTCGGCGAAGCGGGCGACGTTCGAGCTCGGCGGAGACAACCGCCAGAACAGCAACGGGAACAACAGCAGACCAAGCAGCTACAAGGAAGAAGGGTACACAAACGGAAACGCAACGAACACGAGCAACGGGACGACGCCGCCGCTCACTACTGTTGCTACCAACAAGGGTACAAACGGCTTGGTCAAGTCATCAAGCACAAAGTCTCTTGACCGTAAACCAAGAGACGGCGCACGAAGACTAAAACGAGAAGAGAAGCGCGAGAGATCACAGTCCAAATCCCGCGACACTGTACCCCCTCATCCTGCTCCTGCTCCTGCTCCTGCCCCTGCTGCAAGCCGTCACCACTCTGAAGAAGTGCTTGTCGAGATGAATAACAAACGCCAGACCGAAGCGCAGCCACAGACACAGACACAATTTCAGCTCCCTACCCCACCACAGGCAAAGATTCAACCACCACCGCCGCAACACCAGAATCAGCACTTTCAGTCTCAGCATCCATCTCATGCCCCGACGCATGCCCCGACGCATCTGCTCCAGCATACAAAGGCTGGTGGGGCCGCACCCCCCAAGGTCAGCGTTGAGTCCGTGCAGGGCACCCAGCCAACCGTGTTGACCAAGATCCGGCGCACAACCGCGCAGCAGAATGGGGCCTATGTGACCCCTGCGCATTCCCTTCCAGACTCGCATGAGCAACCCCTGACATCGCGATTCATCGATTCTTCGCTGGGAAACTCAAATTCGATATCGCCCTCATCTGCAGCAAAGGCATATGGGCTGTCGGCGTCGTATCGGGAAAGTCTGCCCACAATAGTGTCAACCCCGCCTGACAAGGCGCCGGTTACACCTGTGATCTCATCGCCCAACCCCACATTGGCAACCACAACTGTACCCTCGCGCACGCAGCAGAAGCTATGGCTTCAACGACAATCATCGCAGCACGAGGCCCCCCAACATGTTCAGAACCAAAACAGGATGGGGCCCGGGTCGGAGTGGTATGCGCTGCAGCCACGGGCCCAGAAGGAGTTTGAGCGCGTAAACAGAGAGTACCTGAACACGCGGCGTTTCAAGAATCCCGCCGCACAGAGCATTGAAAGGATCCGGGATAAGCATGCCGAGCGGCGGATCCCGAAGCGCAAGGAGGGGCAGAGCGCGGACGGGGCGGGGGCAATGGGATTGAGCCAGTCGCTGAAGGAGACGGGGGCAACCAAGTCGGCACGGAAGGAGCTGAAGATCGGGTCAAAGGACGACTCGGGCGTGAAGCAGACGGCGACAACGAATGTGAAGGAACGGGATAGGGCAGAGGGGCTGCACGCAATATTGGTGAAGCTGTGGAACACAAAAGAGATGATTCCATCCAATGAATAGTTTCTCCCCCCTCCTTCCTTCCTTCCTTCCTTCCATCCACCATATTCTTACTCTTCTGTATTCTCTCTCGACTTTTTTGATGATTATTACTTAGTGAAGAAGAAGCTTACTTGTTTATTTTGCGCACGGGGTTTCTCTTTTTATTGGTTCTTTTTCCTATTCTTTCTCTTTCAATGCATTTATTTGCTTTGTAATTTAACGTCCCTTTTTTCTCTTTCTCTTTCTGTGTCTGCTGCTCCTGTTTTTTTTTGGCGGCATTGCACACGCATCACGAGCTCTATGCGGTGGGTTGAGGTAGCATTGGGGGGTGTTGGGGGTTTGCGGGGTTGATTGGGGGAAGGGAGGGGAGGGGGGGGGGAGACTACCGTTTTGCCCGAGGGAGTCTGTTTATTTTTTTGTTTTATTATATCATTCATTTTGAGAGATTACGGCGTGTAAGATTAACATTTTTCAAGAGTCCTCCTGATTCCTGCGGGGAAAAAAGGGTGGATTCTGGGACGATTACGAGGTGCCCATGATATTCTATATTTATACCATCATCTTTTGCATCGTTCTACATTTATGTGAGGGGAGGTGAGGGAGGGAGGGGGAGTGATGGGGAGAGAAGGCAAGGTAAGAGAGAAAAAAAACTAGTATAAAAAGGTATCATGGGATTAAATAACTTGTACCTACGCACCCCACAGCCTCCCTCCTCTCCTCCATCTATCCAACCTCCATATAAAACCACTCTACGCCCTCTAGAAGCATACCCCACAACTCTACAATTCTACAACCCACAACTCCACAACTTCCCAACCTCACAACTCCCTAACCCCACAATCCCACAACCCCACAGCCCACCACAGCTCACAACAACGCAGTAATATACTCATCCAGCTCCTTATACGCCGCCTCCAGATCGTCATTAACAATGATCTTGTCGTGGGCCCCCGGCTCGGCCGCATACTCGAGCTCCTTCTGCGCCTGCGTGAGGCGCTTCTGCAGCGAGTCGGGCGTCTCGGTGCCGCGGCCCTCGAGGCGCGCTTTGAGCGCTTCCATGCTGGGAGGCTTGAGGAAGATGAACTTTGCGTTGAGGTCGGTCTTTTTGACTTGTTTTACGCCCTGTGTGTGGTGGTGGTGTGTGTGTTAGTGGCTTTGGTTGGTGGATATCTCAGTAACAGTAACTGCTAGTGGATAGCACCCTACTGCCAGTAGATAGCACCCCCACCCCCCACCCCCCAGTAGACAAACAACCAAACAAAAAACAGATTAGACAGAAAGAGAGAACCCTACCTCCATCTCAATGTCCAAAATACACACCAGCCCCTTGGCAGCCACGTCCTTGACGGCTTCAACACTCGTGCCATAGCAGTTGCCCGAGAACTGTGCGTGCTCGATGAAGGCGCCCTCGGCCACGAGGGCCTCGAAGGCCTCGCGCGTGGTGAAGTGGTACTCGACGCCGTCGGCCTCGCCGGCGCGGGGGAGGCGGGTCGTGTCTTTTGCATCCAGGTTAGTGTGTGTCTGTGTGAGGAGGGAAGGAGGGGGGTTACGAGAGACAGAGAATCCAAAAGTGCCTGGGTGTGCGGCAAAGAGGCGCTTGAGGAGGGTTGATTTCCCGGTGCCGGAGGGGCCGGAGATGACGATTGGGGGCTTTGGGGTTACTGTGCGGCAGGGGGAGCTGTGTATCAGTACTACTGTTCTCTGTGTTTTGTCTGTGTAGTTGTAGAGAGAGAGAGAGAGAGAGAGATTCTCACCAGGTGCCATTCTTGCTGCGGGGTGTTTTATCGTGGTTGTGGTTGTGGTTGTGGTTGTAGCGGTTGTGAGGGTGCGGAGGAGCAGCTTGGAGGAGAAGGATGAGGATGAGGATGAAGAGGAGAAGCGGGCGCGGTTCAGGAGGAAGTGCATGGCGACGACGACGGAGGTGTTGTTCTGCTGCGACTGGGGCCAATCAGCTACTCAATTGCAGACAAGGCAAAGGAGAAGGGCAGGGAAACTGTTGTCTGTCTGTCTGTCTCTCCCCACTTGCTGTATGCAAAAAAGAACACCCGCCCCCACCCAGAGACCCAAAACAGCGTCTGCTCGATTGGCGGGGTCCCTGCCAAGCTCTGACTGCCCCGCCATCACAAACGCAGAGAAAAACGTCACTTTGAGCCCCTCGCACGCCAAACCGCATCCTCTTTTTTGGGGGGGGGCAGAGAGAAAAAAAAACTATTCTTGCTCTAGATAAACACTTAAAAAGCCCCCCACTTACTGTACTCTATCTCTTATCTGCTGGGTACATAGGATCTAATTGATATACATCCCGGGCTAGAAACTAGTTTAGCTGCAAGTTTTCCACGGTGTCTGCCCTACGACTCTCCCGCCAGCTGCTGCCCCGACGCTCTCTCCTCCGCCGCCGCCGCTGCCCTTTCGATAACTACCTGCACCCGCACCCGCACCCGCACCCGCACATCCACATCCACATCCACACCCACACAAGCCCCCTCAGCACCGCCGCAATGGCCGCCTACGCAACCGAACGCCGCATCGCCGAGCTCGCCGTCCAGCGCGCCTGCCTGCTCACCGACAAAGTCTACCACTCGCGCGTCAAGGGCACCGTCACAAAGGGCGACAAGTCCCCCGTCACCAGTACTCTCCTCCCTCTCTCTCTGAGCCTTCCTTCCTCCCCCTCACCCACTATATATTCAACTAACACCCCGCCAGTCGCCGACTTTGGCGCCCAAGCCCTCGTCATCGGCGCCGTGCACACCGTCTTCCCCGCCGACTCCATCGTCGGCGAAGAAGACGCCGAGGTGCTCCGGTCCGAGGCCGACAAGCGCGAGTCCGTGTGGAGCCTTGTGCAGTCCGCCGTCGACGACAGCGCCGTGCTGACGGCCGATATTGGTGCCGTAACGGACGCGGAGGAGATGATGGCGCTGATTGATCTGGGGAACCATGCGGGGGGCTCTGTTGGGCGTGAGTAGCAGTCCACCACCACCACCACCGCATCTACCTGGCTATATAGATAGATAGATAGAAAGTGGTAATAGCGATCATTGGCTGATGAAAGTGGGGGGGGGGGGATAGGGATATGGGCGCTCGACCCAATCGACGGCACAAAGGGCTTCCTCCGCGGCGACCAGTATGCAGTCTGTCTCGCCCTCATCGTCGACGGGTCCGTCCAAGTCGGCGCCCTCGGCTGCCCCAACCTCCCCGTCGACCCCGCGCAGCCAGAAGGCGAGAAGGGTATCCTCCTCTCTGCCGTCCGCGGGCAGGGTGCCACCATCGTACGCCCCCCCTCCCCCTTCCTCACAACCCCTCACTCGCACCAACTAACCCCCCCCCCCCCCCACAGCGCCCGCTCTCGAACCCCTCCGCAACACCCACACCAATCCACATGCGCGCCATCAGCGCGCTCTCCGCCGCCTCCTTCTGCGAAGGCGTCGAGGCGGGCCACTCGTCGCATGGGCAGCAGGCAGCCATTGCAGAGGCGCTGGGAATCACGAATAAGTCCGTCCAGATGGACTCACAAGCGAAGTATGCAACGATTGCGCGCGGCGTGGCCGATATCTATTTGAGGCTGCCGACGAGCGCGACTTATCAGGAGAAGATCTGGGTATGTCTCTTCCTTCTTTTTGTTTCTGTGCCTTGGGTGCTGTGTTATGGAGGAGAGGGCTGGGCTGACTGGATGGATTTGGGGGGGGGGGGGACAAAACAGGACCACGCAGCCGGCTCCCTCATCGTCGAAGAGGCCGGCGGCACCGTGAGCGATGCGCACGGCAACGCGCTCAACTTCGGTGTGGGAAGGACGCTGAGGGAGAATAAGGGCGTGGTGGCCGCGACGAGGAACATCCACGCCGAGGTCATTGCCGCGGTCAAGGCCGAGCTGGCGAAGGCGCAGTTGTAGTGGGGGGGAACATGGAGTGTCACTTGGATGGACTAGAATATAGAGAAGAGAAATATAAACAAAGTGATATATTCTACCCTTTTCCACCCGGGCAGTGTTTTGAGCTGCTGGTGATGGTGGTGATAGAAATGATATCGAGAACCAGTCTGTCTTGGCGGACTCGCCGAGTGACACTCCATGATGCAGTCAGTCAGTAATCAACGCCTGGCATGAGTAATCACCCGGCCACAGCACCATGTTTATTATTTAGTAGCGCACATCTCTGCATATAACTCTAGATAGATGAAGCAGCCCTCTTCTCTTTTCTCTGCGAGCAAGCAGGGTAGAGAAAGAGCCGCAATATCCCTTAGTCTGGCAATGCTGACCCCCCTATAATAGAGGAATTAAATTTGTATGGGAGATCTATTATTTGATAAGAGAGACAACAGGATCTGTTAGTAAAGCCACACAAAAGTTTGCTTTTTTGGGGGGGGGTCAGCATTTTTTGCCAGACGAAGGGATAATTATTAACCTCACCAGCAATGATGTCATCGTGATGTCAAGCGGCCATGGCCGATATATATATATATCAACACTGCCTCTCAAGGCTCTAGAGTAGATACAAGCTCTAAAATACTCTCCACCTCCAGTCACAATTACAACTACTATCACCCACTCCACCAAACCCCCCACATACTCAATTCCCCAATTCCAACCCTCAATGTTCCCCCACCGCCCCCTCCACCGTCTCCTCCCCCGCCTCCCCACCCACACCCGCCTCCTCAGCACCCCCCACACCCAGCAAGGCCGCCCCGTCCCCTCAAAAGACGACATCAACACCTCCTCCAAAGAAAACACGCGCAGCGGCACCAACGACGAGGTCGCGCACGCGGGCGAGGCCGCATACGGGCGGGCCACGAACCCGTTTGAGGAGAAGCAGGTTACTGATAGTGAGGTAGGTCTTTCCTTTCTGCATGTGAATTGGGGGGGGCGACAAGGGCTGACAAGGGCATGGGGCAGGAGAAGACAACAACGCCGGGGTCCCCGCTGGAGGTTTCGCCCGCGAACCCGCAGGTGAGCCATCAGGGTGAGGAGGACAAGTCCCCGACGAGGGGCACGAAGGATGCGAAGAGGACGTCGGGGGGGAGTCGGAATGCTACGTAGAGGGGGGGGGGGAAGCTCTAATTGAGGTATAAAGGCCGGTTTTTATTTTATTTTGTTATTGTTGTATAAATGCATATGGGAGAAGGTTTGGGTTATAAGCTGTGATGATATATTATGCATGACTAGAGAGAGGGGGCCGGACGGGGGTATATATAATGAACAAGTTGATTTTATTAGAGGGGAGGCAGGTTTTTAAAGGGGGGATCTCTCGAAATAAAAATATACTGGATACCCATTATATTATCAATTGAGCTAGCTCTTTGTGATATTCACAATGCTTTGAAAGTGTTCTATTAAGTTACTAATGGAGTATTAATCGACCTTTAATTTTTTACATGTAATCGACTATTGTACTGTGATATCTATTAAATCAATCATTTATCATAGAAAACCCCCAGCCCTCCATATCTTTCACTCACTCTCTCTAAAACCACCCAAGATCTTCCTCTTCAGGGTCTTCATAGAGTTCCTCCTCTTCACTTCCCCCTTCCTCACGAACGGATCCGCCGCCGCCTTGATCCTCATCGTTATCTTCGACGATAAAACCACCACCATCCCCGTCGTTATCATCGACGACAAAACCACCACCTCCTTGGTCAGCGTTGCTATCATCAGCGATAAAACCACCACCTCCATGATCTTTGTCATCAACCATGAACCTCCCGCCGCCGCCATGATCGTTGTTGTCGACTATGAATCCCCCGCCGCTGTCCTCAGCACTAGCAATTGGCGCACCGCCAGGACCAGTAGGATGATCTTCAGCTTCAGTGAAAACCCCACCACCAGATGTCTGGACTTCAGGTTCTGCGAAAAATCCACCACCACCAGAGGCCTCCTGATCTCCAGTTTCAGCGAAAAACCCACCACCCGTATCCACGTTCCCAGCATCCTTGGCCCCATCCCCAGCTGCAGCACGATCATTGACCCCCATGTCCACCTTATTTACCTGCTTCACCTCCTGATAAATCCCCAATCTCTTCCTGATTCTCAGCCCCATCAAGTACCTCCTCCACCGCTTCAATGCCTCAATGCTCTTCTTGTGTTCCTCCGCCTCGTTCTTCTCGTCCAAAAGTGTTCCCATTACTGCCATGACCGCCTCGCGGTATTCCTGTGCGACGACAATGCCGTTCATGACTGGTGCGACTTGGCGGTTTTTGAAATCGAAACCAGTCTATGTTGGTATTACCATCAGTACAAGCCCTATATCGAGAATGGGGAAGAGAGGGTCCTTACCACTGCCTCAGCATAATCGATACCCAGTAATTGAGCAACCTTCACAAGACCCTTATCTACAAGACCCGTAAGCTTCCTATTCACAAGCACAGAGACATCAAAAAATGAAAACCCACAAGGCAAATGCACAGCTCCCTTCGGCACCATCGAAGGCACAAACACATCCAAATTACCAAAACTGTTCTTCGGCACCCTCCCGTAGACCACACTCGGCGGCACATAGAGCTCCGTCTGAAACTCGGCATACATTGCCGACTGTCTAGGCCCGTCATCCCCGCCCCCTTCTTCTTCTTCAGGATCACTGTCCAGGTAGTCATCACTTCTGCCTTTTACGCGCCGGTGGGCGGTGACGTATTTGAGTGGCTGCTCGCCTGCTTTGAGTTCACGTCCCACCCTGTACCATTGCTCGCTGGTCTTGACGACTTTTACGTCTTCTCTTCTATAGATTGTTTCAGTTACTTTGTTGCTCCCAGTGCCTGTTGTGATGGAGCCGACTTTTCGCTCGGGGTGTATTATTTCGCCGCGTTTTAGGTGTCTCTTGAGGGCGAATCTAGTTTCGAGATCAGCAAAGAACTTCAAATTAAGGTTCCCGCATCTTACAGAGGATGATCTTTTAGGTCCTGGATGTTATTAGGTACGGGCTCAACGACCTCCCTGTCCAGTAGTTCTGCAGATTCTAGTTGATCTCGGTCCTAGTACGACTTAGGTCTTGAATATTTTAAGAGGGTGATTGAAATGCGTACCATTTCCCATCCTCGTTGGAATACTCGAAGCACACGGTCCCACCATTCTAGTCCGCCTTTGGTGGACGAGACTCTCAGCTTTCTAGTCTTTCCATTGAAGCTCTTTACATATCGCCTTGTTACGTCCGTAGCCTGACCCTCTAATTGGAATTTCAAAGAGAGTTAGCTTGCCAGCCTGTGATCAATTTATTATACGAAAAGCTTATACGAACCCTCTTCAAAAGCAACTACATAACACATGGAATTTTCCCCGTCCGCAATCGGAGGCTCAAGTCTACTCGGCTTTCCAATAGTAGATGTTACCAGAGGGTCCACAGCAACCCACTTCTGTGTTGCCGTATTCCATGCCTCAACCCAGTAAACTGGGTACGGGTCTTCCCAGGCTCGGAGGCGGGCTGGAGGTTTTTCTGGTATGGGAGCTGTGACGAGTGGCTCTCGAAACCCGGGTCTTCTCAAACCCCCTCTCCTTCCTCCTAGTGACGGCCCTTCTGGCGCCGGTCCAGGGCCGCCAAATCTATTGTCGACTTGCATCTCTCTAGCATTATCCCTGGCAGCAGCTTCACTAACGCGGAAATCTGCAATTATTTGTGCTGCTTTGGGCAGAGCCTGCTTGTCCTGGAAAGTGAACGACAACGGCTGAAGGGAGCATACCAGCCTGCAGGTCACTCCAACAGAGCAAAGTAACGCACAGAAAATCTGGGCCCCTAGGTCTCTCGAGCCTGAAAGACCTATTGAAGCGGCCTGGAATTCAACTAGCCTCATGGGAGGATCTCCGCTCCTTGGAGGGCACGAGAGCATTTCAACTATCGCTTCATTATCACGCCAGCGCGGTTTCGACAGTCCCTTGTTTGTGATTCGGAATCTTCTTTTCCACATCTCTGATACTTTTCGTAATCCTTCATTAAAACTCCATGAGCGTCTAAACTGCTGGTCATTTGGGTTTGGGTTGAGCAATGATAGGATCTCTCTATTTACTAGAGGTCTCAGATTATCCTATAAGTTGATACTTAGCGTGTTAGTACTAATAAGGACCCATTGTTGTTTAAATTACCTTTACAGCTGAGTTGTTACACCATCGACTCCTCTGATATACATGTATGAGGAGGCACAGAATGTGCATTTTGTGAATCTCGAGTCGAATGCGACGGTCAACGGCTGTTATCACTCGTCTTACCGGGCCGGACTTTCGTTTTTCTTTTGGATCTAGAATGAGCTCTAGGGTCTTAGGTTCAGGGGGTTCCTCAAAGCGTTTTATTGCTGTACAAACTGTTAGCGAAGGCATATAACGAATGACTTGGTCGCAAGACAGACGTTTACTAATATCGACTTCTTCCCAATCTTCTTCTTCACTCTCATCTTCATCCGTGGTGGCAACTTCATCCTCCTCGTTATTTATATTGACCTCTTCTTCTTCTAAAAGTTGCCCCGGGTGCTCCTCTGAGTCTTCATGAAGAACACCTTTCCCTTTATCTTTACTGTTTGATGGACCCGATTCACTTTTAAAATTCTCTACCGCTTTCCGTCTCTTAGCAGGCCTTCCCTCAGAATCCGAGAGCTCTTGCTGCTGCTGCTGCCTGTTCCTTGTAGGGCCGACTACTTCGGCTACCATTTCTCGATAAATACCGACATCTTGCATTTCATCCTGTGCCCTAGCATTCCTGCCCGCTCCTCTAGCTCTTCGGATGGTGGTGGTACTCCCTCGAGCGGTTCTTTTGTTATTAGGTCTTGTGCGGTTAGCTGAGACATTTTCCCCTGTCGCAGCTGCACTGGCACCAGATCCAGAAGCTTGGGTTGTGGGTTGAGATCTTGTGCTACTTCTCGTTTCGCGAGTACTACCGCTGCCACCGCCGCGTCGTTTTGGCGGCATTATGAATTAATTGGGCTGTTGTGGTTTGGAGGTGAAATACATGTAAAGAAGTATTGACACGCTCAAAGGGAGGGAACGGTGGGAAGACGCGGCGGTTATGACTCTGCCGAATCCCTGCCCTGATGACGACATGCGTGCAACAGCACCTTATGTAAACATGGCGAGTGATAGTAGATGATTCGATGTTCCACAAAAGCTTAAATCTCACACTCCATGATCCTAATAATTCGGGGTCGAAGAAGGGACACATCTTTCTAATTAAACATCAGTGGTTCTTGAGATGAAGACATTTTCTAGCCCCAGCGGATTTCTATATCTCATTTTAATTACAATCACCTTATTATCCAAATCTCTTGCCTTCTCTCTCTCCTTCCCTCGCACCCAAGGAAAGAGTCCTTCTATCTTAGAGGCCCAGACTACAGATCATGAAAATGATGTTCTATCTGAAGCTCTCTCCCGAGCATTCCCCCCCTCGTATGGCCACAATCCAGCCTATGTAGCAGCTCTTGCAGTTTTCCGTGATCTCGAATCGAAAACATTCTGCCACAGGACTGCTGCAGCATCCCTAGTTTCCGACTGCAGCACCATTGAAGGTAAAAACGATATCCTCAAGATTACTTACGCAGCCCAGCTGGCCGTTTGTGAGTTTGAAGCTACCGGAATCAAGTATCCTCGGGAATGCCAGAGCTTGGATGGTAGCCCGTTGCGAGAGACAAGAGTTATGGAGTGCGTTAGGAGATTGGAGGAGCGTCCGCAATGGTGGACTACACTCAGTAATAATATACAAAGCGCTGTTGTTATGTGCTCAGCGGTCAGACACGAGATCGAGAAAGGTACGACCTTGATTCTTATCAGCAGCCGTCATCTTGCTAATCGGGGTCATACAGACGAGATTCTGATTCTCCATAAGAACATAACCAAGACTCAAAAGTCTCTATTCTCGGCATTGTCTACGTCTTTAGAGGATGTTTGGGAGTCGATAACAGCACAGAAAAGCTTCGGGGGTATCTGGAAAACCACATTAAATGACGTGTTAGATGATCTGGCTGAGACCAGGGGGAAGGTTATGGACGCGTTGAGGGATGCCGAAGCCAATGCTACCGGTATCATTAAAAGTTTAACCCAAGAACTAGAGATTAGAAAGAAAGAACAAATACAGACAGTTAGTGAGCTGGATCAGGTACAGACATCGATCCCGAGAACATTTGAAATAACCTGACTGATAGAACGGGTTAGCTTGTTCGTGGAGCGATAAATAAATTCCAGGAGTTAGGGGAACGTTCAGAAAGAATAACGGGAGTGGTTGAGACGGCAATGGTAGATCTATCTACTGATGTTAACGCAAAGAGAGGGGCCATCGAGCAGAGCTTACATTTAATTCATCGAGTATGCTTATTACACTCCCGACGAAAGTGGTGATATTGAATCTAACGGCTCTACAACAGATTAGTTCTCAATTTTATGTTGACTTCAACTCGTCAGTTGATAATATGCTGCGTACAGTTGACAATCTCTCAACTAGAATAGTACTTATACCTTCCAATTATTCATTGCAGCCAAACCTCCTGACATGGCTACATAAAAGATCGATTCATCTGTGAAACTTGAAACTCTTGCTAATACGTTTGACTCACATTTATCGGTGAGTTTGTGAGATCAGTAAGTGTAAATTGAGGTGTAACTAGCTAATCAAATTTACAACTTACAGCTTTTTGACTCAATCTCAAGCTCTTATACCAAACTCACAAAAAATCACGTAACTCTCACAAAATCTCTCGTTAAACAGGAGCAAACACAGCAACGATTATTCTCTTCATTGGAAAAGACTCATGACAGAGCAAATATTACGTTCGTAAATTTATTGAAAATGATGGATAATCTTAGCCAAAGTCTGGATCAAACAAGTACAACAATCCATTCCTGGAGGGCTAATGGACCCGACTGGGCTAGAATACCAATAAGCTCCATCATGTTTATATCAGGGATATTATTCGCAAAGGGATGGGAGAAAGTTATCTTGATTTCCCTCGGTGCTTTAGGTTTGTCAAATACTCGTTAATCTGTCCCCCTTACTAACTAGCTGAATATAGTTATCATAGTGATAATTATTTTTATTGGGTTCGTTCAATTCAATGGTGGAGGATTCCTCGGGGTGTTCGGCCATGGCGTTTTTAGGAAACTACCCTCTACGGTCGAACCCTTTATCGGCGAGAACCTCGATAACACTGGTCGTGTGGTAGTATCATCACATTGGCTTTGGCTCGGCTGTTTTATGATAATCATTATGGCGATATGTGGAATATTTTGCTTTTCATTATCTCGGTCCCGATCCATGACCTTGGTCAAAGGTTTTGATTAGATCGGTGCATTGGCTTTAAAATGTTGGATATTGGTTGCATGAAGTACTTATGTACACATTTTTAAGAAAATAAAGGGGATGGGTGTTGCTAGAGCTTATATAAATAACTTTAACTGCGGTCTGTGGACAGTCTAGAAAGTATCTCTTGTTCGCGGCCTATGACGTTTTTATGGACCAGGTAAACTTTTTTTAGCCCAACCCAGCGCTCGATTTACTCGGAGAGCTTTTTGAGTCAAATTTTGGCCCATTCAAGGAACCTCCACCCCACGATCAGGCCAATCTCGAGTCCATTCTGATATATGGTATATATAAAAAAAAAAAAAAGCTCTTGTATTTCATCAAATCTAGATCAGATTCCGATTGATTGATAGTCGTCTAAATTTGGTATAATAGAAGGTTAGTATGTATGTAGGGCAATGAGATATATTTGGGTACATGTATCTCTTGTACTCTTCGAAGCTTCCCAACGTCATTGACCTTCGTAATTAAAAGCTCACCTGACGGTGCCTACCCTTACAAGATACATGTATTTACACCCAAAGTTTGGCAACTGTTACTTACCCGTTTATAGGAGTAATACTCTATACTAAGTAGTCTTCTGGGACGAACTGGTCCATGATTCGCGGGTGGGCTGGCTCCCTGGGTGGACTAAAGGACAATATCGAGTGACAGTTCATGACTGCGTGCGGGTCTTGGCAGCACAGTATTAATATTGATCCCATGCAGCGGAGTTAGATTTCAATCAATCCAAATTTACCACTCACAAACCCTAGCTCGCCTAGACCACTGAACCTTCTCGAGTGCTTTTCAAAGCAAATACCCCTAGACCTCTTGACGCGGTAGAAGAATTCGTCGTGGCGTATCCATGCCAGGGCAATTGGAGCCACGTCCCCGAGGAGTATACCTTATATAACCTGGTTTGCTTAAACAGGGAGGGTGAATGCCTGGAGTATAAGATAAATACAGCCACTCTGCGAAGGTATGTGTGACTATATATCTTGAGCACAAGGCGTTTCAAAGAAGCGCTCTCCAGCGTAACTAAAGACATCAGTTGATTATTTCATATTCCAATCACAAATACCACTCAATAATCAACATCCAATATTTGCCGATAACACCAACAGTGCCTTTAAGGATAACAATCAGCAAATCTTCACTGACTAGCAGCTTTGGGTCTCGATACAATGTGATCTTTCTGGGCACGGACACAGGCCACATGTTTCTGCGAATAAGCTTAAGCGCTGCTTGCTTTGGTACCTTCTCAATGGACTTAGAAATATGGTATTATATAGCTCCAGATTATCTAGCAGATTATTTCAAAAGCTAATAAATTTAAAACTCCTCACATCCTGGAAGACCTTCTAATAATCTTTATAAACCGTTCTTCCCGCCTTCGTAGCTTTCTACGTCATACTCGTCGGGATACTCCTCAATGATCCTCTTAAGCTGCTGTAACTGTTCGTTCAAGTCCTCGCTCGGTTTCTCAAAGATATCAAGAAATAGATTCTTGATAGCTGGCTTCTTTTCTTTCTCGGCACGTGCAAAGGCTTGTAGCACTTCTTTGCGCAGATTTGTCCGAAGCTGTGTCTCTTCATCAGCTGACCACCAGGATCTAAGTTCAAGCCATTTTCGCATCCTCGTGATTGGATTATCTCGTCGTTTCCAGTCTGTACCGACAACCATTAAGTTAGCAATCATGACTTTTAGGCCATCTCCAGAAAGGGAAATATACCCTCGACTTCCACTTTCGCTCTATAAGCAAACGAATCATCACTTGTCGAGTGATGTGAAACGCGGTACGACATAGCCTCAATCAAGACTGGTTTTTGGCTGGTCATGGCAATATTTCTCGCCTGTTTCGTCACTTCCATTACTGCCATGATCTACCAATTCAACCGTCAATAAAGAATGCATTATTATCCTTGATCGACTGACTTACATCATTCCCGTCAACTCTGATGGTATCAATACCATAGCCTACGCCTCTACTTGCAATGCCATCTCCCTTGTATTGCTCCAAGGTAGGCGTACTGATAGCGTACCCGTTGTTTCTACAAATGAAAACAACTGGACAGGATCTCGTTGCAGCAATGTTAAGTGCTGCATGAAAGTCGCCCTCCGAGGCAGCACCTTCACCGAAATAGCAAACAGCTATACGATTTTCGCCGGAGAGCTTTAGAGCATATCTATTTTGAGAGGGATTTGTTAAGTATAATTCGTGACATGAGAAGTTTTTAATGTGATAGATATCCTTACGCTGCGCCTACTGAATGTGGGATTTGAGTTGCAAGGGGAGAAGAAATCGAGTGCTTAATAATATTGGTTAGGCCATTGTTTACGTGAATAAAATGGGTCTATCCTTACTAGGTATAATCTCTCACTCATGTAATGCACGGGCATGTTCCTTCCTTTCCCATAATCAAATCTATTCGAAAATAACTGATTCATAAACTAGTGCATCCAATAATTCTCATTAGTATTGTCAAAGACCCACATAAGAAGTCTCCCTAAGTAAATTCCATACCTCGTCTAGTGTAAAGCCCCTGTACATCATTACACCTTGCTCTCTATACTGGGAGAAAATGATATCGTTGTCTGCTAATGCAGCAGCGGATCCGACTGCTATACCTTCTTCGCCGGCAGAAACCTAGATAATTTAGTATAAAAAAAAGAACAATTTGTGGATTCGCCCAAAGCTAAGAAATTCTGTACCATGTAGAAGCTTATTCTTCCTTGCCGTTGGGATTCATACCTACGAATGACCGGAGTAAGAAGCTAAAATTAATATAACTCTGATATTGGAAGACCTACATAAGTAAATCCATAACACTAGCTATACATAACATTCTTGTATCAGCAATGTCACTCGCTATGTCCCATTGCATTCGTGGGAGGGTGATTTACTAGCAACCATATCCCTATACATCTTCAAAGCCTTTTCTTTACTCAAGTCCGGCTCTCTGCTGGTATCTAACAGAGCCCCATTGGTATCGATCAGCCTGTACGTTGGTATCGCTGGTGTATCTTCCGATTTCTGGAATTTGAGAGTATTCGAGAACTTTGAGTTGAGGGCGCCAGGGAAATGAACACTATTTCGTGGTAAGAAAAATTGAAAGAATTAGCATTTAGTATGAAGCTTGAGGTTTTAGGGAGTTAACCTGTCAGAATGGGGCGGCTGGCGTACACCTGCATTCTGCAGAGCTCGGCTTGAGGATACAAAAGGGCGTCCGAAAGCTACTTTAGGGCGCTGTGTAAGGGCCCGAATCGAAGTTGAACGAATGCATTTCTTTAAAGGGGTCGTTAACATAATTGTAGACAAATTGCGATGTTCTGAAAGCTAAACGTTGTATCTAAGTGTTGAAGCGGAGCTACAGGGAATTGGGGTCACAAGAACTACAACAAAATCCGGGGTTCGGTTATTGCCGGGGTTGAGCCACAGGGGTTGTATAACCTATAGTAAGCATAGATCTAAGATAACCACTACTTTAACCGTCCCAAGTGTACTATATGTGGCGCAGAGACAAAACCCCGAAAAGAGCTCGCTGTAGCAAGCCATGACGAGCTACAGCTACCCGCTCTAGATTGCTCGGAAACAGAGGAAAAAATAACTTATTGCCTACATGTGGTTGGTTGGTAAATATTATGATTTACAATGCTGCGTGATCCTTCACTATGTAGGAATGGGACTATACTAAAGTACATACATACTAGCAGTTGGCTGGACTCGCGAGCGCAAGTTCCTTTTACTACATGTACTTAACTCTGCCTTCAAGTTTCGTGCCTTTCGTGCCCCCCCACTCAGGGTTCTCCCCCGCCAGTGAAGGGACGACTTAACCCGTTGCCAGTTGATGATTCCCCCATATACCATCGATACCCCCGTTGACCTCCTCCTACAGATACCTCCTTTAAGGTATCGATCGATCTCTTAATACCACCCAGTTAATACAATTTAATGATTAATACAATTTAATGATTAGACCAGCTTGCCCATCAGCGAGCGTCCACCAAACTTTGGTGGGTGGCAACCGTTGCATCCTGGGGGTAGCGGGCAAAATAGCGGGCAAGCTGGGCATTTTGGGTGGTGGGCTGGTTGCTATGCAGGGTCAGGGTTTCCGCTCTCGACCAATGAGAGGTCTCGGGTGCGCGAAAGAATTAACGACAGTACATATTAGACTAGGGTGTACCACCTCGCAACCGCGAGTTGTTGGTTTCTGAGTATTGGAAATATTGGAATATTGGAAGTTCGATGGGGTGGACTCCAAACCCTCTACCCCCACCTCCACCTCCTCCTGCTCTCCCAGATCTTCTACTCAACCTTCCACTCCATCCAGCTCCCACTGCTACCAGTGCTCTTAGTTAAAAAAAAAAAAGAATTAAATGGATTCTATCTTTAAATATTAGTGCATGAACTGTAGAGCTTCTGCAGCATTATATTTTGGCGGGGTGGGATGGTTGCAGTGCAGAAGTCAGTGGGGTTAGGGGTTACAGCTCTCGACCAATCAGATGCCAGAGAGTTTAGAAAAATTGTTAATCTAGTACATAATAGATGTACATGTATCTAGGCGAGTCATACTCCATGATTGGTGACAAAAACAGACTCTATAAAGTACCGAATCAGAATCCATGAAGTAGCAATATCGACAAATTTCCGCGACATTACTCCGAAGGCTCAATGCTAATATGAGAGCACATGGTTCATAGGATGTCGGCCAGTACTTGGTCGCAGAGTAATTGTTATAGGACAGGCGACCCATCTGTCTCCGACATCTGGGGCATAATTCAACGTGGTTTAAACTTGATCCCGTTCACCCCCAGCGCCACCAATCTCTACTTAGATCCTTCCTGCAATTTGTCTTAACACGGAAACAATAAAAAGCTTTCATGCTGGCATAAACTAATTTCTCTAGGTATATCGAGATGTCAATTCTTACAAGTACATACTTAAAGCCCAATAAGCACCGATACGCATTGCGCGGATTAATAGAAATCTGCGGGAACCTTAAGGCAATCCTCCACCATCAGGCCCTGATGGTTTCCCACCCTCTTCTCCTTCATCTTCCTTTTTAATAATGTGCCCCAATAGTCCCCTTTTGCTCACAATCTTTGCCCTTTCGATCAGAGCTTCCTCTTCCTTCAGCATGTCCTTGGCCCTTTGTTCTTCTCCTCGAAGCCTCCATTGATCTTTTCTAACAGCAGCTTCTCGATCTCTTATAGCTCGTGCTTTCCGTTCCAACTCCTCTTTAGCCTTCTTTTCCGCTTCATTCATTGGAGCCTCTGAAAGTGTGGCAAGATGATCCTTAATTATTGCATCGCGTATCTTCTCGGGGGAAGTAACATAGCGCACATCTATTAGGATTGACTCCGGAAGGTCCTCGAGTGATGTCAGACGAGATAACTCAGAATTGGATCTAAGAAGCTTCTTTAAGTCATTTTCACGGAGTGACTCGGAAATTTTCATATCTAACAAACGTCAGTCACGATGTGGCAAAGACGATATTGAAGTGACCCACGTGAAATATAGTCCCTGTACATCTTTTCCTTCTCTTTATCGGCGAGTTTTGTGTCCTTCATTTCTGACACTTTCTTGAATTTCCTCTTGAATTCTGGCCAATAAAGCTTTGCGCTTGCGTTTTCTTTCAAAAACGCCCAAAATGAGATTTTGGGGTCCACCTTTTTCTGCTTTGCTTTTTCAGCCTTGATCTCTGCTATGCGATCCTTGCACCACTCTGTAAAAACATCCTTGCGGCGTTTTGTAGTTGTTACGAGAACATAGCGATTATCCTCGACGATCCTTGGCATTTCGGCGTCCCATGTGCTATAAGGGTTGATCTTGTAATCGTCCAACATTTCCTAGGCAGTTTATTAGCAACTCAACTCCCCAATACTGGATTTTAGTCACATACTTTGAATGAGTTAATATTATCCTCCGCTATCATATCTTCTCCTTCTTCAAAATCATCTTCCTCGAAACCGTATTCTTCAGCCATGGCCTCTAATTGCCACGCCACATCGTCTTCTGTAAACTCAACTGCTTCTCCGGTCTTCAACCTCTTATTCCCGTGGGCGTCATGCTCGTCTTCACTTCCCTCCTCCTCTTCTTCCCCTTCTTCATCTTCCTCATCTTCCTCCTCTTCGTTAATATCTGCAGCTCCGGTGCCATCCTTGCCCTCGGTTTCTAGAGCAGCCGGCGCCAGTCTTTTGATTCCCCGAGGCTCTGACACCTCTTGTTTGAGACCATCGGTATCAGAAGCAAGTTTCTTCTTAGCCTTCAATTCCTTTGTTGCTTCATCCTCGGGTGGCATGGTGTCTATAACAGCCTGTACATCTTCTGGGACCTTCCACAACGATACTTTTGTCTCCGTATTGTGCACAAAAGTTCTGCCTAATTTTGTTTTTACAAGGACCCATGGTGTCGCGCCTGGGATGGTACGTCTAGAAAGAACAAGTAAGTATCTGAACAATCATTCAAACGAGACATGATATTACTTTGACTTTGGGCGATCTGGTTTCTCTTCCGGCTTTTGGCGGTGTTGGCGCTGATTACCGAATCTACCGCCCCTACCCATCCACCCACGGCCACGATTTTGATCATGGCCGAACTGCTGTTGTGGTGGTGGGAACTGCTGGTTCGGGAACTGCTGTTGGTTGAATTGACCACCATAATACCCTCCGGGAGGTTGAGAAAAGCTGGGATAAGGACCTGGAGCTGGGTACGGACCCGGAGTTGGACCAGCGGCGAAAGGGGCTGGCGCGGGCGTTGGCGCGACGGGGCGAGTATAAGTCGAGGTCTTTGTAGCGGCGTTATAGTAATAAGAGTGACCTGCCAGCTCTTAGATATCTAAAAAGTTTCGAAGCAGCGATCAAAAGTCGCAGAAAAGCTAAGGAGACTTACCTGTAGGAGCTTTGTGTTCGGTCCACCCAGGCGCAAGCATCGGAGGTCTAGGTGGAGGAGGAGGCCGATTGAAGGATCCAGGGTTTGGAGGGCAATTAGGAAGATTAAAAGATGCCATGACGAGATGATTATCGTGTATTTTCGTATGGCTGGTGGTGTACAGAAGCAGTTTACAGAATCTGGGACTGCCGGGGGTTCATGTTATTTATCTGGCACGGACGCTTTTTGAGATCAAAGGCCGAGCTGAGACATCCACAAGCCTTGGCATAACGCCCACCTCGTCCCACCAAACAACGTTCATCTGCCCCTCAGTCATCACCCTTTTCTCCATTTCAGCAAGTCGAGAATCAATAAAGTTCCCTCAAAATGTCCAGACGCTACGATTCCCGAGTACGTCCTTCTGCATATCCTCCCAAATCATCTGTGATAAGGTCAAACTGATTGATATTCTTCCGTAGACAACAATCTTCTCCCCCGAAGGTCGACTTTATCAAGTCGAATATGCTCTAGAAGCCATTTCTCATGCCGGAACTGCTCTGGGAATCTTAGCAAAAGATGGAATCGTCCTTGCCGCCGAAAGGAAGGTGACGAGTAAGCTGTTGGAGCAAGATACCAGCGCTGAGAAGCTGTACATCTTGAACGAGTTAGTAACACATCCAGTCAATACGTTCCATCATCAAAGAATCTTAAGCTCCAAGAGCTTATGATGCTCGTGATAAAAAAAGTGATGAGAACCTTTGAAACTCTAGCTGACGGACCGATTCACCATCGCAGCAATATGATCTGTGCTGTTGCCGGAATGACTGCGGATGCCAACATTCTCATCAACTATGCTCGACAGGCTGCTCAAAACTATCTCCTAACATACAATGAAGATATTCCATGTGAACAGCTTGTTAGGAGACTATGCGATCTTAAGCAGGGCTACACACAGCACGGAGGTAATAATTCCGGCAAACCAACCCCGCACCCCGCCTTACCCCACATTAGTCAAATACACCCTTTGTCGTCACTATCAACTGACTCGCAATTTTTGTTTGAAATTAGGCCTGCGTCCCTTCGGCGTTTCATTCATCTATGCGGGCTACGACTCGCAGCGCGAATTTCAACTTTACCAGTCCAATCCTTCTGGTAACTATGGCGGTTGGAAAGCCACCTCGGTTGGTGCGAATAACGCCTCAGCGCAGAGTTTACTGAAGCAGGATTACAAGGAGGACTGCGACTTGAAGGAAGCCTGTGGGATTGCTGTCAAGGTGCTTAGTAAGACCATGGATAGCACTACCCTAAGTAGCGAGAAGAGTAAGACAGCAAATCTCGAACACTATTCTGCAGGTTCAATACTGATAATCTATTCTTAAGTTGAATTTGCGACCGTTGGTAAGACAGCCGAAGGCAAGGTTTATCATCACCTATGGACCGCAGACGAGATCCAGTCACTCCTAAAAGAGCAGGGCTTGGCAAAGCAGGAGACAGAGGAATAATCGACTGGACAAAATCATGGTTTCGATAGTCTGCCAATGAGTAATGAAATTCTCGGCGCATCTGAACGTTAGACCTTGTCACTACTGTATCGTTGCTTGATGATACCCTTTCCAGTTCTGGAAATATAACATCCATTGGCTCATGAAATTTTCCCCTTATATCCAATTATTATAGGGTCAAGGATATTTTACTCGTGTTTTCAAGCATCAAGAGGCAAAGAGCCAAAATATATAGCCACTACACAATTCGGATAAGCAAAACTACGGAGAGGTACATCATAAAGTATAGAAGGTAAGGAATGCAATATAATAACGCAAGAAGTCTTTCTTGTAGAATAAACGCAAAATTTGATAGTGACAGCGCAAAACATCGTGACAATATCACACGATAAGAAAACATAAAATACCCCAAACGCAACAGCAAAAATCAGACTGCACTTGCCAATCTCTCGTAATAGGTTCTCAATCCCAAGACATGCGCCCTGGGCGGGTCATTTCTTAGAACTCTACCTTTACCCCAGCGTGAATTCTGCCTTTGGCTTCCACCGATACATCGTTTTGTGAACCTCGTGGCCATTTCTCTCACCTTTGGCCTTTCTTCTTCTAGATATGCCTTTTCGATCCAACCTACTCGCTCAGCATCCGCCAAAGAGGGTCTTTTATTACCAACCCAACCTCTCAGCATATCCTTTACCCTCTGCTTCTCCAACTCTTTTGCGGTACCCAGAAACACCGGCGAAATTCTAACAGGTTGCCATATTGCCGTATCATCTGCCGATTTGTGATAATACGGCGCGGGAAGAACACCGCGCTCAATTAGAGACGGTATTGATGGCCTATTAGACAACTTACGCTTCAAGCGGATAAGAGTCAATGAACGAGCGAGAGATCTTTGAGCCACCTGTCGACGAGTCAAGTATATTCGGCCACTCCTCTGGACGTCGTCCAAAGAGGGTCTGTGAGAAAGCGAGATGTTGAGCGTTTGCTTTGCTGTCTTGAGACGTGTGAGGTGCAGGAGAGGGTCCGTGGAAAGTGCCCTGAGGTGGCGGGAAGTCTACACGAAGGCGTATGACTAAATTAGAATGTTGATTCATCGTTGACAGTCTGTCAATCAGTATCAAAAATAAATTTTTTAAAAAAAATCCCTTGCATGTCGTTCTTTCCCTTTTTTATATATTTTTATTTTTTTTTCCTTTTCCCAATGACTTGTCCTCCAGGAATCAATGTAATTCAAATCTCCTGACTGATGAGGCAGGCACGGAGAGTCCCATGGTGACAGATCGTAGATGATGATGTAAGATATATAAAAAAAAAAACAGAAAATAAAAGACAACGGGCGAAACAGAGGGCAAAGATGTATAAAAATAAGGTAACACAACGGCTCGATTGACAATTGAGAGGGTCCACTCCCTCGTCCGTTGTGCCCACATGTACATACATGCGTTCCTTAGTACATGATCAACCGCCAACATGATGTTTTGGATTGCGACAGGCATAAGGAATCATCAATTAAACGAAATGCGGGGGAGTGGTACTAACTCTCGCTAACACGTAGAGCTCGGGAACATCCAGGAATTTTAAAATATAGAGGATGAGCTCGTCTGGAAACGTTACCAGTCCCACCTGCGCCGCCGGCGATGATATCGCAGCAGGGGCAGAAGAAGATGAAGTGGAATCTGGTGCTGTTTCTGTTGCTGCTGCAGCCAGCTGCAGGATATTGAAACATGTAGTTGGGGTTGAGTCCACCATTATGACGATGAAGCAGCAAAGCAAGTTAACCCAAATTCACGGTTCTGCGTTGGCGATGGACAGTTATCTTTCTCCAGAACCTCGAGAAGAGTAAGAGGAGTTGCTGCTCACAAAGCAGACGTTCAAACAAGGCGCTCGGCCGGGACCTTACCTACTTCCTGGCTCCATGACACAGCCCTAGTAACCGATGACGACAGCCACTAGCTAGAGTTGCTACTGGCAACTGCTACTCACTTGCTTGTACCACGGCAACCGTCAACCACAATAATAATTTGAGACATCAACATCTAGTAGTAATTGTAACTAGTTAGTAACAACCTCTACATCTGGATATTAATAGGAAAAAGAAATGAGAAACAAATCATAACCACACCGACCCAAGACATACACGTACACCTACATATATTACAAATGCACGACCCTTTGTTGAAGGCACCTACCTACCTGCACGTATGTTGTACATTTATATTTAATATGACCCAAGTAATAGCTTCGGTCAGGAACTTTTTTCCAGGCGTATGTTTGTCACTTTGCGGCCCTGACTCGAAAAAAAAAGGTTTATCCAACAATCACCCAGAGATAGATTGAAGGGAAAGAATCCATCATTGGCTCGCATCGCTACCCCCGACCCGCAGGCTGACAGTATCACCTGCACAGCATCAAACCAATGGAGGGCAGATCCGAAAGATCAAGAGAACCGGCCCCAGAAACGAAAAACGCACAAAATCGAACGAAAAACTAAAATGCAAATGCAACGTAGAGGATGGCGAACGTATGGCGTGTACATGCATACATGTGGGATCCATCCGTGCTTATTTTTTTCAATGTACTGACCCTTTTGGCTATCAATTTCCTTCGGTGTTCGTTCCCTGCACAGACACTAATGTACCGTATCTACCCTACTCTTGACTCTATATGTATTTCTCGCAGACGGTACAGGGATTGGGCGATAATGCTGCCTTACATGTCTGCATCTCATGGCATCAACCTCTCTTCTTTCCTGGCCTGCTCTTTCCTGGCCATAGCCTGCCCCGCTTTCCATCTCCTGTAACCTATGTAAGTGCTTGTAATTTACCCCCATATATTTTGCCTTCGGCTTCAGAGGCGAATAACAAGCTGCCTAAAGCAATGAGTCCCGAGTGGGACCCCGGATTGTCTCAGGCATATGGCAAGCCTCACATGAGACATCGGAGCCCGAGCAGAGAATGCCAGCTATCCTTGGCATGCAGCAGTAGCATAATGTTCCATGAAACATTCTAGAAGGTCATAACGCTTTAACCACATGGAACGTGGGTTAAACTCTCAAACCCTGAAAACTGAACTCGAGGGAAACACAACGGCCTCAGCAACCTTCTAGGAGCTTAATTTGGAGCATGAGGACACAAGTACTAATCATCAAGGGGGGGTGACTGGAACAAAAACTCATCAACGATAGTTTATTCTGCGTTATGTACCATAAATCAAGGGGAAAATTGTGTATCAGCAAAAAGAATTGGAGGGGTCGGGAAACAGGGCTGATTGAGCAATAACAAACAAATTGAACGCTGGCAAACTAGCGTAACAATGAATAAGAGTAGTCTTCTTCGTCTCCAGCTTCCCTCAATTAGCCCAACCCAACCTCTCATCCTTCTATTTTTCAAACTTCCTGACAAGTGCATCTTGATAAATGCCGCGCTTAAAGTTTTCCCAAATATCGAGATGGTGCTTGACTGCTGCCTTGCTTTCACTGCCCCCCTTCTTCTGCTGTTGTGTGACTATCTCCTTCATTTTCATTGCTGTATATCGACGGGCAGGTCAATATGATGTCTTTGGAAATTGCTGTGCCGCTCACAAAAGAAAGTATGCCGTTTAACGACATACTATGTCTACTGAAGGGGTTTTCTTTGCCACCTAGGGCACCAGAGCTAGCTTCAGGGACCATCAATGGGCCAAATCAGCGGTCTTCAAGGATCTTCTGCTTCTAGAGCACGGCTGATCTGATGCAATTCACTGTAATCTACCTGAGCCGGCTTTCCATAACATAATATGGCCACCGCCTCTCGGATCCAAGACGTAATTGAGTTCACAGCCATAAGAACAGCCCATCAATTGAGCCTCTTCATTCAAGGTGACAGCCATACCCTGTTTGCCACGTCAGTTTGGATAAAGTCTCGATCGTAGCGCCTGCCTCATTTACATGGAGGGGGGGGGGGGGGGTGCAATGAGGCAAGAAAGAAAGTGATGGGCGAAAAGAATCTATACGAGTCATTCATGCATTGCTTTCCTTATCTGAATGCTCTGGAAGAACGGAGCACAGAAGAGGTAAAGCCGCCGGGCCGTAACTCTGGGAGTGGTGCAAGGTTCGTAGGAGGGGTACAGGAGAATGATAATCAGCTGAACGATTATAATCCCAAAAAAAGATGTAAGTGTTTTATGGAAACCAATCCAAATCCTCAATTGAGCAATCATGAAAAATGGAGACCGAGGTAGACACAGTCTTGTGACTGAAGGTGCATTTTTAGGAAACACCCGGGTCTACGGATAGTTGAATGATTTCAAGGCAACAAATGTCCTTAAAACAAAACATGTTTACCTGCAGTATAGTTCAAATAAATTCGAAAAAAGCTGAGATAAGACCCCGGCCAACCCGGATGACGAGGCTGTAGCTGAGAGAAAGGTGTGGAGCCATAGTGCAAGAAAAAAAAAGGTGAAAGCAACCGGTGTTGGAGAGGGGGGGGGGTATGGAGGGGTTTGAAATGTCTGCTTTTCTTGGTTGTTTTGTTGGTGTACTGATTCGGAGCAGTGGAAAGCACGATCATCTTGATAGCCGGAATTTTGGCGCAAAAAGAAACAAAATTCATGCGTTGAATTGCGCCAAAAGAATCCTAGTCCTGGGGAGGCAAATCCCAAGATACTTTCATCCTTCATCCTAGTTCAGATATCTCGTGCCACTAAGTAAAGGGACTCCGTGAAACCCCCGTAAATAACGACCATTCAGCATACTCTCAATGCATTGACCCCATAGTGCATGCACCCACGTCCCGTTCATCACATACACACGTGATGAACAAGCTTGCAACCCAATCTATGAGCTTCTGCAAACAAGGGGTAGTAGAGAGAGTTGTGAAAAAACCACAACACCATAAAGCATCTGATTTAGTAGCACGGGACGAGTGAGACAGGGTGAGGTGAGAGCCAGGAGTGCATAGTCAAAGGCCTCCGTGAGGGGTTAAACGGGGAGATAGGAGATAGTTGGTCAATTGATCGAATGGGAAGAAGAATTACTGTTTCCGGGAGACGAAGTTGGAAGCGAAGGGGACACGCCTGCTCAATGGAAACAGTTGAAGAGGGTGTGGGAGCAGGGGTTAATGTCCAGAAGGAACGACGATCGTTGTGATTGCGTGCCTCCATTATGCTTCGCAATTGTGTGTTGTTCGAAAGGCGGTTGAAAAGAACCATGAGCTGACTAGCGTGATCGGAAATAGTTGAAGATTCTGTAACTGTTGGTAGTATCAAGTCTTGACGGAGGTGTTAGGATATACATGTTGTATCAATATCTATCAACCATAAATACCCCCCATCATCGCCCTCGATTGCTTCCTCATCCTCATCATTCCTCTCGAGAAGCACAGACTAGAGCCTGAACCCGTTCTCAAACATAAAACATACTTTGCATTCTTTGCCGCCCTCAAGCAGCTTCCCCACAATATCCAAAGCAACCCCCACCAAATAGCTCTCTCAAATCTTTAAACCACCCCCCCCCCCCCCCAAACCACCACCACCAGATATCAATCGTTTTCGAAACACCAAACAAATCAATAAACATGTGCTTCTACGATCAGCAAATCTTCTCCTGCAACGATCACAAATGGGGACGATTCCGTGCCCACTGTAACAAGGAGTACCGAACCGGCGAAACCTGTGGCATGAAGTTGATATACGAAGCTACTCGCGTCAATGGCAAGTGCCAGAATTGCAAGAAGTACGAAGTAACCTGGCGCAAGATTGTTCAGGCTACTGAGCGAGTGGCCCGATGGGAAGCCGAAGGAATCAACCCCGTGTCGACCGATAAGGAAAGGCTCAACATTGCCGCGTGGCAAAAGGAGTTGAAGGATATGGAGCTTCTGAAGCAAACCAAAATGCGAACGATATAATTGAATGCCGACTGGCGCTTAGTAACGAGGGATTTGTTTGAAGCCTGTACCGGTGTTTATTTTTATTATTTTCTTATGTGTTGATGATCGTTCCCTTTTTATTTTCTGGTGTTTTCATTGTGTTTTGGTGGAGCGGAATTAAGAGTGTTGAAGTGAGAACACTGAGGTGACGTCGTGGTAACGGGATCCGCCGAGGGTCCAGAATCGGACAGGGGTTACTATTCCAGGGATCTAAAACTGTTTCATTTTTTTCTTTTCTCTGTCTTTCGCTGTAATTTTCGTTTATCTTGTACACAGATGTCTGTGATATCTCAATAAACTCTTCAGAAAATCTGCAACCGCGCTGCTACTGAGTCGTTAATGATACTTTGTGATGTTTGGCGTTTTTGTTTATGTTTCGGGAGCCAATTGAGGATTGAGGTGGTTCCTGGGGTGGTGATCCATAAATAGAATCGAGACGAGCGACTCCTGATACAACACCATTGTCCGGCGATCCCGTTTTGAGGCTCTGCCCATTGTAAACAAGCTAAACAAAAACACCACATAAAAACAAGTCCCAAAGTAGTGCGACGAGAAGCCCTGAGGATAGTTATTCGATGCGCCTGTCTTCCCGTTGCGTCGGAGAAATAATGATCCCCTTGATCCTCATACGGTTGACGAACGTTGAAGCGCCCTGTCGAATTAGAGCGAGTGGGCGTTAAGAATAGGTCTCGACGCTCTAGTACCCTTCCAAAGTATTAAAACAACGTGTGTTGTCATGATAATCTCCTATGATTTCAAGAGAAGAGAATGCTTCCTCATGTTGTTGTCGTCGAGTGTTGAAGGATGAGTGTCCTTCGGACAAAGCGGGGTCTGAGGTAATTGAACTCGCGACCCGTGCCAACTTAGCGCTGGCCGGTCTGTGAAATACACACAGCTGGTTAATACCACAGGAAGTTCGTCACAACCCTTATTATCCTCTCTTCTCCTCCTCCATGAGCAAGCCGTGAATGAGTTGAGAATATGTTAGTATGTGATGAGGATGTGTCCTCCGAACTGGAATGATAACGAAAAGTGCGAGACAGAGCATAATTGTGGCCATCTTCGGTCGCTGACGGCCCGGCTGAGATGAAAGAGTGGGGTAGCCCATTATGTATGCAGTTATGGCCAACGCCGCCCAACAACGACATGAATGACAGAGATAAAGCGCCAAAGATCTGAAAAAACATAAAAGTCTTCAACATCCGACTTTGGGTGTGCCTACTATATGTATTCCTCCCCTTCGTTCTGCCAACGCGTCTACGAGCGATATGCTAACAATCATCCATACAGAAACCACAGAGAACGTGGCAGGTATTTTTCGAGACGCACGCATGAAACGTTCCTCCAAAAACAGGAACAACATTAACAACGCAGCAAACTCCACAGCCCGTCAATTACAATTTCCTCAGCTTGCACGAAGTACTGCAAGTGGGGGTTCTTTTGCCGGATTCTGAAAGTGCTTGGCGATCTTTTTGTACAGAAATGTACCTTATCGTCCATTTTAGGGTCGGTCTACCTGTCAAAACGCACGCGACTTCTTCGGGTGATCTGTGAGGGATCATTGTTGCGATATGATTGGTTGGATTGGCCGACAAGGTACTATTTTTTGTGACCATATGCCATCGTCACGCGTATTCACACTACCAGGCATTTATGCCCTCACACACATATTGAAGGAATCTATATATGAAAATTCTAATTACAGGAAAATTGTTGGCTCCAGCGATTGAGAAAAGTATTTGCGCTATCAACTGAAAACCTAAGGCATGCGCTTGAACCTAGCCTGTTTTGTTAATCGCTACTGCATCTTGCATGGTTCAGGTCCTTGGAATCAACTCGCAATGATATTTTTGACGACTTTTTAGGAATCCCCCGCTCCGCCCCGCATTTGAGTTCTAGCAGCATTTACGATAGGATACATGGTTTAAGAGTAATTTCGGCGCACCATGAGGTCAAATATAACTACATCGGCGCCCTAAAATTGAGTGGCATTTTTGAGCCTGGAAATGATATCTCCTCCAAAATACCCAGACTAAATCGAGATTCCTTAGTTTTGTTTATTTAAGAATGCTATGGAATTCTTCCCAGAATTCTTAGAAAATACTGAGCCTCTCCTGCCAGCAGTGCTTAATTGATAATCTGGCCAGCTGGCCATACGTCACAAAAATCGGGGTGAAAAACTGTATCCTTGATTAACTGAGTGTGTTTCGTGTTTCATATGTTTATCTAAACTTCCAATCTATTGGTCCTACGCCTGCCAGCTCGAACTGGGTAGAAAAGTAGACTAGTCTCAAGACGTCCCCTTGTATTGACGTGCGCTTGTCTCCCCCAATGATTTCAATAATTCCAACACCACTTTTGGCTCCCATTTATGCCATCCTGTTGTAAACGCCGTTTCCCCAGAGGAGAGTCTCCAATATATTGCATAAATATGGGTAACGTTTCCGAGTGCTATTCGTTGATCCGATTGCCGCCGCTACCGATGTATATCCCCTTCTTATATATATATGCACTTTGTGGGATTTTCGCCGTAAACTATTTTTATGAGTGTAATTCCTAAGAAAACTCTTTACTTTTATTCCCGTAAAGAGTAATAGAAGTCCTCTCTTCCGCATCGTAATTTATTATCCATAGATATCATTCTCGTTGCTCAGCTGAAGATCAATAGCGTCGCTATAAAGAAACATCTGCAGGATGACCTCACGGTATGAACACAACCATCGAGCTGATAGTCTCCTCAAGCTTACGCCCCAGATACGTGTTATCTTTTTCACAGTATCAGCCTTGATTTAGCTACGGAATTTGGAGCGAAAAGCCGACCACGAGCAGGCTTTCTGCATGTCTGACTGGTTAGCATAGTGAAAAGATATTGCCGTAATTCATATTGCCATTATCTTTCTGTCCGGGCTATGCAGCTCAGGTGGTGTGTGTCATTGAGTTTGGTGCTTCCAATCGAATCAAATCATGACACATACTGAACTGAGGCCCTCCGTACCCTACGAGAGAGGTCACGATGGTATATAGCATTGATAAGAGATATGCTGTCATGGCGCTTGGAAGCTGCGACCTTTTGGGTAGCTACAGTTGCTCTGCAAAAACTTCCATGGTGTGCCCCAAATTTCTTTAATAGAAAAGAAAAAGGGCGTCCATAACCTCCTCCACGTACTCGTGAGGCCTAACTATGACCACAGTTAAACAACTGCCTAGCTAGGCCACGGCGACCTTTTCTTATTCCCTTTTCCCCGCAGTATAGTCCTCTTTATGTTCCTGTTAAGATCATGCTATGTCCAAACCATAGACAGACGTACCTAGCCGGAAGTAATGGCATGTATGGTGAGCTGAGCTGAACTCGGATCGGAGCTTGGATGAACTTTTGGAAGCTATACCCAGACTAGCCCAGTGACGCATCCAGTGCCATGAGATCCTCTAAATCCCAACGCTAGTCTCAGCCAATTTAGGACAACAATACCGGGATCAATGCCGGAAGAGCTATTGACTGGGCTTCCCACGTTTGTGTGGTTGAGAACAATGTCCCGTAATGTAGTAGGGTTAGGGATGCCAACACAGCCAATAAGAGGTCTTGTTCATCAGTACCTCCTCTGCAGATGCTGATTACAAACATGGTTAGTGTTGATGGACGTAAACCATTCTCTAGGTTCTAGGGCCAGTTTGTCAGTAGCCCTGAGTCATATATAGTGCCACTTGGATACCCTCGCCCAACGGACCATAGCACCGTTAGTAAGTGGCTATATGCATACCATACCAGCCACCCCGGCGCAGACCACCATGTACTACTACCACCGCACCCACCACATCACTAACGGAAACTCTACACCCAATCCCTTGTCCCTCCAAAGGACAATAGCAACCATATTATTACATATCTTGGCGCTACTCGAGGCCCACCAAATGTATTGGCCCTTATTAACAATTACCAGAGCGGATAGCTGCCGTACTCCCTCACCCTTTCCCAAACAATGGGGTATATAACGGGTGCTACGGATAATATACCTTTTTTAGCGCCAGATGAATTATGTAACTGGGAGTTCGCTATAGCGGCTCAATTGGGGCCGGAGGTTCGTACCCTTCGACGCAGGATTCAAAGTTTAGAGAGACAATAGTAATTAAAAAAGTAGCATGTACATATGTCAGGGTAGCGTCTGCCTACACGTACAGTAATATTCTTTAGAGAGCTTATGTTTCTGAATGTGTGCTTGAATACATGTACTTGGACATGACGGATGGGTAAAAAGATAGATTAGTGGTGCGTGCGACATTAGAGACTTTTTTGACTTCTCTTGGCACTAGAGGCTCTGAGTCATTATCAGTCACTCGACAATTGTATGCCAAGACATCCCCCTTCGCGCTAGCCATTTCCAAGTAAAGTTCCTGGCCCCATTGAGTGCGCCATTGAGCGTGCCTATTAGGGTCAGGCTCTTGAGGTTAGAGCTTTGACAGTACTCTTCCTTTACTACCCCCGGCAACACCTATCGTGGTCGATATTTTGGCCCTCGTAGCTAGCGCCCACTAACCCACCAATATTTGCTCTAGAGTAGGCCTGGCCATTTGATTCTTCTTACTCGGTGCGTTTCTCCCAGAGTCTCCATAGGACATGATCAGGGTAGAGTAAACAATCGCGACTAGTAAACTCAGTTACAGATACCGCTTCTCTTCACGATGCATCTCGCGCCGGCCATGGTGGTCGTTGCTAGCTGGCATATTTATTACTATTTGTGGGATGCGGCTAGACCTGTTTCACGCCAAGCCCTTTTTAGCCGCAAGTACAACTCATGTCAGAGATTTTGAAATGCCCATTCTTCGGTCCATTGCCTGGCTGGCGGTGTCTAGGCACGTCTGAGTATGTTGTGTAGACCTGTACGCTCACTGGCCATGTTTTGCTAACCGCCTGGGGTTCGGTAAGTGGGTGGCTTTACGGGCCGGCTGGGTGGGTGCTGATCTGTTAATCAGTTGGGTGGGTGTTGTTACACAAGACGTTGCAGCAGGCCAGCACATGGCGCGCGAATCTTGTTGGCGTTTGTTTGATGTTCGGCGTCCCTGCAGATGCCTGTTTGGGCATGCAGAGACTTCAGTGTCTTTGAGTTTTTTTTTGTTTAGTGATAACTAAAATTGAAATTGGAATGTAATTGTCCTCATGGCCCGTATCTCTTGAAATTACTGTAGTTACTCGACATGTAAATACACTACTTCTGGTATTGAAAGTCTAGTGATGGGATTACCTTAATCCCTGCTGCACTCGCTCAGTAAGCATATCTGCGTTAAGCTTCAGCCGTTAAGCTCTCACACTTTGACCCCTGCATCAATCTGCGCTCGGTGGCTTCGTAGCAGCCCGGGGTTGGTGGGCGCCGTCCAGTGCAGCCCGCAACTTATGCAAGGTCCCACCTCAAAAAATCATCATTTCACCACCACCTCCCTCACTACCTGCTACATAACCCTCATCCCCAACATCTATCCCCATCCACATCCCCCCATCCCCGAAACTTCCAATACCCAAAATTAATTTCTAAAAATGTACCATCCAACCCTCCTCCTCACCCTGATGGCGGGCTCCACCCTAGCCGCCTTCAGCTTCAATACCGCCGTCACTGAGGGGTTCACCTTTGATGGCCGCTTGCCCACCACCGGGGTCTCCTCGGCATGTAGCACTGCCTATTCAGCATCCATAGACTGCGATGCCAGCTTTCTGCAGCTTCGTGACTCCACCGAGGGGCCTAGTCTCTTCACCAAAGCTGGCCTTGATAAGGTTTGCACCACTGCGTGCATTGATTCTCTCAATGCCTGGGACAGAAAGCTGCACCAGGAATGTACCGACCAGGATAAGCTCTTTGCTGAGGAGCAGAACCTCGTCTATCTCAGCACTGCTTTGGATGGCACCTACCTGATCCAGGAGAACCTGTATTGGCCGTTCTGTCTCAGGGACTCGTAAGTTCGATTGTTTAATCATTAGTGTGTGATAATGGTGGGAGCTAACTGGTAATGATAGCACCACTGGAACTTTCTGCTTGATAGACACGGGTCTTTCCGAGTGGCCAACTCTCGCAGCCGCTAACGACGCCTCCGCCGTGAGTGCCTTCTGCGGTAGCGACTGCCGCATGCAGGAGTCGTTCCTCATGAACCTCTACTACAATGACTATGACCTCGTTGATGCCGAAGCCGTGTGCACAGGCCTCAACGTCTCCTCACTTCCCATGAGTGTCAACATGGAGACTACCTTTGGGTCCGTACCGTCTTCGCAGGAAGGCGTTATTGGTGACAATACTGGCGGGAAGATCCTTGGCGGGGATTACAGCTGGGAGTTCCTCATGAAGGGCGCTAGGAGTGCAAGTTCCGCGGGTTCTGCAGCGGGATCTACAGCGGGCTCTGTAGCGGCTGGAGGAGAGGCGAAGGGAGTAGCAATGAAGGCCGAGATACCGGGGGTCGTGTTTTTCTTGGCTGTTGCGGGTGCGGGTGCGTTGTTGATGTAGAGTGTGTATTTCTACATTCTTTAAGCAGCTATTTTCTTTTGTAGAGTCATAAAATGGAGTTTTGGGGTCTTATGATTTAGTTTTCACAATTCAGTAATATACTCTAATGCCAATTAATTTCTGGGTAACAGGCCGCCGAACTTATCCGTGATATAACCGGACAGGATATATGAAAATCAACACCGTAAGTATCGTATCAAGAAGTAAAAAAGAATGAACAACGAAGGCTTATACGACCAAACACTCATACTGCTGCACCAGGCCATAAGCTTGAAGCGCATAAAATTCCTCGATCCAGATGTCAATGATCAAGAAAACAGGATATTATTCTATCAAGTGTAGTGAAATGTGAGGTCAGGCAATATATTCTCATATCGCATAAATCTTCATATACAGGTCTGAAAGGCCAGCATGGACGTAAATCATGATAACACTTTGTTCTGAAGGTTGGAGTCAAGAAGGGCAAGCCATCTGTACCACCTTCGCATCACTCATGGATGGTTACCGTCTGGTGACAGACTGCACGTCATGTTAGCTACGCTACGTTTATGCACTCTGCTACTTAGCTAACGAAAAGGCCCATTTTTCAATGAGGGCGGCAGGCCTGTTTGAAATCCTGTAAGCCTAGCCGGATGCATGTAACTATATATTTAGTAGACCTTACCAAATTGGGCAAGATGAGTACCAAACATTAGCTATTAATTTGTTGGTTGGCCATATTGGGACGATATTAGTAAGGCCTACTGCATATGCATCTAGCTAGGTATGTATATAGGATTGTAAACTACATAGTACCGACCTGCCTTGATCTTTCCGCGTGGTACAAGGGGTATTTGGATTGGTGGGGTACATCGGTTGGGAGCTGCCAAGTCAAGGGGAGTAAATGATTGGAATACTACTTGACTGTGGCAACGGGTAAAAAAATAAGCCTCCAATCACGATTTACTAGCGAAAAAGGCATATATAAGCGTTTTTTGGTGATTTTAGCATTATTCTAGTATGAGACTCTATTTTTTCTAAGACTCTCTCCAGAATAAGGCACATATATGCCTTTAGCTATACATATACATTATATACAGATAATTCTTAAATAAGTCTTTATACCAGATCTGTCTTTTTCATCAATCAAGACTCTCTAGTAGATGAGGCTTATTTAAGGCTTATTTAAGGCTTATAAATTCGAATTTTATCGATTATCTTAGCTATATAATAGTTCTAATATCAAAATCTTAATTCTCCCATAGCCTAATGGATAGATTGAGAGCTTGGGGTATAGTATACTTGCAATGCTCTGGGTTCAATCTCTTCCTTTTGCGTTTTGTCTTACTTAGAATAAGTCTTAAAATTGAATCAGCCTAAAATCGAACAAGGCTTACATAAGCCTTAAATCAAATAAGTCTTAAATTAAATAAGTCTTAAATAAGTCTGAAAAATCAACCATGTTTAATCGCTGGAGTTCGCTGTTAGAGACTTAAAATTAGAATAAGGAATATACTCCCAAGACGGTGATATTTGCCTTATTTGAGCCTACCCTAACGATTTTTTTTTACTGCTTCCCGCAGTCAAGTACACAATAACCCTGTGCCAAGCCGTGGGGAATCATTACAGGCATTTGGCGAATACACCCATTTGGCGAATTTGTATGTAGCAACCAGATACTTATCTTGATTCTTATTGGCCTTAATCCCTGTTCGCCAAATGGGTGTATTCGCCAAATGACTGTAATTATAAATTCTTCCAACCAAAATGTCGGAACCGGGCTAGCACATCCTTATATGTAGGTTACCTTAATAAATGACATTCTTATATAGCAAGATTTGGTTGTAGTAGGAGGTTCATACTCATGGATTAAGTTCTTCATCTTACTCAATTGCGCTAGTATTTTCAAGGAAGCTTTACACAACCCTTATATTATATAGGTGATAGCACTAGTAGCTACTAAATACTCAACTACAACTACAGAAAGTTCCTTTACTGCATATCCTCTAACGTCGGCAGCATCCTCTCATACATGATATCTGTCCTCATCGTATACTTAGTCCCCGCCGTCACCGGCTCCCCAGAATGGATCAACCCCTGGTGTTGGAATATCAAGACTCTTCCCACCTTTGGTTCGATATCCAGACATTCTGAATCTCTGTCTAGGCTCTGGGATAGGTAGTTGTATGGCAGGAAACGCGTAGAGCCACCCTTGACGCCCCCCTCGGTGTCGCCTGAGGAGTTGAGGTATAGGTGTAGGGTTAGGAAGGAGCGTTCTTTATCGTCGGGGGTAGCATATGATCCGTCGCCGTGGGCTATGGGAAGAGTTTTAGTTAGGATAGGGTTCCTTAGTAGGATAGTTAGTGATATCTTACGTTTAAAGTACTGGTCCTTGGTATATCTCAAAAATCGAAGTCTCTCATTTAGTCTATTCACCTAATTAGCCAAAACTTCTCATTGAACTCTAGCTCTCAGCACATCTCAGCAAAGTCTATACATACCTTGTCATCTTCCACTTATAATACTTCCCCGCATACGATGCAATATCCCACTCCGTCCCCTTCCCCACCTCCACCACCTCATCCAGATACGGCTTCACCCGCCCAAAGATCAGCCCAGCCAGCTCGAAATCGTCAATCATGACTCTAGTACAATCGCGAATATCCTTCCTCAGGACCTGGCTATAGCCCGAATTGATCAGCGCCTCCTTCCACCCGCCGCCCGTCAACGCTGCGAACTGCAGCATTTTGCGGCATTCGTCGGGTGTGAAGAGGTCGTCGATCACGAGTGCGTAGCTCAGCTGCTTGCCATAAGACTTTGCGAGGGGTGTGGTCGAGAAGTCGATTCGCTCGGCGTGCGCGCCGGCGGGGGCAGTGGGAGTGGAGAGTAGGTCTGTTTTGAGGGTTTGGGCGTCCATGGTTGACTGGGTAGCTTGTAGAGTGGTTTTATGCTGATATGGATTGGATATAAGGTTTATTGGGGAAGCTTGTCTTGAGGCCTATGGGGGAAGTCTTTATAGATGGGCTCGGGCATCGCGGCAGTGCTTGGTATTTGCAGGGCTGCTAGCTGCATAGTGAGGCTGAGTATATCATATCTTATGATTCATATGTTTCTCATGCTGATCATTAAAGACAATTAATTAATTACGAACAGTATGAGTACAAATAGGAAGCCCATCATTCGATAGAGGACAGATACATAGCTCATAACTACTGTCGTTCACGGGGTATTGGTGGATACTGGGTATTGGCGAATTGCAGGTAAAATTTGGCTTGGCTGTCTCTTTTTTGCCCTGTCCACCATCACCCAGTATCCGCCAATACCCCGTGAACGACAGTACTCCGTTTACCAGGTATATAATATGCATACCAGGTTAGCTATGGCTCGAGAAGCTATGGTGGGTAGGTGTGTAAACTTCGGCGTTTACAGCCAATCAATCTATAGAAATTGGGAGATCTACTCCCATAATGGTACTAGCGCCTAGCCCAACGGTGGAATTTTCTCTAATTCCCATACAAAAAAAGTTCCTCTGAAGTTGAGACAGCCACCCCCTATGCCTTCTCGCGCCATAGATCCAGGCACCCGATAATCCCGTCCTCTGTACAGTTCAAAACAAACACCCTAAATTGGGACCGCCGTCAATGACTCCAACACTGCCTTGTAAGCCATGGACTGATGTTGGATTAGGGTTAGGCTCGCCTATTCTCCCCTGCACCCCTGCGCGTATGGGACTAGGTTAGGGTTCGTTCGATTCGAGTCATGTCCCGACAGGGTTACTGCATCGAGGATCATTGGTCGGGTGAAGCAGCCAATCGATCATTTCCACCCCTAGCTGCTCAGTGCTCACAGGTCTGCTGCTGCCTTGCTGGGCGTTCGCTACCGCCCTTTGCAGCTTGCAGGGTCTATCCGCAGAGTATGCCAAATGTGTACGATATTGGGTTAGGGTTTGGGTGCTTACTGGCCTTTTCAACTACAGCTCACTTCGTTTCAGGGTGATTTTAACTTGATTTCGTGGTTTCATTTCGGGACATAAAAGTTAGGTACGTATGAGTATTAACACAAAGGAACATAATGGTCATTTCATCCTCTCCCTCACTCCCTCTGGCACTCATTTAGGATTAACCTCGGCCCAGCACTCGCATGCTGCTTTATTACAGGCAAAGGAAAGAAAAACGGAAAAGAGACATAAACCAAACCAAAATCACCTCCTCTTGCTACCACAAGATAGAGGGTCAAGAAAAAAAATGGGTTGTAAAAGAAAGCCCTTAAATATTGCAGATCCTCCTCCAATTCGGGCCACTCCACCCCTCCATGAACTGAAATAGGTAGCTCAATAATGACCGCGAGTGAATAGAAATAAAAGGTTACCACGATTAAGATGATGACCCCCAAAGGAAAGCGCATCTTTTTAGATACAAATACACCCTTTTAGAAAGACTCATACAACAAAAAGACCAAGAGTTGTAGAGTTACCAGATAACAAAGGATAAGAGCATCGGGTGCAGGAGTGGGCTGACAAGATAGCAACATAAATCTTAAATTTTTCAGGCCTGGTACCTCTTTTTTTAAAAAAAATAAAATAAAAGAAAAATAAAAGTTAGGGAAAAAAGAAAAGAAAAAAGAACGCCCATCCAATTCAAATCCACTGTATCAGCTTCAAGTAAAGAAAGGGTGTTAAGAAAAAAAGAAGTTTGGCTGATGATTTGAATTTCTTTATAAGGGCGAGATGCTAAAACAAAAAAAAGAGCGTGCATTCATGCTCAAGATCCCCCCATCTGCCTTTCAATTATCTTCGCGAGAGCATCGGGGTCGTTCTGTATCTCAGGGTTTTCAACAAGAATCTTGTTGATCATCATGAGCTGATTGGCATCCATATCTGGGAAGATTTGAACAAGATTCTGGGTCATTTCCGCTAATGGTACAGGGAGCGATCCTGAGGCCGGAGAAGATGCGGGATGTGCATTGTGGGCAGTATTCGGAGGATACGATCCTCCATTGTACGTAGTGACGTATTGCTGCTGATGAGCATTGTGACCCTGATAGGTAAAGTTATGTTGCTGTGCCTGTTGAGGAGGTGTATACGGTGTTCCTTGATGGTGCATGCCTGACGGAGTCGGTGCAATCGGCGTATATGGGGGTGCAGCATCTGAAGCACGATGGCGTATTTGTGTATAAGGAGATATGGATGCAGAGGCATGCGTTGGGGTCGCTGAGGGTAGGCCCACGAGGTTTCGAATAACGACAAATATAACGATTAGGAGCTTTCCCTGGCGCCCGTTCTGGGGGATACTTGAGGCGGGGTCTAATACGTTGAACCAATCTGGGAGACTGTCCTTCTCGTCGACGGGAACAATATAGAGATCCTTAATGCATTTTTGCAAATGCTTCCCAACAACTGCATACCTATCCCTCTCCTTGAAATAATCGAAAAGCTTTTTGAACTCTGTTTGGGCCATACTATCTGTGGGAGTGAGAGAAACCATAACAAGAGAGCTACTTTTCGAAAATTTCTGTCCGCATAGATATTCTGTTGCACGATCATGCTTGATGCGGCCATCAATGTGCAGAACATCGGTCAACAGATCAGACCATTTAGTGTTTGCAACATACTCTGGACCTCCGACTAGTGCAGCTGTAGCAGATAGACTTGCAATTCCGTTCATTTCTACGCGTCCCTTCCATTCATCCTCCTCCTCTTCGTGGCGTGGGGAGTAATGGTCATCATCTGACATGGCACTTGCTGGGGAGTACGGTGGTGTGGCATCACCATCATCATCTTTAAGAAGCATATCAATGTCCTTATCAATCTTTGGGTCTGTATCACGGGCTGTGGCTGGAACCGCTGGCCTCATAGCCCTAGGAATACGGTTCGTGTCCGGTGCTTCAATGTGATCCCAAACATTCTCGATGCTGAAATTTCGTCCTTTCTCGGGTTTAGCATCCGCAACGGGAGGTCTTGATGGAGATCTCAAAACCTCATCATGATTCTCGGGTGCGGTGACTGGACTCTCAGTAATTTCAACGGCAATAGAAGGCGATTTGTCGACCATAGAGGATGGCGGTTCATCGGTGGAATCCGACCTACGTAAGATGCCACCGGGTGGAACAAGGCTATCCACGTCTTGGTCTGTTGGTTCGTTGTCCTCAACCTCACCGACCAATTCCTCGCCTTTATGTGTCCTCCGGATCCGGGGCCCAGTTTCCGTAATCAAAGTGTTATGTTTCTCTGATTCTAGACGTATCTTCTGCATTAACTCCTTTAACTCCTTCGACGCCATCTCATCTGTTGTCATGTGTGCCAGTCTAGAGGGCTCCAAATTCTCCTTCAATAGTTCTTCGCTCAATGAAGGATTGGCGCGGAGGTTGTATGCAACACTCCTTACTTTTTTGGTGTATTCGGGAGGCAATTCGCCCCCTTTGAAGAACAATAGATAAACATGGTGCTCCACCTGTAGTGCAAGTCTTTCGCAGAGTTTGTTGATGGTTTGGCCTTCAGCCAAGATCAGTTCGTTTTCAGAGACGAGGGGACTGGAACGCTCAATAAGTGGCGTCATCAGGAAGTTCGCAACTTTCCGACGGCCCTCGTTTCGAAGTTCGTCAATAGTCTCAACAAGCTCTTTTTGAGGTGTATTGTCCTCCGTTTTCTGCCTTTTGATTGGCGGTTTTGCTATGGAGGCTCTTCTGGGCGACGGCTTCACATCCTTGGGGCTGGCATCTACTGCGATTGCCGATACGCGGCGTATTCTCTTGTGCGGTTCCTAAAAAGATTTTTAGTAATAAATACGTTTGTGGGAATGTATCGGGTCATGAATATATACCTCGTCTTCGTGCTTGTACTCTCCATCGGAATCGCCTGTAGGCTTTCGCTTGAGTGACTTTATTGGTCGAATAGAATCGCGTCGATTATCTCTCCTGTTCGGCTCTTCTTTTGTAGTGGAAATCGGGGTCTGTGGAGTCTAGAAAATTTATGATATTAGTCTCTGGTGTAGGGAAGCGCACACTGGGATCTTACCTGAGGCTCCAGAGAATCCTCTACCACTTCTTTCACAACCCCGTTCCCATTACTCTCAATGGTATCTTTGGCAGGAGATAATTCCATGGACACTGTCCTCTCGCGATCCTCTGTCTCTTCTTGCTCTTCCGGCTTTTCTTGCGCCACTGGCTTTTCTACCGTCTCTAGTTTATCTGGCTCCTCTGGCTCCTCTGGCTCCTCTTCTGGCTTATCCGGTTCCTCCTCTGGTTGTTCCGGCTGCTCTTCCTCTGGGCCTTCCTCTTCTGGGCCTTCCTCTACTTTCTCTAAATCCTCTGGAGGTTTGTTTGGGATGTCTTCCTGCGCACTTTGCGAAATGTCGATATCCATTGGGTCATCCTGTTCTACAGCCGGAGAAGGGCTTCGTCTCGGCACCTCCACCTCCACTACAACCTGCTGCTTCTTCTTCCTCCTTTGTACCGGTTTCTTTGGCACAGGTGTATCACTTGGCGCAGGCAATTCCGAAAACTCTGAGGCCGGGACAGCTTCACTTTTGGTGGGAGTTGGTTCATTTTTAAAATTCCTAGCTGGCGTTGAATCTTGTTTCTGGCCTCTGGCCGGTGTTGAATCTTTCTTTCCCTTTCTCCTTGCAGTTGGCTTCTTTTCCCAGGGCTTTTCTCCCTTATCCAATTGATTCAAAAGGATTTGGTGATTCTCCGGTCTGCAGACCTCGCAAAAGTATTGCTTTGGGATTTTCTTCTTGGGAATCCCCATGCACTGAGTATGCTGCCACGCTTCACACCCTTCGCACTGGATCATCATCCTCGAGTCATCCTCATCTTCCTCCTTTGCTCCACAGACACACCGAATGATATCATCAGGCGAGCCGTTGGTATTCTCCTCCTCCACAGTCTGCGATCTGTCAGGTGAGGCTCGTTCTTTCGCAGGGGTTTTCTTTTTCGCTTTCGACGCTTGGCCTGAAGCGGGCGCTGGCGACGCGCTTTCGAGCCCGATATCAGAGAGGCGGTGGTTGACACCCTTCGTAGAACGAACGCTACGTCGTGGCTCTGAGAAAAGCGCGCCGGTTAGCCATGTACATGTCTTTAATTGCGTGATTTGTGTGGGGGAAGAGATAGATAGATCTGACGGGAAGCCTGAGTCGGCGGGGAGAGGGAAGTTGTTTGACGGAGGCTTACCAGCCATGATCGATTTTTTATATTTATTTATCGGAGGGCAATACTAAATCGGCTTGTTTTTCTCTCCTCTTCCCTGAAGATATTTTGTCTAACGGTGGAGTTTGTTGTTGGTGATGGCCAACGGCCAAATTTTTACACGAACCAGGCTAGCGCGCGATATGGAACCCTCGGATGCAGTGGGATGGCAGAAAGTGCATACACAGTTCAAGGAATACGAATCGGAGGAGGGGAGAATGAAGGAGCAGAGTCTAGGGTTTTCTTTCAAGTCGGGCGGTGTAGTCAGGCAATACCCAGCAGTTCTGTGCCTCGTCTTCTCGCCTCGTTCTCACGGTGGTCTCTCACAAGAAATCTTGACTTCTTCTTTCTCCCCGTGGTCTCGTGACAGACGACCAGCCTCTCCTTTTTTTCTTGGTATCTTTATCACGAAATGTTGGCAGCGTGTTCCGTCTGTCTGTTCCTATGACGACACTTTTCTGGGCTTACTCTCACAGGCAATGATTTCGGAAACTTCTTCACTTGTAGATGTTGTTATGATAAGCCGTGAAGTTTTGGGCGACGGGGGAAGTTGAGGTGGGGGAGGGGGAGGGAAAAGCGGAGGAGATGACAGAACGTCGAGGCGGCGATCAAACGAAAAGGAAGGACGATGATGAAAGAGCACTGTCTCGGCAGCTCGCTTTCTACGCGCTCCCTGGGTATACTAGAGCACACGCTACGAGAGGCTGATTGTGGTGTGACCCGACATGCTTGGCAATGTTCTGCCCCTTCGAAATCCATACCTTGCGCTGTTCTGCGGTGAACTCCAGCATTCGTCAACCATCTCACAGTATTTCAAACATTCCTACGCATACCAACCACTATTCCCACAGCATAATACACTGTTCTTGCTCTCTTCTAGTCTAGTCCTCGTACCTTCTTACCCACAGAGCACCTGAAACCTCACAATGGCCGATGTACGCAAACTCCTCCAAGCAGAACGCCGACTCCGAGAAACAGCCAAATCCAAGCCCGACCGGCCAGTGCCGGGCAATTCCCGCGCCCCAGCAAAACGATCTCTTACTGAGCTTGATGAGGCTGTAGCAGAAGCCACAAAACGACCAAGAACCACAAAACCCTCCAACACGGCTTTCTACGATGCAGATGGTACAGAGGCAGTTAAAACAGTTAGGGGTGACAACACATCCCCACAGAATCAAAGGGAAACTGCAGTTGTAGAAAGGGACGACGCGTCTATGGCAGGGGCGTCGGACACTAAAGTCAACTCGTCAACACTACCTTCAGGCTTCTTTGGAGCAGGATCGGCGGTACCGAGTAACGCACAGGTCGAGGTAGATGAGGATGAGTGGGCCGCCTTTCAAGCTGATGTAGTGGAACCTGTCGCGCCCGTAACGTCCTCAGTCATGGTTATTGAGGCGGCGCCGACAACAAGCAATCCTGCTGCAGCTGCTCCCGACGAACAGGACGTTGTGGATGACTATGCCAGGGGAGAGGAAGAAGACGCAAAGCAGAAGCTTCTAGATGAGTTTGAAGAGATGGAAGGGCTGGAGCAGCGGGTACTGCGCCTGAAGGAGAGACGAGAAGCGCTGAAGAATAAAACTCCTGTAGGGATGGAGTTAGCGGTAGATCAGGACGATCCAAGCGCTGAAGAAGATGAAGATGATGATGAAGACGACGACGACGATGATTTCTTCCGGGTTAGAGGGTCATAGGTTATATATGTAATCTATGGAAAAGCCGTTCATTCTTTCTTTCTTTTCTTTCTTCTCCCTGGGGCGGGATAATGGAACGGATCTCCTCTCCGTTCCGTTGTTTACCAAGATATCCTTTGTTCCTGTAATAATAGCATATTGTAAAATATAGCAAGTCTCATTAGTCGGCGGATATATGCAATACCTAATATTGTTGAGAGATACGGGCGATATCAAAAGTTCACTTTGTATCAAATTCAACTCTCAGGATACATTTTAGGAGCACTGTAGAATGATTATGATCCATGCTAGAGGTTGCCAAGCAAAATGATGAGACAAGACACTGTGCAGATCATGTGGGTTGTCACCAATAAACGTATGTAACCCTTATGTACTGGGCGGATAATACCGGACAAGATCGAGATGATTGACTTCCATTTCCTTGTGCCCGCAAGATAAACATCGGCTTGATGTAGGCACCCTGTCGATAGACTAGAGTACATGTATTGTACTCTAGAGTAATAGGTAGGTGGCTGCCTCAGCCATATTAAGCTTCAATGCTTGGGCCTCTTTCGAAGTCTTATCTACACACGATGCACCCCAGGCAGGCCAGCACAGTTCAATTCAGCGTGATGATAACAATAGGTAGATAAAGGCTTATCCAATGTTGACTAAACAACAAAGTCCGACCCCAAAATCGGATTTTCGTCGTGATTTACCACGGACATGGCACTTCGATCCATTATATCCCTTAAGCTCCCCGGATTCCCGGGTTATCATGTAACTGGTAGGTATTGCATGCTCCACCGTGTCAGGTATGGTGCGCGCACCACTCTTGTCCCAAGTTTTGGCAGGTTTAGTTAAAACGATTGTCAAGTTGTCCTGATCAGGCCAATAGAAGATTAAAACACTGAATACGAGAGATGCTAAGAAGCTAGAGACCCCAACTACTGTCCCGTCAAATTTACCGATCGATGCAGGCGCTGCATACGAAGCGAGTGATCACCCATGATCCCTCGCGAAGCACACCAGTCTTGGCGATCTCCCTAGAGTAACTGCAGGAACCCTTACAACCCCATGGCGGATCAATAAACCTTGGCTCTCACAACCTGCAGCTCACCGGGAACGGCGGGTTTATTGCCCCCTCTTTTTTTTTTTTTTTTTTTGGGGGGGGGGCTTCACTCCCCTTGCTGACGACGGCCTATGCCCATACCTCACATCACCACGTAACCTGCAGAAGATCAAATTGCAGAACATATCGGTCTCGAACTGGTGATTGCCATTTGTTTACCCCGCACGGGAGCGAGTGAGGATGGCGGACACTGTAGCTGCTTCAAGATGAGATAAGACATCCTTCAGACGCTGGTACAGGCGTAAAATCTCGATGGAGCTCGATAAACAGCAGCAGCAGCATTTTACAAAAAAAAGAAATATTACATAAACGATGGGGATTTATGGGGATTTCTAACCAGGTGAATGGTACACAACCTGGCGGTGGTATATTGAGATATATGTATTTTTATACTCGGATAGCAGCAATCGATGCCACATTTGCTGCATGGAAAGGATATTTTGATGTGTGTAACTCGAGCTCTCATGATTTATGTGAATGAATCAGGAAGGTCAAACGACCAAGAAACGGCTTCAGCTCTGTATCACTGTTTGGGCTAGGGAAACAGGATATAAATTGTGTCACTATAACTGTAGAGCTTTTTAACTTTCAGGATTCTCAAGTGATCGAATTCCACAACTGACGATAGAGCTGAAGAGAGTGATCCCACAACTGCCAAGTTTCCATATCGATCACTCGTGAGTATAAACTAACTTATGTAGAGTATTGAGCCTATCTTACAGACCCGCCATTCGCGTCTCGATATCAACTTAAGCCCATGGCTATGGGAAAATCCAAGAGCACGCACATACATATGTAAATTTAAGCACCCCGAGGACGTACTTAGGAGTTTACCGTGGGCCACGCTACTGTATGAAATCGATTCGGATAAACTACATGTACTTACGCAGTCAGATCTAACAAGAAAAACGGACCGAGCTCTGCCCCATATTAGAGAAAATTCACCCTTGGGTTCAAGTGCTACATTTTTTTTGCTTTGAAGGTTTGAGCATTCACTACCAACCAGATATCACTATCAAGCTGGGCATGTCTTGTGGCCCATTGTTTCGGAACATCAGACCCCTCTAATCGCTGTCCAGGAGCAAATAGAAAATAGACGCTGTGAACCGTTTGTCCCTAGCACAACCTACAGTACCGTATTTTACCCTCTTTAGCCTTGAGTCTGCCAGTCTGTCTAATTGTGTTGCAATCGATTTTCACAGTGGCACTGTACGTTATGTACGGGCTTCACTCCCGGGATTAGTCGGAAAGATGCTTGATTGGGACACAGGCGAGTGGGAACCGAAAAGGCGATGGACAAGGAAACAAAACGGTACGGGTACAGGGTGTGATTCTAGTTACCCGTTGAAGGCGAGGAAACAAGCGAAGTGGTTGTGGCCAGGGTCTGGTGTAGGTTCAACACTATCATCAGAGATCGTAGGGCAGAGACACAGCCCCCTTTGCATTAAAGACCCTGATACTTAGGGTCCTAAGTCTGTGTACCCCATTGGCAATCACCCTTACTAGGGCAGTTCGATATTTGACTTTTTGGTTTTTATTTTATTCCTATTCGTTCCTTACTGGCTGGTTTCCTGTGACAACCTGGATGTCAACCGATTAGACTACGGGCCACGAAAGAAACGATAGAGAGATAATGAGAAAATCACATCCCATATGTATCCGTAAAAAGAAGGGGATATCTGGGTGCTCTACTCTACAGTGTATTCTTGCACGTGTACCGTACATTTAACCCCCCGTCTCTTCTTGCCCTCTCCAAAGGATTCAATCTCCAGGCAACCCCATAAAGCCCCCTCTCCTTTCTTGACACCTCCCTTGCCATTTTGAATTTCAAGCCCTGATCAGATTACCCTGAACTTATTTTCTGTGGTTCTTGCCGTTAGTGGTACCGGTGATTCTTCCAAATTCCCTGTATTCCTCTAAACCAATCAGAGATTAACCCTCCCCCCAAAAGGTCTATGCCTTTCTCTCAATCACCACCAAATCCAATATAGCTACCCCGCTCCGAAAGAAAAAAAAAAGGGTAGAAAAGATACAAAAAACCGAAAAACCCAAACCACCTCTATAGTCTTTAAATTTCCCCATGTAGAAGTCCTTGTAGGAAACATAACTACGGACATCAAAAAGAGAAAAAGAAAAGAGAAAAAAAAGCACCAATACAGGCACAATAAACATTGAACCTGCCGGGTAGGAAGAAAAAGAAAAGAAGAATATGTAAAATAACAGAAAAACCCTTAAAAACAAGAATATTCGACAACTCAAAATGGCCAATAAGAAGACAAAATCTTTGTTTCCTTTACAAAATACCCCCACCTCGCCCCGCTATCGAACAGTTAAGCTTTATCGATAGCTCAATTCTTCACCATACATATAAACGAAATAGATAAATATAAAGGAAATCATTAGCTAGTCCATGATTGATCAACCGGTGGAGGGGGTCCAGTTTGTGCGCTGCCCGGCCACGGTGCCATCCACAGAAATTCACTCTCATCTATCGGAGCAATATTTGACGGAAGAACACTAAGTTCTGCCGTTTTTGTAACCATCATGTCCTTCGAACTCAAAAAGCTATCACTGTAGCCCCCATATAACCCCATGTTTTGTGCTTCAGACTCTAATACCCCATCGACACCAGCCCCCAAGCCCAATCCCGTGCTAAAAGAGTTTACTCGCGATGTCGGACCAAGGGCCAAGAGTTTCTCAACGTTCAAATCATCGAAGCTATTGTTTGCGACCATTCCAACTTGTTGTACACCGATGAACGAGGAGGCCGCGCTTACACGATACCCGTCAGACTCGGCTTGATCTGAAGCGTCAGAGGATGAAGATCGAGTGACAGTTCCATTCCCATTCAAGGGGCTTGGCCCACCCACCGGACCAATGAAGTCGTCAATTTCATCTCCAGAAACTGATCCTGCTGCCAGTCCTGTTTGAAAACGAAGAAACGATCCCATATCTATCTGTGATGTGTCGTAAGATGCGTCTAAAGGTGGATCTTCAAATGCAGGATCGAATTGGCCATATGCTGGAGGCCACCCCGCTGATTGTGGGGGGTACAAGCCAGCAGAAAATTGATAGCTGTCGGATTCTGCTGCTGACGGTAGAAGCTCCTGGCTTGGGAAATCTTGAAGGGTGAAAGGTGGATGATTTGTATTTACGACGAGCCCTGGTTGAATGCGGGACGAAGTAGGCTTTAATGCTTGCTGTGCCAACTGAGGGGTCAGCTCCAGGGGGGTGATGCTGGTATTTGCCATTTGAAGAGCTGGGTATGTTCGGAGGTCTGGTGATGATTGCTCGGATTTGATTCGTCGAGGTTTTTGTGATGCTACAGTCGAGGGCGCTGAAGCAGAGGCCGTTACCTTGGTGCATCCGTTGACGTGTTCTCCAAAGGCATGGCCAGTGTGCCCTACGGGTGGGATGGTGTATGGCGATGACCCATGTATACTTCCGTGGTGTTTGTGAGTTGGTCGGTGGTGGCCGTTGGCGAAAGTGGTGAGTGAACTTTCAGACTGGGTCATCTGTAGCCGAGGCTTTCGAACCTCCGGTGGGGTAGTGGACGCGCAGGATTCTGATGCAGAAAGTTCAGGGACTGGGTCCAAATGTGGCTCTTTCTTCAGTGAACAGGTACAACGTCCTCCATGGCAGCAGTTGCAAGACGCTCCATCTTATAAAAAAAAGAAAGTTTAGTGATAACTCCAATGTAAACCACACATAGATAGAGTGCTCACTCTTTGCATCCCCATCCTCATTGGTAGCATGGCATGCTCCGGCCGGTGGGATGGGTTTCCCACTCTTAGCCTGTTCTTTAAGAAACGCCAGTCGTTCACCACAGTCACACTTGACGTGAGCGGAACGGGATTTTCGCATGTGACGACAATGACTGCATTGAGATACCGGGCGTCCCTTCTTCGCGATCGGTAGGAGTTTACGATCTATCAAATCCTGAAAATTAGTTTCATCATTCCAGGATGCAGTTTGGGTGTAGGTGGGGTGGGTGGGTTGATGCGTGGATGGATGTATGGTTGTAAAAGACAAATGTTGGGGATGACATCGTCAAAGCCATCGCCCCTCTAAATAAAATGAATCGGAGGTGGAGATGGAGGTGGAGGTGGAGGTGGAGGTGGGAGGATTGGGAACTGACCCGAATGATTGCACCCGCTCACTCTGTGGCCTCTAATGCAGGCCTCGCAGGCCATTTTGACCCCATCTATAATCATCGTGAATGCAAATGGAAAGCCACTCGACGAGATAGTCGAGCGGGGTGAGATCGAATCTCAAAATGTGACGATAAATTTTTGGTTCTCCAGAAACGGCCACAACAGGACCACTTTTCTGCTACCTCGTCGAGTCCAGTCAAGACAGAGAAAGACGGATAGAGATATGATACGGTGTAGGATTCTTTTTTAAACAAGGTAGAAAAGTATGTAGTCTGAAGAACAAAAAACTTGGAAAGTACTTTCGAGGATATCTTCGTCGCCGGAGAAGTATGGTTATAGCGACTGACTGACTGACTTTGACGCCCCGCTGAACAGTACTGAAAGCAAAACACCCCAAAACGCCGCCACACAAAAAAAAACCAATTCAGCTGCTCTGTAGGTTGATGGCCCCTCGCCTTGCACGGGCCGTATTGGCGCCGGCTTCGAAAGCGTTCACGCGGACGTCCGAGTGGAACACCAAAATCCGTAGAGTTTCTCAGTATCCAAGGGGCGGAAAAGGTGTAGGAATGGGAAGAGAAGAAGAGGAAAGAGAAAAGAAGAGGAGGCCGGGAGCAGGGAGAAACGGGAGCTTTAACGGGAATCGCAAAAGGCGAAAGGGCAAGGATCGGTGAAGGGATGGTGGACTCAGATTGGCGGAGAGGCCGCGCTGGCAAGCCTTATGCTGACTGGACGGTGATGGTGCAGAAAGAAGCAACCTGATCCAGAAGCAGGAAGGGCCTAAAGATGGCAAAAGAACAGAACAAGTCCAACCAACGTGCAGTCTGTTCTACCTACGGCCGTCTCTATGGACCACAGCTACCACTACCAGTGTTACCACCACCACCATTTCCATTCATTACCACCACTGCCATCACCTCCTCCACTCCTCCACCTCCTCCAGTCCAGTTCTAATAGACAGATCTGAGCCAAGGCCTTTCATATGTCCCTATGGAGGCCCCGGCAGGAAAGGCTGCGGCACGGCAGCAGCACCACTTCCACTCCTGTTCTTCACTGCCTACTGTTACAGATCACCAGCTAGCAAGGCAAAAACTGAAACGAAAGTAAAATGTTCCGAAAGTAGCAATATTATGGATCTTATGAACCCAGAAACCCAGACAAGGTGATTCATTCCAGATAAGGCAGGAATCACAGACCCCAACCAAACGTGGGATGGTGTCAAGAAACACACAGCCAACACGACGCGTGGGGGAAGGGTGGAAAAGAAAAGATGTACGAAAGGTGAGAGACGGGCTATTAAGGACACCTCTGGATCCACGTTGGCCAATCAACGAATAGCGACTGCTGTTTTTTTTTTTTGTTACGACCACAAAAACGCACAACAACCCACGTCTGAGAAACCAAAGGAGAAAAAAAAAAAAAAAAAAAAAAAGAGAGCACACGCAGAGACTTCTATTCGATGTTTACGCGACTGGGACGACGACGACGACGACAACGACAACAAGCTTGCTTTGTTTTGATCTCCGGTCAACATCAAATGGCGGGGCCATGCCTGGCGAAGATGGGGTATGGTTATGGTTCTGTTAGGAATCTTCCTAATCTAATCCCAAAAAAGAACAATAACAACCACCACAATAGCGACCAGTGTCCGCTACTGATGTCAGGACTCAGGAACAAACGTGCATCGACACTCCTGGTGATCATTGATGCACATTATACCTGTCTCAATGGTCTCTCGTGTACCATTACTACGCGTATGGTTCAGTGCCGATGTCTAGCCCTATCTATGAAAATTGCAGTAGTGCTGGTTCCTGCACCGGCATTCCCGCTGTAAAATGGGGTTACTTAGACTTTATTCTGCACAGCTATGTGTATCTGAGCTGAGTTGAATATAGGTAAAAACTGCCTTGCCTCTGCTGTCTTAAAGTGAAGGCAAAGATTGTTCTTTGCTATAATACTGGTTTGAAGCGAAAGCTCCGTTATGACGGAATACCCGTGGAGCATGAGATGTGTATGTATTTGCTTTACATACATACATACACACACCGTTGCACCGGTGTGAAGGCGGTTGTTGGTGTTAAGAGGCATGACAGTCCACCAAAGTTGATCCGAAAGACGAGCGTGATGATGCCCCTCATTTGAACTTCCTCGATCGTTGGGGGTCTCCGGACCCGTCGCCGGCTTCTCCCCTTGAAATTCCGGAATTGATTATTCCGAGCTAACTATCCATCGGGTTGGGTCACAAAACCCCTGGATGATTAACATCATTCAGGCTCTTCCTGGGTTGAAGTCGACGATGTAAATAGCCACTCCCCACAAATGCTTACAGCAGAGTACCTACAGGTGTAAGCATTTCCTATTCGTTTCCACAAAAGGAGACCCCTCGAACAAAAACAGAAAGGGCTAGTTAGTAATAGTGGGAATCTTAAGGCCAAATTTCCCCTCCCGGCTAAAATGTAAATCGTTTTAGCAATTCACTGTTCAGATGATCCGTTTCACTCGGAAACATGTGGGTGCTCTTCTGGGAACCCTCGTCGTCTCGAGTTGGCCGTGGTCGGCCTCCAGCGGGGAAACGGCTTCTTGATGCTGACGGACCCCACTTTCCACGAAGGGCCTGGTGAAGCGGAAAATTCTTTTGCTGGAGCTGGGTCATGAGGATGGAAATTATTCGCGGGTACAAGGAAGCGAGGGTATGGAGACACGAGTGACCTGTCAGATATTCCCTGTTTAGGATAATGCATATCGGAATAGCGTTTACTTCGACACGGGAAATCCATCGGTTTTTGCCCTTCGTTAAAGAAGTAAAAGAGCTTAACCAAACAACAGATCCTCCGACATCTTCACTCAGGAGTAGTGATATGTAGTTTTTCGTTTCCTCACGGCCTTGAAATTAATACCGGAATTTCTATGGGCTCCGGAAATCGGCAGTAGATTCATCCGGCTGACTGGCAGAAAATCCGGTAGGAAATACAACCTCCAATGATTCCCCTCCCTCCCCGGCTTGGCGATTCGGTCCCAACCGATAAAATTGGCTCGCAGTAGTTAGAACCTGCGAAATTACACTTAACCAGTACCTGCTCGCATGGAGGTTAGATCAGGTGGTTGCTTGGTACAGATCGTCATACATAGCGTGTGTCGGTGATTCTCTTTTTTTCCCCGCTACATGCCGGAGGCTGCTTTTTTCTTTTCTTTTTTCTTTTCTTTTCCCTTTCCTTTCGCGAATTGAGCCTCCCCGGAAGAACTCTTCTCCCAACCGTCGGCGGCCAGGATACAGAAGCTAAGCGGACCACAGTAATCATGTTGAGTAAAAGATCGACATAGTTTATCGTGAGCTAGGCCTCCCAGCCCTGAGGTTTGGCTGTTGACTTTTGATTTGCAGAAGTCATCTTCTGTTGACCGTTTGGCCGGGGAGCTGGAATCAGTCGCGAACTGGCGGGAAGCAAGAAGGGTACAGCCGATTTTTCACCGAGGTTAAGTCCCGTGTCTCGCACCCACTGCGAAAACCCATTCGGTTTTAACTTGTTTCCTTGTCAGTTCTTTCTCGTGTAACCCAAAACAACGAGGAGTGCATATGTATGCGGACTGCATTTCATTTCCCCGTAGAGCTTTTTGTGAGGGGTGTTAAGCAGCATGCGAGTTACCCCGGACTTCTGGGGCGGGAGGGGAGCTCGATCCGCCTATTACAGAACCCATCATGGAAGCAGGAGTAATTGTTGAAGAAGCAATTTCTGCGAGGGTACCTGCTGATGTTTGTTTATTGTCCTAGTGGTCAAGTATCTCGGTTAGTGAAGGCATGTTCTTTCTTTCTTCTGCTGCTGCTTCTGCTTCTGCTTGGTGTTTCCTTTTTTTTCCTTTTCTTCTCACACTGTGGCCACTTGCCTTCCGAAGTATAGAGGACGTCAAAATAGTGGTACTGGGGAATACGGGGAAACCGGGACTCTGGGGGAGATGAATGACATGAGGTTCACAAGCTGTAGTACAGTTACCTTATTAAGTGTGGCTCCCTTAGCACCTTTTCAAGGGTCATGTCAACTGGGACCAACTCCAACCTTTTCTCCACACCAACGACAACCCGTAGTTCCAACCCCCGGATCCGAGAAAGTCCCTAGCCCAACCCCACCTTCCCAGTGTTCCCACGCAACGACGTTCCAAGCCTTCGTCTAACTCGTCACCGTGCCCGTCATTTTTCCTTTCAGCCTCCGCGTGTGTATGTACCGAGATTTCTCCATCCCTCCTCACTTCTCCGTCCACATCCAACATACATATTTCTCATCCGATTGTCGGAAAGACTCCGGTTCTATTTGAGACAACGCCACGGGCTGTGCAGCAGCAGCAACCAGTTTCTCTTCCTCCTACTGTTTCTGGTGGCGAGTATTTATGGAATAACTGGCTGGAGACCCCAAGACAGAGAAAGAGAGAGTCAGAAACAGAGAAACGGTGACCCAGAGTGAGTGAGTGAGGGAAGTAGCAGGTACAAGGAGGATGATGAAGACTGGTCGTTGGGCTGCTGCTGCTTTTAATGCTGCTGCTCATCATCTATCACCATCTTCCATTCAGGGTCCCATCATAATTGCTCCTGCATAAAACATCTTTTTTTTTTCTCCGGTGTCAGTCAATTGCAGTACAATTGTCTGTGCGCTAGTTGTTTGTTTAGGATTCTTCCGTTTAATTCTCTATCCCTTTTTCTCCCTTCCTCTCCTCCACAAGTAGGTATTGATTTCCCAAGGAACTGCAGCGGCTTCTCCCCCAGTATTCCCCCAGAAATTACCGTCCCCACACAATTCTCACACCCCTCCCCCTTCTTCCCAGTACTCGGTCCATTTGACACAAGCAATCATCGGTCTTCCCGGCTCACGGGGTCACTTGGAACCTGCCCTCCTGCTTCTACTAGAAGTTAGCTGCGGTAATCCCTTCTCCCCCATTCTCCCCATCGCAGACCCTGCGAGTTCTGCTGTGCTTGTTTTCGATTCGCACCATTGGTACATGGCCACACTATATACGTGCTGGGTACTATTAAACAAGTAAGTAAAGCACGCGCGCATAACGAGCAGCGCGCAAGAGAAAAACCCTGTGAGGATTCTGGGGTTCATTCGCCCCGAAAAGACGTTCCCCCCCCCTCTTCCGGTCTCCCCATATTTTTCCCACGTTTTTCGCTCTCCCGAAACCCAAAAAAGCCCCCCGCACACTCTTGCATATTTGGCTTGTCAGATCTGTTCCCCTTCCATCTCTCCTCTCCCCCATCACAGACCTCATCCTTCTCCTTCCTCCGCCTCCATCTCCGCATTCAACCTTCTCCTGCTTTTCCCTCCCATACACATATTACCTCTTACTGCCCACTACTATCCCATCTTCTCCTCTCCCCTTTGAGAAGTCAGATCTGATACACCTTACGCTGTTTAGTACGCCTATCTTTCTCCGTATTCTGACCATCTCTCCATATAGCCATTCATACTTCTACACAGGCAACCAAATATAAATACACTATCCACCAAAATCCTATAAACAAAAAAAAAAAAAAAGGTCAAAACAGTACATAAGGCAACACACACAGCGTACATACATACCTATTTCATTGCGTACAGTACATACAAAAGCTTTTTATTGGACTGTTCGGGGGGTGAAGTAAGAAAATAATATATATATAAACACTTCGGCGAATTATGTTATTGCTCTGATCGAGTATCGCCTCTCTTTCACTGCTCTGTCATGGCAATGGCGGAAGTTGCAGCCACTCCGTCACATACCTCGGCTGCCGGGGCCACGGTTCCTGCAGTTGCAGCCAGCTCTTCTCGGTCAAAAAGTCCGCTTCTGTTCGCCTCGTCGTCTTCTACTCCACGTGCGAACCTACATACGCATCAGCATCCACACTCGCAGGTCAATAACGACCAACGTCAACAACCCGTGCAGTCACAATACAACCCTACGAGTTCCCCCGGCGATGGGAGCTCATCCTCTTTCTTTTCGCATCATCAGCGACTATCCCCGCCGAGCTCGATGCTACTCTCTACATCAGGAGAGAACATACCCCGAGGTCTACCACCAATTGTTTCGCCAATGACTAGCGCAAGTCAACCAGGACCTTCGGTAAATGATCCTCGGCAACCAATTTCACCAAGAACAGTATCAATGGGGTTGAGTGACTCGGCGCAAGGATTGGATGGTATTTCTGGTGATACAGCACCGCGAAAAAGATCTAAGGTGTCGCGCGCTTGCGATGAGTGTCGTCGTAAAAAGGTTTGAATTTCTGGAAGCCGCCTGCGTCACTGCGCAGCCCTGCTAAGCGATGTGTAGATACGATGCGACGCGACTTCGGAGTCAGGGGTAGAACAGTGTTCGAGTTGCAAGCGAGTAGGATCAAAATGTTCATTTAGTAGGGTACCTATGAAGCGAGGGCCAAGCAAAGGGTAAGAGAGAGCACAGTCTCGCGAACTTACAATTTCCTCTCTAATCAAAGATATGTCCTAGCTACATCAAAGAATTGGCCGACAGATTAAACACCCTTGAGAATTCTATTTCTACAGGTGATCTACATTCGTACGGCTCGGGTATGACGGGTGAAGGAGACCATTCACCGGGGCCATCCGACTCTACGTCTCCACCGCCGAATGGACCCCCCAGCGCATCAAAAAGTCGAAAGCGAGCGCTCTCTTCTTCAAGCGATTTCCAAACCTCGATGCACCTCCAACCTTTATCGCAACCCACAGGTAGATCAAACGAAAGACTACCGTCTATAGATTCCTTTCATCCTACAAACCAGCATCAACATCAACAAAGAGCGCAACATCTGCAGCACGAACCCCAGCCACAACGACAGCTGCCCCACCCCCAGCAGCAGCCCCCGCCTCCGCCCCCTCTTCCACCTCCTCTCACTCACCCGCATCAACCGCAACCCCACCAATCACCTCTCCAGCCCCCATCATCTACGTCTGAGATGCCGTCGGGATATCGAACTATCTCTCCAACCAGTATGAGCCAATATTGGAAGGGGGGATCAGATGTTGGCGGCCGGCGCCAGAGCGTTAGTTTCCCTTTTGATGCGCCCGACATGCAACGATCGGCGGCGAGCTCGACGCCAGTTGACCTGTGTGGGTTTGACTGGGATGACCAAGCTATTGATCAGTAAGTGATGTCTCAGCCGAAACGTTTAATCAGGTTGGGGCCCTGTCTTAGCTTGAAGATTAACACTACATAGGTACTACGAACTCATACATCCCACCTTTCCGTTGCTACCACATTCAAAAGACCGTTTGCATCAACGCCTAGCTAATAGCTCTCTCTCTGTCCGGGAAGCTTTCCTGGAAGCACTTTATTCTACCGTGCGAACAAACTCATCTTCAACTCTTCGGGCAAACTCACCAGTAGCGAATGCGAAGAGGGTGTGTGAATTGACTGTGGCATCTCAGTTCGAAAACCCCGCTGTGAGAACTATGCCTACAACTCTTTTGTATCTACAGACAATGATACTTATGGGCCTTGAAGCCGATAATCACGGACCGGCAACCATACATGGGCAATTTGGGCCGCCGAAAGCAGCGTGGCTTGGCGCAGCTGTGGGGTTGGCATACAACCTCAAGTTACACAACAGCCAGAACCGAGAACAGCCTTCGGGTGGTGACCCTGACTCTGACGAAAAGCTTGGTAGACGGGCATGGGTAGTATTATTTGTGTTGGACCGTTGGCATGCGATAAGCACCTCAAGCCCACTATTCATACCAGACTCAAGCTTCGCCTTTGTACCTGATGATCAGAAATTGCTTGGGTTGGCCCCATACTATATTGCACGTAAGTTTAAAATGAACGTAAAAACTTGGCTACAGTTGGGTTGACCGACCGACAGGTCTCTCCTATATTTTGGGGCATCTCGCAGAAGCATTTACTATCACAGTCGACTCGGCATCGGCGGCGCCATTCAAGCCTATTATTTCAAAAATCCTTCGTAGCGAGCTCGAGCTGTTTCGGGAAAGCGTGGATGATATATGGGGCTCCTTAAAGCTTCTCCATATAGCATACCATCATGTTAAGCTTTTAACTCTTCGACTCAATTCGGCAGAACCACATCAGCTTTTAGGCCCTGCTCAGCACATCACAGTCATGCTGGCGAATCCCCAAATACCTACCATGCCGCTAAACCATCATTTTACTGCACTTTCTCTCATGACTCTCATGGAGTTGAGCGAGATTCCAGAAACAAGAGATGAGGCTTGGAAAGGTATTCAGCAGCTTGCAGATACATTGGAAGATCGTAAGGGTGTTGCTACCAAGGAAGATAATTTGGGATGGGACTTTACTCTCAAGGATTTGATCAATAAACGGAAACAGGAACGGTTTGGTAATTCTAATCCTGGTATGTCAGATATACCACCTGGGCACGGCAGTCTACAACATTTGGCAGAATTGGCCGTCGGCGAGAGAAGTCCAACTGGGACACCGACGAATCCACTGAATAAGCAGTTGGATACGGAGCGGCTGCAGAAGCATGGATATCTGGGTTCGGTACTGTTGTAATATATCACGGGTACACCCCGAGTTTATGTGTTTGGGCGTTACGTGTGGTCGGGAGAAGGAAAAAGGCTCTGTTTATTTTTATTTTTACAAAATCTTGGTTTTTGCTTTAGTAATATTTTTATTCCTCCTCCTATCTTATATTGTCCTTGTCCTTGTTCGTTTTCTCTTTCTCCTTCTTTCTTCATCTGCATGGGAGGTTTTCTATTTTTTTTTTTTTTTTTTAGCTTGTCTCCTTACATCAGGATGCATGCATTCGGGATGGAATATTTGGAACTTCCCATATTCTACATATATCACCGATTTCCCGCACTTGACCTTTTAGCCACTAACCATCACTTGATATATCTGTACTCACATTTCATGTCTTATCTCCCCTTCCCCTCGGATTCCATTTGTACTTTTTCCTCCTGGAGGATCTAACGAGTGGGCAAGGCAGTCATTGTATTTTATTTTTTTCCTTTGTGCTTTCAGTTATTACTTATGACTAGGTTAGTATTTCGGCGCAGTGGTGGGCTGGATTTGGGCCGAAAAACTGAGCCTGTTGATCATTTCTTTTGGTACTAAGTTAAGATTAAAGAAGGGAGATAATATGGGTACATGCGTTTCTGGAACCTTTGGATGTTTTTAGAGCATTTCAAAGAGGAGTCATTAGGGATAGACATGTTTTTCGAACCGACGGCCACTTATCTCAAGTGGTTAGGATGCATTTCGACAGGTAAGAATTAGATAGCAGTAACCTGCATATTATCGCCTGAATCTTGTCCGCGTTGGGCAACTAATGAATTATCAATCAATCAGTCAATCAATCAGTCAATCAATCAATTATCCGCGTCGGTGCCAAATGGTTGTCCGAGTGAGGGTACATGATCCAGTGTTTGTTGACACAACAAAACAGGAAAGATCTCCTTTCGCTACATACAAGGATTGACAGAACTGCAGCGTATGATTTGAGACAGGGCAGTTAAAGAGATGGAAGGTCTCACATTTCATCTCAACAGCGAACCAGCATCTGACCGGCGCGAAAGTACAGCGATTCACAGGTATTTGGCGAATACACCCATTTGGAGAATTTGTATGTAGCAACCAGCCAGCAACCAGTAAAACTTCGAGTTTGACCAAGATATCTTGATTCTTATTGGCCTTAATCCCTGTTCGCCAAATGGGTGTATTCGCCAAATGACTGTGAATCGCTGTACTCTAGAGTACCCTTTGAACCACTGCAAGTTCCAGATCCAACAGATCCATCCAGATTGGCTAAAGTCGATCATGAATAGGTATCTTTCCCTGTCCTGTTGAATAGAGTACTTTAGATGCGTGGTTGTCCAGATTGCAGCAGGCTAGCAGCCACTTCTTGGGCCTCTGCCTCGCTATTCAGTGGTTGCCCGCGGTCTAGTCTGTAGATAACCGCTATGCTATTTCTTCTTGACTCGTGTGAGCGGTTAGGAGCTGGAGGTATATGGCCCTTTTTGGCTACAGCCCCCTATCTAGAGCACACACAACACGGTCCATAGTGTGGGTAGATTTCTTTCTGGTCAGGAGTGATTACATACATGTACATATACCTACTCTCCTCTTATGGGTAGAACAAAGGTGTAAGGATACATCCCACGTCCTGTAGCTACGACTTGATTTGTTCCATAGAATAGGGTACTCTAGGCACCTATTTCGTACGTGAAGGTACAGCATGTATGTACCCATAAAGTTTAGGGGAAAACAACCGGTTGCTAGGCGGGCCGAGGAGGAATATCCCCGCAGCGGCGACGTTTACACGATCCGCATCCGCGAACCTAATGTCTTTGCCTAAATATGGCTCTTGCTCTTTCCTCCACCAGTTTTTTTCTTCTCTCCTGTCTGTTAGAGTAGGACATTGCTACTATTTGTGAACGCATTCGATATCATGTGGTATAAACTACATGTACGTACGTGGAGGTGCAAGTAAAGTAGATAGGATACATGTAACATTGAAAGGGATATTAGGGTCTATTCTTCACATTCTCTCTCCATTGGGGGGAGCGGGGCGGCGGTCAACTGGTGTGGAGATGAGTGAAAGGTTAAGGGCGAAGAACAAGAACAAAACCAAGGGCAAGAACAAGAACTCAGAGGATCGCCGTCACCTGAAGCAGGTTCAATATATATATAGAGCAAGGAAATCCACTCACCACTAGCGACCCTCGTCAGCAGATTGATTGATTTTGTCCCACCCAGCAGCGGAAGGGGGGAAGAAAAAAAAAAAAAAAAGAGGGAAGATCAGTACCTACAGCCACAGCATCTACCATCTGCTGCTGCTGCTATCGAAGTGCTCGAATCGCTTCCTTTTCTTTTGGTTCGTCTTGCCCCTCCACACGCTTTGAGGAAACGTTTTGGGTAAATGGCAAATACAACCTCCTTCACCAATACTACCTCGATACCTGTCTAGATACCAACACCCAGCTATTCCCCAGTATTCTCCCTCCTCCTTCACTGTAAACAGCAACCTCATCTGTTCCCCTCTTTCAGAGCCCCCTTCGATTCATCTACCTCTCCTACCCCCCCCCCCCCCCCCCCCCCCCCTTTTAAGCACATCCTCGCCCTGGGAACTCGACCACGAGCACGCCAGCAACTGACGCAGGTAGAGGTGTAAGCAGCAGCAGATGACCTGGGCCTGACCTTGTTGGGCACTGACAGTTCGGACGCCCCACGACGGTCAGGCACTCGTTTTCTTGTCCTCCATATCTCGACTTCTATAATTACGCCGCTCGTCCATGAAGGTGCGTGCATGAGAGAAAGAGAAGAACAAGCAACTACCAATACATACCCCAAGTGTAACTCTTATATATATGCCCTATACTATTAACTTTTTCTTTCTAATGAGCTTCCGCCCGCTCAACCCTCAGCCCTTTCGTATTTCCCTTAAAGCCCATTCTCTCATTCCGGCTTAGCACCCGTCTTGGTGATTGTCAGCGTGATGATCCGTGCTGATGTTTTAGCTTAGACTGCATCACGGGCACGCGACTCTAGAGGCTTCACCTCTAGCCATGGCTCACGATTATCCATTGACCCTGATCATCATGTTACCGAAGCAATAGGGGATATGTATGGCGAGTACATAGATGAAGAAGGACGAAGACAAAGCTACATTCTACCATCGGACGCATACCCAAACTCTTCACGAGGGGCTAAGAATAGGAACAGCTCTGTGTTTTCGGCAACAGGCGCAAGCGGGTCAGGGAGAGATCGGAGTAGCGGCGGGTCTCAGGGAAACGAACTGTTGCCGGGCTCAACAGCACTAGCTCACCGCTCACCGTCCCCGTCAAGGTCACCCAGTGAAACTGCAAACCAATTCTTTCCTCTTCACGACACCGACTACGAATCCGATCCGGCTGCTGTGGCTCAGGAGATAAGCAACCTCCAGGCCCTTCGTCGGATGTCTATGGACGTCACTTCCACGGCCGATCCCGACTTGCCGTCGTTCAACTCGTTTATACCATCTACACCTCCGGAAGATGGTGGTGATCCGGGAAGCGTTTTTTGGGTTCCAGCACGCCTACATCCGGAACTTGCCCCGAAGGAATTTAGTGCGTATCTGGAGGCGAAGAAGAATGAGATTCGTAGACCACAACGGGATGGATCTTTATCACCAGATGGGGCGGAGGTCAGCGGTGGTCCTGGGCTAAGGAGGAAGAAATCAATGCTATCAAAACAAATCGATCATTCAGATGGTGCAAAGGGATACCGGGATGGAACGGAGGCACTGGGGAGGCGGCGGTCTGGAAAGGAGGGGCCGCCTCAGTTACAGCTGGAAGACTTGATGAACGATCCAAACACACTTATGCGGAAATTGAGTGTTGAGAGAAGAAACGGGGAAGGTAGGATTGATATGGATCTTTGGATACTGAGGCCGGACTCTAATGGTTACTTAGGCGATATGCCAATATTACAAGCTCACCCAGCAGGAGCAGGGCTTCGGCGGTCAACCAGAACGACGTATAGGAGAGGAAGCCTTCGAAAAGGGGAATCTTTCACGAAAAGACAAGTAAAGGCTTCAGAAATAGATACTGAGGAATATACTGCATCCTCACCTCTAGTTGGGAGACCCTCAGGGTTTGGGTTGCAAAGGGTATCAACGGAGCCTATACCTTCAATACCGTCCCATTTCTCCACCAAGAGCCAACCAGAGGGGCAATCTTCGAAGCCAACTCGTTCTGCTAACAAGAAGGTGCCGGCCACAGAACCATCCGCCAGTTCAATTGACCTATCCAATGTTTCCACACCAACGCAGCCAAAACCTTCTGGTGATAGTAAGCATAAATCTGTACCACCGCCACAAAAACAAAGGAGAAGGGCTTCGTCACCAAAAGGGACAACTAGGCCCCGGACAAGTGAACTCGCACCCCCGGTACCGCGCATTGTTGAGACACCCCCGCCATCGGAAGAACCTAAAAAGATAGTCCACCCTGAACGCCATTCTTCGCTAGATCCCCCCTCGCAAACGAATAAGCCTCCAAAACAAACACGACCAGCTATGGTAAGGACACCTGGTGGTTCTGCGGCCGATTTGTCGAATGAATCTATCCAAGCGCCGTCAACTCCAGCTCCAGCTCCAGCTCCAGCTCCAGCTCCAGCTCTCGCTTCAGCTCCAGCAACCCCGCAACCAGGCAATCTCACAAAAGCCAGCCAGCTTATGACGGTTCCGGGTGCCAATACAGTGGATGACAGTAAGGATAAGAGAAGACCGGACTCTTCAGGAAGTGGAGAGTCTTCGAGAAAATCAAGTTGGGGATGGTTGTTAGGAGATTCAGAGCACAAGGCCAAAGATAAACACGATAGGGAGAAAGAAGAGAGAAGGGAGAAGGAAGAGAAAGAGAAAGATAAAGAGAAGAGAGTGCGGAAAGAAAAACGACCCAAATCATCGGACAAATCAACAGAGAAATCAACAAAAGACCATGATAACACTCGCCTTGATCTTCTCCAAAAGTCTATAGACCTAGGTAATACCGGAAAGGTAATAACTGCCGACCCCGTTGGGACCAAAACGGATGAAAAGGCCGATAAAGAATCCAGAAAATCCCGTGGAGAAGAAAAGAAGGACAAGGATAAGGAATCAGGGGGGATCCTGTCGTTCTTTGGGAGCTCACGGAAGAAATCTGGAGGTGATACCTCTAAATCAAAGAGTGGCTCATCCAGGAATCCGTCTCCGTCTCCTTCGCGCGAGCAACCACAGCAAAACTTCTACTACACCAGGTTTCCGATACATATTGAGCGGGCTATTTATCGGCTCTCTCATTTGAAGCTTGCGAATCCGCGGAGACCTTTACAACAACAGGTGCTATTAAGCAACTTTATGTATTCATACCTTGCAAAGGTACAGCAGACACAACCGCATCTGGTACAACAGGCTACTACTGCACCTAGTCGAGAAGCACGCCATCGGGAGAAACAGGCCCAGGTTCTAGCCCAAGAACAGCAGAATCAACAGCAGCAGCAGCAGAGTCAGCAGCAAAATCACCACCACCACCAGCAGCAGCAGCAGAGTCATCAGCAAACGGATCCACAGGGGAATCAGTACTACCAGTACGAGGATGTAAGCTTATAAAACTTTGTTGGCTTCTAATGATCTGGAAAGCGTATTCCTAACTTGGATGATCGAACTTAGGCCTCTTCAAAGGGCGGAACCGACTATGTGGACGACTCACAGATGTACGAATACGAGGATAGCGGGAATGAAAGCACTGATAGTAGACCCCAATCACGAGCTTCGCGGCGCGACCGGCAAGAAAAAAGCAACGGTCACTATGATAATTCTGGATCAAATCGATCAGAACACAACAATGGGGGGAAGCATTCCCATCGAGCTGGAGGCGAGGGCTCTTCAAGCAGTCAGGACAAAATAGCAGGCAGTGATGATATGTGGTGATTGGGCTGTATCGGGCTCAGGTTGATGAGGCACGATGTTAAGGTGGCTTTTTTTTTGCAAACGGCTTTGCGTATGGTGGAGGTTGGTTTTTCATTATCTTTTCCGGTTCGCATATTTGTATTGTTTTTTCCGCCTGTATGGTATTGCGGCGATGGATCTCTGTACCGACAGGCAGGCAGGTTGGTTGATAGTGGAGTTGATTGATGGGCTGGGTTCTTATTTGTGTTTGAAAGAATAAATATATCAGCTGCAAGAAGCGAATACCCTTTAGCTTATTTGTTTTGCTGATACTTTCTTGTTTTTCTTATATTCTTTTCTTATCATTCGTTATCTCAGCTTTGGTTCTACTATAACTTTTATTGTATTACCCCCTCGGTCTCTTGTAAACTATGTATTGCCTTGTTTGCGGTTCTCTTGGGTCTGATAATTTATAGAGCTTCCGGGTTTTCCGTGGTAAATTGTACTTCAAAGAATTGTGCGCTAGCTCGAGCATGACTTTACGCTGTCACTATGCTACTGGGATACGAAGTTCTTAAAATTTGGATATGGCAGGCTTTCGATTTCTTTTTAGGTGTGCTGGTTTTAGCACTTGATGTACGCTGCGAGGTTATGAGACAATGCTAATGCTAGCAATGGATACTAGATCGCCGAAATAGCGATAAACGTGGCGCTCCAGTCTAACCATAGGCCTGTTCGCGCAGAGGGTAGGAATGCGACTATGACATGTATGTAGATGTAGCCCGATATGGGGGCAGCACAAATCAGCAAGGGATAAGATCGAGCCTGTCTAATATGTCTTGAAGACATCGTCAGTTTACTGGTGAAGATACCCTCACTGCATCCGGAAAAACAGCCAGAATATACAATGGAAAACTGTCAAAGAATACTGGCAATGGCGGGAAGGGATGAAATGCAGGGGAGGCAAGGATGAGATGTATCATGTGGTGTTTATGGTGAAGAACGCTGTGCTTTGATGATGAGGTAAACCTTATCTGGTGCTCGTATCACTCCAAGAACTAGGAGCAAGCCAATGGTATGCCAGGAGGGACTGGGCGGAATCAGTGGATGATCTTCTATCCAAACTACAAAGAATTGGCCCACTTAGTCCTACCTATTGGCGAACCTCACTTACTTAGTACCATGTTTCTCAGCTTGATGCCTCCATGCTCCTGGGACCCCAATTGCGACTTGCCCCCCCAAAAAAAAAATTCAGCAGCATGCAGGAAGCTCCTCTCAAAGCTGTGATGCGCATAGATCTCGGTACTTAATTATCCTACACTTCTACTTTTATGTTTACTTTCTCTATTCCCTACCTATGAAGGGAACGCGGCCCCTGTTGGTTCCTGAGCTGTTCTGCCCGAGAAATAATTAAGAGATGTTAGATCGTTATTTAAATTTTTTTTGTTTAATCTATTAATTGCATGAGAGGTTAGATCATGATAAGTGTTTCGTTATTCGATTAGTTTCATAGCCCCTGGTTGCTGCCCGGTTGTGCCATTCTTGCTGGAGCTGTTTCTTTTCGTCCCCTCTCTATCTCATGACTCTCCTTAACAAAAGTGTAGCGTCTTGTAGGTAGAATAGCATCATGAACCGTCACTCGGTCGCCAAGAAATCGCCTCCTGCAGGGAAAATCGGGCGTGGCGCGCATAATCAAACCTTCTCCACTCCTTCTTCCCTTCTGGCGGCTTGGGCGGGGACATTAAATCATCCACTACACCACTAACACTTTTACAGAGTGTTTGTATGTGTGATATGCATTTTAGGCTGTCAAATAGTTATTCGAGCGGCCCAAAGCCCCGGGCCCGAAATTAAATAAAACGTCAGATATATTTACATGCTAGCCTGGAATATCAATATGCCTCGTCATTATCAAGGGCGTTTAGATGGTGCTGGTGAAATGTTGAGCCAGGGCGTCCGGTTGTGCATCATCTTCGATCATGAGCTGATTCTACTCACAAGGTTTGATAGTATTTGAGTGTTGCATACACATGTAATTTGTTACTTTATACAGCCGTACAATGAGTTACTTGCGAATACAAGCTTTTTTTAAAATGCATGTATATAGATTATTAGAATAAGTTATCGAGATGGAGAACTGTAGGAACCAAGTTAGATGTAAAATCGTTATACAAAGCCTAGGTATCTGTTGATTGGTCACGCTCTCTTAATGATATGTAGATAAATCCATAGCAGTAGAGCTTCGCCTATCCCGGTCTTCATCGCTAAAGATATACTAAGTATATATACATACAAGTAGTTTCCGGCCTTCGGCCGGTACTATATATATATCAATCAGTCCAATATACAGGCAAGCCGCTTTGCGGCTTATTTGTCTATTTGCCTGTCAGTCGGGGCTCTCAGGCCGCTGCGCGGCCCTCGACCCCTCCTGGCAGGCAAAGTCCATCACTATATCTGATCTGGTCAATATGTGACTTTTCTGATATATTATCCCCATATATCAACGGATAAGTCAGACAATTTCTCCAGTTAAAACTACAGGTATATCCCTTTAACAGCTACCAAAACGCTAAAATCGAACCACTATCGATTCCCAGAACCAGTAGCAACCCTATTAACACTCTAACACCACTCAGCACAATACCCTATGTTAATATCCAACACAACATGTTTCAAGTGAAACAAAAACATCTCTCAATGAACCAATCAGAAGACTATAAAAGCACATTGCATATGCAGGTTATAATTATATACTTATTAGATGTGTGTACTCACAAATTACATGTAGTATTTCATACAACCTGGACACGTCAAAAGTCAAACACACAAGCTTTTTCGGTACCTTATCGATATATCTAGAACATTTGTTAACAATCTTTCGCAGAAAGATCTATTATAGCCCTATAGGAGCCTTCGAGCAAGCATATCTTGTATATTTGACAACTGATTAAAAACCTCATTCTAGACTCAGTAGGGTTCGTACAGCTATCGGTAGAATTATTGCGGAAACAGGGACCGACGATCACGCCGAGAGCAGGGCGATTTTCCAACGCCACATTTCCGCAATAGACGCCTTCCCGGGCCACTCGAACACCCCCCTCACTCGAACAGTTAACTTAAAAAAGAAAATATCTGCGCTGTAACCGGTTTCTGTACCTCTTGAATTGGGCTTCTCCACCAATAAGCATCAACTGTTCGAGTGAGGGGGGTGTTCGAATGGCCCGGGAAGGCGTCTAATTCTAAGCTCCAACACTACATGATGTAGTTGTGGCTAAGCATTGGCGCTTATGTAATACAAACCCGAGGCTCGGCGCCTATCGTTTTCGTCGTTACACAAACGACAACAGCTTCCTTCTGCGACCAGAATTTTGAAGCTGTCCTCTAACCTCCGTGCAACGTCTATTGCACCATCAACATCCTTCTAGGGTTGCAAGGAGCTCTAAAAATATGACAGACACCGTTCGAATAGTAGTGTGTGGAGATGAGGGTAATTTGCTTGCCCCCCGTGAGACGAAAGAATTACTGGCTAAAAAGTATTACGCAGGCACTGGGAAATCCTCGTTGATCACCTCCTTAGTTAAGGATATCTTTGTGACGAGCAAGATACAGCCGGTTCTCCCTGCAATTACTATTGGGGCCCCTGAAAATGTCACTACCACAATCGTTGATACCACAGGTATGTTCTTCGATTTTGATAGGAAAGCTAGCCAAGCTGTCGAGGAAAGAAAAGACTGAAGCCATTATATAAAGCTCTTCCCCACGAGCGAAATACTCTCTCAAAAGAGATACGACGGTCCAATGTCATATGCTTGGTTTACTCAGATCATTACGTCTGTTATCTACGTCTTCCACTAATATATAATATTATACTGATATCCTTTAGAGTTATGAGCGGGTCTCATTATTCTGGTCAGTCTTGTTCCAGAATGTTTGGCAGTTAAAGTGGCTTACCGTTACAATCTTCCACAGGCTTCCATTCTTTCGTGGCCTAGGGGTGAATGTTGGTGTCAACTCCTCAAGCAATGTGAAAACTGTAGCTGATGATTTAAATAGCTTCCAGTAGTGCTTTGTGCAAACAAAAGTGACCTCTCTCCAGATGTTAACCCAGAGGAGGAAATGATGCCAATAATGCTTGAGTTCAAGGTCTGTGTCAATAAATATTGTTGTGCTGGGTGTCTAACTGATCCTACTCTAGGAAATCGACTCTTGTATTAGAGCTAGTGCAAAAGAGCAGAAAAATATTAATGAGGTCGGTTTTTAACCAAGTTGAGAAACAGGTAGACGGGTTGATACTAACGTCGAATATTTGGAATGAAGCTGTTCTATCTTTGCCAGAAGGCTGTCACTCACCCAATTGCCCCACTTTATGACACCAAAGAACAAGTACTTTCCCATATACTATAAATGTCTATGAGTGGCGTACTAATGCTTCATCTCATCTAGAACCTCAAACCAGCGGCAACAGCGGCTCTTCAGCGTATCTTCTGTAAGTATTGTCATCTGCCAAATACTCGAGCCCCTTATACTAAATTGCACCTGTAGTTTTATGCGATAAGGACCAAGACGGCTTCTTGAATGATTTTGAAATCCAAGAGTTTCAGGTAAAGAGGATAAACCTTAATACATAATTGACGCTAATTAATCGTCTTTCTTCTGCAGAAAAAATGCTTTGATAAAACTCTAACCGATGAAGAACTAGAGGAGATAAAGGCTGTGATTGGGAAAGCTTCTCCCAGCTCAGCAACCGATGAGGGAATATCAGAGAGAGGGTTTATCGTGCTCAACAAAACATTCGCGGAGAAGGGAAGACATGAAACTATATGGGCTATACTTCGGACTTTCAATTACACAGATAGTTTGAGTCTGAAGGATAGCTTTTTACACCCCAAGTACGTACCTATCTATAGCGACGGTGTTCTTCTCGAGGTGCTTGGCAGATATCTAACGGTTTTAGGTTTGAAGTCCCCCCCAACTCCTCTGCCGAACTATCTGCCCTAGGGTATCGCTTCTTTGTAGATTTGTTTCTTCTATTTGACAAAGATAATGATGGGGGTTTGAACGGCGATGAGTTATCTGCTCTATTTGCACCCACACCTGGTCTTCCAACGTCCTGGGTGGATTCCTCATTCCCTTCCTCTACTGTACGGTCCGAAGCTGGTCACATAACCCTACAAGGATGGTTAGCCCAATGGAGTATGACAACCTATCAGGATCCGAAAACGACATTGGCTTATTTGGCATATCTTGGGTTTGAGAGTGGCGAAAAAGGAGGAACAACTGCAGCATTAAAGCTTACAAAGCCAAGAAAAAAGAGGAGAAGGCAGGGGAAGGTTGAGAGGAATGTAGTTTTATGCTACGTCCTCGGAGCAAGTGGTAGTGGGAAAAGTTCAATTTTGAATGCCTTTTTGAATAGAACATTCAGTTCGACATACCACCCAACGATAAAACCGCGTACAGCGGTTAACAGCGTAGAGTTACAAGGAGGGAAGCAATGCTATTTGATCGTGAGTGTTCTTCTCATATCTCATTCTCACTGTCACTAACAAAACCATAGCTTGAGGAGCTCGGGGAGTTGGAGCCAGCTATTTTGGAAAACCAAGCAAAGTTAAATGCGTGTGATGTTGTCTGCTACACATACGATTCTTCAGACCCCGATAGCTTTGCGCATATTGTGGATTTACGAGTAGGTTTACAGCCTGTAGATAATGTTGAAGACACTAATGGTTCTATAGAACCGATACCCAGAGCTTGATGAATTGCCAGCAGTGTTTGCCGCATTGAAAGCAGATCTAGACAAGACTACACAGAGAGCGGAAATACAGCCGGATATCTACACACGAGAAATTGGGATGCCAGCTCCACTGCATGTTAGTGCAGCATGGACATCGATTTCTGAACTTTTTGTTACGGTTTGTCTCGAAAGCACTCCAAAAGTATCCCTACTGACATTATCTCGCAGATTGCGGAGGCCGCTTTGTCTCCAAATACGGCTTCTCCGCGGACAGAGCCAGAGCCAGTTGATAAAACCAATATGTATATTGCAGCAGGGGTCACAAGTATGTTTAATTCCTTACCTCTTCCCGCTGATGTCCTGTCGTAGAAATTTCTAACAGGAACACATGCAGCTTGCACAATATTAACCCTCCTGTTCATGTGGAGGAGATCCAACACATGATTTAATTTCTTAAAAATAAGCGCAAAATATCGGTATATAAACAAAATGTATATGTATGTAAACAGCACAGTATTTAATCATTCGCTCATAAGAAACGTTACTGGTTTTACAGAGATAATTCGCGCGAAATCTAATCTTGCGCCTTGGTGGGCAGCTGGGAAATGTCTCGCCGGATGTCTACATACATCTAAATCATGTACATATATAGCTTGACAAGAAGCTATTATAAACAACGAATTTACACCTTGATTTCTCATCCATTGTTTGTGGATGCGGGAAACTTAGGAATGGATGGACCTAAGATCTCAGTCTTGGGACTTTTGAGACCAAGCAGGCAATAAGCCCATTTGGGGGGGGGGGGGGGGGGTGGCATCACATGTCTCAATCTCTTACTAGCTTCTATCTTGATCGTCTATATCTTCGGGAAAGAGTTTTATTGGCTGGTCTACATCCGGTTTTTATATGCAAGTGAGCTGCAGGGTAAATGAGGGAGTTTTGGCGCTCGAAGGCAACATGATATATCAAGCCTAGGACCGTAGTGCCCCTCTGTCTCCGAAATTCAAGGCCGCTTGTAGTATAAAGTTGCTTATTCAGCGACTAATCACAATTCTATGAATCATGTGATCCACATTGGCATTGAGCCTTGAGTATCCAGCGCGTAGCCTTCAGAATGATAGGTCGACATCACCAGTGATTCACTGAATTGGTATTTCACAGAGTCTGACGTAGTACTTCCTGGTTTGGCACTAATCGTGGGAGGTATTTACTATCCCAACAACAGGAAGATTCGGGGCAAGCCTTAGTATGTAGATGTGGTTCTATAGGTCTAGTATTACCGTCGATATTGGATTTACTATAATTTTCACAATTCAGAGACGATAGGTGACTGCTCGTTAGCTAGTGGTGTCGCGTAAAATCAAATGTTTAACTACGGTACAGTAGGCGATGGCCTTGATGTCTGATCAGAGGACCTGTGACATATTTTCTCGCGGTTGAAGTCGTCGTTGATGTAAGCTGTCAGGCACAATTGGAGGTTGCTTACAGCCGCAATGCACCCTTGTTATGCACTCCACAACCCCACGAACTAGCATGCCCAGGTATCTTGGTGAGACCACACCATCTTCTTTCCCCGACCTCTTCCCCGACCTTTTAATCTCTTCCTACGATTCCCCCTTCTTGTTTTTCTCATCTCCAGTTTATAGTCCTACTTATTAACCCAAATTTGATACTTGATAACTATAGCTACTAAACAACCCTAAGTCTAGCTCGATGTTCGTGTTACCTCCTCCTCCTCCGCGGTACCCAGGTACTGCTGGTGCTGGCCCATGGGGTACAGGAATTCCTGGATCTATGCCGGTGATCGAGACAAACAACACCATTTTGTATCCAAAAGGCCCAGAGCACCGATTTTCTGTTGGTGAAGGTTCGCAACGTCGCCCCAAAGTCCGGACATAGGCCCGGACATAGGCTTCATGGACGCCATCGCTAATAAAAGGGCTATAGGGACATACGTATTGAAGGAAGATATATTCCTTGCGACACCCCCTCCTCATCCTTCTGAAGCTCCCGTCACCAATCTGAACCCTTTGAGTACTGCGCCGCAACCTACAGTAGCTGGTACAAAGCTCTCACTTGTGTCTCTTAGATATCGCAGCTCACCGCATCCCTACCGCAGCCAAACATTTTCTACTGGCAAAGAAAATCAAGAGAGCGATTCAAGAACATCTGCCGAAACTGATGATCAAAGTTCTCTTGGGAAGGCGGCTTCGGGGAGTAGTGTATCTAAGAATGGGGACACTGTGATACCAATGCACCCCGAGAAATTTGGAGGAGGAAATTCATCCTTATCGGCGGCTACTGGGAAAGATGCAGCAAAGAGAAAGAAGCCGAAAAACAACATCGCAAAAAACAACTCATCTTTCGTCTCGAGAATCATTCCACACGAAAACCTAGCCAAGAGGCTTGCAGAGAGGAATGATGAAGATCTATTCGTTTTCGCAAATATCAATAGGGCTTTCAACTGGTTAGATATGGATTCTACGAATAAGGTTCAAGAGTTTTACCTTACCATAACTTTCAATAATCGAAGACTTATATCTTTTGTTTTTCTATAGCAAGAACCCTTGTCAAAGATACTTTTCACCAAGGCACATCCAATTTGCCATGATGTCAACCAGCTCACCAGGAGTTCCAGTCATTTAGACGTGATTATTGGTTTCTCTACTGGGGATATAATTTGGTTTGATCCAATGTCAAACAAATACGCGAGGCTGAACAAAAATGTAGATTTTTTTTTTACCTCTTGGAAAAAAAGTGAATCCGAGACACTTGGCTAACTGGATACAATTTTTCATGGGTTAGGGGATGATAAATTCACATGCCGTTACTGATATAAAATGGCTGCCGGGGTCAGAAAATCTATTTTTGGCCGCACATCAAGATGGTTCTTTGATAGTTTACGATAAAGAGAAAGAGGATGCGTTATTTGTGCCCGAAGACGTGCCAGACACGCTCGGAGTGGCAGAAGATGCTGCGCCAGCTAGTGGAACTGCGAACCTTATGAAGTACTTTGCAGTAAAAAAGTCCGTCAAATCAAAAAACCAGCGGACCAATCCTGTATCATATTGGTCAGTATCCAAGAGTGCAGTCACGGCTTTCTCTTTTTCGCCAGATTGTGAACATATTGCAGTGGTTTCAGAAGATCAATGTTTACGAGTCATCAACTTCGTAAAAGAAAAGTAGGCTCCACAATCACAATCTTCATTGGTAAGATCACGATGTTTACATGGTGCAGGTTATTGGACGTGTACAGCAGTTACTATGGTGGCTTGATGTGCGTTTGTTGGTCTCCGGATGGGAAGTATGTGGTGACAGGGGGTCAGGACGACCTAGTTTCTATCTGGTCCTTCAACGAGCGCCGCATTGTTGCACGCTGTGAAGGACACCACTCCTGGGTTTCTAGTGTCGCATTTGACCCCTGGCGGTGCGATGACCGTACATATAGGTTTGGAAGTGTTGGCAACGATTGTAGGTTGCTACTGTGGGATTTCAGCGTTGCAATGCTTCACAAGCCAAAAGCGGTACGGCCCTTATTTCAACTGTCGTTTTATCGTAACCATGAGAGATTTAGCCCCTCTTATATGAGGGCTTTTCGGTATCCTGACATGAAGTCCTGACGTCTGTGGCTTTGATATATAGGCAGCTGCTCAGCAACACCGAGGAAGCATGTCGTCGCATAATCATCAGTATCCCACTGGCAGGATGCAGGCAGAAAGCTTATCAGGCAGTAGATTGAGATCAGATTCGAATATCGCTGCCTCAGTTCACGTTCATGATGAAAATGGTGACGGAATCGCAGTGCATGGTGTCCAAGAGCGTGCACGGACTGCCGTTTTGCCGCCGATCATGGTAAGTCCAAGCCCTTATCCTTATCGCAAAGTTTTTCCGAAGTTAGGCACCCGCCTAGCTGAAACTCGGGTTTTCCGTGCATGGCGTCCATAAAGATGGGTGGGCTCACTGCGTACACAGTCAAAAGTGATCGATCCGGAACATCTCACCCAAGTTATTTTCCGGGAAGACTCAATCATAACAACATGCGTAGACGGTAAGCAACCGGTCTTTCCTTAACCCAGTATCTCGGCTCCGAATCTGTCTCGATTAGAGCTACAGGGATCCTTGACAGCAGTAACCGAACTTGTTTGCAAAGAGGAGTTCCTTGGAAGGCTAATTTTTTTGCGCGATAAAATTTTTCTTTGGGAAACGAATAGGCCACTTGAAGACTTGGAATAGACCACACATCAATCAGGATAGCAACGGCAGCGAGGTGACTCTTTCCGCCGCCGGGAGTTGATTTCGGAGTCCTTACGATTTCTGAATATTTTTTTCCCTGCTATTTTCCTCCACTTGTTTTCAAATTTCGTCCAGTTTTCGTTTTTGTAGTTGGCATCGTTTCGAAAAAAAAAAGTCGTCACAATATGGCATAATATGGAATATCCATCTATGTGCCCATAGCTTTTTCTAGAAAATCTGTTGCAGATTGATCGTCCCACAAAGCATATCGGCTAAAAATTGCTCTATGGTGGGTCATTAATAAAATCAGATGATATAAATCTAAGTTTTGCAACGAGGGGGAGGGGATTTTGGACATCGCCCATCAGCTGAGTTTCGACCCATTCTCGCTGCAGAAGGGCGATCCGGCGATAGCATCTCGACCATGGGTCAACTAAGACCCAACATCTTTGTCTAAAAGGAGTGGCGCTAAGGGCTCCATAGCGAGAGACCGCGATGACCAAGTGGGGCTATCTGAATCAGTTCGATAGGTCTCTATGCCTGCAGCGCTACTCACAAAACTCGTGGTTCATTCGATTTCCACTTGCTGCTTTGTGTTCCTGAGATAAACGCCCAAACAAGAAACTACATGTAGTCAAGATGTCGAGTGTGGGGGTCACAGATTTCGATGGAGGCCAGATGCGGTAGACCTTTGCGTGGGCAGACAACCGCAGAGAAAGGCAGGGTGAGAAAAGAGACCCACCTGGGCCTTTTGTTAACAGTTCTAGGAAATATTAGGCTGAATCTGTGAAGGTGGAATGGATGTGTGAGTGAGATATATATCGCAATTGGAACATACTGCTCACTCTAGGTACTTTGCATGGTGCGTACAAGTAAGAGGTAAAGTACATGTGTGTACAGTATGAGTACACGATGGGAGCTCTGAGGATACCAAGAATAATAATAATGCATGTGCTGTGTATTATTACAATGTGGTTGTCTATATAGGTAGGTGCAGATGTAGCAGATGTCGCATGGGCTCGGGGTGGATATTCCGAGAAGGAAAGACGGTGCCTGGCGTGTGCCTTACAGGTGCGTGGGCAGGGAATCAGGGAGTAGAGTAAGCCCTTGTGCACACAGCCAACAGAGTACTGAGAGATTCGAGTGCAGGGAGTGTTTGAAGGGGAACGAATCTCAACCTATGATTCCTTATACCATCGCCAAACACCCTTGAACCGTAGAAGAGGGCGTTGCAACTTGCAGAAGTTCTGCAATGTAGGTACGGTGCGGCAGTAGAGGCGGCAACTAGACAACTTTATTCCTGGGTTGTGCCTTGGAAGCCTTGGACTTACCTGCCTGATGTCCTTCGGAAGGACTATTTATTACTTGCACTCGTTAAGATCATCGTTGCCGGAGCTAGATCCCGGGCAGCGGCGGCGGCGCGTCACTTGGATGCCGGGGTTCTTTTATTCTTTGTTGTTGCTGCTGGCACTGGCGCTGGTGGGGCTGTTGGTGGATAGTGGATGGTGGATGCTGGAAAACAGCGAGATCGCGGTCAACGGACGGCGAGATGCGATGGTACAATCGATAGTACGATACCTACTTTAGTCTACAGTGTACCTACTCAAAGTGCTCGTGCGATAACTGCAGGGGCGAATGGAGGAAGACGGAGTCCCTCATGGACGGGCCGGGGGTTTATGAAGAGGGTCCCGCATTGCTCGTCCGTTTATTTTTCTTCCGCAGTTTCGCTCGCTCTGCCTCACTCGCTCGATCAGATCTTCCATCCCATGATAGATAGCCTCCTTCTCCTTCTCCGTGTGTACGGCAATTTATTCACGCATTCGTCCCAACAAAGACTGCTCAGCTGAACCTCCCAGTTACATTCCTGCAGAATCACTAGCTACATTGCAAGCCGAACAGGGCCTTGTGTTCCTTCAAAAGCCTCGCCGAGCCCACTACTTATCGAGTTTTTCTGAGACCTATTACACTGCTATCCTATTGACTCAACCTGATCCTCGTGCGCCCTCAAAATACACTTTCAACATGCCTCTTTTACAACGGAACCACAGCCATACAATTCCGTATTGCGACATCAGGTATGTCTTTCTGCTTTTTTCTTGTGTTTTTCCTGTTGCAACTATTGATTGTGCCCTTGCACGTGCTTCTCAAGTACCTTCCTAACATGAAATTTCAATAGACTTGACGAAGATGTGATCGTTTTACGAGGACCTCCATCTGAATCTGCCGGCGCTCTACTTAAAGGAAAATTGGCTTTCTGCCTAACAGAACAGATACCTGTTCGTGGAATAACGTTGACTTTGGTTGGAATGAAGCGCTTACAGTATGTGGCGAAGCTCTTGAACTCAAAGAGGGGAAAACAAAAAGGCTAACGAAGCTCTTTCCGCAAACTCTAGTTGGCAAGAAAGGATGTCTACAGTAACTGGAATTACAATGAAAACTGTCAAGCACGATGAACTCGTTTACGAGAAGAAATGGCAGTTTTTAGAATTCGACCATAAACATGCTGTGACTCTTAGGCCAGACAACTACGAGTATGAGTTTGACGTAGCGTTACCTGGAGGTAAGCAAGCCTTTTCTCTTTCGGCAATGCATCCGAGCGGTGGTATTAACTGGGATTGTTGTGTCTCACAGATCTGCCCGAGTCGATCGAAGGACTGGAGAATGCGCACATATTTTATCGGCTAAAGGCCGTTATTGACAGGCCGAGGTTTTCACAGAACATCGTCGCTAAAAAGGTATTGACTCCGTCCTGGTGACTATATCGTGTATTTTATTGACTGGGAAGTATTAGCACGTGAGAGTTGTCAGAACCCTAAATGCCGGCGCTTTGGAGTTGTCGCAAACCATGTCTGTGGAAAATCTTTGGCCAAACAAAGTCGAATACTCTATTAGTATTCCGAATAAGGCAGTTGTCTTCGGCAGTTCTATCCCTGTCGATATTGTCCTCATACCACTTCTTAAAGGCTTGTCCGTTGGTAAGGTGACATGCAGTCTAAAAGAATTACACAATTTCTCAATACCACACAAGGAAAGCACCAGGTCAGATATGAGATCAATCATCACGCAAACCTTTGAAGGCGGAGATATGGTGCAGGAACCGCATGAGGATGAAGATTTTGGGAGATGGAATTTACATCAGCGTGTAGAGCTGCCGAAGACCCTCGCACGGTGTGTACAGGATTGTGAGGTCGAGTCGATTAAAGTGCGACATAAGTAGGTACTGAAAACCATTGTTGTATAATTCTTGCTAACGATTGTATTAGGCTCAAATTCACTATTCAACTTCATAATCCTGATGGTCACACCTCCGAACTCCGCGCCTCGCTACCTGTCATGTTATTTATCTCACCAAACTTACTCATGGCTGAAGATAATGTTATTCATGACAACGCTTCTATGGAGGATAGTGAAGACATTCATGGAGCCTATGCGCCCCCTCGTTATGACGACCATTACCTCGACCGGTTGTATGAAGGAATTCCTCATGATCGCTTCGAGACACCACTTCCATCTGGCGCAAACACCCCCGCAGTACTATCTCGGAGCAATTCACATGAAAATCTAGGAGCGCTCTCGATGATGGACTCTGGAAGAATATCAGGAACTGCCAGCCCACTACGGATTCCAGATGCTAGTTCAGGGAGGTGGTCTGTCAATAGATCCAGAGTAACCACTCCCGGTTTCTCATCACCGCCCACGGCAGCTGGTGGGTTTTCCGATGCCGAGCTTGTTGCCAGGCTAAGTGGCCACCATCAAGGCGGTGACTACTTTTCAAGTAGAACAGGAAGGTCTACGACAAGTGGGCCTAGTACTCGATCTCATTCGCCCGAAGACCACTCACGTGGTGAAGAGGAAGAATTGGATCTCAATGAACTATCTAAAGTCCCCTCATATACTACTGCCGTGCGACAAGGCATAAGAAATCTTTCTACACGCTCCAATCTTCCTCAATATGAAGACGGGACTAGGAGCAATCCTGAGAGCACAACAAACACTCCCAGGCACAGTCCTCCGACGTCCTATACGATGCCCGTTGTGAACACAGGGAGGGCCGGTCACGAAGGAAGGGGGTCAAGACTTTGGGGAAGAAGCTTAACCACAAGTGACGTACATAACACTGTTGAGACCAATGTGGGACACGGACACGGACACGGATTTACTGGAGGACTGAGCGGAATAAGTGCGGGTCTCGCTGATGCCGAGAGGAGGATCAGATTACTTCAGTTGAGGGGACGATGATACGAGAACGACACGAAACCTGTGGGGCATATCTTATGATTGAGCGATTGCGATGGCAGTAACATAATAACGATATTTTTTATTTATTTCTTTCTGTTTTGGGTAGAGGATTGGCGTTGGGGTTAATTCCATTATTATTGTAGATTAGATAGCATTACTTTCTTTCTATTTTCTTTCCTTCTATGCCTCCTCTCACTTTGTCTCATAAACATGTATATGATATCCTTATAACATCTTGATATTATTCCGTCCTGGGCAGTTACTTTCCCATCTCTTACCGGCACCTTTGGCAGGACTAGCGGTGTGGAGTTTCAATTTTTATATGCCTCGCTTTTATTTGACAGGTCTACCCGTTAATAGTAGCGCAAAAAACCTATTTACACATACCTTAAATCGATTTTAGTACTTAAGTAGGCAATCACTTGCGGATGTTTTTAAACTTTCCCTGTCAACTGCTGGGGGTCTAAAGGGTCAAAGCGAATTTGAAAACAAGATTAGTATGCAAACAATTGAACTTACCAAGTTACTGGCTCAGGGGAAATTTGGGTATCTACATGTACCCAAGGATACCCAAGTAGAGGGCCCACAACTATTGAGTGCGGGTAAACATTTAACCGCCGCCAAGTTGAATGAGGGTACCGTACTAACCACTACTGGATTAGGGGTTGTTGGTTGGTTCGTTGTGGTCTGATATGCGCGAGTGATCCAACATGAAGCGTTGGCACAACCAGTGGCCTGAGGTTCTTATCATGTTAGCAACAACAAGACAACCTCAGACGACGATTTTTTTTTATTACAATTTTTTAGCGAGAAACTACATCTCCGTTCAGGCCGCAAACGCTTCGATCCAGGATCTTCATGTTAGCATCATCCGATTCGAGCTGTCAAAAAGGCTTCATTCTCAATAGAACTTGGTAGATTACATATACGTGGCTGATCTTGGCATCATCTACAAAGTAACTTGGCATAGAATGATATTCGTCGAAGTGCGCAGCTACTAACACCGATGTTTATATTTGAATTCTGTTATCTTCGCTACAAGTTATCAGAAACCGTAAAGAGTATTTCGTAGGAAACGACCAGTCCATGCGGGGAAGACATTCCGGTCAACGCCAGTAGGTCAGTATATCACTATAGTAAATACAACGCCTCACGAGACAAGTACTGTAGATAATGGGACGAGCACATATAAGTACTTGTTACAGCACCTGAGAGCTCGGCACACAATAGCCCGGCTGACGAGTGAGTCTCGAAACTGCAATAAGTTAGTTGTGATTACTGGGCATATGAGGTGCCTAAAATTTCACTTGTCTGGTACGGTGTCGGACAGCCAAAACCAGCAACCACCGACTCCCCTTCACCCCATCGACTTTCAACAACGCAACACTTGTCCAGAAATAATGTTCTTTTGTAAAATGGGTCTAATCATGGTTGTAAACATCCCCATAAATGGGGATTTAAAATAATTAAGAACTGGCTGCACTATGACCTCTCAAACTTTGGTGCAATCTGCCCGAAAAAAAACATAGGTGTGAAATAATAGCTTTAATAGCTTTATGCCAAGGCGGCCACATTAATTTGGGATAATTCTTACCATATTGGGATAATTAGATGATTATTACCCGATTAGGACTAGTTTCTGGCTTGATTTTAACTATCTAGCGCTATATACAGCTTACCCTCAAAAGAACCAGAAAATGCAACGAACGGAAACAGGGATTCTTTGTATGAGAGAACGACGCCACAACAGATCTAGACGAGGGATTGGTGAGGTTCAGCGACCAAATAATTGACCCACGAAATGGGCAACATTTAGTACCACATACCAGCTACAAGGTAATGACCAATCATGGTGTGTGGCTGGAGTACGTCTCTGCCCTTGATGCCCTACTAAGATTTAAACAACATAAATGTAGTTGCGTAAATTTAATTGTTTTTTCGGAGGATGGTGCATCTAATTTAATCTACCAAGTCTACTCGATACGTACTATCCTAAGAACATTCAATAATGACACACGAGAATGTCAAGAGCACTTTATCCCGAGACAGTTAAAGACAGTAAACTAGACAAAAACAACTGGTCTCAAACCACGAGAACCCAGCTGGGGAGATTAAGACTTTGGGACCTTTTGGACAAAGGAACTGCCTATCCAGGGCACAGCCTAAAAATTGAGGACATATATACTTACATAGTGGTTGTCTGTTTCAAACAATCTTAACCGAGAACCCGCTGAAAATCACGATACTTATAGACTAGTGAACAAGGTCACTGGGGACAGACTGGTAAGCTTATAAGTAGTATGTGATAAATTTTGATGTCGATATTCTGTGAGTAGTGAATATAAGGATGTTGCATATAATTCGCAGCTCCAACCCTAATATAATAACATACACGTACCAGCCCCCTCTCGCAGCGAATAAATCAACTACACTTCGCGCGGTCTTTGTGGTCTTTCTTGGCCCGTATGCCTTGGAGTGATGAAACTTTACGTACAGGTACATGTAAGGCTAGGTGTCTTGCCATTATATTAATGGCCAACTTCTCAAGTGTCACCACTCCGGATTAAGTTGAGAATTTGAGAGCTTCATAATTATTCCTCCCCCCATTCACCATCTTCTTCTCTGTAACACTATCTGGGGCGACTCATTATACTGCAGTTTACTTTTTTGATACCACTGATCCATGTAGGGTTAGGGTTATTTATAACGTAATATTACTGTTTTCAAAAGGTAAGAACCAATTGATATTAACTAACTACAAGTTACTACATGTAGTACTTAGTTGTTCGGACACCGAATGTCACTGTTATTGGGATAATACATACTTCTACTTTCTACTTTCTAACCGAATTATACTCCATGATTATCCAGGCCTAGGCTCTAAATGTACCAAGTCAGACTACATGTAGTTGTGTTACTTTCCATCAACACATTTCTATTGTGCTACTCACACAATCCGAATACAGAAGGGGGTAAGTACTCTATTCGCGCTGCTGGGTTGAAGCTGTTCTGACAAAAAAAGGTAATTTATCTAAAGACTGCAAAAAGGTGAGCTCTTATTAGCTGCTAGATCACTCGCCACAGATTTTTGGGCGGCTTCAATTCATCAAATCGACCGCGTGAGTAGTACGAAGTGCCAGCCTAGATTCTGATTCGGTAGTGATGGGCATGAGACAAAACCTGACGATACTTTGGACAAGACGAGACCATGTTAGGTTCAATATGCAAGGTCTCGAGGCCATTTTAGTCTCGGGACTTTGTTTTTAAGCTAAAAATATGTTTATTTCATTAATTTCGACCATAATTTTGAATCGATAACCCTAACCCTCCTCAAAACTCTCACTATGAAGTCATCTATGTCGTTTTAGGCGGGAAAGACCTGAGATTACAAAGTCCCGAGACTTCAGCAAGACCGACTCTTAAGTATTAGCAATTACAAAACATGAACTCTAACACATAGTATTACAAGACGAGACGAGACTATGCTCTAATCTCGTCTCGTCTTATATTGTGCCCATCACTATGACTCGGTACTTCACTAACTTGCACGTACGTTAGATACTCAAAGTTCCATGCTAATATGGGATTATGTGATTCATAGAATCGTTAGCTAGTACTAAGGTCGCTGAATAATTACATACGTATTTAAACTACACTTATGGGCAACTTTATACAATTCTACAGGTGACCCCTCTGTCTCCGACATTCAGGGTACTGTCTCCCCTCTGGTGACCCCTTGAAACCCATATGGCCTCATTTCTAGCGTTACTATAGCTAGCGCTATATCTTCTTGAGATATTATTTTGCGATTCTTTACTGTGTTACTGATAGTTTGATGAATAAAAACAACTTATCTCGAAATTTTCAAGGGCCAATCACAGGTCACATTGACTTTCTTACCAGAGGATTTCTCAACCTAGTACGATATTGGGGAAATATTATAGTATACATATCCGTGTAAATATTTTAGGAACTGTCGGAACTGGTTTTGCAAATTCGCTTCAACAGTTTTTCCCGGCGAGTAGCTGTTATGGAAGAACCCTTGTGGCTTTCCTCCACAAAGTCGTCGTGCCTTGACACGTGTAATACACGGTCCGGAATATCCAAGACAAATCCCAGAGAATATCCATCACTGATTTTCAGGAGAAAGTGTCCGGATTAGGTAGCAAAGGGGCTAAGCCTAGGATAGCTTACTAAACTCCAATTAGAGGTCGCTACTAAGGTACTATAGTGTATGAATGTTTACAGTTAGTAAACAATAATTCAATCGCTGAAATATGGAGCTCCAAGTCAAATACTAGCCTTTTTAGGCGTTGTTATGGTAAGTCGCCCGATTTATATGGATTTATCTGACGATTAAGACGACCTTTATATTTGTATGCGTACAACCAGTTTTAATGTCTACCTTTGGTTTTTCGTAATTGATCTTTGAACTAGCGTGACAACCATCAACAAGGGACTCCAAATGTACGGGTGCTGGGGTTTAAATTGTGTTGTTTTGAATACATGTATATATCTACTGTAGGGACGTAGGGTCCAAGCATTGCCTCATCCGAAGGGTTGATTAAGAGCCCCAGCACTAACTAATCCAAGGGTCTAACACGTTTTGATTTGATTGGTCTGGTTGAATAATAATCAATATGAAGTATCCAAGTGTTGAATCCAAGGCCCAGGGCTCAGATCGCTTGATTGCCATGCATCCCCACCCATGTTCTCCATAGCAGCTCCTACTCCGTAAGTCCTATCGAGTGATGCTAGGTGAGAATCGTGACCATAAAATTTTGCTGTTTTCGAATTCACAAAACGTGGCATAACAAATAAGACCTCAAGGAAATTGGTGTATGATCTGGTTCATTGGGCAAGCCTCCTCGTCACCGCAAGCGTCATTGTTTTGATGATCGAAGCTACGTCAGGGTTGAAGGTCCAGTGGAACTGCATGCAGGTGACGATAGGCGAGCGCATAGATCAGGCTCCCTGGTCTGGTCCTCAAAAGCCTTGGCGCGACATGATATATTCCCCGCGTCGGGACCTCACATTTGGAGCTTCCAACAATAAATATAATCACCACAACAGAATATACAGTTTTCATCACTAAAGATCAGTTCATCCACAAATCCCTATAATAACAAGAACAAACAATGCTGGGTCTAGGTAAAAAGGAAAAGACACCGATTGCTGAACCGGTGGCCGAACAGCCCCCCCCGCGGCATGACACTATCGATTCGGTAGCTTCAACAAATGCAGTTCCAACTGAGAAGGGTGATATCGGTGCATTGTTTGTAGAGAGACTACAAGCCTGGAAACATGCTGTCGGATACCTAGAGGCATATGTCGAATCTACAGAAAAGGTCCACAAGGAGCTTGCAAAGGAATACGAAAAGGTGTTGAAGGTGGGCTTCATATTTTGTTCAATTTCAGAATTAAAAGTCTTGCTAATTACTTCTAGACCGTCTCTGAGCCGTTGAGGGAGGGAAGGCATTTCGGTATTTAAAACATAGGCTCCAGAATTTTGTAGGTGCCAGTGGCTAATTTTTGGCATGAGTACAGACCAAGAGGTTGGAGGTGTTGCTAGCTTTTTCGAAAACATCCGCACAAACACCCAGGCGATATCCCACTCTCATACCGAAACTGAAAAGGCTCTAAAGCTTGCAGTACTCCCAATATTAGAAGGACTTCACCGCGAAATCAAAGAAAGGGCCAAAGTAATACGTGCTGCCGCTGATAAGGGCTTAAAGGCTGTCTCAAAAGCGCGAAATCACACTCAAAACCACATTGAGCTTCTTGGGCAACATGCCTCTTCTTTTGACTCTGTTGGCTCTCACGCGCAACCTGCTAGTGGAGGGATGCATATCCATATCCCGGGAACCCACAGCCATAATTCCAGTGGTAAACCGAAACCTGACAGCGATCCCTATGTCCTTAAGAGAGGTATTCTGTACAGGCTGCATAAGCAGGTTCTTGAAGAAAATGCCAATCGCCAAGAGCTCCTCTCTATACAAAACACCATGCAGCAGTTCGAGTCCCATATTCTACAAACTATCCAACAGGCCATGGCAGAATTTTATAAGCATGTTGGGAATCAAGCAGATAAACAAAAGGCGCTATACGGTGATATAGTTGGTACGTTGGCCGCAATACCCTACTACTAGAGTTAGAGGCCCACAATTAATAATCATGATAGGAGTTGCCCAGAAACTTCCGTTAGACTTTGAATGGAACGGTTTTATGAAAAGGGAGAGTGATGTTCTGATAGATCCTAATGTCCCGTCCAGATCAGTAGATCAGATTCAATATCCCAATATGGATCACAAGAGTACCAAGGCGTTGATAGAAGGACCCTTACAGAGGAAGGGAAAGATTATGAGAAGCTACAGCACTGGTTACTATGTGGTCACTCCGAGCAAGTATCTACATGAGTTTAAGGACAACGATGTAGGTGCTCAATTCAAGCGTAGCACAAACACTCTAGATAGACTAATCCTGTAAACGTGAAACAGAACTTCAGCAAGGAGCCGGAACCGGAGACAAGTCTTTATTTACCTGATTGCACCGTTGGCGCTTTGTCTAAAGAACCCAATGGAAAATTCATCATCTCTGGAAAGGAAATCGGTGGAGCTTTAAAGGTAAAATCTATATTTATCGCTTGAGTAACATTGATGCTTACTACTGTCCCGGTTGAATAGGGATTTACCAAGCATGACTTTGCTTTCAAAGCTACCTCACACGCCGAGGTACTTCCACCTCAATAGAGTGTTTATCCAATAATCAAACCACTAACTTGCCTATCTAGGCCGCCAAATGGCATGAAATTATTTCTCAATGCGCTGGTCTAACAACTAATGAGACACCGATTACGAGCCCTGCCTCACCCACCGCTGTAGGCGCGACTGACGAAATGACCGGTATGCCACCACCAACTTATTCTCGCACAAGCTCGCAAGAAACAGGTACCACAAAAACAACAGACTTGCCTGTCATGACTGGGGCTGGTGTTGAGTCTGGCAATGGAGCTGGATCTGCTGCCGCAGATGTACCAATCGCTCCGGTAGTTGCAAAATCTTGATTGAGACATCGGTAAATAATATATTCAAAGGCTAGCTATATATTAGGGACGTTTTGGCAGTATATGATGAAAACCCTTGGAAATCCAGACTACATATGTAAGCAATGTTATTATATCTAATTTTAAATAATCTTATGATTTAAATAAACACAATCTCATATCAGGTCTTTCCTTTTACTCCATAGACATATATATTTAGGGAGGAAGGGAGTATTTAAACAATACATGTAACTATGACAGTAGCTTCTCAGGTTCAGGATTCTAACCAAGAAAGGGCAAATTATCCAATCTAAACTAAACTAAGTTTCAGTGCTGTACCACCCGCAGCGTATGTAGTTAATTGGTTTTGTCACATTCAATGTTTCATACCATTTAGCAATAATTTTAAAATGGTCTATGAATCGTCTCGAGCTGAGATTATGTAAAGTGAGCCTGTTCGAGGTCGAGACTTCTAACATACCAGATTAACTATCTGATTTTGAGGCAATACAAAAATGCCATAATGGGCCAGCTTTTACTCAAATTGACCTGACCCATCAAATCCAGCTGCGAGAGCTGCAGTGAAAGTGCTGTCTATCAACCGGTCCTGTAAGTGGTGGTCTGATGAGAGGCTGCCAATTTTTGTGAACTTTTTACAATTCCAAATAGCTGGACCTGCTGCGCATAAGGCCGAGTCTTATAAGTTACGTCTATGCGGGCGCCGGGCCTATGCATGTGCACGCGGGGTGGAGGTGGTGCTGGTTGCAACGTGTCTGTTCGAATGCTAGCTGAAAGATTGTTCATAGGAATGGAAGAAAGACACACTTTGATATATCGGGGATAGACCTGCTTTCGTACCGTCCTACCAGCGAAAGCCAAACATCACTAATTACTTATAGCGCCGCCTACCCCGGTATAGAATAGTTCCACTATGGCCCAGAATATCTCTCCGTCTTGTTTATGATTTTTCAATTTCTACTATGGCCCATAACGGTTGCTATCATGTAGATTTTGAACTTAGTTCGTTTGAGCCTTGAAAGCCACGAGTGATCTCCCATGATGTAATACCCAATTTGGATGCTATAATTCGGCATCGACAAACACTTGTAACTATCCCGGGTGATGACTACATGATATATGCCTTTATTACCCCGTGAGCGGCCAGGAGAAGAATATTAAAGAACATTCTCGAATGTCTTATATGTACAGCAAAACCTATCATAATTGTATACGGTTAACTCTGCTCAGTCGGGGCGCTGTTCTCCTAGCTCCTGTGCTAGCAGATTGTAGAGGAAGAATGCCACCACAATATGTTAGCTAAATTATAAAAGTCCCGGAGGTGGAGAAATTATATTTTCTCTTGGTATAGGATCATCTATTATGTGAGTCTACTTTGATACTTACATACAATCCATAAGCTATCCTAGCGATATCCGGCCAGATAATACCTGGTACTGGAAGGATTGTGATCCTTGACTAACATTTACAACTATTTCTATGCCAGCTTCCATTAAAGGCAACCCGCTAAACGATGTGTACATCCAGGACAGCGCTCATTCCACCCTTCACTGTCTCGATCGCCTCCACTAGTAACTTCTCCATTTCTTCAATATTATGGGCGGTTCCTCCCCAAACCTGGCCGCCTGCTGCCGCTTTCGCAATTCCAGCCTATTGATATCGCTGTCAGTATCATGGTACTCTGAATGAAACATTCATAAAAACATACGTAATCTGGTGAAGGCCTGAAAGAAATATTCAGCTCTTCATTGGTTGCATGAGCTGCATATCCATCAGGATGTACGAGTTTTGCAGATCGCAAGGGGGCGTGCCAGCCATCATTGTTCAGCACAATAGTCAAAAAGGGGATATTGTAACGGCGAGAAATCCAATATACTGATGCTGGCACAGCAAATAGAAACGTTCCGTCACCAACGACGGCGGCAACGAATTTACCGGAGTTATTTTTACCGTTATCGAGCCCCAGCTTTGCTCCAATTGCTGCGCCTCCAAACCACCCAACTGTTGATAAGTCAGCATTGCTCATAATATACTCGAGTTCAATGGAAAAAAATAACTTACGTCCACCTGCGCCTGAGCCTATGATGCTGCCCGGCTCTACGCTTTGCAGCTGATTTGCCACAGCTACTGTTTGAGTAACCGCTTCTAGGAGTACAACTGCGTCCTTAGGCATGATTTCCCTCATGCGCTTTGTCACATATGCCGCCGAAACCATGCCATCCTCTCTGGGCTTTGCAAGTTCTACAAATTCGTCCATCCGCTTTTTGTGCTCAGCTTCCAACGTTTTTAAACGGGATGCCGTATCTATATGTTGGAGCTTCGGAGATGCTGAGATACGAGCATTGATCTGTCTCAGTGCAGTAAAAGCATCCGCTCTGTACCGAGCATGTGCATCGATATAGAAAACGGGCATTTGCTGCTTCAGCGGATCAATATCGATGTGATAGATTTTTGCTGTAGGCGAGGGTTTGCATCTTTACCCAGGTCAGCAATAATTCCCATATCTGGAGTAGAGCTAAGGATCATACTGAGTTGGGATCCAAGGCACGTCGCAATCAATAACTAATATCATGTCTGCGGTTCTGATGCGTTCGTGTACACCGTACCCAAGACCCAAGGAAGAGATATGATTTGAAGGGAAACACATATCACTACCAAGGGTATCAAGAACTCTCACTCCTGGTAAACCATCCGCAAGCTTCACAAGCTCCCTCGTAGCCTCGTGATTACGCCCGGCATATCCTGTCAATACCAGCGGCTCTTTTGCCGCAAGAAAAGCTTCTGCAATAGTTTCTACAGCGTCCTCGGGCAGCGCAGCAGGCGAGACAGGGTCCCAAACGCTTTGGTTTAGATGGTACGGCTCAATATCTTCCTCCAATACCTCTCGAGCTGCAGTAAGGTACACTGGGCCTTTTGGGTCTGACATGGCAAACGAGAGAGCACGGTTGACCATCTGTTTAATGTTTTTTCCTGTTTTGATCTCAGCCGTATAGCGGCAGTACTGTGCAACGATGGCACGTTGATCTGGTACGTCCTGAATATAGTGGATGAATTCGGTTCGGCTGCCACGCATTTCTCCTTCTTGAGTGAAGGGGGATAGGCCAGCAAATATCAGAACAGGAACGCGACCACATGAAGCATTGTGAACAGCAGCACCAAGACCTAGGTTTTGTAAGCTTTAGCTATCACAAAATAACCAGGAATGCTTAAAGACCTTGTGTGCCAACATCTACATGGACAATGACACATTGAGGCTTGCCAGTAACTTGCGCAAAACCATGAGCTGCTGAAAGAGCTACCATCTATCAAAAGAGAAGATAATATTAGATTAAAAGCTCTAGGAAGCCCACAAACAGCTCCCGAAGCTAGAATCAGGCGTCTTACCTCATTCGGACATGTAATAATCTTAGGAAACCTGTCTGGGGTTTCTCTTTGGCCTTTGACCATAGCTTCCAGGATACCTGGGGCACAATTAGATTTCAATTGGCCTCTTATTCTTACGGCTATTACTTACTTGGATGATCAGAGCCCAGGTTGACAAAACAATGGGAAATCCCAGCTTCCCAGAGAGCTTCGAAAAAGGCAAACGAGGCGGTGTACCTAAAGGAGTTCATCAATATCAATAAGCATCATTATAGCTCTCATAAAAAAGATCAATGCTTACATGATTGATGAATATAGATTGGACTGTTTCGGAGAAGGTAATTATGATGGCAACCGAAGTGTTGGGATGTAATTATCAAAAGGTTGCGGGGAAGGAGCTTTATAAGGTTGTGATGCTAATGAAAGTGTAAATCGAGGGCCGCACATAACCGAGACATCTGCGTATGTACCATACAAGAATAGATTGGGCAACAGCTAGCGCATCTCTCAACGCCAATCAGATGCTATGTAGTATGGCTTTTATCAACTCGACCATTTAGAAAGCGGATATCCCAAAGCTCGGACCTTACAACTTTGCCTTCGATATCTAATCTTCGCGATAGATAAACTTAGCCCTAGTGGAACGAACATGTACTCGGAACACGACTGCTATTGCATACCATACAAAAAAGCGTCAAATCCATCCTTTTTGTATGCCATGCAATATTGGCTGTGTTCGGAAACGCTGTGAAATTACGAGTAATCGCGCTGCCGAAAAGTCTCCGGGTCACATGTCCTAATCAAGTAAATATAGTAATGATTGGCTTGAAGACTTTAGAGAACACATATATTTGAATTGCCAATCCTGGTTGACTGGACTTGTACTGCACCCAGACTCCGTACAAAGGCGAGTAGTGGTGAGTACATGTAGTGAAGTATTTTCATTTTGTACATAATACTATTATATATAACTACATACGTGATAGAAAAAACAAACCAAAGCTTTCCAGATCAACAAGAAGGGAACTTCACATAAATGGGGGCATTTCAGCTATTCGCTGATTATGATGACCGAAAAGAGTTATTTAGGCACATTTATGAAAGAATAAAAAAAAATGGAGCTGTATAACAGTATTAAGACACATGTACCTATATCGATACATTGCTTAAACGTTCGAAGTCGACCCAATCTCATGAACTGATTTGGTTAACCCATCTACTTAAAATTCACCCCTTGGGTCAATTTCTTGGACCACATATATGCTAACCTATAGGGCCAGGCAAGACATTACATATATTACTAGAGTTTTATATTAAAGATTAGTTCCAAAATTACAAACATTCTTTCCGACCGCTATGAAGTTTATAACTTTGATTATAGGTACATGTATGTAGGTACATTGTTGATACTAGCCGTAGGTAGCATCACCATCTATCACCCATAATATTTTACCAGCATACCATCAACTAGTCATATGTAGATACATGCGCACAATATTCACAAATATAAACGTCTATAGTTTTGTGAATTTGTGCACGGAAACGAGGATAAATAGCAAAAAAAAAATTTCTATACCTATTTCTAGGGGGGAAATTGTATGTAGGGCAAGTTAACCCGGGCCCATATTAAAGCCCAAGCCATCAATGATCTTCTGAGCCCATTTTGATGGACCTCTGGCACGTGACCCGACAACTCCTTAGCACCACGTTACGTACAGTAACAAGACCATTACGACTAAATATTAGGCACTTGTCTCTAATCATGCATGTAGTAGAGTACTCGGGGCAGGTAAAAAGTACCGGACAATGCAGGTTTTTGGTTCACCAATGGGCGCGCGTGCTAGGCGTGAACTACTGCAAAAAAAGCCCAGGGACAAAACTTGCATTGTCCGGTACTTTTTGCCTGCCCCGAGTACGTACTCTAGCGAGACATATGATACCTTTGTGCCTACATCATGTAAAGTACTCTACCGCCGCTGAAATTCAAATTGTCGTCTGCCTTCCTATTGAGGATAGTTATAAGCGACTTTAGGAACGATTGAAGAAAAAAGACAGTCTACCAATGCAATAGCTACCAATAAGCGATAAAAAAACACCCGAGCGAGTGAATTGCTTTTACAAATAACATCAATTTCTCCCTCCGCAATAATCTCCAATCAACTACTATTTAAACCGTGGAAAAAGAAATATGGGTGTAAGAAGGAAAAGCTATTATTCCACATGATTGTTCCCTTCAGATATCCAAAACTCTTTAGAGTCCTTCAATACAAATTTAACACCCTTGGGTATTCGTCGACTCTTCAGCGAAACATTATAACAATAGAGGATAAACTATCTTAACTTTGTGCTCTGCTTCCTGGAGGCAGGAAAAGTTCATTCTGTTTGTAATAATCGTGAGGAGCACCGCCTGGAGCACCGCCTGGTCCACTAGATTGGGGGGGCGCCGGTGCAGGATGATTGGGAGCGGGTGGGTATTGCTGTTCTGTATAGTAACTTTGTGGGGGTCTTCCGCCATTGGGTGCGGTATATGCTTGATAAGCTGAGCCACCTGCACCTGAAGGAGATGTCGACCCTAGAACTGGGTATGCATGAGGCCCGCTATTATTTGCCGCAGTGTCTGTGTACACTGACGGGTTGGGTGGGTTAGGTCCGGCTGACAAAGGGCGCTGTTGAGGGGGTAGATATGCTTGATATCCACCATATGGGGTTTGTCCGGGAGGTTGAGAGGGGGAGGGAACCCTCTCTTGACCGCCAGGAGCACCCATAGGCTGTGGATATCCACTGTTCTGTGGTGGTCTACCATCAAGAGGTGAGTCATATATTGATGTTGCAAGTTCTTGGGGCTGTATCTGTCCATCCACTGGGTGTCCGCTTGGGCCGGGTGGTTGATGACCCTGTGGACGTTGATTAGGATCCTGTTGTCGGCCCGGAATTTGAGCACCAGGCGGTGCTTGACCAACTACATAAAATGGTGCGTTATTTCCATGTGGCGGTGGTGCTGATTCATGACCTTCAGGTGGGGCATAAAAGTGGTTGCTTGTCCGTCGAGGTCCTGGGTAAGGAAGCCCCGATGGTTTTTGCTGTTGGGGAGGCGGAGAAAAAGCGCCATGTTGAATTGAGGGAGAAACGGAGGGGTTCATCTGTGGGGCTGGAGTATAAAACCGCTCTCCAGCAGGTGGGTATGGATCGCCTCCATAGTTATATGGTGGCTGGCCGGGTCGGCCATAATGTGAGGCACCTTGGGACATAGAGGACTCGAGCAGATTTTCGTAATCACGTCGTGCTTTAATAAATTTTTCATTTAATGCGACAAAGTCGTCTAATCTAGTGTTAGCAAATAATTGTGTATTTTGAATGCAATAGGACAGGTTACCTTTCTTCTGTGAGTACTTCCCAATTAGCTCAATCAACTTCGGGCGAATTGCCAGTGTTTGATGGTAGAGTGTCTAATTTCCAGTTAGCATAGGCAAAAGACTCCTAACAATTTACTATGAACATACAGTGATTTCCTCGTTTTCCTGCACGTTTGATTCAACGTTGGATGTGCTCAAAAGCGCCAAGAGTTTCTCCACGTTTTTAATCTCTGCAAAGACCTCAGCCTCCATTTGGGCCTCCTTCATAACCTCCTCTTGAGTAGGGTCTGTCAGTTTCTCCACATAATTCAATGGGAAAATTCCTGTCTGGCCTCTCAAGGATCCACTCCACCAATCCTTATACACTGACTCGAGCACTGCAATGATATCACCCTTCCTAAACGCAAGCTCTCCTTTTTCAGTCGGGACGAAATCGAAAAGTGCACGAACCCTAGATACCGTCGCAGCTGTTGTATGTGGTGTAGCTTCAGCTGTGCTTGCTGGGGCCTGTGATTGTTGGGCTACCGGATTAGAGCCCGCGGATTGCTGCGGCGCCTTTGAGCTCGAGGATTGTCCAGCTTGTGGCCTATCTTTGAGGGATATTGCCAAGGCCATTTGAAGCTCTTCCTCCTCCTTCTGTCTATCAATATCTGTGATTTCCCTTTTGTGCGGCTTCGACGGTGCCTGTATGTTTGGATCTACCAGAGGTTAATAATTGGCACTTTTTTTTGTATAAATTCTTTAATCTCTTACTTTGGGATTTTAACTTGTTATAGGCGCCTTCCATTATGCCAAGATCTGGCTCCTTCGAGAACATTTCAGACCATTCGGCCATCCGTTCCAATATCTTAGCTTTCACGGTCGGGTGAGTGTTCTAGGGAAATTAGCTATCCCAATTCAAAATCAAACAGGAAGCTAGTAACAAACCCGATCGGCGGCAAGTCGTAGCATGGCATCTGTAAAAGATCTCGAAGCAAGCTCCCGATGCATCTTTGGGCCGCAGTTTTGTGAAAAAGCATTTGCAAGCTATAAATAAAAACAACATTAATTCATTATTCTACCCGTTGAAGATGGACTTCGACCGTTTCAAGCTTGAAAACTCACTTCAAGGGTATAAAGTTGAACATTAGCGTTCCGATGAGCTAGCCGTTTAATCAATGCTGCGACAGCATTTTTAGGTCTTTACAGAAGGTAGGCAATTAGCTTCCGTTTGTACTACACACAAGCCGGATAATTCTAGCGCTGGACCGTTGCGACAAAAGCTCACCCATTTTCTGGAGATTCATTAATCTTCTCCCACGCATCCATCATGTATTCCCAGTTCTCTGAGGTCAAGTTCTCGTCCGTCGCTTTCACTAAAAGGCACAAGTGTTGAATTAGCAGTTAGTCCTGTTTGTTCGAGATCCCGGGGGAGCTTACCGATGACATCCTCAAACACATTCGGCTGCTGTCGAAACATGTTGTCCAGCGCAGCGTTAGAAACACCTCCCGAAGTAGACGTATTTGCGGAGATGACGGAAGTCGAAAGTTCGTATCTGATGTTTCGCAACAAGCAACAGCCGTTTCAGAGTGATATGTTTAGCTAGCAGATGCGCAAAGAATATAAAAAAAGGTATTTTCTATGTTGAAATACCGAGAAGAGGATGGAGGAAAGAGAGGGGTGTGTGGGATGTCATTCAAACGGCGACTATGTAGGTTTATCGACATGCGTAATGCCCAGGCGCCTCTTGCTCTTGGTTGTGTGGCTGTGGAGGCAACGCAATATCCAGGCAGCCTACTAGCGGGGTTAGAAGATCTTGTTTTTGCAGCTTCTCTTTGTGCACGCGGCGGCTCTGGCTCATCACTTGCACAGCTTTCAATGCAGGTTACGCAAATTCGTTCACAACTAAAACGGTGGAACCGCCACGTTTCTAGGTAAATACTTAAAGTAATTGAACAGACGAGTTAATCATTACTGTACCATTTTCGGGAAGCCCTCCCGCTATCGCCTTTTTTTCTGGTCAATTAAAAGTTGAACCTTCACAAACATTTCCGTTCCAAAACCCTGATCAAACCCCACAGACAGAAAGAAAGAAAAAAAGACTAAACTGATCATGAGGGGAATACAGCAGAGAAAACTCGTGGCCGTCAGTCAAAAGTAGTAAAATCCACCTAGACTAAACCTTTCACTCCTTCTCTCCAAGTAAATAAGGAAAAACAGTTCCGTGCCTAAACCAAATCGGAAAAATACATTATCCCATCCCACAAGTTTCTATAAAATCAAACCCGCTTCAAATGCATCGTGACACTCGTCGTATTGACCACTCGTTTGCCCATCCCACTATTTTCGCGTTACACCTCCGATTATTGTGGGTACTTTGAGACAGCTTCTGTACAACTTTATCATCACCTTTGTCGTTCCTGAGCTCTAGATTTCCGCGCCTCTTTTACTAGAGGTGCCAAACTAGATAGAGGATCCGCGGTTTGAAGGAACACATGCTATATATGATTAGTATGTTTATCTTATTAAATAAGCCTTTTGCAATCATACCTGAAGTAATTCACCCGCTGACAGTCTCCTATCCGGACTAACTTCTAAGGCTTTGTTTAAGAAGTCTTTAAGTTGTACAGACAATTGGTCTGGTTCCTTCAGCTGTGGTGTCCCATTCGTCGCGATCAAATATAGAGCACGAAGTGGCGATTCTGTTAGGTAAGGCGGCTCCCCTTCAATCATCTCTATCGCCATAATTCCTAAACTCCAAATGTCGACCTTTCGCCCATATTCTTTCCTAGTCACAACTTCAGGTGCCATCCAATATGGTGTCCCTACCATGGTGGTTCTTTTCATCATGGCTTCATTTATTTGCGCGCAAAACCCGAAATCGGCTGTTTACGGTTAGTTTTACTAACTGGGATATATATTATAGTTTGTAAAACTTACTCAGTTTGATGTGACCTTCAAGTGATAATAGAATATTGTCGGACTTGATGTCTCTATGGATGACACCCTTGGAATGCAAATGTTGTAAGCCTTGAAGAGTCTATAGATTGGCAATTAGCATTCCATGCGAGTTTAGTCCTTCGACAATAGCATGACAAACCTCTCTGCAGACTGCTGCAATTTGGCCCTCAGTCATAATATTGTAAGTAACGACATCTGTCAAGCTTCCTCCCTCCATATATTCCATCACAACCCACAAGTCTCCTTTGTGAAGGAAGCTATCCATGAAGTTTACAATGTTCTTATGTTTGCTATCCTTCATGACTAGAATTTCGTTGATAATCAGGTCCTTTTTAGGTTGCTGTTCCAGGTTCATTTGTTTGATAGCCACAGAGCGGTTTGATCCGACTTGGTAAGCTGTATACACGCCGCCAGAAGCTCCCTGGCCAATTTTATTTAAGCTGCGATAAAGCTTTGTGGGATCGGCGTTTGTACAAATAGCGTTCAAACGGGTCACGATATCGATGCTACTGCTAGGCTGCTTCCTGTTGTGACGTCGCTGTACCGGAACTGGTCCCACATTTCCTCCTTGAGTTTGGTGCTGGTTCTGAGAGTGACTATGGCTAAGTTTTTGCTGGGTTGAAGGTGCACGTTGGAGATGTTGAGATTCAATGTATTCCGCATGGGGTGATCCGTGTGCCTGAGACGGATGGTGTTGCTGGAAATGGGCTTGTGCGAAAACAGGCGACTTTGTTGTTTTTGCTGTGGCATAAGCACTACTTGATTGATGCCTGAATGGATCTACATTTCTGGGGGGTGATTCATCCCTGGGAATCCGGGGACTTTGATGTATTATGGGAGAGTTAGAGTTTGGCGCAGATACAAAGTCATATTCATCGTGAGGTTGGTATGTGTCCTGTTGTAATTGCTCAACTGGTGATTGCACATAAGTGATTTGTTGGAGCTGTTGAGGCGTCGGTGCTGGTGTTACTGGTGGCCTTGGCTGTACGCTATAGTGACCTACTTTACTAACTTCCCGGGGTGGGGAAGCAGGCGGTCGAGGCGCTGGACGATTGGGGACAATCGAGTTTGTTTCTCGTGGAAGCACGGGCGACATAGGCCCCGGGCCCCGAGATTTACTAGGGACTGGAGGGGGTGCTCGAGGGTTTTCAAAGCTGAACTCATGGTTCGAAGGAAATCGAGGACTTATAGGAGGACTCATCAAGGGTGGGCTGACCATCGTCGGGGTTTGCGCAGGGGTCGGGGATCCAACATGAGGAGGAAGCTGCTGTTGCTGTTGCTGTAGCTGTAGCTGCTGTTGTTGCTGCTGTAACTGCTGCTGCTGCAGCATCTCATTTTCCAGCTGTTGAGGAATCTTCTTCCAAACTCCATCATCACCTTTACCGCCCCTGACATCGCTGTAGAATGCGACAATATCCATAACAGCCTGGGGATTCTGCTCTTGCTCCTTTTTGGTTATTCCGCTTTCCTGTAATAATCGCTGCCATTCTTTGGGTAATCCCTGTACAAATAGGAAGCTGTGAGTCCGGTATCCATATATACCAACAGAGGTAAAGGGCAAGATGGGAGACTAGTGGTTTGCATACGGTAAACTCTCCCGTGACGAAATTGAACCCCACGTGGGTGACATGAACTGGATTCGTGGGGTGTGAGATTTCTACTCTCTTCGACCCAAGCATACTGTTCATGAACTTTGAAAACCCTAGCTTTGTTTTCGCACTCGGTAGTGGCTTCACCTCATCCGAATTCCTCTTGGGGCTCATTGTGCCGGAGCTAGTGTAAGCTTTCGGTGGGCTTGGCGGACCGCCTTTCTCACCCATGGTAAAGCTGGTTGACTGCCGTAGCTGAGGCCGTGATGTAGTTGTGGTCATTTCTGTGTTGGCGTGCAAAAGCAGAGGTGGTGCAGGCGCTCGTTGTATGGTATTCCGTTTGTTTGACTCTAGGGACGAACCTCCAGATGTTGATTCTTCGGACAGTCTTCCAGATACTGGGCGCGAGCCTATCCCAAAAGAATTAAAGTACTGAGTCGGCGTGTCGCTTAGATGTCGAAACCCTTCTTGTTGAAGTAGAGGGGAGGAGTTTTGGGTTTGCTCTAGAGAGGAGTTGGAAGAGGAGAAGGCTTGAGGGTTGGGAGAGGTGGGTGTCCGGTGATGTGATTTTCCATGTGTAGATCTAGGGAATATTGGTGCGGACGGGGTCCTCTGGATCGAGCCCGAGGACCAAGACTTCACGGAGGAACTCCCTTGTGATACAGATTGCGGCAACGTTCCAGTTTTGACGGGAGGGTTTTTCGTGAGACGTCGACCGTGAGGTTTGTCCCCCGACGAGTGGGATGAGGCGCTTGCCGAGTGCATGGCTAGTCCGAATTACAGGGCCAACGAGAGCTCAGAACAACCCCAGTGGACGATATTACGGGGTTTTTCTTGACTGATAGACCTAGCTAGATGCTTGTATGAATTGTGAGGGGATTTGGAGGGGGGGTTTGCAACGGAATAAATTGCGAGTGGGCAGGCAAAGAGAAGTGAGTGAGCGAGGGCCCGGGAGGGGAGAGCCTTGGGCAACAAACAGCAACAACAGGGTGCGCTGGAAGGGAGCCCGTATGTATGTAATAGGTAGATGGCAATGTATGGATGGATATGGCTAGGTGAGCATATGTAGTAGCATGTAGTTGGATGGTGGTTGTAGTGGTGGGGGTGGGAAGCAGTAAGTAAGAGGACGAAGCCGAGAATTGAGTATGGGAATTGATTGATTTCTTGACCTGGAGGGCGGGTTATTCACTGAGACCCTTAAAGTCAACTAGTTGGACTTGGATTAGGAGTTTCCTTCAACTCTTGGGCGCGAGTTTTGGCTGAACTGGGATCAATGCGATCGAGAAATTGGAGGATCGCGGCTTCTCTCTTCTCGCGACAGAGTCGGACAAATTTTTTTGTTTTGGCGGACTGTTTGGGAGATGAAGGATCTATGAAATACGACTGCCGAATCCCTTAATCCCTTTCTTATTTCTACTTCTTATTTCTGACTTCTCATTTCCTAATAATAAATTGTAGATACATGTAGAGCACTCGATCTGAATAACGTTGTTTTTAATTACTATTTATTATGTGTTCCCTCGACCCTTACTCCACCACACACTCTCTCAATCCCTCCCTCCCCCATTCCCCTCTTCTCGCTCAGTATCTGCTCTCTCAATCCTTTCCTGGTGGTTGTCCAGACCCTTCACAGCTTACTTGACCTATTGCAGTACAAACAACAAGACTTTGACAAGTCAGTGTCGCATGTAGGACGAGTTCGATACTCTGAAACCCAGCTAAAATCAAGCACATGTATGTACAGAAGCTCTTTATAGGTAATGTGGCACAATTGCAGATAAAAAATGTCAATTCAACGTGTGCAATCCTGGGCTGGATTATTCTATTAAATGCCGTGATGTGTTTGTTCAGAAATAATCGTCGCTGCAGGACAATGGGAAAGGCAGGGGACTGCAGATGGAAAGAAGGCCCAGAGCTTGAAGACCACCGCGGATGGTAGAGAGAGCTTTACTATCGAGTTGAAACAAACGGGAAGACGGACGACAAAAACCTGCAAAACTCCGTTTTGCACTTTTCGCAGGTTACATACATAAGATCCGCAAAGCTCTCTCTCCCTCTCTCATCCTTCTTTTCCTATTCTTTCCTCCTTCATCTCAGATTGAATTCTAGCAACTAAAAGCCACCAAGTAACTCCCAATTGACCTTCCTGTTGCGTGTTATATTTGAGTAAGTAACTGCACCGAGAGTTCTTCTTACTACCCGCCACCACTGCTGCTATTTACCACTCTGGAGAAAGTGCCGAAATATCAGTGGCATTTCGTTCAACAACTCCTTCTTTCGTTTTTACAGTCTTATGCCTTGTTTGCTATGTGGCGCAACATTATCTGATAGGGGACGTGAAGCACGCTGTCGCTGTCGTCCCAAGCACACGTGGGCGACGTGATTGAGAGCTGAACGAACGGAACACCTTTAAAACTTGAGAGACATCCTTTGACCAGCAAACACGCCAAGTCTCTCACAGCATACAGTAGGTAAACCCTACATGTAGGTACTTGTACAAACTTAGAACAGCAGAACAACCGAACATTCTTTGGAATATCCCGGTTGTCTGGGATGGGGAAGCAAAGCGTACCAACTTCCAACCTTCTAGCATGCCAAAACCCATGTCGCTACATGGGTGTATATTCACTGATACCTACTGTACCCACCCCCATTTTAAAGCATCCGTGCCTACATATCCGGATTATCAGTCTTTCATAGGCAGTGAGCAGTCGAGAGGTGCTAGGGCTACAATTATAGACACCCCTCACATCACCATAATAACTGAAAAGGATGGATGAGGAGGAGGGAGAGGAGGAGGAGGAGGATAGAGAGGAGGAGAGCCCCGCACCTTCATTTCGTTTATCGGGGTTGCCTCGCTCTTTATCGACGTCGCCTTCGCTTGACGCCGGTCTTGTGCAATGAGCTTATTCCTGCTTGTGACCATGCTGGGCTTCTTTTACTGGCGGGGAGAGGCAGCGCTCCAGTTGGCTTGAATGTAGGTACTAGAGGCACATACATACGCCTACAATCAGTGTCCCGCAGTGGAAAGGGAACCTTCTGTGTGCAGTTGTGCAGTTTTCAGTTGTGCAGTTACGGTTATGGGTTGCGTGACAGCGCGTACCGATACTGTGGCTAATACCCGTAGTGATGGTAACAGGACGCGCCGGACACGCGTCGTTCCTTCGAAAATCCTTCCTTATCCGACTGCCATAATTCACCGATTTGAATCGATGACAGCTGAGCCCTCCCACTATCCTACTATCGCTGAAGTCTCCGATAAATTCCGTCCAGCGGCCCGTTATATTCCCGAATCCTATTTATTCCCTCTTGGCAACATGCACCTATATTAACGTCACGTCACGCTTCTACTCTAAGCTACGGAAAGAATATATATATTTACTCCAGCAACTTCTAAGACGCAGCACACGAGTTGACCGACTGACCGATAATGTGGTTCCTGTTGCAGCCCTTGGAGCCGTGGTTTTACCACACATGCAAGCTTGGGGCTCCAAATTCAAATCACAGGATATCACTCGAACATAAAACAGATCACCAACTAAAGCAATGCAAACGTTCACTTCATTCTGGGTTCTGATAGGGTTCTGATAGGGAAGGAGTGTTCAAGCGATGTGTCCAAAGTGTGTGCATGAACCCTGTCCGTTTGTTGGATTGTCAAGATTTTGCTGGTTCTAACACCCACTGTCAGTCTCTTCCAGATGCCACAATCATCATTGCAGGGATAAACGAACGCACTGGATACTTGATTTATTTATTACCAATATTAATGGAAAGGGCAACTCATAACCTTAAAAACCCTCTCTGGAGGCATTGAATGCCATCGGATTACCTAGATCGGCTATTGGTGCTGTGAAAAGTGCCTCGGACCTCGACTACACAGCTCTAAAGCACGGAATATATTTCCGACAAACGCTCTGTGCATTTTATCGTTTTTTTTTCGTCGTCGAAATCTTTGTTCTGATTGCACACCAAACAACCCCTGTGTATTACTACGCCACGGCCAGACTCGGTCTTGGCAGGGTGGGGGAGGCTGAATTTCGCGGTTGGTGGGGTTTCTCGATACGGGCTCTTTTGGTTCTTAGACATCAAAGGACGCCTGAACACATACATTGGCGAAACAAGAAAACCATGGGTATGGGGATACTGTGGGTAGTAAACACCAGAGCGTCCAATGGCTGCTTTGGTTTTATTGCTGGCATGAAAAACGTAGCGAGTCATCACGATAGAGGATCCGGGTCACTTACTGTTTTTATGCATTGGAGATGTTGGTTTTTTTGTCTTCACTATAATGAATGTGTGTGGGCTCACAGGCAAAGTTCTTGCCGATTTAAAACAAGGAGATAGTTTCTTATACCTCACAGAACAGTTTAAAGTAAGGGTTATAAACCAACAGGTTGGTCGTCTGAGGGTGATATTTTTGTCTTGAATTGTGGTGGCTAATAATTGGGCTATACTTACGGAGTCTAGCAGTTTTCCCCCTATACAGGACTTTTTTTTGAGCTTCTTCTTTCGTACATCAATATATTGATAGAAGCTTAGCCGTTTCATGAATTATTGGCCGCATACTAAGTTGCCAATCAATACGATACTAGTAGTGGGGATAAATGCAACTAGTTATTAGTATCATGTCTGGGAACAGAGATATCTTTGCTACACCCCATCCTCGCGTTGTAAACCATTGAGAGGGACACTTATAATACCCTCGTCTACAAATGTTTTCGAACGGGTTAAAGACATTCTTAGCCAAAAGATTCCAAAGCTTAATAGTTCATTTATTATTTTCAGACCAGAGGCTCTATGACAAGATTTCGAATTTTAACTAACTAGAAACGAAAGTCGTCACACCAAAACCGTTCCATGAGAGAAAGTCGACAATATTTTCGTGAATTGCAGCGCTGATATAATACGTCACGCTTTCCGGCCCCGCATCATAAATATTAACCCTTTAGATAACAGCTGAAACACGAATCCAAGCATTCTTATCAAATGGACTTTATATATTTAAATAAGGTAGCCCCACCTATCCGCACGGCCCTTTCGTCTATCACGGACTTCATCTGTTCCGAGTAGAAAATTATAGAGAGTGTAATCATACACCCACGATTAAAGGACTACAATGTGTAAATACATCTATTTAATAGAGACCCTCTGTGAGCTAGCTATGCTAGCTTATGTATCAATCAATGATATCCCCGTACATAAGTGTTGTCCAATACATCATTCATCGTATGCCCAATGGTGTACCCGTAATAGCCAAAACCCGAACCGACACAAATTTTTGTTTGCTCGACCTCTTCATTTTAGATCACAGTAGAAGTACATGTACTCTAGTGAGAAACCACGCTAGAATCCGCAACGGACCGGACCGCCAGTGGAAGAAGCTTTGCCTGGCGAGGCAAAGTTCATGACGGATAGATACAGGGTTAGGTGAACCCTTTTTTTTTCTCCCTCTCTCTCCACATGACGCTCTACCCTTCTAGGCAAAGTTGGCTTCCATAGCAGCTAACCTAACCTCATGTGCAGTACCGGTATTTTAGAGTAGAGTAGAGAGTACAGTGTGAGTCTACTCGACGATGCGCAAATAGGTGATCTGATACTTGCATGTGTGTGTGGATATTTATACATGTATGTATGTAGTTACTCCGCGGTGTATCTGTTTTTTTATATGATGTTTCACGGTCTCGATTAGAGTTTTTCCCCTCATGAGAGGTTTGCTTCTTAGCAGTCCCTGTGCAGCATGTGTGAAACAAGCGAGCATCATCCGACTTCTAGCTTACGGGGATTTTTCATTTCGTTTCTCTGCGTCAAACTAGTCTCTAGCGACTCGACTATTAGCAATAGCGAGTGTCTGGACCGCACTTGGTGCCGGCCCCCCCGGGGGGGGGGGGGGGGTTGTTGCGGCGTTGGTTAGAGTCGGTAGAGTACAATGATCTCAGGCAAGGATCCCATCCATTACCTAAAAAGCCACTCCCTTTGAAACACCGTTTTTTTTTTTTCTTTCCCAAATACCAGATGAAGCCTCCGGTGTGATGGGGGCAATCTATGTGAGAACAGCATCTCTCCACCAGGATGCAGGGGCAATGGGGGGAGGGAAGTATTGTATGTTGAACGTAGACCTTCGCATGCACCACTCTCCCATCCCCCCCCCCCCCATATCGGCCAGACCAGGGGCTTGGCTGGCCATCACATCGAATCACTCGACCAGATCTTTCGAGATCGGGCCTGACCTGACCGGACTGCACCAAATGCACTTACCGGAGGGAGATCCCCCCTCCACAATGAGACACTTTTCGGAAATAAGCTTTTTTTTCTTTCCTGTCCGTCCCTTCCTCTTCCTCCCCCGCGCCCCGCAAACCACGCGAACATACATCCACGTGACCTCTAATCTCCAGGGTCCAAACACGCCGGGGATGGGAGCCTCGGTGTGGCGAAACTTGGCGCCCGACAGCAGCCACACTTCTCATCCATCTCTCTCACTCTCTTGCTCCCGACCGACCCAACGACCCAACCAACGTCAGCACTTACCTTTTCCTTGAAATATTTCCCGATCTTCCGCTCCCACTCCTATAGCTCTTCCCTTCCCTCTCTTCTCCTCCCCCGCCACGGAAGAAAAAAAAAAAACAACGACGACGATAACAATCATGTCTGAAGCTTACGAACGAGAAAGGTTGACCTGACCCCTCTAGCTGTCCATTGTAACTGCCGTCGGCTAACCTCGCAAAAAAAAAAAAAAGGCAAAACAACGCCCGCCTGGACGAACTAGCCTCCAAAGTCACCTCCCTGCGCGACGTCACAATAAACATCTACGACAACGCCCGCGACCAGCACATTATCGATGACTCTGTACGCCTCCCTCCCCTTGCTTCCCCGGCAAACAGAGCAAGACTAACGGGAATGGGGGTGCTATAGAGCGATCTATTCGACAACTTCAGCTCCAGCCTAAAGCAGTCGACAGCGCGCATCACGCGCATGGCCTCCAGCGGGACAAAGTCGCAGACGCTGAAGATGGCGGCGGTCGCCACGGGGACGATAGTGATGCTGTATCTGGTCTGGGGCTGGTTCTTCTGAACGGAGCGCACGCAATATGGCGGGGGAGAGAGTGAATGGGATATATAGGGCGGGGAAGCTTAAAGGAGATAGCTACTGTGATGTAGTGATGGGCATAAAGATAAAGGGCCCATAAGGTGGGGGACTTCGGGGCTTCGGGGCTTCGGGGATCGGCCGGGGGGAAGGAGGTACTACATGTATGCACGGCCGCTAGCTAGCTGGGAATCTTTGTGGCAGGGTAATCTCGGGTGTCTTGAGAAAGACTCTTGAGCAGAGTAGGTCCTCCCGGCCTCTAAATTGGGTGGGGTGATGATGTGTGTAGCTGCACATTGGGTGTTTTTAAATTTCGGAGTCCGTCAGTTTTTAGTTTTTTTCTTCTTTTCTGCTCGGTCATAATAAAGTATATTTTATGTATTTGTCAAAGGCCCTACTGGTCTTCTTGTACATTTGATTCTCACTTGCTATCAATTTCACACCATCTGTCACTCGGTCTTTTAAAGTGTGGCTGGGGCGGTTTTACCACTTTTACTTTTCCCAGATCAAAACCTTATTAAAGCTGTAATATTCGCCCCCACCTTTTGGAAACGTATATATATTTATGGGCTTCACTTCTGAATATTTTATCATCGACCCACTTCAGCAAAAAACCACAAACAACTATGCCTCGGTTGCTTTTTTGTTCTAGATATCACAACTTCACACTTACGCTCCACATGCATTTCCAATTGGAAAAAAGAAGAACCCCACATTATACACAACCTCCAAGTCCCGCTTACCTCTGCGCACCCCTTCCACCACCGATATCTACCCAGCCCAATTCATTAGCACCTTCCTCTCACCCATAAAAGAGCCTATCCAAAAAGAAAAGAAAAGAAAAAAACCCACCTTGTCCCAACCTGTAGCTGCCAATCTTGTCCCAGTCAATCTTCTGCCTCGTGATCGGCAGCTGCCTCCTCAAGCTCTTAAACGCGCCCTCACTCAGCGCGCCAAACGCGCGGTTCAGGTCCTCCTGGTACTTCTTCTCAATCCCGGCGATCGTCTTGACAATCTCGGCGGCGGAGCCGGAGCTCAGTGAGACCTGCACGGGCTTGTTGGTGAGGAGACGCACGTTGCCGTCCTCGTAGTAGTGCACGTCGACCTGGATGTTCCCGGTGAGGCTGTTGTCGGCCGGGTTGAAGACGTAGGTGCTGCGCCAGCGGCCGTTCCAGTAGTTGGAGGGGCTGTACTTGTTGCCGACGATGACGAGGGCGATGCTTGAGTCGTCGGAGCAGGGGTTGACGCTGAAGGCGGGGAGGGAGGGGTAGTGTTCTTTGACGTGGGGCTCGACCTCGCGGAGGATGGACTTTCTGCGGGGGATGTTAACTCCTCTATCCTTGTTACTTCTTGTGGCTGAAGGAGTGCTACATCAAATCGGCATTCAGGGACTCCAGAACATAAGACTGCACATTCAAAGCTTTCTACACCCCAACCCATCCACACCCTATTAGCACAACCCTCCAACCCTCCAATTCTCCAACTCCCTAACCCCCCCTCCATCTCACCCCCCTCATCTCGTCCCCCCCCCCCCGGGGAAATCATGTCCATACCTGCTTCACATGGTCAAACTCAAACGAGTTCTGAGAGCCCACATCGAAATACCGGCCGTCCGGCAGCTCATTGTACTCGCTGACGATAACCTATCACACCCACCACCCAACTCACTCGTCAGTCTCTGAAATTCCCATTCACAACCCACACACACAAATCCACACCCCCAGATGATGCAAAACTAACCTGCTGGCTACCACCAGGAAGCTTCGTGCACAGCAGCTGCTCCTTGTTGTAGCGCTCCACGGCCGGCGGGATGGCGTCGAGCACGTCCTTGTCGTCGCCGACGAGGGCTTTGATGTCTGCTGCTTGTTAGTTGTCTGTGTTCTGGTTGATGCTGGGAGGGGAGGTACCGGTGATTACGTCTTGGAGCTAGAGATGGGGATGGGGGTGTTAGCTAGCTATCTCTATCTGTATAAGATGGGATGGGTTGTGTGGGGAGGAGGAGGAGAGGGGGAACACACCTCGCCGGGGGGAGCATCGAGGATGAAGTTTGAGGTGGTCTCAATTGTCTCTGCGTCTGGCATTGTATTTCTTGATGGGGTGTTTTTTGTTTTTTTGTGAGAGGTTGTAGGATAGTGGGGATGATGGCGGATGGGGGGAGCTGTGGTGGTTTGTGGGAGGGGGACGAGAGGTAACTGTCGAGTGAGAGCCAGCCCCACTACGCATGCATGGGATGCTTGGCAACAACACAGCAGCAACAGGGGTTGTTTGGTAGAGCTCTGGAGTAAGCTAAGGTAAGGGTTTGTTTCTAGCTGCTAAGTGAGGCTAATGATAATAATACGTTTTATGTGAGGTCCCCCCGCCATGCTAACACCCAGATGCGCCCCGTAGTAAATAATAGTTTTTACAATCGTATGCAAAAAACTGCAAATAAAGGAAAAAAAGAAGCAAAAACTCCACCCCATATCAGTATCATATGTATATAACTAGGCCCAAAGCAAGCTCCATACACCCCCCCCTCCCCATTGCTCTCCAGCAACACAACCCGCCCTACAACGCCAATACAGCACCATACAAGTACCCAAAGACTTGGGACTTAAGACCAGCCGTCATGCCACTGCCACCAATATCAATATCCATGTCCCCCCCCCCCCCCCCCCACCGTTACTGTGTCTCAAAACTCAAATCCCCATACCCATAACTCGAAAACTGCGACAGCGGCGGCGGCATCGGGAACGTCTCCATCAACTCACTCGGCAGCAACTGGCTCGTCGCAATCGTAATATCCTCCTCGTCGTCCTCATCCGGGATACGGAACTTGTACTCCCCCTTCCTCTCCCTCCCCTTCGTTGTCTCGAGGAGGAGCTGCGTCGGCGTCGCCTCTCCATCACCGGGTTCGGGGAGGAATTGAGAAGGCACCTTATCATCCCCCTCATCCTCACCCTCCTCAACATCAGCATCATCCTTCAAGAGACTCTCCCCCTCCCCCAACTGCACAATCTCCGGCGCCACCCACTGCGACGGGTCTCCAGACACGGACACGGGATACCCCCTCCTCCTCTGCAGCGCCTCGGGCCCCCACTGCGGAGCCTGCGTGTTGGTGCCCCAGCAGCTCGACGGCAGCTGCTGCGTGCGGTACGGTTTATAGTGCGGTGCGTCTTCTTCGTCGGGATCGGGATCTTCCTCGCTGGCGGTGTCGTCGACTGCGTCTACTCCAGGGGGTGGTGGTGATTCGGCGGGTGCGTTGCCGTCGGGGGTGTTGTCGCGGAAGCGGTGCGGCGGGGGATACGTCATGCTGTGGAAGGAGCCCTGCGACTCTTCTTGGGCTGCGGCGGCGGTGCGGGTGGGGTCTTGTGACTCGGGGGCTTGCTGTGATTCGAAGCCTTCAGTGTCCGGCTCGTTGTAGGTGAGGTCGACGCGGGAGGTCTCGGTCTCTGTCTCTGTCTCCTGCTCATTCCCGGGCTTGACTGCGGGCTTCTGTGACTCGGGGAGGAGCACGGTGGCGATGCTGTCTTGCGTCTCGGTGTCGGTGTCGGTGTCGGTGTCGGTGTCGGTGCTGGCCCGGTGCTGGGTCTGTGTGGCCTGCGTGGACAGTGGGGCGTCTTCTTCGACTTCCCACCATTGGCTGCTGTTGATGGTCTTGTCTCTGTTGACCGGTGCTGCTGTGTCTGGGGCTGGGATTGCAGCTTCCGGGGGTGGCTCCTTCTCCCCCGCAGGTTCCTGGGGCTTCGTAGTATCATCCTCTTCCTCCTCCCTTGGCCGCTTCGGTCCCGTCGCAAACAACCTCCTCCCCGTCCTCCCACCCATCAACCCACACCCCCCCCCCTCCGCCGCCGCCCCTATATCCACACCCTTCAGCGGCGACCTCCCCCCTCGCCTCCCCGTCGGCGAAAACATCTGCTGCACCTGCATCCCCGGCTGGTGCTGACTCGGCGAAAACGGCGAAAACGGCGTCACCGGCGGCGACTTTGAGTCTGGGATCTCCAGCACCTTGCGTCTTTTCGGCGTCACGGGCGGCGGCGGCATTGCAGCCCGTGAGCTCACTGACGCCTGGGACCCTACCCCGCCCACCACGTCGTCGTCGTCGGCGGAGGGGAGGGGTGGCGGCGAGGATAGTGGGCTGGAGTATGCATCGTCGTTGTTGGTGGTGGTGTTGTAGAACCCCGGCGACTGCGTGCTCTGGCCAAACTGCGTCTCCGGCACCTCGACCTCCTCCCGCGGGAGTCGCCCCCGGCGCTTCGCCCTGTGCTGCTGCTGCGGTGGTGCGCGGGGAGTAGTGGTATCAGTGGTGTCGCCGGTGGCGGGGGCGGGGGAGTCTTTTGCGAAACCAAACGATGCAAGACCGACCTGCCGGAGCTGCTGCTGCTGCTGCTGATCGGCGGTGGGTGTGCGGGGCTTGTGGCGGCGCACGGATTTGACGCCCGCGGAGGCGCTGGCGAGGCGCGTTTGGGCGAGGGATTGGCGGTGCTGGCGGGCGCGGGTGCTGGCGGGGGTGGACACGGCGGTGGGGGCGGGTTTGGGTTTGGGTGTCTTGGTCATGGCTGGCGGGGGTGGTGTGCGGGAGGGAGGGCGGTAGTGCAGCAGAGGGTGTGTTCGGGAGAGAGCTGTTGGCTGTTGGCTGATCGGTAGCTGTGTGTCTGCTCGCTCGCCTTCTTCCCAATCCGCCCAGCAACCAACCCCGGTCCGTGCATGCATGCAGCCCCGGGGGGAAGGTTTCAGTGCAAAACACACACAAACTCCTTGAACCCGGCCGCAGATCGTGCCCAGTCAAGTTGGCCTTGGAGGCAGTACTGCTGCAGAAATAGAACATTGAATCAAAACCGGGGATCACACTGCACCTCTCGCCTGAGTGAGTGATGACCCGCCGCCATGTACTCTAGAGCCCGCACGGGCTATGCGTGACTCACGATTCACGAATAGGCACGACAGCACAGGATAACCTCCCCCGGCCGCGGTGCAGCAAGGGAGGACGGGACGGGCTGTTTGAAATCGGGCTACAGGAGGGTGGGGCCCGGGTGTGTTTGGGATCGGTGGGCCATGACCGGGTATCTGGATTTCGAGGCAGGGCGTGTGTGTGCGGGACGTGGTACAGCATGGTGGTATGTGCTCTATGTTGGGAGGGCGAGTGATGGATCGTGATGGTGGGATATCGATCAGTATCGGAGTTTGGGTTGGATGGCTTGGTGATGTGGGGGAGGAGAGGGGGAGTTTGTGTATTTTGATCGATCGTTTCCTGAGAAGATAGAGCCCCCCCTCTTCTTCTTCTTCTTCTTCTTTCGTGGAGTCCATCAGCAGTAGATAGCCTTTTTGGTAACAGATAAAAATCCCACCCGATGTTTATCTCAGCCATTCTTAGCACATTGCCCCCCACTCCTTAAGTTGCTCACGCTTATTCTACAATGCCTGGAAATGTGCAAATATACATGTATGTAGGTATTATTAGATAAGACTTAATAAATGTTAAGTATATACCCCCGATAACACCGCCGCCGCCAAGAGACAAAAAAGCACATTTCAATCATTGACCCCTGTTATATCGAATAGTAGAACATTTGCATCTGATGTCAATCCTAGTTATAGGGGTATTGGGTAGAAAAACCTATCCCCTGTGGAGCTTTAAATGAAAAAAAGTGGGGTCATGGGAGGGAATTGTGGAAGTAAGTGCAGCAGCCCTCTAGTGCTTGCTTCTGGGCACCATCAAAGCTTAAGTTGAATGACAACCTATGGTAAGATGGGAGTCTTTCCATGAGAGTAACGAAATACAAGATTTAACATGACGATTCTCTTATTTCCTTTTAGCGAGTGAGGGTAATCTCGCGTTGTTGCATGCGCAGTAACTCGACTTTGAATCACAGGATATCACTCATTGCTCAATATGGTCAACCACAAATCAACCTCGATTGATTGATTGATTGATTGATTGATTGATACTTCACTCGTGTATGCAACACGACAACTACATATATAGCAAAATCTAAGAACATACAACCTCTACTCTATAAAAACTCTAGTCAATATAATGCCCGACGAACCCACACGCCGCCACCAACATCGCACAACAACCCAACAACAAACTCTCCCTCTCCACCCGCCCCACCGCCCCCAACGCCGCCACCACCACCACATTCAGCGGAATCCGCAACACGCCATACACTCCCGCGCGCTGCGCATCGCCCACAATGCGGCCCTTCAGCACGCCCATCGCGGGGAAATACATGCCCACGCACGCCTCAAACACGCAGAACGCATAGAAGACCGCATACTCGCTCCGCGCATACACGGCCGTGTACAGCGCCGCCGCGGCCGCCGCAAACACCCACACGAGCAGCCGCGGGTGCCCGATCACCCGCCCGGCGAGCAGGTTGAAGAGGTACGAGCCGAGCATCATGGACGCCATGAAGTTGGCAAAGATGATGCCGTAGGGGAGTGTGTCGCCGCGGGGGTTGACGGCCTGCAGGGAGGGCGACCAGAGGAAGACGAAGATATACATGGAGGCCTCGAGACAGCAGGATGCGGCCACGAGGGCGAGGATGCGCTTGTCTGTGTATTGGTGGCTTGTGTGTGAGCTATTTCTTCCTGTGTCCTATAAAATCGGGAGCTGAGCTGTGTAAGAAGCATACCGTTGAAAACCACAGAGAGTGCATTCCTTGATACGGCACTCCCGGGGGTGCTTGATTTCGAACCATAATTCTCGTTCTATCCACTCCCATTAGCCCGCTGAAACTCCCACCCTCACCACCACCTTGTGATATCCAGAAAGGAGGAGGAAGCTCTAAACCCACCCAAGTCACCAACATAACCACAAACGCAACCGCCAGCAACACACACGCCGCCATAAACGGGCTCTCCCTCGTCCCCGTCACGCCCACCAGCCACTCACTCGACACTCCCGCCGCAATCGCCACCACCGAGTTCGCCGCCGTCAGCACGCCAAACAATCGGCTGAGCGCACCCCCATGGGCGAGCCCCCGGGAATGGAACTCTGTCACCATCCACGACTCGAAGCAGCTGTACAGGATGGACGTCGACACGCCGCCGAGCAGCCGGCCGCCATACAGCACCGCCGTGGACCGGTACAGCGTGGAGAGGCACGAGAGCGTGTAGGCAACGCAGTACGTGAGGCACATCAGCCGTCTCCCGAGTCTAGCATCTCCTTGTGAGTTGAGATAACTCATGATCACTCCACCAGATTATATAATTAAAAAAAAACCGACCTATCCGCCAAGCTGCCGACGAAATACGCGCTCACGGCGCCGGACAGAAATCCCGCTGTAAAGAAGCTGGCCACCGTCTCCTCCGAGAATCCCATCTGCTCGCGATATAAAGCATAGATGTGCGCCCCCTTCACAACATCACCAGAATCATTAGTTTGTGTGTTTTCAACGACGGAAGCTCAAGAATTTGGCCAGACCTGAAGCCAGTCCGCGCCCATCGTCAGGGCATAGACCACAAGATAAAGTCGTGCGAATTTCGATGTCGCATCCTTCAACGTGGCCACTACTCCAGCGTCAGAAGCGCCCACTACAATTCGATCTGAATCCTTGACGTCTTTCGAGCGCTGTTGGAAAAAGAGAAAGCTACACGCCACCCCCAGCGTTATGAAGTTAGTCGTATAAAATATCATTGGGAGTTTCTCTCTAAATAATTATAAAGAAGTATGCAAGTATGGTGGATGAGAGTCAAGTGACACTGCAATAATATATGCGATTTGATAAACTTAGCTCAAACCCTTGTAACTACACGTACTGATATGCAGTACTGCACAAATATAAAGTACCAGGGGGAACCAAAAGAAATTCAGTAGGGCATTCACAAGAATAATTAATCTAGGTAACAGCCTAAACAGAAGATTCTTGTATACTTATTCTGCCATTATGAACGCGAGAATTTGTTGTGGGCAAAGAGCAATTTTTCAATGACATTACTGTAGTACAAAGCGCTAGACACGATAGATTCTGTTGACCCTCATGTAATTCACCGAATGCACATGGAAAAAAAAAAAAAACCTTGAAAGAGAAAAAATGAATAAACCACGCTTTTTTGTACATGGAGGATCACAAACAACGCCTGGCATTTCTAAATCCAAACATGATATGCGTTTACAACTCGTCATGAGTGCTTGGTTCTTCATCACCAGCACCACCAGCACCAGCATACACTATTAGAAAGAAAAAAAACGTTAGTTAACCAATTCCGCAAATAAACTTAACTTTGGAGACAGAATATAACTTACTCTTGCTAGTGATGGGGTAGGCGACCTGGCTGAGCTTCTCCTTCTGCTCATCAAAGTCTTCTGTGGTGGCGGTGGCAGCGTTCTCCTCAAGCCACTCAGTGGTCTCCTTAACGGCAGACAAAAGAGTCTCCTTGTCGTCCTCGTCAAGCTTGCCACCGAGACCCTCGTCATCGTTGACCTGGTTCTTCAAAGAGAAAGCGTAGTTCTCGAGACCATTCCTGGCCTCAATTCTCTCTCTGTTGGCCTTGTCCTCGTCGGCGAATTTCTCGGCTTCGGCAACCATGCGGTCAATCTCTTCTTGGCTCAATCGGCCGCGTTCGTTGGTAATGGTGATGCTCTCAGCCTTTCCGGTGGCCTTGTCAGAAGCTGAAACCTTGAGGATACCATTGGCATCGAGTTCGAAAGAGACCTCGATTTGAGGAACACCACGGGGAGCCGGGGGAATTCCAGTGAGCTCAAACTTGCCCAAAAGGTTGTTGTCCTTGGTCATAGAACGTTCACCCTCAAAGACCTGGATCAAGACTACGGGCTGGTTATCGGCAGCAGTGGAGAAGATCTGAGACTTGCGAGTAGGAATAATAGTGTTGCGAGTGATGAGCTTGGTCATGACACCACCGGTGGTTTCGATACCAAGAGTCAATGGGTTGACATCCATAAGAACGATCTCATCGGTTCCCTCCTCTCCAGACAAGACACCTCCCTGAACAGCGGCACCATAGGCAACGGCCTCATCAGGGTTGATACCCTTGGAGGCTTGCTTTCCAAAGTACTCCTCCAAGAGGGCCTGAACCTTGGGAATACGGGTAGATCCACCAACAAGGACGATGTCATCAACTTCACCCTTCTTGACCTTGGCGTCCTTGAGGACCTGCTCAACAGGCTTGAGAGTCTTCTTGAACAAATCGAGATTGAGCTCTTCGAACTTAGCCCGGGTAAGGGTCTCAGAGAAGTCCTTGCCTTCATGGAAAGCTTCGATTTCAACGCGGACAGACATCTGGGAAGAAAGAGTACGCTTGGCCTTCTCAACCTCACGCTTCAGCTTACCCATAGTCTTGAGGTCCTTGGTGATCTCAACACCGTGCTTCTTGTTGTAAATCTTGGTAAAGTGCTGAATCACACGGTGGTCGAAATCCTCTCCTCCGAGATGGGTATCACCAGCGGTAGCCAAGACCTCGAAAACACCCTGATCGATAGACAAGAGGGAAACATCGAAGGTACCACCACCAAGATCGTAGACAATGATTTGACGCTCACCACCTTGCTTATCAAGTCCATAGGCGATGGCGGCAGCGGTGGGCTCGTTAACGACACGAAGAACGTTAAGACCGGCGATAGCGCCTGCATCCTTGGTGGCTTGACGCTGGGCGTCGTTGAAGTAAGCCGGGACAGTGACGACGGCGTGAGTGACAGTCTTCATGAGGTATCCCTCAGCAATCTCCTTCATCTTTCCAAGGATCATGGCTGAGATTTCTTCAGGAGTGAAGATTCTCTCGGCTCCATTAACTTTGACCTCAACGACAGGGTTTCCATTCTTGTTGATGACATTGAAGGGGAAGTGCTTGATGTCAGTCTGAACATCCTTGTCATTGAACCTTCGTCCAATAAGACGCCTAGAAAACGATATTAGCTTCAATGGTAAATGATTTGAGTTCTAGAGAGCAACATACTTGACATCAAATATGGTGTTGGTGGGGTTGGCCGCATATTGGTTCTTAGCGGCGTCACCAACCAAACGTTCATCATCGGTGAAGGCGACATATGATGGAGTGATACGGTTTCCCTGATCGTTTACCAAAATCTCGACACGCCCAGACTTCATTACACCAACACAACTAATTACCAGATAGTAAAGTTAGATCAAGTTCCTCTCCGAAAGATTTCATACAGATCTGTACTTACGAGTAAGTAGTTCCCAAATCAATACCAATGACGGTACCATAGTTCTCAGCTTCACTGTCTGAGGCTGCCGATGCTGGTGACAAGAATAGAAGAGGTGCGAGGAAAATGAAAAAAAGGTAGAGGACCGTGGTCCATGCTACCGATTTGCCCTTATTGTCGATCATTGGGGCGACGACCGTTTTATAGAGAACGTAGGTTGTGGAATTACAAACCAATCAAGGTTGTTTATAGATCTGAAGGAAAATTTATCTAGTGTTGTGTAGAAAGCGTGATGGTTGAGGAAAGGAATTGTGCGGGGTGGAAGAGAAGATGGATTCCTTTATAACAGTTCTGGGAGAAAAAGCCACCTTTCGCAGTTGAGGACACTTTTCAAACTTCCAGGTTCCTCGAGCTTTGTGCCTACGGCGGTTTCCTAAGCTTAGTCACACACATACCCTGCCGCAGCCGCCCCCCCAGGATCTGCGCCAAGTCAGGGGAAAGAACACGGTGGTAACTTAGGGCTAGAGGTGCAGCCATGCTGCTGCATAGTGGCATTGCACACACCTTAACTGAACACACGAGCTGCCGAAGTTTCTAGTCCTCGTTTATGCTTCTTTTTTTTTTCTTTTGAGGAAGAGGGGCGCAATTGAGCCACCGCGAGATGACTGTCTACACTCCCACGAAGAACCCGGCAATTAGACTTGCCTTCGCCTTCGACTTGCATTAAAATCTAGGAGTTAAGAACCAGTAGAGTAGATACATTTGTTCTTAGTATATGTATCTACCTACATGTAGTACTTATATGTAGATACACCGGTACTACTATTGGGTACTTCTGTAGTGCTATTTGTAAAAGGCTTGTGGCTAGTGCCTGCAAAGAAATCGGTGCCACAATAAAGAAACTACACTGATTGGATAAAAGGCTTCAGGCATCATCTAAGACTAAGACCAGGTCGGTGGTAACGGTCTGTAGGTACATAAGAGTTTACTATATCGATACCTTGGGTGAAACCAAGGCCTGAGCCGCCAACCACTTCAACCCCGGCCGGCCTGCAGGATGTCTCCGTGTAGATGTGGATGTGTTATGATGAAGGATGTCATATATGCACTTTCAGAAATATAGGGTGTTTCAGTATCTAGTACTAGACTCATTAATTACACCCAGTTTCAACGTGAGTGAGTAAAGGTTTAATGTACCCTTTAGATATGAGGGTTGAGTATCTTCTACTATAATCACCACTTGTTAGTTCAAGAAGGCCCCACAACGGCCGAACACACCGGACAATAGGCTGTTAATACATGTATGTAGAGTAGGACTGTGTGGATACTAGAGGGTACCTACATGTACATACATGCATGTAACCCTCAGATATGAGAAATATATTAAACCCAAGGGTATTTTACACCCACTTCTTATTAGGGCCCGTTCGGTTGCGCCCAAACATCGTGCTATTTGACCTAAAAAGGAATATTCGTTACTAGATATGTTAAGACCCTCTTCCTATTAGGCCAAATATCACGATATTTGGGTGCAACCGAACGGGCCCTAAGTGCAGATTGAACCTTTGCTCTTATTATTTATTTGTCATCTATTGCCACTCGATATCGAGTCATAAGAAATGGGCATCGTCAATCGATGACTGTACAAAGTATATGGTATCCAACTGAAGGGACAACTTGGTGAATTTTCTTCAGCAGTATTATCCTAAATGCGTGAAAAAATTAATTAGGCGACGTGGCTGTCCAACTAGTCTACTATTCAACAATTCCGGCGGCAACAGTTTGTCCACCGCTTCGCAATACCACCCTGTAGCCCGCCTCCAATGGGATAGGGTTACCCATAAGCTCTACCTTTACAGTCGCCAGTGACCCAGCGGTGATATGCCTTGGCTTTTTCTTTAGAACAACACCAGTTGCTTTATCTAGCGTTGAGAGAAGATAAACAACTTTTCCTGGCGCGTGAAGCCGTCCCCTGTGAACATCAACCATCATGGGTGTAAGTCCTTCGAAGGCAAGTATTTTTATCGTGAATGAACTTTGGGGAGTAACACGATTTGTTGGATCGCAGAGAATATCACCCTCCCTGTGAAACCCGTCATCATATGTTCATACAAGCACTTAAATGTATTGTGGTTATACCTTAAATGTACCATATCGATATTTGATAGGTGAATAACAACATTGTGACCAGCAACCGCCCAATCAGTGGGTTCTTCATCAACTTCGATTGCCTTGATAATTCCACTTTCACCACTAGGTATGGCAATGATGTTATCCCCAACCTGAAGACTCCCGGCCTCTATTCGGCCAGAAATAGAGACTGGGTTCATAATTCCACCTTTGAAAACATCCGAGATTGTAAGTCGTAATGGCTTTTCAATTGCGCGTGTTAGGGGTTTCGTTTTTTCTATGCGTACCAAAATGATAAAATTAGCGTGATGGTTAGATAGGTATAGTTAAGCGTGGATACTCTACCAAGTTCTTCTACTAATGTTGGCCCGGAGTACCAAGGAATGAGGCCAGATTTCGGCTTCTTCACGATATTTCCACCTGTCAATCCGCTACAAGGTATGAAGCTGATATTTTTTGAGGCAAACCCAGCTTGTGTAAGGAATTGGGTCATCTGCTGCTCGATCTCTTCGAATCGCTCATGAGACCATTCTACCGAGTCAAGTTTATTTACGGCTACGATTATCCGTTGAACACCCATACTTCTGACGAGTAGTGTATGCTCCTTGGTTTGCCCCCTCAAATGGAACCCAGCTTCAAAGGCCCCAGTTGAAGAATCAATAACAAGCACTGCAAAGTCGGCTTGGGATGCACCAGCAATCATGTTTGGGATAAAATCGCGATGACCCGGGGCATCTAAGATCGTAAACCGAGCCTTTTCAGTCTCAAATTTGTTCACGGCAATATCCATTGTAACCCCCCTGGCAGGAAGCCAAAGTTAGCGTTCAATATATTTCAGGACATAGAGCTACGATACCTGCTTCGTTCCTCTTCTGTTTGGTCCAGCACCCAAGCGAGTGCAAAGGATGATTTCCCTATCTTCTCTGCCTCCTGTTTAAACCTTTCAACTGTTCGTTGATCCACTACACCAGTGTCTAAAAGGAGTCTCCCCATGAGAGTACTCTTCCCAGCATCGACATGCCCTATGATACGATAAACATAAGTCATTTCGTTCTCGAGTTCCATGGGCGGAGGTCACAGACCTATCACTACAAAGTTTGCGTTTTCTTTCGCCGTTGAATTTTTATATTCTTGAAGAACATCGATCTTTTTTCGCTGCTTCACAGGTGCATTGTCAATATTAATTGCTTGTATGGCTGCTTCAACTTTCTTCAGCGCTTTGGCATCTGCCAAGGCTTTTGGGTCATTCTTAGAAGCGGCCTTTCCATTCAAGCCTAGGAGTAATATCTATGTTAGACTCTAACCTTGAATTATATTTGCTCAATTTTCAGGACAGAATTTACTACCTTTACTAGAACTTTGGGCCGCAACAACTACGTCATCCGGACTTGGTCCAGAGAATGCACTCGTAGGAGCTCCTGGTAACGAGAACATACATCTGTCAGTGACCTCAATTTCATACACTGATGCAAGCCTATCTCCAAACATGGACAGCGCAAATTTTGATGGCTCAGCTCTTAGATCTAAAGCAGGAACAGAACCCTCTTGTTCCTGGGCAGGGAAAGACCGCTCTTCTGGCTCTTTTCTTGCCGATTGGTCAAGGCTCTGGCTAGGCTGATTATGTATGGGGCTCGGTGTGAGCAGCGGCGGAGCTCTGATGTTTGGGTTTTCGGGAAAGTTCGTTGATTGAACATCAGTATCCGCTGTTACTACAGAAGATGGCGCTTGAGCAGGTGAAGGTGGTTGTTTTGCTGAGAGACGTGACAGCATAGATACCGCGGTGCTTTTTTCTCCTTCAGAGGATGTCTGCTGAAGAAGAAGCTTTTTTTGAGCATCTGCCTTTTCCTTTCTAGCCTTTGCCAATGCTGCAAGTTTCGAGGTCTTTCCCCCGGCTGGTCCACCCGAGCCTCCGAGGAGTCCGCCAAAAGGGTGCACAGGTTGGACAAAGATATACCCCTTACGATCTTCCGGAATCATCCCCCAAGGTGCATCCGCAAAAAGTCCATAAGCCACCGCAGACATCTTGGGCGCCTCGTGATTTCCGAAATAGCCTTGACCTTGACCAATCCCTTAGATGAGCTCTGAGCATCCTGTACAATCAGTGTAGGAGTGATGTACCGCTTTCAGATGGGCACCTTAACGAAGAAACAGGGCTGAAGGTAGGCAAATTGTGAACAGGGAAGTTAAACTACCTTTGCTGGCTTGGGGCTTTTTCTTTTTGGTAGGTTTTCCGTGTTGGTCTATTCAAGTAGTCAGTAATCTTGGGTTTCTGCGTTTCCGACAGATGCATTACTCAGGATATAATTAACGGTCTTTTCAACATCGAAAAAATAGTACCACAAAGACTCTTGGATTTCCTTGTCCGTTGCTACCTCATTGCCCAGTATCTCTCGTACTTTTCGCAAGCCCACGTTTAACTGATCTATGATGCACGTTAACATTAAACTCTTAGAAATGTACACCCTAGTAGTGAGAGAAAAGGAGCTATAGTACGTCTATCACTTTCGCTCATTTCTATTTTAATAATTTATTAGAAGGTTTTCAATATTCAGAGCACTTGGTAGGTACACACCACCTGAGCCATCATCGTAATCTTCGCCATCGTAGTCGTATAGTTCTGCAGCGCTATTATATTAGGAACCGCAGTTGATAGAAATTAAATTCCCAAGGGCATGCCTTCATCTAGGTCCAGATTTCTAATATTCTTGTGTCGCGACATGACGAATGATGGGTGCGGATCTTTGGGCGTATGTGTGGAGGAGATGGCGGGGTTGGTTGCAGGGTTGGTTGCAGGCTGTACCGGCAGAGGAGCTATTCGCCAAGAGCCGTTATTATCGATCAGTTATGATCCGACAGGGTAACGTAGAATCCCACTATTATTCTTCAAGCTAAAGTGATGTATTTTCGGTTGGAAATCCTAGTCCAGTGTTCCTCAGATACATGATTGGTGCTGTAAGCATTATGGATGTTGTGTAATCTTTATAATTGTTTCAAGTATGTCATATTTTTGTGACGTATATATGCCACCATGGCCGAGTGGTTTAAGGCGGCACATTTAAGTTCTTCAAAACTGAACTGTGCTATCGAAAGATGCGTGCGTTCGAACCGCACTGGTGGCAATATCTCAATTTATTTTTAACCTTGTCTTTCCAACTCTCGTTTTCATGTCGCTGTATCCGGGTATGTAGTTTTCCTCGGCAAAAAGTGCCTCAATATGGCTATCGACATCATTTACACGGGGACTTGAGGTTGAATCAAAGTTGACGGACATTATCTAGCGTTATCGATAGGCGTATGCACGGAGTCGTCATATCCTAGGATGAGCTAGGACCGGGTAACACTCACTAATAGAAATAAGTACCATATTTATTTCACCAAAGCTTTTTACGCAAATACGAAATGATTCAATATTTAAACTAAAATAGGTCCGTACAATGCAGGCTCAATCCTCAAACCAACTAACATAATAATCATTACCAAGGTCTGAAATTACCACGAAAACCCACTTCGTACCAATACATCATTAGGGAAAAAAGAAAAAGATATGTGTAGGCGATCTACAAGTCGATCAAACTCTCTTCTACTGCTTTTGGCTGTGGCTGTGGTAGTGGATTTTGAACAGGGGTAGATGCCGAGGCTTCGCTCACACCATGAGGAGGAGGATATGTATATTGTCCACCACCGGGAGGTGCATTAGACCCTTGCTGCCAAGGCACTTGTTGTTGTGAATGAGGTGAATATGGATATTGATATTGATATCCAGGCTCCTGTCCAGCTTTAGGATACTGCCAGTAAGAATTTTCTTGAGGAGGCTGTGAATTCTGCATGGGCTGTTGATGCTGTGCCGATGGCCCTGTGTGCTGCTGATGGAGAGGCTGTTGTCTCGAAATTGGTGCTGACGGAGGCTCTGAAGGCTGTTGGGTAGGAGGCACGGTGGAATCATTTTGTGGTGGGGGATTGGGATTGTCGTAACCGTTATATTGGTATGGTGCTTGGGGAGTAGATGTTTGTTGATACTGTGTTTGCGAATTTGGCTGTGGTTCGGGCTGTCCAGGAAATGACCCTTGTTTGTCGAATGTATGCGGCTGGGTATAATAGTTTTGATAGTTTGTTTGTGGAGGAGGGTAGTTATTCTGAGGAGCGGAAGAATCGCCCCTACCATAATAATTTTCGGCCGATGGCAACGTTGGGTACGCATTACTACTAGCTGGAGGCTGTTGGTATGGGGCTGGCGATGATACACCATGCCGGCCATAGGTGTAGCTGAGCCGCTCTTCTAACATCCGATCATAATAGCGGACAACTGTTCCCAGCTTTGCATGAAGATCGCACAACGCCTCTGTAGTTTTAAGACATTAATTCAGGTTAACGGTTTTGGGGTGGTGGTTATATTACCATATTTGCTCATAGTTTCACCAAATGTTCTAGCCAACTTTGGCCTTAACGTCCCAATACTTTCATACAATTCTTGGATTTGCGGTTCCCTTAAGATCGTTCCTGGTGGCTGAGTCTGCAACCGGTCCACTAGTGTTGCGAAGAGGTTGATGTTCTCAGCCTCTCCCGGACTCAACTCATGGTCAGGTCTGCGCGCTATGTTGGCTTGAAAAGCGGTGGATTTTGCAGCAGCACTGGGATTTGACCAGGCTGATTTGGCCTTCTGCTCCTCCATGTCCCTTAGGCTCGCGGCAATCGCAGCCTTTAGCTCTTCATCCTCGTCTTCTTCAGGGCGATTCCCCTCCCGGGCGTGTTGTTGAGCGGATTTTGAAGGCTGCGCCTCGGTATATGAGGCCACTGAAGTAGCTTGAGTAACCTGCTTTTGGGCCTGCAACTGCTGCTGCGAAACATAACCGGCGCTTGCTTTACCAGTAGCCTCTTCCAGCGACATTTTTAGAGCCATTTTAAGATCTTCATCGTCATCATCTTCAACCCTAGCATTTCTTGGTTGCATTGGGGCAGATTGTGCTTTGGACTTCGAAGTTGAATGCCTCTGACTATGACCTCCATGATGCTTTGGAGAACCCACAGGAGCTACGGGAGCTCGTCGTTCTGTCAGTTTTGTATGACATCCATCACAAACACGCACAGCCTGAACTATTCCAATGTGCGGTAATGGTATTGACTTTGAAGAGCAGGTTCCACAGAAGGTATTTCCACAGTTACGGCAGTGGTGCTTCCTGTTCGTGAAAGTGAACGGGGTCCGACAGCGCATGCAAACATCTGAATCGGTCCAATCAGGTGGCTGGCAAGTTTTATTAGCATCAGCCAAAATCTAACTAGATTAGACAATATACCGCTGATGAGTCTACAAAGGTCGATGAGACCTTAGTTGGGGGCGGGAAACGAAAGTTTTCTGTTTGTAGCTGACGGTATATCTGGTTTGTGTAAGATAGGTGGGGCTGCCCTTCAAAAGCAGAGGCCCAAGTTTGGATAAGCTCCAGCATTTTAGATTCCACTTTTGGGTCAATCGGGTAAGGAGCCTTCAACAGAGAAGCGAGATTATCCATAAATTCACGAGATGCAATCTCGGTGAGAAAATGAGAGCCGCCATTCTTGACACAAGTATCAGTAAGCTACGGAAGCAAGATGGTCAGTTCGTTCTAGGCTTTCTTCATTATTGATCGGAACCATTATATCAGAGCTCACGTTTAAGGCTGCTAGCTGAATATTGGGATTTTTATGCCCTATGCGTTTTCTCAACGAGCGCATAGCTTCCTTAGGCTGTACAGTCTTGCTCCGAATAATATCGGATATCTCGAGATTCAGTGCCATATCCTCCCTACACAGCTGTCAGCTTTGATGTGAAGCCTGAGACCTCGTGGTGTAAAAGAGGTTTACGGTCAAAATTGTTTAAACGATGGAGAGGGGACAATACAGGCTTGATCCGGTAGCTTTCTCGACCTGGTCATCCAGGGAGGAGTTCGAAGCTGTAAACCATGAAGCCATTACTTCGAAGGTGCTGTTACTATTACTCTTATGCAGATAGAAGGCGGAGTAGATGCTAAGTCGTCAAATAATTGCGACGTTGGATGGAAACACGCCGTAGCCTAGAGCTACGAATAAGCCTGGGAATCAAATGAATGATATATAGAGATTGCAGCTATGATGCAGCTCTTCCTCGGAAGGAGGTTGGTGAAATCTGCGGTTTGGGGAAATAGGTGGATATGAGGACGAAGCTGGTGCAGATCGCTGCTTCACCAACTTGCTTGACTGACGCCGCGTCGCCCCGCCGTTACATAAGCTATAAGAGACGTATGCCTTAGCACGTGATGACTACTACTAGTATGTAAACCCCGTTGCACTAAAGCTTGGGTTAGAGCCAAGGGTCCAGCATAAATGAAGTGAAGTGTTAGGAAGCATGAGTACGGTACATGCACCTCGGCCTATATGTACTTATTTTGGGAGCCAGTGCAAATTTAAGATCATCCATTTGGGGGTACTTGAGAGACCCCTGTTGGTAGCTCGTCGTTTAAATGAAATATTTACTCTTACATATGTACTTCTATAATACCTACATGTACTTTATCTAGGGGTACATACTAATTTTCGTTAGCAGGTAGAGTAGAGTATAATTTACTTTAGAATACATGCAGAGTACATGTACTTACTAGCTGGTAGTGTCGACCTAGCTGGGGCACCTCCGAAATCCTGTTCCGGCGGCTCCCCCACAATCACAATCCCACACTCCCCGCCATCTCTCCTCCGTTCAGCTTACCTCCTCCACATCATCAGAGGACTCTCCCTGCGATGCGAAATAACCTTTTTTACCTCACGATTCGATAGGGATGAACTCCAATACACCCCCTCATCCACTTCGTGCTCCACCAGCAATGCCTTCCGCAAAGTCACAACGAATATACCCTCACATCAGCGATCTTCATGCCCGATCAGAGGGCCTCCATCCTACGGGACGCTCGGTAACTTTAATTTAGACCCTAGATACATGTATTTAAAGCCTGTCTAACCGGACCCGTGTACAGATCAAGTCGTGGGTTGACGAAGCCAAAGTCCACTGGCGGCAAGCAACATGGCATTATGAGTTTGGGAGGTTGGACTCGGCGTACTGCGATTTTATTATGGCCAATACCATCATATTAGAAACTATCCCGAAATGTGTAGATTATCCTACCTTTGTGTCTGGCCAACGGGGAATGGCTTACATGGAATGGATCAAGCTGAAAGAGGTAAATATATACCCTGGTAGAACAGATATCCTTCGACTTTGCTAACTGGACTCGAAAGGAATTAAAAGCAAAAACCCCCCTCTACCTCAAAGTAAAAGAAGAAATCAAGAAAGATAATGAGCTCTCTGGAGTTCAGAGTGCAAATGCCCAGCTTGAAGCCGAGAGGGTTGCGGAGAGGGTTAGAGCTACCCTCCATCCAGGGACTGGGGTATCCCAAGACATTCCACCGAAAACGAAGCCGGAAGTCCGAGCGAAACCAGAATACCTGTCAATGGGCAAAGAACGTAGGTCTAAATAGCTTATGTTATAAAAGACCCACTGACACGAAACAGATTCTCGAACAGGCTCTGGAGCCAAATCCCCACAGCTGAATGGTCAAGTGATTGTTCCGACGTATGGAAAATCTTCACCTAATGCTCTAGACAGTACCTTAGATTTGAACCGTCGGTTGGAGAGATTGACTACAACAACTTCTAGATCAAGTTCACCAGCGTCGCTCTCGCAGCAAGTCCCCACGACTCCGCCTACGGTCGTTCACGGTCCTCGAGAGATGCCGACAAAACTGCCTCCGTTAAACGTGAATGCGATGCCTACATTACCACCCCCCACTTATTCCCCAGCTACTAGTCATGGGGGTATGTTACCTTCGCGAAATACATCACTCCCTTCTACTGACGGGAATGGTGCGTCCCGCCAACCAAAGCCCAATTTTCCGAATGATACGATAATATCGGTGGATACTCTATACAATTATCTAAGCAAAGAGTCACAAGTTACAATCCTCTTACTAGATGTTCGTAGTCGAGAGGAATTTGATGAGGGGCATATCTACGCAAGATCGGTAGTCTGTATTGAACCTATAGTTCTTCGCGACGGGTAAGACTGAAAATGGCACTGGAAAAATATAATTCGATTATCCTGACGTCTTTTAGGATGTCCGAAGATGATTTGGATAGAAGCTTTGTTCTAGCACCATCAAAAGAACAAGAATTGTTCAGTGCAAGAGACAAATACGATATTGTGGTTTATTACGATCAATCCATGGCCAACAAAAAGTTTCTTTCTGGTTTGACACAGGACGAACATCAGATAGCTCTTCGAAGCTTGCATATGGCCATTTACGACTTTGCTTTTAGGAAACGATTGCAGAGGGCACCGATGCTACTAGTTGGAGGCCTTGATGCTTGGATAGAGTTGGTTGGGAAACATTCTTTGAAAACTAGCGATACCGCAGAGTTTGCAAAGTCGGAACCAACATCTAGGCCTTCAAGTCGGGTAGGAAGGCAATCTATATCGCTCGAAAAACCTCGCAGTGGTATTGGAGTCATACGAGATGCGTCACCAAGCGTGTCTGAGAACCGGTTGTCATTGGCCAAGAGGCGGCAGGATCGTGATCCCCAAAGAGGTTCCATGCCGCTGCCAGTGCAAAGGGTGAGTTATGGTAGGAAGCAAGAACCCACACCAGTCGACCCCATAAATATCGAAGAAGAGCAGAAATGGATGGAGAGGCTACAGAGGGAAAGAGAACCCCTTACTATCAGTGTCCCACCCGTATCTCCACATCCAGATGCCGATGTTGAATCAAAAAAGCGGCGGCGAGGAACTTCTATAGTCGCAGGGAATGACAACTTCCCGACTGGATATGTTAGAACAATGGAGGAATTTGTCAGTCTGCTATTGTTATATTTCTATCACTTAGGAGAAAAGTAGCCCTAACAAGCATCTTAGTTCCAACGGTATCCCGCACAACCGTCGATGTCCCCTATCCCACCAACACCGATAAGTGCTGGAACTCCAATAACTCCACGCGGGCAACACACGATCATCGACCACCCATTTTATGGGTTTACTGATGTCCGTAATCCAGACTTCAATCCCCCGCCCACCCCAATCAGACCACCACCTGCAGTTCCACGAAAGAGCTATAGCGGAGTCTCAGAGCGTCTTGCCCCGCCTATACCCCCGCCCCTTCCCCCTGCCCCTGAAATACCGCCGAGACCACCCAAAATCCCACTTATCCTAGATGGAGAATCGGGCTCACCATTTCGAACAATTGGGAGCATAAATATTGGTAAAACTGGATTAAAAAATTTGGGAAATACCTGCTACATGAACGCAATACTGCAATGCATGAGCGGTACAATACCACTATCGCGATACTTTTTAGATGGGAGTTACAGAAGTCACATCAACAAAGACAATCCGCTCGGATCTCGAGGAGTTTTAGCAGAGGCATTTGCAAGTGTGGTAAAGAACTTGTGGAGTGGTGAATACAAATTCATTTCTCCTGTAACGATAAAGGTTAGGCGCAAGAGATATATTCCCAAAAGGGATTTTACTGATGCGAGCCATAGGATGTGTCTGGCCGATTGAATGAAATGTTTAAATCAGATGATCAGCAAGATGCCCAAGAATACCTTGAGTTCCTATTGGATGGGCTGCACGAAGATCTTAACCCTTACGCAAATCGAACTAAGCTCAGGCCTTTGACAGACGAGGAAGAAAGACGACGAGAGACCCTTCCTCAGCAAACAGCATCGCATTTGGAATGGCAACGCTATATCCATTCGAACTTTTCGGTCGTCGTAAATTGGTTTCAGGGTCAACTAAGTAGTAGGCTCATGTGTTTAACGTGTGGTATCACTTCGACCACGTATAGCGGATTTATGTATCTCTCGCTTCCAATACCTTCGAAAAGGGGAGGATTTACCCTCGCGGACTGTTTGGAGGAGTTTGTGAAAGAAGAAGTACTCGAAAAAGATGACGCTTGGCATTGCCCGAATTGCAAAAAGGCTCGGAAAGCTACGAAGAAACTCACTATCACTCGCCTACCTCACATTTTGATTATTCATCTAAAGCGGTTTACAAATCGGGGCCTATGGCGGGATAAACTCAACACAATGGTCCAGTTTCCTTTAAAAGACTTGAATCTAACAAAATACGTACCACCTTTATTGCCTAGGGGTGCATTGGGCCCCAACGCCCCTGAACCTAGTGCCGAAGTGACGCCGCCTTTTATGTATGACCTTTACGGGGTATGCAACCATTATGGAACGCTAAACGGGGGTCACTACACGTCCTTTGTGAGAAATAATCATCAGAATGCTTGGAACCATTTCGACGACAGTAAGGCAAGCTTTGTTGACGATTCTGCAGTAGTGGTAAGCAATCTATTTATGTCACTCCACAACTCTTCTGATAATCATATAGTCTCGGAATGCATACGTGCTTTTTTGGGTCCGGTCAAATGTTATGTGATTATTCTAGAGGCGTTGGTGTTACTGTCTGTGAATAATTGGACTTCTGTTTACCTTGCACTAGGCACTGGGGGAAATTATATCCTTTGTCTAATTTCTTTATTCATTCTTATAACTTCTGCTGCCTGTTTGTCTGAACGTAGATTCTTTGTAGATATGTTTATGAGCGCATCATTACTTTATCTGTCTATGGGATAATACCAGAATACATAACTATGTAATATTTACCCTTCTAAACCTAGGTAATGGAGGATAGTGGATGATTTCGTTCACAATAACATCTTCGGGCAGGGGTATATGAAAGACAGCCCGGATCTGGGAACCTGTGATGGGCGTGTCCGTGGGTAAAAACGAGAATCCCAATGGTCAGTTTTCTTTGCGTAGACGTCTCTTTTTCTTGCCCTCAATATTCCGGTAGTTACGTGGGACGGTGTCTATGTAGTTGAAAATAGAAAAAGTGCCGAAGATCGTATACGCCAAGACCGAGTGATAGATTATGATCGAGACGTATACAATTTTACCAAAAGCACTTATACAAAACAATTCCTTCAAAAGGGAAGGTAATAATAAAATCTAGTGATAGAACGGCAAATACCTTATCGGGCAGTGAAGTTGGGTCCCAGCATTTTTTCCCCCTTGACTCCAGATCTTTCAGGTCTATACATGATCGTGATACCTTGCTGTCATAATATATATATTAGTTAGTGTCGGTGGGACTCTGAAAGAGTGGGGAAAAGCAACAGACTCTAATTTTTAACTGGTACCAGCTAGAGATACCCTGAACAGTCATTCCCGGTATTTGATGGATTGAATGGCGGAAATATTATGGTGTGCATTGACCATTTAGTTCACTTGATGATTTCCGCATTACAATTGGAGCTCGGTTCAATTCTTAGGTGCACTATCCCAGCAAGTATCTACATTGTGAAAAGCCACTATATATACATGTAGGTACTATATGTATATCATAAGCGGGACGATCTTTCTTTTGTAAATCTCAATCTCACTGCTATCCCATAATCCGGTGCTTAGATGCTGTCTATTTGACAGAATATTATAATTACTAAAAGAGGAAGGGTGGCAGCCGAATATGTGTGTGATCCAGACACAAGCCACAGCTGAAAATACGCCGTCCGAATCAATAGGCAGCTTTAACGGACTATGGGATAGCTACATTTAAGTTTCGATAAGCTCAAAAGGATTTTCCACTACACGTACATGTAATTCTAAGATATCCTACTCACCCATATCTTAATTATAACCTTCAACCGGACTACCAATCCTCAATCCTCAACCCCCGACCCAACGGGCCTAAGAACCCTTAATTTACGAAACTGTCCCACTGCCCGGTGACCCAAAACTATAAACTTGGCTTAATGGTCTTTCCTAGGAAACCAGGAAAGCGCCCCTTGTATCAACACGAATCCTAAACATAACTAGAATATATATCTCCGCATGTATGAAGCTTACAGTGATTGTAATTGATCGATGAAAGTACCGAGTCTTAACTACTCTACATGTAGGTACATGTATCGTCCTCAATACGGGAAAGAGGCAGAGCCTCAAAGCTTGGTTATGGCCCGTGCACAGGCTGAGCCGGGTAATTTCCGGGAAAGCTTTGAAAGTTACAAACCTCCAAACAACAATTGCCTCAGTTAAGCTTCGTGCAAATATTATCCTGCTCAAATCTATTCCTATACCTCCGCAACGCATTCACTGCATCCACCATATACCAGAAAGCGATAATTCACCATGGCGGCAGGTTTGTTGCCCTCATTGTTGGCTTTCTGCAGCATTTTTTACTAATCCCCGGTGCGCAAACAGAGCAACGCAGGCTCCTCGAGCAGGTAAATTCGCATCTCATGGCACTTACGCGTAAAATGAAGCGCAGTACTGACATATGTTCTTAGCTGATGGGTACGCCCAATCAAACAAACTCATCGGTACCTTTCACCGACCCGTCAGTTTGTCGGAGTTTTCTCGTAGGAACCTGCCCACACGATCTCTTCACGAACACCAAGGTATTTACGCCCGCCTCGCCGCCGTCGCTGTTATCATACTTGGCCAATTCTAATAAATATAATAGCAAGATCTAGGACCTTGCAAAAAGACGCACCTCGAAGCCCACAAGCAGGAATATGAGCGCGAAAAGAAGAACCGCGACTTTGGATATGAGTACGACTACCAGCGCGACCTTCAACGCTATATCGACGAATGCAATCGACGTATAGATGCCGCGCAACGCCGTCTTGATAAAACACCTGACGAGATAACCAAAACGAACTCGCTACTAAAGCACATTAGCGACCTAGACAGCTCCATCTCTACAGGACTACAGGAGGTAGAAGTACTTGGTGAACAGGGTCAAGTAGCAAGAGCGCTAGAGGAATACCACAAAGTTAAAGTCGCAAAACAAGAAAAGGACAATAAAGAAAAGGAATTGAAGCAGCTTTCAGATAGTGCAGGTCCGAGCGGCCATCAAAAGCTCCAGGTGTGCGATGTTTGTGGGGCATATCTTTCTAGGTTAGATAATGATCGCCGTCTAGCGGATCATTTTTACGGAAAGGTAAACAGCTAGTCATTAAACCGTACACGCTAAATGAGATACTAACTACAATCCCTTGAACAGATGCATCTAGGCTATGCCCAAATGCGAAACACCCTCAAGAAGCTCCAGGATGAACTTGTGAGTCGTGGTCCACCCCCGGGACATCATGGCGGAGGGGGGCGGGAATTTCGCTCGGACGACAGACACGACGGTGGAGGGTACAGCAGAGATGGGCCTGGAGGCTACCGCGGAGGCGGCGGTGGTGGGTTCAGAGGCGGGAGAGGCGGTGGTTATAGAGGGAGCAGAGGTGGTGGCGGAGGTGATGGATGGGGTAGTCGTGGTAGCTCCGGTGGCGGAGGAGGAGGGTATGGGAGAAGGGGCGGCGGCGGCGGGAGTGGATGGTAAATCCCCAACTGTCCTATCCCTTCTTATGTTCTTGCTTTCATCGGAATGTAATACTATCGATCCTTCTTGTCCCTTGTTTTTCTTTTCTTTAGCAAGATTTGGCGCACTTTGGGGGGTGGGTCGGTCTAGTTTTTCCCAGTATAATATCTTCCTAACTATGAAGAGGCTTCTTAAGCATGAATGACCCTTATGAAACATGTAGTAAACTTGAACAGATGAAAACTGGATGTTTCGAACCTCAAATCAACTCCGGGCCTGCAATTTAATATACCATACATAATTAATCGTTCAATGAAAAAACAATGTTTATAACATCAAGAAGCCGATTCAACTTGTTCCGCCCATGAATCCCCACCCACAGCAGGGGAGAGTGGGGTTAAATTATCCCCGACGTTGTATTTGGTATCCAAACCGCCTATTGCGGGAGACTTCTCGGGGGCCTTTACTTCTGAAGAAGCATTGTTTTCTGTAGAAGCTTTACCCTCTGTAGATATTTCTCCTTCTGCGGGAGTCTTCTCCTCTGTGGAAGGCTGGCCTTCCAAGCTTGTAGGTTGATCATTGGTAGGCGTTGCAAGCTTTGGGGCGGCTTCAGCCTGAGTTGATGTATCTGCAGAGGCATTGTCCTTAGATGCCGTGGGGAGGGCAGGCCATTCTTGTGTTGTATTTGAGTTCCTGGGCGCTCCTCTAGATGCTGCAGCCTCCCTGTTAGAACCCGAAGCTCCGCGGGGGCCACTGGGTGCACCACGGGGGGCGCCTGGAGAACCACGGGGACCGCCCGGAGAACCACGGGGACCACTAGGGGCGCCACGGAAGCCACGGCTAGCGGGTGAACCACGTGTAGAGTCGACGACACCCCCGTATGCACCTCTACGAAATTGTGAAGATCCTTTTCTGGGATTATAATCTTCCTCGGTCTTTGTTGAGTCCCATTCCCGACTATTAACCGCATTGAGTTTCCTTTGCCTATTCTTCGCTCGCTCATCGCTATCAAAGAGTTAGCAAGGTTTCCGAGTGATATATTGCGCGAATGACCGGTGTCAAACGTACTCCAGCTCTTTTCTACTCCTTTCTTGCTCAACCTTTTTCTTACGCTCAACAATTCGTTTAGTAGCATCCGCCTGCTTTCGCGCCTCTTCCTGTACCTGGAAAGAGTTTTCATCCTCTTCAGCCTTACGGCGGCGCTCAATCAGACGCTCGTTGTTGAGTTTTGCGCGTGCCATACGTTCCGTAAGCTCCTCTTCTGTAAGTTTGGCCTTTGCTTATTTTAGTTGTTGAAAAGGTAGGATTGGGGGGTAAGATATTATGAAAAATCGTTCGTAAACCAGCAGTAGAGTGAGAATAAATATAAGTGTAATTGCGTAGATGGCTCAAATACCTTCTTCAAACCACCAGAAAGGGTTCGATCCTGTTTTTGCTACCCAATCGATTGGTCTGTTAGATAAGCTTTATAGAGTCACTGGAGATCACTCACCTGTTTTGGGGCATCTTTGGTCTCTGCGGCCGGGCCCTCCGACGCACCTTCTACAATCTTTGCTTCTTTTGGCGGATTTCTTTGATCGACACTTCTCGGTTGCTTTTCTAGAGGTCAGCGTCGTATGCAAAGAGCTATAGAACAAAGTTCGCTGCATACAAGGCCACCTCTCCCACCGCTACCACCTCCACCTCCTCCGCCTCTATTACCCGAACCCTTTGATGGAAAAGCCCGTGGCTCAGTGGGCGCGCTCGGGGATGGATTCTGGGGAGGTGAGACCTCGGCTGCGAATAGGACATCTGCTTCACTGCCGGTCTGTGCAAAATTGTCCATAATTATTTGTGTGTACAGAGACGGATGGGAAATGAGAATGATGATTGAGGGCGGATTAGCTCCTTGTTGCTTATATGTATATATGTATGTGAGTAGGATGACGATTGGAGTTATGGACAGTCCTGCAACGACGAACGATTGATTGCAAGTGATGCGACGCGTCGGGTGCCTTAAAATGCAGTTGCGGGGTTGTGTCACATCCCTTTGCTAATGGAGGGGCTCCCTGTTCTGTTTACCCGGCCGTGGAGTACTGCTGTAGATTGTAGTACCTACATAGTACCTACATGCATGTAGTGTGGCCCAACACTTGGGGCTCTACATAAGGTAGGGAATGAGAGTGTGTACTACTCGCAAAGACCTAAAATTCGTTTAGATACACGATTTCACGGCCATGCCAGCGATGCCCGAGATCTAAATAAACTACATCACCCACGGCTACAGGCCTGCTACTTATTGTAGCTACATGTCTAATACATGTATGCACCCGGTACTGTCTTTTCGATTTTCTTAAACCCTGGCCCTGCATAGCAACCAGCCTACCCACCCAAACAACGGCATATGTACCTACATGTAGGTATATGTAATGCCACCCTCCAAATTTAAACATCATGTCAAATTCGTAAAATTCTTTCCTTCCGGTACCTTTAGAGACTGAACAAGCCTTTAAAGGCCTCTATACTGGGTGGTATTGATCGAGATATCGTTAATTAATGGGATTATATTAATATAGAGAGAACTATCATCATGATCAACTAACTAGGTATCAAAACATTAAATCGTTCTATTAACTGGGTAGTATTTTCAACGGAGTATGGGTACGTGTAATCAAGAGGTCCCCTCACTGGCGGGGGAGGGAGGGAGCTGAAGGAGGGGGGCTGTCTTGGAGATAGACTTCCGTCTCATGAGGAGATAATTTACTGGATCGAGGAACCAACAACTCGCGGTCGCGAGTTCGGCTACTGCTAGCATGCATGTACATGAGTCGGGATGCAGACGATTTATATCGCTTCGTTCGTCAGAGCAAAATCGGAGACGTACATATTAGGCCCACGATGGCGTGGTGATATGCAAAAACTCTAGCTACCTACAGACTGTACATGTGGAGACACCCGAAAAGGGCACAGGAAGGGATGGGAACACCATACAAAATCAGAAACAAGATTACGAAACACAATCACTCTTTAGAGTGGCTGCACCTTATTCTTTAATCTACTGACGTGTTCACTAGGTCGCTGGATACAGTTGAAACAAAAAGGATTTAAGGACTTAATGACTGCGAGAGTACAGTATATACCTTCATTACTCCTGTGGCATAGCTGGGTTGAGGTCACTGCATATACCACCAGCTACTACAGCGGCCCTCCTCTCACCGCTTCCCGCACGAAATCTTCCAATATCTGATACTGTTCATTCATTAGCAGCACAAGAATGCACAAGTAACGCCTGCACGAGTAATCCTCCCGCAATCCCCACCATTACCCTCAATTCCGAAGAAACAAGCAATAAAAACGTTAAATCAATATCGGTTTACTCCCAGTCCTCTTCACTACTTGCATCATCCGAATCATCCTCCAAATCATCGCCCTCCTCCTCTCCATCCGGTTTAGATATCTAGAAACTTTGTCAGAGTTGATAGCCACGAATAAATAGACAAGTACAAATATACCTTTGCTGCTTTGGGACTGCCTGTAGCTTGGCTTGGAGCCTTTGATGGTACCCCCGATACTACATCGTAGCTTGACTCGCTATCTGGTTGTGATGTTACATCAATAGAGTTTTTTGGTTTCAATAATTCTTCTTTAGGAATCAAGGTTTCCGTAGAGGCTGCCGGGGCAGTTTCTGTCTTAGCAGTCGGGGCTAAAGTGGCAGCTGAAGTAGCAGCTGGTACAGGAGAAGTAGTAGTGTGCTTCGGTGCTTCCTTTGCAGACTTGGGATTTTCATCGTCCGAGCTCTCCTCCTCGTCCTCCTCGTCATCCTCATCCCATGCCACTTCTTCCTCGTCAAGGGTAGTGGCACCTACCCAGTCAGCTACTAGCCCTCATATGAAGCATAAATTTCAATTATTATTCTATTTTTACCTTTGAGTAATTCCTTTCTCTTCTGTTCCTCCATGTCTAGCTCGTTTCTTAAAAAGTAATATCTCCTCCAGAAATCTCCGTATTGTACTAAATCCGGTACAAGTTTCTCCATTGTGCTCCTGAGTTCGGGATATTTATCTAGATCAGCGGCGATTTGTTCGGTTTTTTTATCTGCCGAGAAATCCTTTGACCACTCTACAAATGTCGGCTCGCTAGAATCTGTTTTAAAAAGCTCCAAGTTGCCATGTAAAAGATGGAGCTGAGCATCAAGCCTAGTCGAGCTATATGTCCCCTATTTTGAATACATCCCCTCTTAAGAAGATAAGGAATAACTTACTATATTTGTCTCTTGCCCTCCTCGCCTTTTTGCTCAAACACAACCTCCTTCTCCCCAGTCGCCTCATCACTTCCCTCCGGCGGCCGAATAGTAACAGCCTCCTTCAAGAAGTTGCCGATGTTTGTTCCGAACCTGAGTAGGTACTCATCGGCCCTGGCTTCGGCGGCCTCGATCTCCGAGATTCTCTGCGCAGCGCCCTTCTTTAATTTCGACAGCAAGCCCTCTTCTGCCACGGCCTTCTCGTTCGCTCCCGCCACAGCTCCATCCTTTGATGTCTCTCCCGTCTGTTGTGTTTTCTGAGCCTCCGTTGAAGATGCCCCGCTCTGGTTGATTGAGAGCGATCGAGTTCGACTAACTATTTCGGACCTGACGACGCTGAAGCCCTTTGAGGCTTGCTCTGCTCTTGTTGCGGCCTCCTTTTTCCCGACTTCGTAATATGATTCTCCCTGTTCATTACATCAATACCCGTCTCACTATTTAAATGCACATAGGAGCGAAAACAGACCTGCTTCTTTACAGTCCCGATAAAGCTTCCAAATTTTGCGCCCCATGGAGAAGCCGATATGGCCCTGTAAGCCTCCTGAAACTCCTCATTCAGCGACTCCTTCGGCCTCTCTGGATCTTTCCCTTTCCCATCGCTCGGGCCTGATGCAACGGTCTCCTCTTGGATGTGATCATATGCAAACTCCATGACAAAAGCCAAGTATTTCTCCTCTAAACGATGTTCTCGTAGGTGGGGAGGCGCGGATTGTTATCGGAAACCTAGCTCGAGGGGTAGTTACCGATTAGTGTTAGCGTTTAATTGCTTATTGCTGATTGCAACAAGGGCAGGTCTGGGCAGGGCAGGTTTAGGCAACCTGAGAAAGCTCTAGTCAATCATCTATGTACCTATAGTACCATATTGCAATAATCAAATGATTTTAACTAATAGTGAGTAAACATCCGAAATTGATTACAAAGAAAAAGAGAGAAAAAACGTAACACCGCCTCAGACTGCCTCTTATCCCTTCTTGGCTACCAATATCATATCAATCATTTCCCTCTGCCCTCACAAAGTCTATTTGCTGAGAAACGCGCTAATGAACAATTATTGCAATAACTAATTTTCCCTACATGCATTTCAATAAAAATATCTACTTCCATACGTTTCCGAATAGATCGTCCTGACCAAAACCGGTTGTCTGCACTGGTGCTCCTGATGTTGCAGCTCCTCCAGTGCTAAATGCGCCCCATTCATCATCCTCACTACTCTTTGGGGGTGCCATAGACGAAATTCCTACCACTGAAGTAGGTGGCTTACTAACGGATGTGGTTGCTGGTGAGCCCCATGCGTTAGAGGCAATGCTAGCACTTCCTATCGACGTCCCCCAGGCAGACTCATTGTTTGAGGCCGTAGAGATTGTCGCGGCCGGTGCAGCCCACGCATTTGCATCAAATGAGAACTGCGGCGTAGTTGGCTGTTTAGGGGTAGTGGCATTAGTTGCAGTCAAGTTAAATGCACTCATAGTGGATATGGCCGGTGCTGCCAGTGCAGGCGCAGGTGTCGAGGAAAAGTCAAACAAATCGTCCATGGCAGACGACCCAGTGGTCTTTGAATAAATTGATTGCTTTGTAGATGTCGAAGACCCAAAGAATCCATTGCTTGAAGTAGGCGATAGTTGAGAACCAGCCGAGGACTTCATCATCCCGGCTGTTAGGTTTGCAAATGGAGAAGGCTTGGGAGCTGTTGATTGAGCAACGGGTATGGTGGATATAGAGGGACCGGTACTTTGTGAAGAAAACCCAAGCCCTCCAAATGCGTCATTAAGATCTCCGAGACCTGAGGATACCGTATGCTGATGAACCGAAGGCTGTGACATACCAGAAAATGAAGAGTTCTGGGCATGTTGGGTCCGAGGCTGCGGCTTTGAGGCATATAGAGAGAGAATTGACCTATTGAGATCAGGCCGAGATGAGGCGGTGTTTGTTACTGGGTTTGAATTTACGGAAGCTGGGCGAGCTGGAGTCGGGTCCGACGATCCAAAAAAATCTAAGCCCAAAAGAGAATCGACTGGCTTTGTAGACTTTGGTGGAGCAGGAGCACTCTTAGGGGAAGGTTGATTCTTATTTCCCGGAGGTGCGGTAGTGGACCTTGGCAGCTCCATTGGAGAAAGATCATCGAAGAGGTTAATGTTTTGCTGTTGCTTCGGTGCTTGTTGCGGCGTAGGGGAGGATATTTGTCTGTTCTCCAGCTTCTGCTGAACAACATTCAAAGGCTTGAAAAACGAGTTAGTGGGAAGGAATTATGCACGAAAAGAATAAGCTACCAGATTGTCCTCTTCTCCAGAATCATCAAGGGTAGATGGGTCAGGCATTCCGCCTTCCATAACCCATCTTTTGGCATCATATTTTGTGCGTACGAAGTTTTCAATTTTCCTACTCTAGGTCAGATTTTTCGTCCAATCAATTTTGAGAATTCCCGACAAAAGGTGCGTACGCTTCTGACGGCACGTGTCCTGGCGCAAGATTCGCTTCCCAGTACCTGGTTCGATAGTTAATTACTATCATTTATAAGAGGGCGCCTAGCTATCCATACTTGTTCGCCTTAGTATTTCCCCATTTCAGCATGCTAGCCAACTGTTCATCTGTCCATGTGTCGAGATCCACAGACTTAACTATGATGTACATCAACATTAGTAACCACTAAAGTAGCTTCAAAGAGAGCTCTAAAGAAGCTCCATACCTTTGCTAATATGAGTACCCATGCCTCGATGTATGCCAGAGCACCTATACAGCTTCAATGTCAGCATCTATCCGCACTGACAAGCTCCATAACAAGGGCACTAGAACCGACCTAATACATATGAAAAGCCCCAGATTCCAGCTAGCCCATCTAGGAAGCTTATTTCTCTTGCAATCAGCGCATATCTTGTTTCCAGGCAGCTTAAGTAGTGATTTGATGACGGCCTGATTTGCAGCGGCTTTGTCGGCAGCTTTGGCAGCAGCAGGATTGGGGCGCCGAGACATGCTTAAGGCGAGACGTGGGAGAGAGATTTTAGGGGAGGGAGAGGTTCAAAGTTGCTGTATAAAGGTGCTGGTAAGGAGATGAGATGGAAATAAAGCGTGAAGTTTGATGATCCTTCAGAGCGTAGGAGGTTCGTCGTTAGTGTTGCCAGAAATGGGGTTGACCCTCCTTTTTTTTCCTTGTTTCATGGAGGGGACACCACGACGGCGCTGTGAGGATCATTTGGTAAGCAACTCCATATGACCTTGGCATCATTCTACAGACGAATGAGATAACTTATTAGTCAGCCTTTGTACTCACTGTTCCAGACAAAGCTGTAATACTCATTTCAAAACTACATGCATGTATGTACTCGGGGCAGGCAATAAGAACCTGAAAATGCAAGCTGCAAGCAGGTGCTCAATTTCGTGTAGCTTTTCGCCAGCCGCGAATCAGAGGTTGTTACCATCAAAAGTCATTTTCAGGTTCTTCTTACCTGCCCCGAGTAGAAGCTTTTGATGCAGGCATGTAATAAATCACTGAGGGTCTCACACAAAAGCCAGTCACCGCGATTATAATAATAGCCTAAAGGTTCACCTAACTGAGTCCTAACTAGTATTGTACAGTAGATACATGTACCTACACAAACATGTACGTACCGGGTGTTGAGGGTAAGTGATCAGAATCTGATAAGTGAATGTTGCGGTGAATACGTGTATTTGTCTTATCAGATTCTAATCACTTTTCGCTACACCCTAGTACTTACCTATACCGCTTTATGCGGCTGAAACAAGCATTCTGGTAATACTCCACATGTGGTTTTTGTCCATAGTCAAGTACTCAAGTTGTAGTAAGCAGCCTGTCAAAGACAGACTTTAGTAAACGGTTTTCTGGGGTACCCTTGTGGCCGCAGCCGGGAGCCTTTGAAAAGGGTGTCTCAGGAGTGGAGAATACCACTTACATGCATCTACCGGTGATACTCTAAGAGTATTGTTCTATGAGGATCTTCTAGGTCACTCGGGTTCCAGCCCTTCCGCCCAAGAACTGATTGACTGAGTACCTACCATAAATCAAATATATTGATTGGTAGGAATATCGCCTTGGCAATACTCGGCTACTAGAAAGCGTTAGAATGATTGTCTCCCGCCGTTCGGAAAGGGACCCATAATTTTTTTCTCCCTTGGTTAGTTGAAATTGCCGTGGGTAACGGGCTAACAGCAAACAGCTGTCCTCTTGCATCTCGTGTTAATTATATTTCCCCCTTCTCTCCCTCTCTCCTTTTCTTCTTCATCCGTCTCACTTATCTAGACACCCTCACTTGCCTTATTGTCCACCACCACAACATTCTTTCAACAATTCCTAACTAGATAATCAGTCACTTCCTTCAGCTTCAACATAAATCGCGATGTCAGAAACTACATTTACTCTTGAGCAGGTCAAGGAGCACCAGTCCAAGAAGGTACGGCGAAATTCATCCCACCAGAAACATCCCTACTTCAAGCATCTCTGGAATACCATTTTTTTCACTTGGTGACTTTTGCAACCTAACTAACACTCCCCTTACCATCAACAGGATTTATGGATGATCATTCACGATAAGGTCTACTCCATTTCTGGTTTCGTCGATGAGCACCCGTACGTAATTCAGCTCCTTAAGCGCAGCGGCACTTTGCTTATGTATATTCTGCTAACATCGCCCCCCTACGCGATAGAGGTGGTGAGGAGGTCTTGATGGATGTTGCTGGGGTAGATGCTACTGAGGCTTTTGAGGTACGGCATTTATCACAAATTTGGCAGCTTTTAATTTGGTATTGAATGAATACTCACCCTGGTACTACTAACTGCAGGATGTCGGGCACTCGGATGAAGCACGTGAAATCCTGGCAGGGCTTTTGGTTGGAAACCTGAAGAGAAGTGTACGTATTTGGCAACTCGCATCTGATTTCGTTGAGATCTGGGCGTCGCTCACCTTCAATCTTTAGCCGTCCAACAAGAAGCCTGTCGCCTCCGCATCAAAACCTGCGACAGGGCAATCATCGACAGACGCCGGAGTGTATGTCCCCTTTCCCTACTTCTGCTATCAACCTTGCCATATAATCACTCGGCTTTAACATTTACCGATATCTTAAAAATTCATTCCCATCCACACCATCGCCTTATCTCCCTTTCTCCCCTAGAATAATGACTAATATCTGCTCTATAGTGCCATCTATGCCTTTTTTGCGGTTGCCGCCGTCGGTGCTCTGGTTGCCTACAAACTTTATGCTTAAGGTAGACTTGTGGGGGCGAGGGGGTTTTTGACAAATGTTGAGGCAAGGGGACATTCTGTACAACGCGTGTTTCTGAGGTTACATGGTTCCATTGCGGCACTTAAAACCTTTGGATTGTTTCTGTTTGCTTTTTGTAATGTTCAGAAATTGCTACCATATAACGTTATTATGAAAAATTGTAATAGATTTGGAGTTTTCTTCCTTTGAGTTTACTCTTTACGATTCACTCGAACTTTTCGAATTTTATGTGAGGGTGCCGCTCAAATACATGTACCTACACGTCTAAGTAACGCCCCGGATCCCCCCAATTCCGGCAGCATGATCCGATTGTTATCTTCAAGCCCTGTCAAATCCAGATTAGATTAGACTAGAGTAAAGTAGTACTGACTACATGTAGTAATAAATCGTGCAGGACAGAGGTCATAATTCCTCCGAGAGACAATGCTATTGGTGTTGCTAATATTAAACACTAGAATAAACTTTAGCGGTTGTCAAAATGTATTTATCAGGCCATTGAAGTCTTTCCCGCGATAGGGTTAGGGTTATGTAAATCCTATCAATTCTGCGACTATATGCGCCTTTCTACCATTCCAAAGTTTCTAGAAATAAAAACGCTCTTGGTTTTTTATAACTAGATGAACCCCAATTCCGGACTCACAATGCACAAACATATTCTTGTCTAGAACCTAAACAAAAATGTAAAATGCACAAAGTTTCAAAAAGAATAGTGAAAAGTAAGACGATAAAATTGGCGCTGGGGAATAACTAGGAAAGAAACGTATAGGAGGAAAAAAAAAAAAAAAGAAAAAAAAAAAAGAAAAAAAAAGTGGGACGCCACCCATTTCCCCTTGGCTAATGCAATCAATTACTTACCACATTTCCTCCTTCTCTTCTTCTTTAATCGTCGGACAAGTACAGTATACAAACATACGGATATTCTTACTGCACAAACAGGGAATCTGGTAAAGGAGGGAAACAAAAAATAAAAGTAAAAAACCGGAGAAAAATTATGAGGCCTTTCCCTTATCCCATCGTAATATACTTCGTAATCATACTCTTTCCGCCCTCGGGCTTCTAAAACTAGGTGAGGAAGATTGGCCAACTTATAAAGTACCACTTTCCTTGAAGACAAGGTGCTGCTCGTAGAAGCTGAGCATCTACAGATAGAATGAGTCAGCAACCATATCTGTCATGAAATCTTTTTTTTATGAATTACCTTCTGGGGGCACTTGTTATAGACATCCTGGATGGGATGTTGTGTTTTCTTTCCATCAGCCCTATATATGCGATATTAGTACGATGTTTGTTTCGATACACATTCTCAGCTAAGAATCAAAAGCGATATCTAGGTATCGATAAAGGGAGCCCTACCAGTGAACATAACAAACAAGACCCTTGCTTGTCTTTTCGATGGTATCGATGGTGGCATCCTCATCCCAATTTTTCTTGGTCGTGAGCTCTACAGGTGCCGGCGAGGCATCATCCCCATTTGACTTTGAAGAAGAAGCGCCAAAAGATGTCCTGGCACGTTTGGTGTTCTTGGGCGCCGCTGATACAGGAGCTGAAGCCCCCCCAGCGGGTTGCCGTCCGCGTTTCGGAATTGAGATGGCGCGATACATCGGGCGGCCACCAATCTTCTCGTAGTACTCCTGCAAGATTTCCTTTGCTCCCCTGTCCGACAATGGATCATCAATGTTTGGCCCTTCGAAAGACAATAAGTATGAACTTACTCGCAATTCTCCTCGGGCTCCCAGGTCATGTCGCTCTTCTTTTCGTATCCCTTCCATTTGACATGAAGGTACAATTTCTATGTAGCGACCACTCGTCCGTCAGCGATGATGTTCCATAACTAGCCAGACTAGTACCTGTATTCCTATCCAGACAATATCGACGTACCTTGCCCTCGAACTTGTGGTCTTTGATAGCCTCTACGATAAATTCTTCCCCATCCTCGTCGGCGGCATCTTCCTCATCATCCTGCTCTTCTACGACATCATCTTCAATGTCGTCGTCATCCACAGGCATGGCCTTCCTCGAGTTTCTGGCAGGGATCAGATCGCCGTCTGATTCGGATTCGGACAGTACTTGGGGAGGCATTCTCAATTAGTGTGAGTTGACTGGACTAGAAATGAGGTTGGTGGTGTTGATCGTTACGAATGATTGTTCGGTGCGGTGGAGATGAGATGCGGTGTTGGGTTGGTGTCGGTGGAAAGAAGAACGCGCGAGGAAGACGCGGTGTGGAAGTTGGGGCGTTGGTGCTTTCGACTCTGTTAAGCCCCCTTGGCCCTCCCAATCTGGGCGAGACACGTCGCGCCACAGCAAAACGCCACACAATAGATAAAGAATCGCACAATGAGATTTGCCTAAACTAAGAGAAAAATAAAACAAAGCTCATGTCAAACTAAAAAGAAACATACTAGGCACCAAACCTTGTGATATATACCTGTATGTGTAGCAGGACGACATTCATCAACATACCTATACGTACATGTATGTACCTACATACGTACATGTTCTTACTGAGTATGTACTTATGCTACATGTACTAAAAAGGGAATAGAAATTTGTACTGCAGAATAGTGCTTACATACAAGCTCTTGTTCATTTGATACTTGAGCCCTAGCCATACATGTAGTTTCTTGAGCGGCCTCGAACCGACCGCGCAAGAATGTATGTATAAAAGTTATGAAATCACGACATATCACTCGTCAAGACCGTTTAATGTTGATAAGCCTTGCACACTGTTATCGGCATGGTCATTATTTCGTCCTCTCATCAACAGCATGGGTGTATACCAAAAATTTCTTATTGAGTGAAAATTTACGTGTTTCTGGTCATCTTCGGGTACATTATTCGTTTAGCTCAGAGTATCTACATGTATTCAATCACAATAGCAAAAGAATTCTCGTGAAAGGTGATGATGTTAATAAAATGTGTATCCTTTCATCAAAGTAAAAATCCTCCATTGATGAATGTTTTCTGGGCTCTTTACCAGATGTAAACATACATGTACTGACGCATGTGCACTTGGGAAGTAGATGAAGCTCCATACCTGAGGAATCTGATGTGATCATGACTGCTAGATCAAAGTATATACGTACATTACATACCTGTATGCCGTTTAGCACCCTGGACATGACTTTATCATTGAGCAGGTCCGTGGAGGTAGAGTTCATGATAGGTCAGTAATCTAATTTGCTTATGGCTCAAATCACAATCAATAAACTCTCAGCCAGATTAGTTTTGTAGTAATCATACTTCAATTCAAACTTCATAGCTACCTACAAAAAAAAAAAAAAAAAAAAATGCATAGTATGAAAAACAAGGGGGAAAACCCTAATATCCCCTTTCAGGCAACCACCTTTTTTTTTTTTTTAAAAAAAAAATCACAAAGGGTGAAAAAAAGAACATACAAAGGTAGGACTTAAATTAATGACAAATTGCAACCAAACCGAGAAAAAGAACTGTTTCGCCTCGTTCTACCTTTGAACTGAAACCCTTTCCAAAGGGAAAACAAAAGAGACAGAAAAGAAATAGTATAAGTATATCATTAGGAAACAGTGCTGGTTACAAGAGTTTCGGAACGCGATTCAAGAACTTGAAACAAGAAAATGCCTGCACTAACGTTTGCGATCATCCATTTGACATTTTTTCAATCTAGGATCGGTCATGCGAGCTCATGCCTAGCTCATGAGACAAAGGTTAAGAGAGATGGAAAGCACCTTGACCTTCTCTGATGGCTACTGACAATCGCTCTTTCAAGATCTCCAGTGTCGAATAATCTGGCAGCTTGAGATAGTTCACACAAGTCATAACGCTCGGAAGGTAGTCATCCGAGGTGTAAGGTGCTTCGCTTGGTTTGCACACAACAGTAAATAATGGTGTCAAGGATTTAAAACCTTCCAGAAAAGTTAGCTATATATGCATATAAAAGTTATTCTTTCCCTTATCGAACATACCTCCAATGGGGAGCTTTGGACTTCCTGTAACGAATTGTAGGAAGTCACGACGCTCTTGTAACTTGAACTCGCTCATAGCCTGCAGTAAGTTTCGTACACTCTTGCTGTCCATGTTGAACCCATGATCTGCCTTAATCGAATCCATCAAAGCTACAAGTATTTGTCAGCAGCTTTTCGGTTTTTTCTTTTTTTTTATTTAGAAAGGACATGTAAAAACGTACTCTCAAGCGACCAATCCTCATCTACTCGGCCAAAGAGCATGACCAGTTCGTCGGGTGTGAAGGCTCTCAATGCAGAGTAAGGGAAAACCTGCGAAAAGCCTGCGCGGAATGCCTCTGCCTGGCGTCTCACACCACTTCCAAGAGTAAGGTCGATGACCCTATCAACATAATTGGCAATGTTATAAACTGTAACAGGAATATTAGCACCGTTGGGGATAAGTTCGATATCTTGGTATCCTGGGAGTGTAAAATCCAATGCAAGGTCCTCAACGCTTGCCGAATCGACTCTGATCTCGCTGATTCTCTTTATCTTCCCTTCAGCAGTAAGTACCATATTGCTATCTATCGCTTTCTTTGCTAAAACGAACTTCCGGAGCATCTTTAAAGAGTTGGCAAGGTCTTTATCCACAGTACCCACAGCTCCCAATGATGGCGCGACTGGTTCGTCGTTCTCACCGGTGCGGAAGAATGTTGGGTTGAACGATATGTCAATTATACGCGAATCAAGCATGGAGCGGGCCACAAATTTGCCCAACATTTTAAAAAGGTGCAATACTCTGCGACCATTCTCTGATTCTGCCATTGATTCGTTCATTGGTGCCGGAAAAAGACCTTGTTTACCAAACGCATAGTCGCTAGTGGGTTGTGATTCATTCTCTCGCCACAACTTCAACTTCTTTTTGGCAAATGCCCTGGATACGCTTGAATAAAACTCAAGTGTAGGTCCAAGGCCAGTTCCAACCTCTTCAAAATATTCTACCTCCAAAACGCTCGGCGACGCACCATAAAGTTCCATGACCTTGATTGCAGATTCGAGGATTCGAACCCGCGAAATTCGAACTTTCTGGCGCTGAAGCCTACCAAGGAATGGTCGGTTATCGTCGCGATGGCGGTCTTGTCGCGAGTCACCTGTAGACTGGGAGTTTTGCCACCTTGTCATGGAACGCGAGTAGCCGAACGATGTTGATTGTAGGAACAGGTGACGAGTCTCAAATGGGAATAGAAAGGGATAAAGCCTTGCAAGATCCTCACTCCAACTAGGTAAACACGCACTGGCAACAATCAAGGGTTCTTCCAGCTGGCGGTTCAGTTTAGCAGTCAATTTGGTGTTGACAAATTGACTCAATGGCTGAGGGTTGGCAGGTTTATTGGCCTCGTTATCGCCAGCAAATACATCGTCGAGATTTGCATTGAGCGCATGAAGTATGCTAAGAAGTTGAAGTATAGAAGAAGAAATTTTGTTTTTATCCAAAGAGGCAGGGAAAGCTGAAGTCGATTGAGAATGATCCGGAGCAGGAGATAAAGAGCCTTCCAATGGTGCAGGTCCAGGCATCCTACGAAACTTTATGGGATGTACCGTGGCCCAGACGTTACGGTATGACTGCTCTTCAGGCTGGTCCCTACCCAGATGCACTGCCCGATAAATTGTCATGTCATTAGAGATAACTTGATCGCCAATGCTGAACTCTATATGCCAGTCTGGAGGTGTCTGAATAGCAGCTACGCGGGTTCCTAAAGTCTGCGAGGACGGTCCCGGTGCCCGGGGAGGGTTGGGGGCGACTCCAGAGGGCGTGGCTACTCGGGTCCCATCTTCTTTCCGAGCTGTAACCTTGCCACTTGAGGCTACCTCCATATTCACAGGACCGGCTTCAGGTTCAGGTTCATCCTCCATTTCTCGATCGAGGTCATCAAGCACGGCGTCCATTTCATCCATCTCTTCATCATCCGGCAATTGCCTTTCGTCCATGCACTCTAACTGCTCCTGTCCTGATGCCTGATTCTCTCTCTCTTTTCTTGGGGCCTTTTCATGCGAAGCACTCGAGGATGCTCCGTCTGTGGTTGCTGGTTTCCGTCGTGTGCTGCGCCGACCTGTTCTTGGTGACCTGGGCGCCGCTAGGTCAGGCGCCTGTCCAGAAGCTGCTGCCGCCGCTGCCCGCGGAATACCTGCTGCCGCTGCAAAGGCTGCAAGAGCATTAGCCATAGCACCCCCGGTGTTTGGATCTCTACGTGTTCTTGGACGTTCTGAAAGGCTAATTCGGGGCCTGAGATAATCATCCAACGCCTTGAATGTTGCAATTGCATGAATCGAGACCATGATGTTCCGGTAAGCCCGCGGAATTTCGGATTCCTCGTCTGCTACCAGTTTAAGGCGCAATTGCTTTGCCAACATAGACGCAGCGCTACTTCTATTTCCATCAAACGTATTTTGATGAACTGTGATCACCTCAAAGTGCTCAGAGCGGCTCAACAACTCTTGAAGTTTGTGGACCAAAACACTCAGCGGTGTATCTCCTTCGCTGGTGTGCGATTTTGACAAGCCGGTACGCATAAAAACTTCAAGAAACGCCCGCCGGATGTCAAGTTTATCAATTTCTATCACAATTAGCACCTTCCGATTGTCATAGATAAGGATAGTATTTACCAGGGCCACCCTTCAGAACCGCCAACAGCGCCTCCACGATATGAGAATTGAGAAGCTCAAAACTGGAAATCGAATCCAGGGAGTTATCATTGTCAAAATAAGTAGCCAAGCGTTCAAAAAGACTCTCGGGGCTATTCGAAGATTTTAATCCTTCTCCCAGGGCTTTCAAGTCTTCCATGATCTTCAAAGCCTTTCCCCTGATTTCTGCACTTTCATCTTTATCGTGTGCCTCCATGAACGCCACAGCCCTCTCTACAATCCATTGTTGCCTGTCCATCGTGGTACCGGTAGGAGCATGTCTTGAAGATGAAGATGACCTTGAGCTCACTGGTGATGAACTCATACGTTCTTCACTATCCCCCGAATCATCAGACTTCCTATCGTCATCACTTCCTTGAAGTTCCTTATCCATGACCGAGCGTTCTGTCTTCTTGGAGGCAAGCTTAGATATTTCAGCAAAAACACCCTCCCGGTAGAAGTGATAAGTGTAAATCTCTGGAAGGCGTCGAAGGAGCAACTCGGCAGCTTGGAAAGCAGCAGTAACCAGAGTTTCATTATCCTGTTGCGAGAGTATTGATGCCAAGTGCGATGCAAATTGGACACTCGATAAAGCTTCTTTGAGAATTTCCGCATCCAAATTACATATCATCTTTAGCTGGGCTGTAAGGACCTTCCGCCGAACATCGAAATTGACAGTACTTGAGTAAGCGTCCGTGAGTGTTGGAAGAAGAATTGTTGCAAAACGCTTCAGCTCATCTTTGCAACCGCTTAGTAGTCGACGTCTTTTCTCGTCGGGATCCTCCTCCTCTTCTTCGTCTTCATCCGATGGATCCTTCGAGGGCCTTGACCCATCGGGAATATCGAATAGACCGCCATGTTCCTCGCCTCAAGCGATGTCAGTAAAGGGATCTAAAGTGAGAGGGCTAGTAAATTTACCATGAGGTAGTCCGGGTAACAACTCGCAGATAACATTCAAAGTCTCGAAAACTTGCTCCCTTGGCCTATGGATGAGGGCTTGCATAGTCATCACAGTATCGTTCTTCATTGCTGCTCCATCATGATCGGCGGGAGGTGAAACTCCGGTCAAAATCTGGAAAAGCGTATCAACAATATTCATTTTTAGCATATCCATAGACAGCGTTGGGCTAGCCTTTGCGACTATTCCCAGGACCCGCAGAAACTGGGTGTGGATATGAGGTCCAACAAGATTTGTTGTGCCAGGTAGAAGGAGCTGTAAGATAGCCTTCATCATATCTCTTGACATAAGTTGTTCCAGCTTATCCGGATAATGGCGGAAGCTGTCCACAATGCGAGCGACGCATAGGCATGCATGTTCAACAACTTTCTGATCGCTGCTATTCAAGACGTTTAAGAGGGTTGGCATAACATCCCTAACTGTAGGAAAGCAATCGTCAGGGATGTTCCGGCAACAATTTGCTGCTGTTGTAACCGCTGTCCTTTGAACATTGGTGGCAAAAAAATCCAAGTATGTAAGACACGCTACTAAACCGCCTTCTCTGACTATAGATGTCGGATACTCGACAGATATCTTCTCAAGCGTCTGGATGATGATAATCATTAGTAAGTTTCACAAATCATCCCCTTTAAAAGCGAAACACATACGCTTAAGGCCTGTTCGGCCAAATCGATGTACTGAATCTCCATCAGTTTTCTGCAAAGTACCGGAACAGCACCACCATATACTACATTAGCTGTTGCCGCTGGCAAGGCCTCCATTAGGTTTGCTATGCATCGGCATGCAAGCAACATCATATCAGGATTTTCACCAAATGGTCCCTGATCTTCCATTAAACTGACAAGTTCTTTAACAAACTGGTCCGGCGAAAAATGGCCTGATAGATTATCTTCAGTTGATACGAGTAGAATTTCAGCCAACTCCTGCAAAGCAATTAGCTGGGTCGAGGGATCGTCTTTCTGTCTAAGATTGGCAAGAATATCTCGAAGTCGTGAAGAAATCCCGGAAACCATTCCTGAGAGGGCTCGGAGGGTATTGGAAATCCCGCTCGAATTGTGGACACCACCGAGATAACTTCCTTCGAAGACGTCCTCGTCATCCTCATCATGCTCATAGTCATCCTCTTCTCTATCATGCTCATCATCTTCCCCAGGCCCTGCATCCCCCATTTCTTCATCATGGTCCTCATCAATGTCAAAGTTATCATCTTCATCTTCCTCATCGTCATCATCTTCCTCTTCTTCGACATCGTTCGGCTCACTCATCCGAACATCTGGGTCACTTAAATCGTTGTTCATCCTTCGTGGCGCTCGGCGAGAAGAAGTGGTGGAAGAAGTGGTGGCAGTATTAGTGTTGGTGGCAGCAGTAGTATTATCTATTCAATGCTTAGTTAATCAACCATCAAGATGGAGATGTATTATGAAGGAAGGTTAAATGGAACTTTGAGGGAATCCAAACCCCTTGTCGATTTTTTACTCCGACTTGACCTACGTTTATGTGTTGATGATGAAACATCAGGTGTCTCTACCGGCACGCTAGCCTCTACGGGCATATTACTATCCTTTTGTTAGCCATGACAATTCATCCTATGCTTGTTTTATGTTCAACCCCCCCAACGTAACTTACCTTTCCTCTGGCATGTCCATGGCTGCGTTTTTTACGCTAGCCGTCTTCTTTCCTTTGCCCTTTCTTCGACTCGAGGGCTGGTTTTCTTGCTGCTTTGGAGGTGTAGTTGTAGAAGAGGACGCCTTGGGACGCTTTCGGTTGCGAGGGCCTGAAGAGGGTTCTGGTTCTTCCGTTACCTGGCCAGAGGATTTTCGTTTACGATTTGATTTCGACGAGGACGGTGTTGTGATAGATGGCGATGTAGGAGAGGCAGTGGTGGGGGAGATATTGTTGGTCGACGAGACGGCCTGATCTGAGGATTGTCTCGTCGATGAACGAGTGACTCTGCGAGGAGGCATGAACAAGTGTCCTTCTTTTTTTTGTGTGTGTGTATGTGTGACTTTCTCTCTTCCTTTTGACAATTTTGTTGCGATTGGGAGAGGAGGAAGATCAAAAGATATGACGCAAAGGTAAATGATGAAGGTGGGTGAGCGGGTGGAAGAGAGACTCAGAAAGTAAAAAAATAAAAGAGACGGTGAATAACTACCTTCGTAGGAGAGGCGTGTTACTAGTGTCGGAGAGCGTGGGGGATAGTGGATGATCGGCGGGCGAGGAAGCAGATGAGGCTGAAGAGCTTGTAAAGACGGCGGAGGTCGGCCTGAGATCAGCAACAGATGCTCTTCCAGATGCTTGATTCTTGCGTGATCTAAGCTCCATACGATACCGCCATGCACGGAGGGATTAGTGGGAGAAAGACGAGCAGAGATCAGAGAGCAGGTGAGGAGGTCGAAGAGGGAGGAAAGAAGAGGCAATCAAGAAGCACCCAGGAACGGCGACTGGTGGGGCGTCTGTTTCTGCTGTTGGCTTGGATTATGAGGGGATTCTTTCCTGTATACAAGGAAACCTGTCAATATTGTCCTTCCTTTCCCTCGATATTCAAAGGTCTTCTATCTATGTAGTATGTATCAGTTGTTGTCGGCCGGGTTGCGAAGCTCGGAGGGGCGGGCTGTTCGCTGTCATGAATATGTGGGTGTTGAGGCGAGCCGAGTGTCAAGCGTAAGATTGAGCGGGCAAGGTGATGATTCAGTTACACACATAAATACTAGTACCTAGCCCTCATTTGCCTAGCGTCGTTCTTTAGGGCTCAAGAGCCCTCTAGATCTGATACAACAAAATATCTGTTACAGAGAAAAAAAATACCTAACGCTTCAAGCGCAGAGTATTTATCACCACTGTGCATATAAATCTATGAGCGAATGTCTCAAGTAATGTTGGAATAAAAATCGAATTGCCCTCTACCGACCCTCCGATGCAGAAGAAATGGTTATAGATAAGATCAGTTCAACGCACACAATCATGTAGCCCTATCCCCAATACCTGCTACGTTAAAGCTACAGATAAACAATTTCGATGTTTCTATAGTTGAAAATAAATTGGCTAGAAATATAGGATTGGGGAGTCCCATTAGACGACGCATGTGAACTACTCTACATACATGTATACAAGGCTTGGATACATGTATCTTTGATAGCCCCGATAACATTCAACCCCTCCTTAGCCCCACCACTGCATCCTTGTAAACCCGCACGCATGAGTACCTCGCACATTGGTCTTGGTATACGTAAAAGCTTCATTTGAAAGGCTCATTCTATCAAAAAATGCGAAAATTGTGAAAGATATTAAAGTACGCGATCCACAACCTAATTTGCAAAGGAGAAATAGCCAACACATTTAACATGAGTTACTATAAACCCTGATATTGAGAGAGAAATCAACTGTCTAGAGGGAAACAAATGCAGCCCCAGGAAAACCTTCACGAAAATACCCATGTTTCCAAAGAAAAATAGGAAAACAGCTCCAACAAGAACAACCTTTGAGAAGAAAGCTCCATATAATTTCTGCCGGTACGCCCCCATCACCCAAATTCCGAACGACAAACCCGCTTAGATGAGCTCGAATATTTATGAAACAAAAAAAAAAAGAAAGAAAAGAAAGAAGAGATAAACCATCTATCACGAGAAACCCCTCGTTTATACTATGCCTTTGCCAGGTACATGCAAAATATTTTGGGGTATCGCCGGGAAGTTCATCCATATTGTGTGCTGCTCTGAGGTCAAGAGATCAAGCACGGACCGGAATCTACAATTACCAACAGCAGTAACCACCCTAAACCCAGTATCAGTAAATGTTGTGAAGCGAGAAAGCCATAGACGCTTACATCAATGATGATATCGGATCCAGTCATGAAGGTGGAAGCATTGGATGCAAGGAAGACAGCGGTGCTGTTCAATTCATCGACATTTCCGAGGCGGTTCATTGGTGTGCGCGAGCACCACAACTTCTTCTGTGCCTCAAGAGCGGGAACACGGTTCAAAGCGGTATCTGTAGATAAATATCAGCAAAAGTATGTCCAAGGAGGGGGTGTTTTGAGTACTGACCCATGTAACCGGGAGAAATGGAGTCTAGAATGATGTGTGAGCAACAGGTTCAAGTTATATGTTTTATGGAGAGATTTTGATTAACTTACTGACACGAATATTGTACTTGCTCCACTCAGCGGCAAGAGATTTGCCGAGCTGGATAACACCAGCCTTTGAAGCGTTGTAGCAACTTTGTTCCTGGGGCCAATTGACAATGTGTCCGGACATGGATCCAATGAAGATGATCGAGCCTCCATTTCCTTGCTTGATCATGATTTGACCAGCAGACTGGGCGCACAAGAAAGTACCAGTAAGGTTGATGTCAATAAGACGACGGAATCTCTCGATATCGTAGGTCTCGGCCGGCATGTTGGAGCTAGGAAATATAATATTAGTGTTGTCCGGAAAAGGTAGTTCGACGATTTAAGGTAATAGCTTACTCGGCAATACCGGCAGAGCAGAGAAGAACGTCGACACTTCCCAAGTCGGCGGCAATCTGGTTTTAAATATTAGTGTTTGGTAATTTTTACACAGAAAATAAAGAACGGAAACATATCATACACTGGTCATGACCTCCTTGACGGCCTCAGCGTCACGAACATCGACTTTGTAGAACGCAGCAGGGATGTTGTATTTCTTGTTTAGTTCAAGAGCAGCAGAGTCTCCATGCTCTTGCAAAACGTCCATAATGGCAATGGCCTTACAGCCAACCTCGCAGAGAGCCTCAGACATGCAGAAGCCGAGACCGCGCGCACCACTTGATCATATTGATATTAGTAATTGAAGTCGTGATGATTTTCGGTAAAGGTGAACACAAACCCAGTAACAACGACGACCTTTCCAGTTAAGAGAAAGCGCTGAAGATTATCTGGAAGTGCGGAATACCCAGCACCGTGAGTTTGAGCGGGAGCTGCAATAGCAGCATCAGGGTTCATCTCGGCCATGGTAATATCTGGAGAGAGTGTTGCGGGAGCGGCCATTGTTTAATTGGAGTTGGTTGAGAAAAGGTGGGGTGAAGTTTCGGAGGTGGGGTTGATACTTATCCCACTTTATTAGCAGGAAAGACTGCGGGGTTGTTTAGATGAGGGATTATTTTTTACAAGATTCTCAACGATGAAAAGAATAAGATGGATGTTTTCTGAGATGATGGTAAGTAGAAGGAAGTGGGAAACAGTCGAGTATTTAAGGGTGGGGTTGGAGAGGGGGAATTGGGGGGTGAGGGGAGAGGGTTCGAGGGTCTGTTGATCGACCAGAGAATTACGACTCACGGACAAGAGTGATGGAGAGCTACCGATTCGAGCAACTTAGCAGGTTTTCTTGAAAGTAACAAGGAGGAATAGTGCCGGTTCTGTGTGAGTGCAAGGCCTGAACGAAGAGGTTTTTTTTTTCTGTGAAATTATTTCCAGTGGAGGGGCGGGTGGGAAGCTGGCAAACACAAAGTGGAGCAAAGAATAAGCGGACGATACGCCGCTCATAGAATGTTTTCTTTGGCTAGATATTCTGGACAGTGCATTGCTTGCTAATGTTACCTTCACCTTCACCTTGACTTAGTTGGTGAATAGCGAAAATCTGAAAGCATGTAGTTCAACACCTTGCACAAGCAAAGCGCTGTAGACCTACGAGGGAAGGTAATATCTTTAAGCAGCACAGACCTTCGCTTCCTTCCTTCCAGAACATAGCCTGGCACCACGCTTTAGGTCGTCCTATTTCACGGGAATTAGGGCCAGCAAGCATTTTTAGCGCTAGGACTTTGACGCAGGGCCCAAAGCTTTTTGAACGACGAGGGTTACCATACATGTACTTGCAAGAAGCAGAGATGAACATCGGCCTGCCCACTGAAAGCATAGAGTAATAGAGTAATAACATGATCGTGGAACAGACCTCTCGATACTGGCTGCGCTAAGTAATGCAAAAAAAGAAAGAAAGAAAGAAAAGAAAGAGAAAAAAGAGAGAAAAAAACGGCCTCTCCCATTGAATTATTAGAGAGAAAGGTTTGTCCTGCTACTCCATGGAGATATCTTGTATTTGCAGACAGTATGTATATGTTTCTTTACAAACTCCCGGCCGCCATGCTTTCGTTTTGAAATAAAATACCCATTCTGTGTCCACATGTACGTATGTACATACTCTTATTTTCTTCTTCTCGAGGCTCTGGCCGCATACTGCACGAGATGCGTACAGGTGAGACTGCATCAACTCGGGGAAGTATGTAGTTCAGTATGGCATCTAATTGGTACCAATTGAGCTGATGAATGTGGTCTCATCGCCATAAAATGCTTCGAGTAGTCACGATCGAACTGCTATATTGAGACATTTTTAGGTACAAACAAAATTCCACCTTCGCTAGAAACATAAACTTCCATCTTCCAGAGTACATACTTGTAGTTAGCTACCATGTACATACCCCTGCTAATATATCCAACCAAGGATCCCCCCACGCGGGAGGTGCGGCTCCAAGAAGAGGCACCCTGGGAGCCGTCCACCTGACCAAGCCGCACTGATACTCCCCCACAAAAATTCCGACGTCTTACGGCAAAAGTAAACTCATCCCGAAACATAAAAAACAAAACCTGAGAACTAGATTGGATTCAGCACTCAGCTACCGCACGCGGAGACCAACAAAAAAACGGGTAGACAGATATTAAAAAGGGTCTAGAATAACCAGTAACGTTGACGACACTAAATATGAGTTTGAACTGCTTGTTCAATTCTGATATCTTTGGACCACTGCAGTTATGGTAAATTGGTGGGGTGCAAGCCCGTTGCATCATCTCGAGGAATGACTAAACGCGGAAGTAGAGTGAGAAGAGATAGATCTCGCTTACAAGAGCCGGAAAAGTAAACAAAAAAAGGAAATGTTGCGAAATTGGCGGGGCAAATCTGACGCCAATCACGCAAAATAAAAAAAAAAAAAAAAAAACGAACACCAAATTTGTTCTCTAAAAGGCCATAACACGCAATCAATCATACATGGTGTCGTTTCTAATTCTGAAACACACGCTTAGGTCTGAGTTGTGATTCTTATTACATGCTCTCAACGTAGTTACTATGTGGGATTTAAGTAATAAGCTTCAATCCAAGATATAAATACGAATGCTATAAAGACTCACCTGGGGAATATTCCTGTTCTCCCATCAATTTGACCAGTCCACCAATCCTATGGAATGTTAGCTTATATGTGGCTCCGAATACAACAAGGCATTGAACAAACGTTTTTGGAATCGGTTTTCTTGGTAATTGTTATTATGTCTCCTTTCTTGAATCCTGCGCAAATGTTAGTGAATACTCCAATACTCTCAGCGGCACAATATTCAAAAATACCTAAATCTCCAGGTTGATCGGCTTCAAAAGTGTACAAGGCTACAGCCTGGTTTGCTCCTAATGTTGATACTCTAGGCTTCGGCTTAAAGACAGGTTTAGGGGCAGTTGGTCTGCCAGGTGCTGGCCCCTTATCCGAGTAGGTGCTTTGGAAATGCTGGCGCTGGAATTGATTACCGCCATGAGCGTCGTAGGTGTCAAAGGTTTGCCCAGGATCTGGACGATGCGCTTCCCTCCAGGCCGAATCTCCTTCCCTGTCGTATACATCGTCTTGCCACGTCGAAGATCTAGAAACCCGTTGGCTACCGATAGAGCCTGCCCTTGACCCTCTTCGGTCGCGATATTCACTTTCGCCGAATGCGCGCCCATTTTGGCCCTCCCAAATACTCGGATCTCTGTCATTATCATACTTGGGTATATCATTATATATATCGTCATAATTTGCACCGGTAAAGTTTCCGGAAAATACTCGAGAATTGAGAATACGAATAAGAGCATCAGCGTCCGGGGGCGGATTTATACTACCACTGAGGAGCTGCCTGCCGGTAACACTGCCCCCGTAGAATTTTTTGTTCGCATCCTTGCGTTCCATTATTACTGAACCTTCCAGGGAAACGCCTGCGAAAAGACCTTTCGTTTTACTATCAAGGAAATAAGCATGAATGACGTCGAAGTTTGGTATGGAATAGCAGCTAGGCAAACCTATAGGAGAATATAGCTGCAACCGATCTCAGGCTAGCCATTCCACTGGCCTCGGCATTTCTTCCCAAAGGACCTGCGGCGACAGAAACGTTCCCTCCTAGCGTGATGCTTCCTACTTGAGCAAAGGTCTTGACTGCGTTTGTGTCGTTTAAAATCATGACAAAATCAGTTAACTCAGCACCAATTTGACTTCCAAAACCAGCACTGCACGTGTTACTTGTTAGTTGTTTTCCTGATTAATTATTACCCAAAGATGAACCTACCCTGCCGTGGCAATCGCGGATGGCGCAGACCATGCTAAGCGCTCATTAGTTATTCGTTAGGAAAACCATGTCTTTTTAACTCGAATGCTTACTTCCATCATGTTTACGGGCAATAACTAAACCTGAACCATATCTTGCAGAGAGAAGAATACCAGCCTTCACCACCGTGATTATTGCCAACCCCTATACACAAAGTTTCAATTATATGTTCTTGTTTTCCGGCCCCGCCGCGATTCGCGTTGAAGGTGGGGGATCACGATGATAAACATTACGCACTTTGGCATTCGAAAGAACAGAAGGTGGAATGATCTTGTCTGGGCCAAACGCTTGCTGTGGGTCGACGAACGAGGCTAGAATTCTTGAAGCCTTTCTGCATTCGCTATTGAGACTCGCGGGTAAAGGGTTACTATTTTGGCCCGTTAGAATATACCGTATATCGCGTAATAAAAAGAAGCCACATGAAAGAAGGAACTAACTTGATGGGCATAATGTTCGATTTATTTTATAAACCCAGGACCTAGTCGACAAGTATGTAGTGGGAGATAAGATTAAGCGGGGTAAATAATATCAGGGGTTCTGGGGGGCTTAAGAGCTTGGAGCTAGGTGAAGTGCGGGGAGGATGGATTGCTGGCTGGACAGCAGTTGGGAGAGTAAATGATTGTGTATGTAAGTAGACGCACGGGTATGCCGAACGAACGAGTGAGTTACAAAGCTTTGGAGTAAAAGCACTGTTGATCGCAACGAGAGAGCGAGAGGTGAGAAAAGCTGGGAGACGTTGGAATAGGCTCTGCAGGGTCGTCAGCCCGGAGCCAAAGAGCCATGCTTCTACGATCTTGCTCCGCCACCTTCTATCGGGCGCGTCTTGGTTATCTCCGCCGAGAACACGCTAGGAAGTAGTAGAAGCGTCATTGGCGTTGTGCCTCATGTATTCTTGACCTGGTTACCCTTGTGTGACTCTCCCGCTGCACGTGCCCACGCGAAAAAAACGAAATCCCCGAAACCCTCCACGCACCCATGCGGAACTTTGTTTCATTCGTCGTGCATCAGGGGTAATCGTGAAGATCTCAATTGCAACGTCTTCCAAATTTTGCGCATGACCACTAGAGTACCTACATGTACTCTAGGTATGGTACTTGGAGATTTTGGCATTGATGCCTGCAGCTTCCTGCAGGGTTGGAGGATAAAGTGATGACAACGCGGCGCAGGCGCGCCGAAACCTTACAGCGTCATAATGTGGAACTGAGTGAGCTGTTATATATAAGGGGTATTATCATTGCTTTGGGTGAGCTTTGTTTCCAGGATTACATCCGGGTCACAATTTGACAGGACAATTTGATATCAATTGTGAGATAGGCGTATTTTACGGCCTCTCAAAGCATACGAAGCAAAAGGCAGACAAGCATTAACTACACACATTGCAAGGAAAGACTTTGAAAAAAGAAATACGGGGTAACACCAATCCTAAACCTTACCCGAATAACCTTAAACCATGTAATGCAAACTCCAGATTTCCGCCCTGCGGAAACCATAAATCCATAGAGGCAAATAGACAAAGGTCAACACTGAAGAAAAAGGGCAACTATAAAAGGTAAGAGTGAAGTGGTGGGTACTACGTATAAATCTGGTAAAAGCGATTTTGAGCTTGATATATCCAGCATTCACTGTAGGCTCATCTTCATAATGCCGTCACCGGTATCTGTGCACAGTAGGCTAATAAGAACACATATCTCATAGTATAAAAGCGTAAAAAAAAATAAAAAAAAAGGGAAGAACGCGTACCACTCATGCCTTGAAAATTGAGCCGTTTGCCTCCACCGTTCGCTCCACTGAGAGGCGGGGATGCTGCAAGAATAGGGCTATGGGAAAGCCCCGGTGATACAGCCCTGCGTTTAAAAAACTCCGGCTCAAATCTTTCGTCTTGTGTCCGTCTTCTCTTAGGACGACGCATATCGGCGGGAACACTAGCTACTGGCGAAGAAACAGTCGATTCAGAATTCATCTGATTCTCCTACTATCAGTTCGATGCTTATACATTTTTAAAGGAAAAGTTTCTTACCATTATATCGCCGTCAGAGGTCATTCTCAACCCAGGGAATGTTGGAGGACTTCCACCGAGCCCATCCATCTGATCACCGAACCAGAATCCACCATGCTTTTGCGCCTGTCTGGAAAAACTAATCCCAATCCCCTTATTTCCTACCAGCCCCACATTTTCCCCACTGCTGCCCATACTTTCATCCTCTTCACGAATATCAGATAATTCCTGGTCCATACTTGGCTGTGTAGGAATGGCTGTGGCGGGAACACTCTCCTCGTCTTCTTCACGGATCTGACGAGTGATCTCTGCCTCACGCTTAACTTCCATGTCAACCGGCGATGCCTCTTCCTGTAACGCGGCTTTGATACGTTGAAACGTTTTAGTTTTGGGCTAATAAAGACACCAAATCGTTTAGCTATCAACTCCCGGAAAATCTTGTCTCGTATTAGCGCCTTACCAACAGTGACCCTCGTCTTGATACGGGCCTCCTGATAGGATCTGGTCTCTTTTCATCATCGTTCCCTCTGCCCCCAACTGCCAGCGAATTGCGCAGAGCTGTCGTGAGACTATCTTTCCTCCTTGCAGCCCCTTCCTTTGAACGCCCGAAATAACCAACCCCAAAACTGCTGTTTTGCACGGGTGGAGTGGTTGGCGATGGGCTCGCAAGTGAACTATTAGACGCACTGGCAGATGACAAAGAGCTATGTCTTGAGTTTCTTCCAGCACGGCCGCCCAACCGAGCCTTCTGGTGATTCATAAGCGATATTGAAGCGGCAGACTCCGTGCTTTGTATTGCAGGTGCAAAGGGGGTGCCAAGTTCCAAATCTAAATCCACATCCAAATCCTCGTCACTTGATGAATCACTATCGTCACCAGACGGTGCATAATCCATCATTGAAGCAGACCCAAGAGAAGAAGCGTGGGATGATGAATGGTGGTAATGATGATGATTAGCAATTGGGGAATCTGATCCTTTATTATTCCGAGGTATAGGGAAGCTTGTTGAAGTTGACGGCGAGGAATCTGGTGATGGTTGTTCCGCTAGTGTGGAGTGGTGTAGCGACGTGCCTAGGTGCCGAAGCTTTGGGGTTAGCTTTAGTTCCTGCAGCATGTTGATGAAACAAAGAGGTGGCCCATACAAGCACGCGCAAAGTCGAGCCTTGGACGACGAGCTACAGAATACCCCAGTGCAGGGTCAAGAACTGGCGATAGGGGCCCACGTGAAGGCATTTTTAGAGAGAGGGGTCCGGGAAAGCCCATTCGACGTGGGGTGAATGGCGCCTGCAGCTGGTTTGGCGTCGGCGCCGTTTGGGAACTGTCGCGTCCAGCCATATTGTTATTTGACATTGAGCTTTCAGACTTCTTATTAAGACTCTCGGGGTCTCTGTTGAAAGGTGTGTTCTGAGGTGGGGGGTCTGATATTGAGGCTTTGAGTTGCGAGGAAAGCGAAGAGGCGATTGACCTTGCACCAGCGAAAACGGAAGAGTTAGAGACCGAAGGTTGATTGTTAGCCCCTTGCATCTATTTTCCTATTGCCGCTACAATTTCTAGTGCTCTATTGTTCTCTTGCAGTCGTTATTCTGTTGTGGGGCGAGCGAATAGCGAACATTGTGAAGTTCACCCAATAATGTGGATTATCGCAGGACATGAGGGGAGGTGGTTGCATCATCTGCCAAGACTGAGTAACTTCACGCATAATCACTCGTATGATGAGGCCGGGTAATGGGTCATGTATTATATACATACCATTCGCCACGAGTTAGTCCTTGCACGCCTCTCCTTGTACTTTAAATCGATATTTACTCAACCACACACAACAGTTGTCTTGCTTCAAGCATAGCAAAGCTGCCTCGATCATCATGCAAGGGTTCAACATGGGGTATAGTTTTTCTACCAAATCTATGATAGTAACCCATACTGACCGGTTATTAGGCGGTATGTCCCACCAGAACACGAAGGTGTTATATCCGGAAACAAGTTAAACAAGAAAAAACCATCTGGCTTTCATGGAAATACTCAAACAGTTCGTTTTGAAATGCCTTTCAATATTTTCTGTCTCCATTGCGATGGACATATCGCCCAAGGAGTTCGTTTCAATGCAGAGAAAAAAAAGATCGGGAAATACTATTCCACGCCAATATTCAGTTTCCGTATGAAACATAGCGTGTGCTCAGGTTGGATAGAAATCCAGACGGATCCAAAGAACACAGCATACGTGGCTGTGGAGGGCGCAAAAAAGCAGGCTGCTGAGGCAGATCCTGGGGTTGGGGTAATCAGGGTCAAAGATCCAGAAGAGATATCCAGATTGGAAGACCCATTTGCGAAGGTAGAGAAGAAAGTTGTGGATAAGACGGAGGCAAAGCAGGGAGCAGAGAGAATAGCAGAATTGCAGGGACTTAGCGACCGACAGTGGCAGGATCCTTATGAGCATTCGCGCAAAATGAGGAAGATATTTAGAGTATACACTCCTCCTCTCGAGAACTCTAGCACACGGACATTCTTGGGGGATGTTTTGCTAAAAGTCGATTATTTTGCTTCCCAAGGCAGAAAGAAAGGAACTTCAAGAAAAATCAGCTGCGACCGAGGCTATCCGGGAACGTGCTGGCCTGGCAATCGAGCTATTAGACGAAATACCGGAAGATGCGCAAAAGGCAAAATTAGTTGAATTCGGCCCGGATTATAGCCAAAAAATTAACCAGGCACATTCAAAACCTTTGTTCCCAGTTTCTGAACCAGTAAAAAGGGTTCTTGGACAAAGCTCGGCAGGAAAGACAAAGGCTCAAACAGCAGCGGATACGACTCGGGAGAGATTACAAACCCAACTAAGACAAAACACGAGAGCGAGAGTGGATCCTTTCCTCCATTCAGTCCTTGATAAGACAAGACCAAGCCTAAATCTCAAACTTTTGAAAAGAAAGCAGGCAGACAATAACAGCATGGTAGAGGACGAAGCCGAACGATTCCCGGATGTCACGACGGAGAAAGCATCGATTTTGACCAGTGTAGGGTCTGTTCGGCCAGGAGTATCTCTGGGCTTGGATGGATACGAATCAGAATAAGACTGACCGCATTATTTTATTGTTCCATTTCTTTGCCTGAGCCAGGCCTACTTTATTCGAGAATATTAATTCAGATGGTCATAATATTGGGGAGTTTTTTTTCGAGTCAATTAATTCACCCTCAACTAATTGGGAGGGGGGAAATCCCATTCACCTATACAGCATGGAATTAATGTAAAATCATATACATTCATTGTTGGTCGATTATGTTTGTTATTCGTTTCTCTCTCTACTTAGACTTGACCTTGTCCGAACCTGACCTTGATAAGACCCGCAAGTGTTAAAGATCAGAGCAAGGTTTAATTTTACAAATGACTCTGGTCATGGTGGTTTATGGGATGATGCACCGGTGATTTGAAGTTTCTTTTAATTGGTCCTAATCCCTATCTTGTTGAGTTGTTTCACTCTTTCGAGAAAAATATGCGTAGTAAACATGTAATGAGCTTAGGACTTGATTGGTGAGTTTACAGTAACACCAAGTAGTTACCAAGGATGCTGTCTCGTTTGATCTCCACACACACGCGCACACACACACACACACACACACATGGACATGGACATGGACATGGACATGGTGAAGTATTCGCTCGATAACACTTGAATGTTGCCTTTTGGACCAACTTAGCATACATAGGATGTTCTTCCCGGATCCGTACAGTAGGTGGGGTGGCATGTGAAAAAATAATCCCGTTTTATCTTTCTCTTTTCGAGGTTGAATGTCGGACGGGGCGAGACCGCGGGGAGGTATGAGTACTCAGCTGGTTGAGTATGAGATAACAAGCTGGCAGAGATAACCTATATTGTCCTCATATCATACCCATACATACAAAAATCCCCGCGAGTTGTGTAACCTCAAGAACGTCCGAATATTTTGCCTCCTATCAACGGCTGGTAATACCTGATTCGAGGGAAGCCTTTTTCCCGAGAAGGAAGCCCCTTAAAATCGTATTTATGTTTCTGTTTGAGCCTTGGACGGAGTCGCCATGGGAATCGAACTAATGCCAAAATGTGCAGAGTTGAGGAAGTGAGATCTTGTGGATCCATGCTGGCAATGGTTTCATAGGGTTGTACTCTAAGGTTTCAATGAGTAAGAGCCCGTCAATGTCCTACCAACAGCTGGAGAGATATGCCATCCCAATGGGCCAACGGATAAACCTTTAAGCAACCGAGGATGGATGTGCTAGAGATTCCTCTGATCATAAATCACTCATTTAAGCAGGATTCAGGGTTAACCAGACAGAGCATGTAAAGTATGTACCCGTGAGATACAGCTTCTTCGGTTTCTCGCATATGCTGACCTCGGGAAATAAGCATCACTGGTGTAATTGTTGCATCAGCAAGCACGCCAATCAATGGATCAGGACGCTGATGATGACTTCAGCAGGATTTCTGCTCGCTGTATGTAAGTAAAAGTAGCTTCCCTAAGATCACAGGAAAAGTATCGAGGTGCAGCCCCCTTACTCTGGGGTACCAGCCAGCACGCAAGCCAGCAGGCATCATCGCGTATGTAACCTGACCATACTTGGGCAATCCTCTTGCGCCATCAGATGAATTTCCAACCGATCACCGGAAGTTCCCAGCGTATCAGACGTGATGGGCGTTGTCTGTTGTTGTTTTTGTGGGGTAGTGAGACGTTTCCCGATGATCATCGTGGGTCCCAGCGTCGCTTATGTACCCGAATTAGCAACATCTCAACGGCCTTCCTCGTCGCTCGATGATGCAATAATTCAGGTACGCGAGGCCTTCAACGATACGTCGCGTTAACTTCCTGGATTTCTGGGACGAAAAAAAATTCCACCCGTGACTACTGTAGAGTACCGTTCTCGTGGCTTGCATCACATCACCACACAGGAAGTGGCCAAGACTCCAAAACGAAGACTAGGGGTGAATGATTGTTTTTTTTCGGGAGAGATCTACGGATATGGCAAAGGTTAGTAATATGCACACTGCTTTGCTAGATTCTAGAAGACCCTGTGAGTTATTTTGCCCCACAGTCATAGCGATGCTCTAGTGACTAAGGCCACGGAATAACCCTGGTGGCAGGTCGCCGAATGATGCACTGCTAGTTCGGAGGCGGGCTAATGGAAGTCTCTGAGGCCCCTGGAAGGCGTTGCGGAAACACTCGGGGGAGCACAACGCGTTCTCTCGGGAGCCTCCCCGGTGATCAACCGGAAAAACTTTCATGATCCACTCCTAAGTCCTAAGGCCGGCCAGTCAGCCAGAAGCCTTATTGGCTAGTTGGCTGTAGGCTATTCACGAGTGCGTAACCCACATAAATTCTCTAAGAGTGGATATACTCTACAGTGTCATATGTACTTTCCATACATACAGGATATCCGCCGTCTCCGGTGGTCAGGTAAAAGTGACCGAATCTCGAAAACCTCAAACACACTATCGCCATCACCACCACCACCACTTCCTGCGGTCACCATTCTAAGGAAGATATCTCTGGCTCACAATTCTCATTTAGATACATGGAACGAAATTATCAGGGCTATATAAGTATACGGTATCATTGTTCAGGCTGGTAGTTTTACGATCATGTATGTACACCTGTCAAGGTTTTGGTTGTGATAGAAACCGGGGACACTTCACACAGGGAGCCGGCATTTCGTTGGCGTTGGTGTCTGTTCTTTTGTTAGGTGAATACAGATCCAACGTTGTTATCTAACCAGTTCTGGAACCAGCAGCATAATTGTTTTTTGGGTCACTGCGTCGCAACCAAAATTTGAGTTTTTTTTGTAGTTTTAAATTTACTGAGTTACAATTTTTTTGTTTGTTTGACGCAGTGGTTAAAACTACCTTATTCACCCCGAGACTCGAGAGGTCTTAGGGCTGTGGAAGACTCAGCGTTGACATTGCATATTGAGCTCTATGACTAAATAGGTGTCAATGATAATATTAGAGATTTTCTTGAGTCTCGACCTAAAATTTGATCACGAGAGAAACCAACGCTGATCTATCACCCTTGCAGCTTTCCCCGGAGTGAGCATCTTATATTTTGTGGGGTTAGCTCACGGAATCTGGCAGGTTCCCATCAGAGATCATCTTCCCCACACAGATTTCCCATATGCTATAGAGAGATTTGAATTGTGATAGTCCTCATCCGCGTCATCATACAGTGAATCTCAAACAAACTACTCGTTTACCACGAAAAGAACCAGAAAATGCAAGTGACGGAAACAGGGATAGTTTGTATGAGAGATCACCGCCGCTCCATACAAATAATCCTTGCCCTGAGCAACTGGTTCTTTTCGTGGTAAACAAGTAGTGTTTCCTGGCTATTGGGACCTTTTATACAGCGAGAGGTAAAATTATTGTAGAAACAGGGGTCTAAAAACAGGGTTTCTGTGGCTGGGCAAGCCAATAGAACTCCTCCCATATTTCTACAATAATCTTACCGCAAGCTGTATCATGGGTTGCGGTTCTGCGGGCAGAAATTCCCTGAGTTGCACTGATCTACGTTGAAACAAAATAGAGTATGGAATCCTTACTGCAAGGGTCCTTTGCCCTTCCCGGCGAATCGGGGAGCCACGAAAAAAGGCACTACCTATTAGGGTGGCAGAGCCTCGTGCACTTCTCCTTCTGGAAGCACGAAGAAGTTCAAGAACCACCTGACTGATGAATTGTTTGCCGTTATATTTGATTCATCATCCGAAGTCGACTTCTTCGCCGCACTCTGATTGCCACCCCTACCACCGGTCACGCAAACATATGTAGATAGTAAGACAGTTCATGACGGCAGTAATTCTGGAAATGGAAGGGCATTTATTCTTAGGGTAACCGGAAAACGAGGGGAAATATCCGGGGACAGTAAGGCAACTCAAGCGAGAACGGGGAATAGGTATGTCTGTAAATAGCGGTGGGAAACAAAGAGGGTGTGGCGGGATGAGCTCTGGATGAATACAATCTCTGGACTCACTCTAAAGACGTGCACACCTTGGTGTGGTGGTGGTGGTGGTGTTCAAGTGCCAGCGAACACGTCATTCGAATTAGAGCCTCTCAGGCAGATAATGTGAGCAAGAGGAATATGTGACGGGACCAGAGGAAACGGAATGGGAGAGGGGTAGAGGCTTGAAGATGTATGTATGTATGTAGAGGGGAAATATAATAATTACACACCAGAAAGAGGGGTCTAGATAATTCTGTAGTTATCTCTTTACACGCGCCTCTAAAAGCCTCTTTCAGGGTCTTTGAAAGCCCTTGAAACTGCTTCTTGTGTTGCGGGGAATGTGTTTTTTTGGGAGGCGCCACCAGTTGCACAATCATCAAAACTACATATCTCGACTTCTCCCGGAGGGCACCGACGTCCTTTTAAAAAATAAAAAAAAGATGGAGTGAGTTTCAATTGCTAAAGACGTTTCCAACGCCGAAAGGGAAACATCCTATTTCTAATATCCTTCTTTGACACTCTCAATATGTTGTGCCCCTGCAAAGCTATATTGTGGTTGCGATTTTGATAGTGGGGCTTTCATATGCCCCTCCTTCCTTCCCCGCTTAGATACTTGTCAACATCTATAAGGTAATCTTCCGTAGTTATTGATAGCGACAACAAGCATCAACACCAACACCACTTCAACCAAATTTAATTCATCCACCTCTAAACATCCCGAATACACCTCAGCTTATTCGACCCTAACATGGCTGCCTCCCCGCTTGCTTCTGCAAACCTACTGCGTAGGCAGCTCAAGGGGATGCAGTCCGACAAGGACCTCTCCAATATCAGTGTCGGGCTTGTCGAAGATAATATCTACGAGTGGGAGGTTATGCTTATGATATCTGACGACTGCAAATTCTACGGAGGTGCGCCTCTCTCAACATCTCGGCCTCAACAGGGGACTTTATACCTGACGAGAATTGTGGTTAGGTGGTTTCTTCCGGGCACGTCTGTCTTTCCCCGTGGACTATCCGCACAATCCCCCCAATATGAAATTCGAAACACCAATTTGGCATCCAAACAGTACGTCTGTTAGAAATCTAGAACCTGCACCTCTTATATATATATTGACTGGCTCTGACACCACCGTTGTTAGTTTATCCGGACGGCAACGTCTGCATCTCCATCCTCCACCCCCCTGAAGAAGACCAGTAAACATCACCCTTGCTTTCCATTTCCACCCCTCCATTGACTTTCAAAACCCTCAATCCCTCTCGTTCGTGACTGCGTAAAATGATACCACATGGTATACTGATGGTGTTCGTTCTTCGTGATTGTTACCTTGCAGATATGGATATGAGTCGGCCGCAGAACGTTGGCTTCCCGTACACACACCAGAGACAATATTGATATCAGTCATTTCCATGCTGAGTTCCCCTAATGACGAGAGTCCCGCCAACCTGGTAGGTGAAGCCCTTCTGTAAATTTTAAAGAAGAAACAAAACAATACAAAACAAAAATGAATTGGCCCAATGAGGGGCCAATGCATTGGCCAGGTCGTAAACAATCATCCACTGACGTCTTTCCACAGGAGGCAGCGAAGCAGTGGCGCGATGATCCCGCCGAGTTTAAGAAAAAGGCGAGAAAATGCGTCAGGGATAGTCTAGAATGGTGAAGAAAAGCAATTGTTCTCTTTTCGAGAATGATAAAAAAATGACAAATATAATTTTCTGTCCCGTTGTATGTCTATGGCGCCTGAACAGGAAGGGGTGGTTGGTTACTGAAGGGCCGGCTAGAAGGCCGGTACTTTTCTGGTTGGTTGTGTGGTTGGTTGGAGGGGCCTGGTCAGGTCAGGTTCTCTTGTGTATGTACTAGTACGATACAAAAATTTCCTTTCTCTTTTGCCAATAGTTTTGCGAATGATACCTGATTCATATTTTTGCGATATAATACTCGACGGGTACCTGTACCCCGTGAGCCTATTTATCTGGTTTTTAAGCCCGCATGGCTTCCCTCCACCCTACTATCAAAAAGTCCTACTGGCCGTGGCTGCTTTTTTCCGTATCTGCCAAGAGCACAACCAATGCAAGTGAAGGACTCCAACACCTCCTCCGCATCGGTCTGCCCGGCTGTCTGCTGCAAGGTAATAACAATGCGCACGTAAGGCGGAGTCACTGTCCACGGCCAATTCAGTGCTGTGGTCCTATGGAGGCATAGCCGATGGCGGAGAGACTACCTTTACTTGTGGAGTCCCATGCGAAAGGGTCATGTGTTCAGCCGAAGAAAAAAATCAATCCTCTCTTTTTTTCTTTTCGTTTTTTTTATTCCCAGACAAGGTTATTTTTTCTCTGGACAAGGCTATTTGCTCCAATCAGATTCTTTCTTTTTTGTAACTACTTACAATCTCGGATGCCTGTGCACACCAGCTACCACAGAAAATACACACTCAATAACGGAGACTGAAAAAGAATATATATATCTCAAAAGTTGAATCTGGCCCGATTTGGGTCGCAAATTCCTAAAACTACAATAGACAATAGAATATCACACACAAAAAGGTTTTTTTTTTTCCTCGCTCGACCAAGCGAATCCAACCGGCCAGACTCCGAAAGTAAAGAAACAAGATAAATGACGCCTGGCCTTTAAAAGGCATTCTGACAAAGGGAAAGGAAAGAAAAAAAGCACACCGGCACACAAGAAGAAGAAAGTAACCGAATACACCGATATGCCATAGAACAAGACGCCCCGTGAGGTAAAGAAAAATTACATAGGAAAAAAACCATAGAGAAAAAAAAAGAGGACCACCTTTCACCGTAACATGAACCAAATAATGCCACACCACTAACCACCCCTTCATACCGAAAGAAAACCCTTCATTAAGCCGTAAAATGTTGAGGATGAATGATGATATGTCGAAATATGATACTGAATATACTACCGATCCACCCAAATGATATTTATACAAATGCAACCAATCTAATCGTACCAATCCCATTACCACCCAGCTACATGGTATTCATGCAGCCCCTGATCGAAATAATGATTCCATGAGTTATTCTTGGAAGCATTGCCCTTGGAGGCACTGGCTTTTGTGGATGAAGCTGCCTTGCTAGAGTATTCGTTGACCTGAGGGAAGTCATTCAACTTCGTGACGTCGTGTGCGGTGTGTCGTCGTTTAAGAACAGCAGCTGCAGTGGTGTTCTTTTGCTGCCTCTCCCAAAGAAGATGTCTTCGGAGAGACTCAGTCAACTCAGTGGCAAGCATGTTCCTGCGGGTAGTGCGGGGTGAAAGGGCAGGGGGATGCATATTGCTGGTTGTCATAATGATTGGCTTTGCGCGGGTAATCTCGGCGGTTGGCTTAGCGGTGAGAGGGGATTCTCGCTGGAGTGAAGGAGCAAGAGATGGGCCGGAAGGTGAAGTAGTCCTTGACCTTAAAGCTGGGGTAGACCGAGATCCAGCATTGGCAAGTGCTGCTGCCCGTTTTGGCTCGTGAAGCATAGTAGAAAGAAGAGAACGTCTGGAAGTCAACATTTGTCGGCTCTCAACTCGCTGGAACATTGTATCTGGGTTGTAGCTCGAGTGAGCGCTGTCGTCTGTGGATGATTCCCAGTCTGATGAATCTTCATCAATGGCGCTCTCAGAAATCACTTCTTCATCCTCGGTGTAAACATCGTCATCTTTGAATGTTCTTGTGGCAACCTCCTGTCTAAAAGATGTCCTCTTCCCTGATGTTCTCTTCAATCCCTCAGAAAGCTTACTCTTTCGCATGGGTGGGTCCTGTGTGAAGCTGTCCTCAGAGTCGCTCTCATCATCATAAGCAGATGAGTTTGATGAGCCAATGAAGAACATCGACTTCTTTGTGGCCTTCCTGGGTGCCGGTGACATCTTCTTGGTAGGAGCAGCTGGTTCGGAAGGCAAGCATGCATTTGAGCGATTTGAGCGAATTGATACGGAGATATTCTGACCAGGTGTGAATCCACGAACAACGCTGTGAGCGCTAACGCTCGTTGAATACGAAGATGCAGATCCCACAGGTGTTGAATGGGCTGCGGGAAGAGCAGGTGAGCACATTGATTGCTCGGGCATTGTCTCCTGTGCGGCCTCTTCCACTTCTGTAGAAATGACGAGAGGACGCTTTGAAATCCAATCATCGGCACTAGACTTGCTCTTGTCCAGATCTTCCATCAACTTCACCAAACAAACTGGTGTCATATGCTTTTCCCTGCCTCGGTAGCGCTCAGCTGAGTCGGTTCGCAATAAGCATGATCTTGATGACTTGATGTTGACAGCATCTGATCGCAGCTCATAATCTGATGCAGCTGACTCGACACTTGATGAAAGCTCTGGAACATCTGAGTATGTATCAGAATCCTGTCGTCTGGGCTTTCGTGGAATTGTTGCGGTGGGAGCAGCAGTGGCGGTTGGCTTGATAGGTGCAACTGTCACAGCCGTCTCCTCACAGCAAAAAGTCTCCCGATTCCACACCCTCCAACTCAGATTCTCTAGTCTCCTCCCATTCTCCAATGACTCAGCACATTTTGAGAAAACTAGAGAAAAAAACCATTGTCAGCACATTTTGACACTAAAAAGCGAGGAAAGGTGGCAGTTTTCTGTAAACTCACTTGTCCACATGCTGAAAAGATTATCTACATTTCTGGGATCGACCTTAGCGATGTGGTTAATGTCCAAAGACAACATAGGGCTGGATAGTCGCGAAGGCATCTTCGCGGGTTGTACTATGTCGTTATATGGTGGATGTTGGTATTTATGTTTGAGGGGGAGTGGTCGATGACGGTTGACCGATAGATGATGATGGTTGTTGTTTTGTTGACTAGTGGGTCTAGACGGTTGCTAGTGTATTGGTAGTGCGGGATCGACTTCCTTTATGTTGTCGTTGGGGGGTAATGATGGATATATATGTTCAGATTGAAGTGGTGTTCCAACGACTGTACTGTTCCAACGACTTTGATGTTCAGAATGTCGAGAAGTAGCAGGTAGGGGGGGATAGCAATGGCTAAGTAGTAGGTAGCAGAGGCCGTTTAAGTTTGGGGGGATGCGAGGGTTGATTAATATTAGGTGTCGGTGTCGGTTGGGGTGGTTCAGCACCAGCCTGCCTGGGGTGTGTGTGGGACTCTGTGTGGATACACTACATGTAGTTCTATGGGTTACGCTTGCTCGCTCACCCTGTGTCTTTCGCTCAGTCCCACACCCATCCGATCCCTCCCAGCACCTACTAACAACCGTGGAAAGATGTGGGTCAGGCCTGAGACACCACTTGGTAGAGTACTGGGGCTTACCCGTCGGGCTCCCCTCGGGAGATTGGGGCATTTGGGCTTAAGGTCAGCCAGGGGGGTACGGTTACTTGGACAAAGGACAAGAGTTTTTTTTTTTTTTTTTTCGACCTTTGCCTGTCTGGATGACATGCACGGCAATGATGGTGAACTTTTTGAGGTGAGCCCACTCTAGATACGTACATACATGAAGTCCTCATTGCTGACTCGAAATCTCCATAGAACAAAGCCCCATGCAGAAACCTACATGATCCCAATGCACGCAGTTATCTAAATGAAAATAGCATTTGGATGAATGGGGAAGCCAAAGGAAGGAAAAAAAGATTGTAATGGGAATATATTCGTCCCCCCATCCTCCATGCCTCCCCTTCTGCTTTTTACTCATCTATCATGGCGAAAAGGCGCAAATGAAAATGGAACCATATCATGGGGGAGGTTGGTTGGCCGGATTCCTAACTTGTTTTCAGACTTCAGACTCAACGCAAGGAGTCGTTCTCGTCTACTCTGTGGGGGTTTCTCTGTGTCCGGACTCTTGTCCACTAAAAACTCTTACTTTTCACTGCTCGAAACAAATTTCTCCAAACAAAAAAACAAAAAAACTCAAGTCACGTTCACCTTGAATCCCAATGAATTCGTTTTTTCAAATTATGTTTTCCTCGCCCCTTGTCTCTAATGATGCCTGGAATGCCCGACAGACGACACCGCCTTCGCTGACCCACTAAGGTCTTACACCTTTACTCCCTCACCCTCAGTAAGTATCATACACCTACATACATATACTTACGTATAACTCACGCCTGCTTCCATGTTGTAAATTGGCCGGATAAAAGATGTGGGGTATGATACTTGCTTGTGTCTCGCTCTCGAGCCCATCAAAACCCTACCTTTTATCCAGAGTATGATGAGCAGCGAAGCCTGGCACTGGACAGAGGACCTGATGCCGGGCTAATGGAACGCAGTGTAGGCCTTTCACCTGACACGGACGCAAACGAGGCACAAGCAAGTACATCCTCCATACTCTACCACCGCGACCGTAACAGATCGCTGGGATAGCATCCCATGCCATGCTGCCCCCCAATTGGCCTTTTCTCCCATCATCATTATCCAATCCACCATCACCCCCCCAGTCATCCACTTCTTCTCGACCCTTAGTCCTGCCACATTGGGCATCCCCCATCTCGGCACTTTCTCCTTCAAGCTTCCTGAATGTTTGTACTTTGAAGAGCAATGGGTTTCGGAATTGCTCCCTGGACCCGGAATTCAATATCACGACCTTCCAAGAGCCGTTCATTTAAAGGGTGACTGTATCGTTAAAACAAACAATAATAATAGTAATATCTCATCAATCTAGTGACAGAATACGAAAGCCCGGTCAAGTGTTGTA